TGAGGCCAGAATAGTCTGACGCATTTTTACATGTATGAATATGCATGTAATATACATGTACCAATAACTGACTAATCCCAGATGGCATTAGATATAAAAACTGTGGCCATCAGGTTTCATCTCAATCCAAAACAAAACATGGGAAATAGCTCAAATGGTTGCACCAAAGATAAACTAATTTTGCAAGTCTTCACCACTTCAATGACACATTACATACTGTTTCTTACCAAATTGAATTATGTACGAAATTCATCACGTTGGGCAGATTTTATCACCTTTCATCAGGGCAAAATCTGGTGAACTAACAAATAGATAAATCTAGATTCAAGAATTATTCTCTTTTTCATAACAATCAATTAAGTTAGTCTCAACCCACATTTTAGTACATGATAAAGAGTGTGGGAGCAACATATGAAAACCTTTTTATTATTGTTCTCAACGTCTATTTGTGCTGTTTGGGATTTTTTTAAGTTTATTTGGTCACAGTTAGTTAATGTGCAGCTCCCATCACATGAGTGGGGTTGCAGAAGATTAAACTAATTTCCACAAATCAGTGTGCTATGATCATCTTCCAGTAATTCAACAGTAAAAAGTGTTCACTATTCCATCCACCATGCTTTGGCCTGACCTCACTTCTCCAAGGAAAAATGAGGAAAAATGGCAAACACCATGTTGGGGCAAACCACCGTGTTGGGGAAAAAAATACTCCACAATGGGGCCATGAAACTGATTAAACGACAATATAGAACATTCATTGCACAATTATATTCTGTGCAGACATCCTTCAGACATGGACATTACCACAGAGTTTATACAAACACTGTCAGGATGTATAATTTTTCCGTGTCCTTACTGTAATTCTCATCTCATGCTCAGACTTTTTAGCAGTCTATAATCATGCATTTAGGTATTTTCTGACACCATATTGGAGAGTAGTACCTAACCCCAGTTCTGTGTTTTTCTGGCGTCTGTGTCAGGTTTGTCTTGCTTGTATAAGTCATGTGTTGCCCCCTTTTCCTATTGTTATCATCTTATTGCTAATGATACCTACATCCTCTGATAAAGCCAAAAAATGAAGAGCCTGCTGTATCATAACTCGGAATAATTAGACTTTGTTCAGGGGTCATTTTCCAGCAACATCTTCATCATAATTTTCACAGAGTGCAGACTGTCATCTGAGTTCCCCCCTGCTGTCAGCACCACCACTGAGCTCACTCTAACCCTTGGCTCACTTCAGGTCCAGGGAGGGTGTCCGGTTCCTTTTGTCCCTCTCCATTTCTTCCAAAGTATAACAATACACCAACAATATCTCTGTGTTCACCTGTTAACGCCGGGCACTGTGGACAAGACTCACTGCAGACGCCCTGTCAGCCAGACACTCTGCTCATCTCTGTCAGACGCCATGTGGGACGCGCCCTCTTGTCACCAGACCCAATATACTACATACAAAACACACAGAAGCATAATAAACCACTCTCTGCTCACATGTCAACACCTTCCCCTCACAATTCGGCCATGCCCACATATGGAAGATAAATAAAAAGCACTTAACCAATCAGCAACCCATCAGGTGATTACAAAGTTTCCTGCACAGGAAGAAAATTATTCAAATATTGACCTTAAAAATTCATCCTAAAAACACAATTTAAATATTTCACTTGACTGTACATTCAAATACAGGTTTTCATAAATTTTCCAATCATACTTTCTGTTTCATTTTAACTATTTTATGCTGCACTTCACCTATTTTAGACATTTCTGTAGCTAAGATATTAAAAATACTATTAGAAATGTCCACCTATGTATTCCCTAGCCTAAAGATGAAATCTAGAAAAAAAGAAAAGAAAAGGAAGCCATCATCTTGTTTATGGAAAGTTGGAATAAAATTTTGTTTAAATGACATTCATTTTCATGTCTTGTTTTTGCTGTTTTACACCACCACAATTCACTTATGTCACAAAGTTTTACCCTGTGACAGTCTGACAAATGTTCTCAGGTGGTAATTAAGGCTTGACATTTTCTGGTGCATGTGAGACAGGGGAAAACGTACGTTTTGATGGCTCAGCGGGTCGTACTTAAACCTGAGTTAAGATAGAGGGAATATCAGCTGTCATGACACTATATGCTGACAGCGGCAAAGATGAAACTAAATTAGACTGACATGTTGATGCAGTTTCATTTAACCTCACATCAGATAGGGAGAAACATCACATGGAAGACCTCAGGCCCTCCACATCCTCTTTTTCTGGTTGACAGGATTGGGCCTGTGTGGAACCGAGCAGGAGCCAAGTCAGCCTGTATGCTTCACTTTATTATTTCAGAGGCTGATGTGAACACCCACATCAATCACCCAAATTTGCATTCCAAGTACCACAAGTGGTAACTGGTATTTTTAACATACTCTATGACCCCAGTTTACCTTGTGGAAACTCTTGAGGAGTTTTATTGAATATGATTTTTTAATTCCACATCCACAGCATTTCTCTTTAAATACTGGTGCTGGAAGCTTCACACGCAGAGGAAATTTTGCTCTGCTTTACTAGATAGTCCTTGCATCTCATTTAAAGCTGATACACTTTGGTCAAGTTCCCTGCTTTGTGTTCCATAGATGTTAATCACATGTGACTTCAGCCCCTCCCCAAAGTTAAGAAAAGATGGCCATAAGCATTGATTGATGAGTCCAGGATGAAGAAAGATTTACAAACTTAATGATATTTAACCTTCTCTAACATGTCTGGTTGAAAAGACTAAAGGTTGTAAAAACACAATTAACTGTTTAAGAGTAATTACTGTTTGGGTAAGTGAATAGAGATACGCCTTTAAATTTGTTAGAAAAGATTTGAATCAGCTTTTTTGCAGCATCAGCCACAAACAGTTCTATATCTTAATGCGAATTATCTAGCTGACTGGATTAAGATAAAACAAATCAAAGTTATAGTTTTTTTCACATGATGAGTACCATCTGACTGGATCACCCTGTCCAGAAATGCACTCTAATGGCAGTATGAATTAATCCAATATATTTTTGATAAAGGAACCAGATACAAAAAGTAGGATATGATTCATTTTTGTTTTGATCTTTAAAACAGCGACTATAAATAGATTTGAATTACTCAAACCAGAGTTGTGACTTACCAGGCGTGTGAGTGCAACTTTAAAGAAAGGGAATATTATTATTTACATTCTTAGTCCCTCACCAAAACACAATGGAAGAGAAACAAAAGATTACAGACGGCGCATCTCCTTTCAAACAGACTGTGAGTGAGAGTGGTAATGCTGGCAGTAAATAGAGGAGAATGTAATGTTGCACTAAATTACAGTCATTGAAAGCTTGTATGGTTACCCAGCAATCTATCACTGTCACACAGAGGGGGAGAGGGGGAGGCAGGGCAGACAGGCGCCAGGCGCAGCAGGATCAAAGCAGAAACATACCTCAGGGAGAGAAACAGTTAACTCCATTTAACCAATTGTCCTATAGACAGTAAGACAGATAGGCAGTGTGCTGCTGCAGGCCTAGCAGCAGAACGCACATATCTGGTTTCGGTGGAAATAATTTGACTTGATTTGAGGAGATGCAGAACAAAACCAATTTGGATGGAGCTCCTCAATGGGCCTTTTACAGTCTCTCAATGGGATTACAGACAAAGAGTACAATGGGATGAAATATGGCCATAGACAATTTGATTATGGGCCACAAAATAGAAATTTATAGTGATAATAACTCTTTGGACCTTAAATAGTGCACTAAACTGTAGCTTAGATTGCCTTCCTACTTTATTGAAAAACAGAGATAGACTTAGCTTGATCTGCTTCACAATGTTCCACTTAGGCCCAACAACCAACAATCACTAAAAGTCATGGTTTTGTGCAAACAAAGAAAAAATCCAATAAGTGATGTGGTGCTCTAACATAAAAAAAGATAGATATCATGTTTCTAGTGGCCAAAGTCCATTTGACCAGAAATTGTCCTACAAGGTACCATGCCCATAATATAAATGTGGGTGCAATACCATTTTAAAGGTATAAAATCATCACTCACAGCTGAAGAGTAAACCTTTATCATGTTTTTCTTTCTTTAAAGCCTTTATTCATAGACAGTAAAATCAGCCCTGCGATCAGAGGGCAGCCTGTCGCGCAGGATGTAGCTCACACCATGTAAACTGGGACAGACAGCTCCTCCCTCCCTAAACAGAATGAAGCATGTGCAGAGGGTGAATAGATGTGCAGATATGTATCTGATTATTCAGAGGCACAGATATAAGGGTACTCAAATTCTATCATTGTGATAGTTCACTGCTTTTGCCCTGTTAGTGGTAAACCTTGCCACATTAACATATGAAAACCGTTTTGCCTTTTAATTTCTCAGGGTGCAATATCAGAACCAGTTTTAAATCGCCTGCCTTTAGATTATGTAGAGATAGCTGGATATACAAAAATCTGTTTTAGAAATAAACTGGATTGAGACACCACCTGAGAATTTGTTATATACTCACCCTATGATATCCAGTTTCTCCTAAAAGGAATGTCTCAAGCAACTGGAATTAAATAAGAGCCCCCATCACAATTCAGTTCACTTACAAATTCAAATGTGGATTTTGTGCAGTTTTAAATGTAAATTACAAACATAAAAAAGAGTTTATATGCTGAAATAGCAGGTATACTTGTGTCCTACCATACACGTGACTCTGCTCAGCCACTGGTGACAGGTTTACATCTGTCAAAAACCGCGGAGCACAAAATCCACCACATCTCTGTCATCGGAAGTCTGGCCTATCAGAAACTGCTGTCGCCAGGTCACGTGAAGGCATCTAAAGTCTGATAGGCACGCGCTGAAATGGGAGAGTAATTTATGGCATGGAGCGAGAGGCAACTCCGTGCGTAAAACCTGAAGTTTATCACGGAGCTGCGCACCATCGGATTGACCGTGGCAATATCGTTTTTATTCATCTGCTAACCAAAATCTAAACAGCAGCGGTGAGAGCGAACGGAATATTACTTGCATGGCACCGCAGTCGTGCGTCATGAATCTTGCGCAGGGATCACCGCCCTTGGCTGCTCCTGGAGAGACGTCCCCGGCGGAGAGAAGCGCTTGCGGGGTGGAAACGGACGAGCTGGACCTGTCACCTGTTCGAAGATGTAAAACGAGACGTTTGGAGCTGCCTTTCAGCGTGGAATCCATTATATCTGACAGGAACCTCCATTCCCTCGAGCCCGGCTCAAGCTGCGTCCGTGCGGGGGAGACCGACTGTGCGTCACCGAGAGGAGTTTATCGGTCCAAAGTGGAGGCGGTGGACCTCAGCGACAAGGAGGCGAGTAACTGGTTTCAGGGTCCTTACGCATCCCCCACAAGTGAGTGTAGGATGTTTTCTTTCTTTACATATTTTAAATAATCTCGCATATGTCCACAGTTTGGTTTGGAATTATCATACATCAATTAAATTAAACTTTTACAAAAAATAGGTCTCAGTTTGCGTGAAATATTTCAACAGGAGCAGCCAACACCTATTTGGCAATTTAATGTGGCAAGTTTAATCATTTTATGATCAGGCTACAGGCTACTTAATAGTTTGAGAAATTAATGAGTAAATATGTTGCTGAAAGGTTTTATTTTGCGATGACCTTTTTTGCTTTTTTAAATACTTGTAGGCTTATATGAAACATCTTAAACACTTTGCTAGTTGATATCTCTCTTTTTATCTGCACACATTAAATTCAGTGATTTAACACTATATATCAATTTACAGGACTTCCGAGTCCAAACCCATGCAATCTACGGAAACACAAGAACAACAGGAAACCCAGAACCCCTTTTACAACTTCCCAGCTGCTTTCTCTGGAGAGGAAGTTCCGTCAGAAACAGTACCTCTCCATCGCGGAGAGAGCGGAGTTCTCCAGTTCTTTAAATCTCACAGAGACCCAGGTCAAGATTTGGTTTCAGAACCGACGGGCCAAGGCCAAGAGACTGCAGGAGGCCGAGTTGGAGAAGCTAAAGTTGGCGGCGAAGCCGCTGCTCCCGGCCTTGGCTTTCCCCTTCCCACTGAGCGCACCCATGGGCGCACCGGCCCTGTACGGGGCCCTGAGCGGGCCGCGGCCTGTGTTACCTGTTCCAGGCCTCTTTAGTGGACCTTATGGGATGTACTACTTGTCTTAACTTTAAGTCATTTTGATTTGGTTGATTGGGAGTGCTGCCTTAAAAAAATAAATCTTTATGTAAAAACAAAACAAAACAAAAAACAACAACGTCCTTATTGTTGTACTTAAAGTGCAACAATATCTTTCCACAAATCTTTGACTAAATAATTAGCCTTAGTATCAAAATGATCATTTATTTAAGGGATGGAACAATAACTATTTAACCCTTTTTTTGTTTTGTTTTTTGTTAGATTGTTCAGTTTTACTTTATGGTGATTTCTTTGTCTTTTCATATTGTGTTTCTGTTCCAATGAAAGTTTCCTTAAATGCTTTAGTGCATTTATTTGATTTTTTAGACACAGGGTGTTATGAAAAGAAGCTCAGCTTTGGACTGAGAACAATAACATGTTACACTCTTTAAAGAGACCATGTGTGCATAAATGTTGTTTTTTGTTTTTTGTAATTCCAGAGGCCTTAGAATATGTTTAAAGAGCATCTTTGAGCATATATTAAAAAACATTAATTACATCTGTTTTAAAGGGTAAGTGTTAATTTTGTAAAATTGTTGCTAAATGCCATGACATCAATCCTACAACAGGCAAAGTCTCCAAAACTCCATACTCTGAAAAACTTTTGAATGTATGTGTATTCTCATATTGAAATTGGAGCCATGGTAAAAAAAACTACTTTTTTTTCAAGTGAAAGAAAATCTAATGTATGCTTAAAACCAGCCGTTTTGCATCTTGGACTTCTTTGGAAAGACATTTTTTAAAGCCTGGCAAACACAAACTGATCTGATCTGACAAACCTTTAGGAGCAATTCTTAAACAAAAGTTATAGTTCACAAAAGTATCTAAATCACCCAGCCTTAAATGATCAAATTATTAACTACTTATTGGTGCCTTTTAGAAGCTGTTTTGATAAAGACTACCTAGTGTTTTTCCCTATGGTTTCTTGCAATACTTTAGCTCTTACTGCCCAGTGATTTAACAAATTATCTTCTGATGTGGACGATGTGTAAAATCATTCTGTTTCTAAACAATTTCTCCATTTCAGCAGTAAAGATATCTATTCATCATTTGAAAAGAGGAATGCTTCGGAAAATTGAAAAGCCCTCAAGGTCATTTGATCATGTTACTAACTCTAATTTAAACCTTGCCTATATTTTTCTATATACTCCTATAGCAAACATGACTGAGAGACTCATTTCACTCATTAATGTACAGTGTATTTTATATAAGTCAAGAATGAAAACATTTTTGTATCATTAAAGCCTATTATGTTAAGTTCAACATTCCTCTCATTTGGGACGACTTCCTGTTGATTAAAAAACATTTATATCATTCCCTTGAGCTGCATTGCATCCTTTCCGCATGGAATATTTCCTCCCACACAACTCTAACCATGTTTACACGCTTTTTTTACCTTTGTTTTGGAAACTGATTAAAAACTATAAAAAGCCTGTCAACATATCAGCAGCTGATTCATGTAAACATCACATGTTGCTGCAAATGTGTGTCAGCTGTAACAGCAGCTATCTGCCATGCTAAAAAAGAATATGCAGGGAAGTGTGCCAAAGGGCCAGTGTTGGGAATATACTGATTTAAGGGATACATTGCAAAGAAAAGCAAAAGGACCCTACTACAGTTTAAACCTTTAACACACACCACTGATACAGTCATGTGTTATCATTAAATGGCATTAAGAGGTGTAAGTAAGATCACAGCATCAAATTTATGATTTCAAGGAAATTAAACCTGAATCAGATTAAAATATAAAGAAACCCCAAATTAAAAGACAAATTGTAAATCTAATAGATTACAAAAAAATTCAAATAATATCAAATCATAGAAAAGAAATTAAATAAATTCAATTATAGTCACTTCCAGTTTTGACCGGAAGTGGCGCATATTGGGTTGTAAATGCGTGTAACAAAACTCCCCATTTATTGAGGCAAATTCGGTCGCTCATGCGCAGGTTTTGGTTACATCAAAATTAGCCTTTATTAACCTTTTCTGGTAACTACAAGGCTTTCTTCAGTTTTATTTTTACATTTAAGACCAGTGTTCTTTGATTTAGTTGACCCTTGACCCTTTTTTTATGAGAACTCTACAAATACACTAAAGTAGTGTGAGGTTGACGTTTTTGAGGGATTCTCCATTTATTGCAACGAGAGCAAAAAATAGAAGAACTCCACAAAATGTAAACATTCCAAAAAGTCGTACAGACATATTCACAAAAGACATTGCCTATATGTCCTAACCAAGGTGCAACCAACATTTTTATATATAACCTCTAAAAATTTCTGAAAGTGTGGGGAATGAGTTAAGTTCGAAAATGTATTGAACAAACAGGATCGTTACAATGCTGTACAGCATTCTTATAATAAAGTTTGTTATTATTTATCAGCGCAATTGGTCCTCATCACCTTCTTATCAAGGGAAGATGTCACCAAAACCAACATAAGCATGACAACAAATGGGTAACACAATCATTGTATCTTACCTTCATCACCTAAATGAGTAATTATGTGTTACACTTTTACGTTAAAAAAGTAGTTTTATTTCAAGTTAATTACACAAAAGACATTTAAAAGTACAGAAGGTGTCTCCGACAAATAAGTCAATTGTGGTGTTTCATTTCATTTTCTCCGTCGTCCTCTGAAGCCTCGGACTGAGCTGTGACCAAAGCACACATTTGAAGGAACCCTGAGATTAAAAGAAGAGAAATGTTTCAATCTGTACCTGTTTTTTATTACAAGGTTAGTAAGAAAAACTATGGATAATGTTCTGAAAATAAGAATGGTATTATTTAAGTGGTAAAAATGTACAAAGTGATAATTACATTAACTAAACGTATGTAGCAGCACTCAATGTTTTTGGCCATAATATTTTTCAAAATTTGAAATTGGCTTATACTGTATCTCTTATTGCCACGACCAACCTGTATGAGTATTGTGGTTTTACTGGCCCTGAGACCGTCTCTGAGCTGGTAGCTTCCTCGGACACATGTGTCTCCATGGATTCCTCTTGCTCACCGTCAGCCTCACAAGCATCAACCTCCACCACCATGGAGGAGTCCTTCTGCGTCTGTCTCTTTGCTTCTCTTGTTCTAAAATCAGATATTGAAAATGCGTGTCCAAGGCAAACAAAACAACGCTTCTTTCTTTTTAACTGAAATCATGCCACAAAAACTAAACACATTAAACACGCCCACTTAATAAAATACAAAGGAAATATCTCAATAGTAATAAAGTAATAAATACTCAACAGATTAAGTAAATAAGACTACAAAGAGACAAGATTTTCTTTTAAAAAAGACCTAATTTAAATGCATATTTGATCTTTAAGGCAGCAACAGGCTCCAGAGAGCAGCCTCAGATCATTTTGGTGGCACGCTTTGCTGCCATCTAGTGGACAGAACACGATACACACAGTCTTACCCTCTGTCCTTGCTTTTGTCAAATCTGAAATCTGGAGGGTACTTGTGAATTCTTATGAGGTGGTCTTTCCTTTGTTTACTAGTCCTGAACATCAGCCCACAGCCTGCTACCAAACACTGGTACTGAAAAAACACAGAGAAACGTAAGGGGAAAAATTGTTTTAATATTTTCTATTAGCTCATGGTGCTGTTCAGAGCATAAGATGAGGAGAGCCACCGACTTACCATGTCCTGCTTCTGAGCAAGAATGGCAAAGACAGAGTCATGCCACTCCTGAATGTGAATGTCCAGGAGTTGGGCACTTGGGAAGGATCGGTGGCAGGTGCAGCACACGTGCCTGTGCAGGGAGTTGTAGTGGTGCTCGTACTCCTCCAATGTGCTGAAGACGGCAGTGCAGCCAGAGATGTGGCAGGCAAACTCTGACACACTGAAACAGGGTGAGGAGAGGAGGACTGTGACTGCCTGTTAAGCCATATGTGGAACTGAAGTGAGGCGTGATTAAAAAGGACTATACACAGTTATTGCTGAGGAGTTTTCATTTTTGAGTAAAATCATTACACAATGTTGATACCTGAATTATTGGGATTTTTAGATAAGGAATAGCTAAATTATATTATTTTGAGATATGCATCTCTGTCCATTGAAATTTATCCACATAAGAGGTAAGACAAGTTTGTAGAAACTGCTTTAGAATCATCCTGTATTTCACTTTTGCAGACCAGTATCAACTTGACCAAATGTTGGTATTGGGAACCTGTCACGACACATGCATTTGAACACTTTAACAAGATGTTGATTTCTACACAAATAAGCCCAACAATAAACTAAAATATCACAGACGTGCATTAACAGAAATGGCGTGTTTCCTTCTGCACCAGGCAGCACAGCTTTTGAACCTGAGCGCTTGCTTGTCTTCTGTCTCTGAGATGTAGAGGTCTTGCAGGTACATGTGTCGCAGAATGTCGCCATCCTGTGGACGGCAGTAGCGTAGCACGTTAGTTAGCAGCTTGCTAACGCCTCAGCAAGCATTGTGACGGACTGTGTCGTAGCTGTTCGCGGTCAGTTCGGCTCATTATTGCTACGTTACCTCAAACAGTTCGTGGTCCTTGTTCAGGTGGATGCGCTGTGGAGTGAAGCAGAACGGGCTTCTCTCCCCCCTCTCCTCCCCCTCTTCGGCTCCTTTCGGATGGTCTTCGCCGCTGTTTTTTAACATACCATTTTCTTCAAGCGGAGCATGGGTGAACTCTGGCTGCAGCATAATCAGCAGATAATGGCATTATCTCTTACTTGAGAAGTTACTCATGTTTTCACTGTAGAGCAAGAATGCCTGTTTTGGTTGTAATTGGCGCGAAATGATGACGCAACGAACACTTCAGTCGTGGGTGTCAACATCACAAGGCAGTGCCGCCACCCACTGGCCAGGCCTCATACGCAAAATGTTTAATAAAAAGTCACTTTTCTGCTCTACACCATAGACCACAGTCAATTACTTTCAACATTCTTATTAGTCTATGTAGTATATATTTTCTTGCGCACAAAACATATTATACATTTTGACTGACCCACGTATTAATTTCGACATACCATAGCTCTGGGAAAAACATGGTTTTAACGATACAAGCAGCTTTTAAGAAAAGGATATATTCACCAGTGTAGTATACAAGAAATGGCAACTAAAAAAAAGAAAGAAAAAACCCACTAAACTGGAAAGTACATCATTACGCCACTAGGTGGCGACAAATGACAGTGTGAGGTTTTCTACTGTCAGATTGAGTTTATAACTTTCCGACTACCAATGTCTATGTTTAGAATAATTATGTAAAGAAAATGTCTCTTATGTAGCAGGTCTATATTAATTTATGTCAGGCTAAAACATACGAAGTTATCATTAGGGATCTGTTTTTCAATAAAGTGAAAATATATACATATTTCTTAACGTAAACGTGTTTTAATTTTTAATGTCTTTAACTTAAATTTTGCTCATGTGTGGCAACAGAAACAGAGGTGGAATTTTCCTTTTATTTTACACTGCAAGAATATAAAAAAAAAACAGGCTGCTCGGTTTCAGATGCAAATTGCCAGGATATTACACAGTGGAGGGGCGGAGAGAAAAAGACATTTGCCTCAGACTTTCAGCTCACAATGACAGAGTCCGTCCGGCAGAGCAACATGAAACATTTAGGATATTTTATATGCTTGCTCTTCGTCCCGTGGGGTAAGTCTATTGTTCATTCTTTCTTTTTTAAAATCTTTCTTTCTTTCTTTGAACTTTCTTTAAACCTCCCCTGGTATTTGCAGGAGTAATTGCGGACAATGTTAAGTCTCTAGCTCATGTCAGAAAGTACCAAAGAGCGATACCTCAGAGGCTGAAGGATTCGTCTCTCATCAGTGATGCTGCTACACATAAGGTGACTAGTGTAATTGTCGAAATTAGAATATATTCACTGAGTCTTGTACATTTGTTTGTAGCATAAGTTTCTTGCGTTTACTTTGAATGTATCATAACTTCAGTGTTGTACACTTTAAAGAATGCATGTTAAAACTTTTCAACTTCATATTTTTGTTAAAAAGAAATACCCTGATACTGTCAAGTACTCAGTGAATGTCGCGGGTGAAAACCACACTCTACACCTGGAAAAGAACAAGTGAGAAAACTTGAATTTGGTCATATTTTTTGTATAGGATCCGTACATGTTATACTGTCAGTGTTGTTCATATAAAAACTACTGTCTTTTCAGATATCTTGTTGGAGAACAATTTACTGTGACACATTACTCTGATCAGGGCACACAAGTGTCAATAACTCCAGATCTTGGGGTATGTAGCTATTCTTTCTTTCATTTTATTAAACTATTAATATCCCTTAAATTGGTATTCATAGATTATTGAAAGAATATTTATATTAACATAACATTTTATCTAATTATATGGTGCTGTTATCCACACTAAATTGTGAAAACAATAAAGATCCAATCCAATTAAAGCCACCCTTTGACAAATGTTAGACTGAAATTTGACCCCCTTCAAGGTACATTTGGAAATTGTGTTACCACTTATCGTCATCTTTGCGTAATCTGCTTATTACAAAATGGAATACTTAAACATAACTTGCTCAACAACTAAGTTCCTCATGATGAGAAAGAACATGCAGCAATCTTTTTGTGGAGGATTTTACATGGAAGTTTAAAGCCGTCATTTCCTCTGAGCAAGCGCATGTTGTATCTCGTGTGTTCAGACTGCGAAGAGCCAAGTTTATCTTATGATTCTTTTACAAATGTCTTCAGGTTCACTGCTACTACCATGGGTATATTGTGGGAGTGGAGAATTCCTCTGCCAGCATTGGATTGTGTTCAGGAATGAAGTGAGTAAATGAGCTGTGATTTCCCTTTCAGCTTTAATTACAAAAAGGCAACTGTTACCCTTAAGTGAGTGCCAAGTTTTATTAAACACATGATGATTTTTGACTCATGCTGTTGGACTCATGACCAATTTGTCCAGTTTAAAAGAAAAAAATATCCCATGCATCTAAAAATATAAGCATCCTCTTGTATTAGTCTTTCACATCTTAGTGTCATCAGGACAAAGAGTTAAAAAAGCGATCTGTTGTGAAAAGTTAGAAATACTCAGTACTATTTTTTTCTGCGCTGCAGGGGTTTTTTTACCATCCGCGACCAGGTGTATCTCATTGAGCCCCTAACTGGCGAGGAGGCTGGAGAGCAGAATGGCAGGCAAAGCTCTGCAGCTCACAGTGACGAGGGTCTTCACGCTGTTTACGAGTACAAACACCTGAGGAGGAAGCGGAGCTCCTGTTCCCATGGAAACACAACCACGTTCTATGATCATGGAGCTCGTCCGTCTGGTCTATTCCAGCTTGGCCACCTGGTAAAGATGCAACATGGACACATTAATGGATTATCTTAAATATGATGCAAATATTTTAAGAATGCAAGAATCTTTTAAAAACAGGAGACACTAAAAATAATATGTGGAAAAGTAGCACAGTATGCAGGAGCTCCTACATATCACAATAAACAATAAAACCAATGCTCACACAATCATTAAGTTATTTTAAAATTACAAAATTTTGTGCAATTCATATTATTAGTAGTTGATTTTAGTGATATGAGAAGATAAAGAAGGTGTAAAAATATAGAAAAACACGTTAAAGAATATGCACAACAGTTCTGATAAATATCAAATGTATATATTAAAAATCAACATAAAGAAGTTATACAAAATGTCCCATGTAATGAAGAAGTGGAGCAAAAACTAGTATATGTAAGACCTCAATAATTACCACAAATATAAGAAAAATCTGACAAAAAATACAAAATGAAGATAAAACCTTAGAAAGGTTTGATGAACTAGAGACAATAAATGAGCTAAATGTTACATTATTAGCACAATATACCTATATGGACATTTTTATGTTTAATATTCTTCACCATTTGTGTCATGCAGAAAAGCAGAGCCCAGACCAAAGACCACACAGGAAAACCCAGGACGGTGGAGCTGGTTGTTGTGGTGGACAACACAGAGGTTTGATTCCCTGTTTCCCTTTTCATGTTGAATCTGTGGATTTAGCTTGTATAAACATTTATGTGTGTGTTGTGTGTGAGATGCAGCAATTGCAGAACTAATTACCATAGTAATGTGTTTTAGTATAAGAAGTTCCGAAGTAAGAAGACGGTCGAGGCCAGGGTGCTTGAAATAGTAAACCATGTGGACAAGGTAAGTTTGTGTCTGTTAGCTAAGAAGGATTCACCATACAAGATATTTTGTTATTTATTAATTGGAGTCTGATAAAAAAAAAGGAAGGGAGGAAGGAAGGAGATGTTCTTTCACTGAAAAATCTAACTTTAACTGTGAATCTTCACACCTTTGCTGAAGTCTTTCGCACATATTTCACAATCCTCTTTGCATACTAGGACTCAAAATGAAAGCAACACCACAATGCACTAACTCCCAACAGTGGTTTCCTGCCATAACTGTGGCTTGTTGTATTACGTGTTTTACTCACAATCACATTCACAAATACTCAATTTAACTCTTAGCTTTCATTCTCGCTCTGCCGTTTTATAGCTGTATCGACCCGTGGGTGTTCGTGTGATGCTGGTCGGCCTGGATATCTGGTCATACAAAGACCAGATCGAGGTCAGCACCAACCCTGAGCTCACTCTTGGTCGTTTCCTCGAGTGGCGTCAGCGTCACTTGGTGTCAAGAACCAAACATGATAACGCACAGTTCATTACGTAAGATGCTGCTGTTTTACCTCTCCCCTCATGGACAGAATGATACATAAGTGGTCACTATAAACATTTTGTCTCTCCATTCTTCAGAGGTGTGGATTTTGATGGCTCTACCGTTGGCTTAGCAAACACCAATGCAATGTGCACCTCCCTCTCTGGAGCTGTCAATGAGGTATTTCATGTTTTCAGATAAAAAATAGGAAAATTAAAGAGAATCAAAAGTGATGTACATTGACATCTAACCTTATAACACACAGGACCATAACACCAACTCAATAGGTGTGGCCTCAACTATTGCGCACGAAATGGGTCACAATCTTGGGTTGATCCATGATGGTGAGGACTGTGTATGTGGCTCATTCACGTCAAAGACAAGATGCATCATGGCTGAGAGTGTTGGGTAAGCTCTGTTTTTTACCTCCATTTAGATTACATAACATCCACAATTGTTGACGCAAAATATAAGTTGGTTGTTTCTATTGAATTTATTTGCTCTCATTACATTCCTCTGTAGACTTGTGTATCCAGAACTTTTCAGCAGCTGCAGTCAGCAGCAGCTAAGCAGGTTCTTGGAGGAGGTCAATCCTGCCTGTCTTCTGGATACTCCCTCCACTAATCGCATCTATGGGGGGCCTGTATGTGGAAATGCCTTCTTAGAGCCTGGGGAGGAGTGTGATTGTGGCACTGTGGAGGTTTGCAAATGCCCTACCCACAAGAAAACATTTTACACAACCGCACCATACACAGGAAATGTATTTGTTATATTCAACTTCACAGGATTGCAAGAATCCCTGTTGCAATGCAACCACCTGCAAGCTGAATGGAGGAGCCCAGTGTGCAGAAGGAGAGTGCTGCCACAACTGCCAAGTAAGCACTACTCACTGTGTCAAGTACTCTCTTGATGTGCAAAGTCACACTATACTAATTATGCCAGCATATATCTAGAGCCAGTCTGGCTGCCGTCTGGCAAGTCATGTCTGAATGGATGTATTTCAATAGTTGATACATTACCATCTGTGCTTCTGCAGCTGAAACCAACAGGCAGCATCTGTCGACCAAAAGCAGGAGACTGCGACCTGGCAGAGTATTGCACTGGTCTATCTGCTGCTTGTCCAGCTGATGCCTTCACCCAAAATGGCCTATCGTGCAACCGTGGAAGAGGATACTGCTACAATGGACAATGTCCGTCACGGCAAGATCACTGCAAGAGACTTTGGGGACCAGGTAAAATACCCATGAGTGAAAGTCTTAATTAATTTGCGCTTTCATACTGATGCATCATGAATCACCACGCCTGCTTCTTTCTTATCATTCTGTTCAGATGCTGCAGTAGCTGCAGATGCCTGTTTCTATCAGTATGGAAGCTGCAGGCAGACGCTGTTTAAGCAAAGATGCTCCAGCCGGTATGCAGCTTCAACCACAGCATATTTTATGCGGGCACATTGTAACGGTGCTGCATTTCTGTTCTTTTTTTTAAATTCACCACTTGGCTTGTGTCGGTTACAGAGATCAGTATTGTGGAACCCTTTTCTGTACTGGTGGATGGGAATTTCCAGTGACATCTAGGAAATCTTTCTACAAACTAGGAAGTGGAGTCATGTGCAATGAGGCAACCATGAAGCCTGAAGATAACTATCCTACAGATCTAGGCATGGTGCCTACCGGCACTAAGTGTGGCGACAATATGGTAAAAAAACAAAATTTTCTGACGCTTACCGTGCCCAGAATCATCAGAAACAACATAGTGTCCGGGGGTCATTGTCTTTACTGTGTATTTATATATTTTTCAGGTATGCTACAAACAACAGTGTGAAAACATTAGAAACATAAAAGCATATAGCACAGATGACTGCTCATCAAAATGCAACAGCCATGGGGTAAGAATTAGGATTAGTTTTAAAGTCTCAAATTTGGAGGTGAGACAACATAACCAACTGTGGGATCTCTGATAGGTATGCAACCATGAGAGTAAGTGCCACTGTGATCCTGGCTGGGCCCCACCTTTCTGTAAAGTGAAGCAGTCCGAGGTGACTGAAGGTATTGCACTGGTTTACATATATTCTCTGTCCTCACATGCACAAACGCTGATTCTTCTCTGTGTGTCTGCCTCTCTATCTGCTTGACCTTTATAAAGACCATGATTTACTCATGACCCTGTTTTTCGGGAAGATTTAATGGTTCTCATGGATTCTAAAACAACTGTTGTCTGTTCTGATGAACAAACATTGATTGATTGGAATTTCCCTATTAGTTCGTGCAAATGCAGTAATGATGTTACAGTGAATTTTCCTGAGTCGGTGACATGTGCTATTTCTCATCTTTGACGAGTGAAAGTGCATTGAAATGATTTGTTTTGTGTCTAGAGTCGGGCCTGATTGTGGTCGTTGTGTCAGTGGTGGTTTGCTTACTTCTGCTGCTCGTCCTGGTCATTTGTAGTCTGATGTGCTGCGTCAGGAGAAGGCAACCAACAAAGAGGTGCAGAAGAAATCTGTTCTCTTATTTTACTTAGATAAAATAAATCACACTTACATTATGACTTGAAAGCAAATCATGTCATGTTGTCCATTTTTATTTTTAGCTCATGTCTGCTTTTCTCTCCAGATATCTTCCAGCTACCTCAGGACAATCAAACCCATTGTTTCGGTCAAGCAGTACACGAGGCAGTCCTCGTCTCGCGACCACACACATTAGCAAACCTACATTTTTGGAGTCATCAGTCACTCAAGCCTGTAAACCACTTTCCTCCGCAACTATCAAACCACAGTGTGGAGAGCTGAGGCCATGCAGAACAGCTCCAGAGGTGAGTTTTGTTTTATATTTTTGCATTAAAACCTCAACGTAGATATTAACTTAAACTACATGTGGTAGCTTTATAGTATATTCTTGACATTTAATATATTTAATTTTGTGGCAAACATTTGGCTACTGAATTTTCCTTTATGCACACTATGATAACAAGTGATGGATTCTTAACCATAAAGGCAAATATGAAATTCAAATTTAAACCAAATAATTATATATTATTATTCAGGCAAAACATATTTGACTGTTTGCTCCATGCTTTTTCTATTTTTTTTCTTATAGCCACCCAAGAAGTTGCCAGCTACACCTCAGTCATCAAAGACTCACCAGGTAGTTTGAGCTCCTGTTTTTGTCTTGATATAAATGTTTTTTTTGTGTTTTCTTTGCTAAATAAATGTTTTTATTCAGGTTGCTATGGCGTTCATGCAGCCACCAGCTGTCTCAAGAATGCCAGTTTATCCTGAGGTAAAACGGCACAATCGATTACCAAGTATTATTTTCTTTAGAAGAAAAAAATTTGTTTTTCCAAAATCAGAAATCAGTTGTAATTTGAACATGCTTTATTTAGCAGAACAAGCCGGTTGCTCCATCTAGACCTCTGCCTCCACTTGTAACAAAACCAGTAAGTGATTTGAAAGGCCACTTAACCCCCATTTTGCATTTACACATTTGACTTTTCTTGCCTTTGCTACCCGTTTGAAATATATGTATTTACTGTCTTTCAAAGATCACAAAGCCAAAGCCTCCATTGCCTCCAGTTAAGCCAAAGACATCTGCCGTCTCCTCTTCACTGCCACATACTCAGCTGGTAAGTAGTCAGACAGAATGACCTAGACTTTCCAACCCTCCACATCACCACAGTTGGCATTTAGACTTTCTTAAGCCTTAAGAAAGGCAGTCACGTTTATATAGAAGGTTTTGGTTCTTGGTATGGTCCCAACATAGCAGTGTAATGAATAAGCAGTTGCTCACTGGTGGTGAGTAAGCAGGCACATAAATTCTCCTGCCTGTAAAGCTGAGACAGACACACTGAAAGAAGCACATAAGCCCTGGCTCTGGGAAATAAATGTGTGTTTGTTTTTTCAGCTTGGGGGTAAATCTGCCCTGATGCCCCCCCGCAGACCAAGATGACAGAGGGAATAATTCACCCTGGTGTAAATGCTGAGATTCTCCGGCAAAGGAGAGTTTTTTCCCCTACCCCGGAGATTCTCTCAGGAGATTCTTTTCTGTTTTAAAGTGGAAACAGGATCCGCTGATGGGTCGGCAACCTTAGGTGACACAGCCTTTCTGTCTATTATGTTGCCCCCTGTGGATTACAGTTGTCTGCGTCCTGCTACTGCCAGCCTTCAGTGTGATGATCCAAACCTGAAGCCATGTTCAACTGATTCTACTTGAGTGCTTTATTGATGAAAAATACTTTTTAATGCCATGATGATCTTTTTTATTTTGTTTTGAAGGGAAACGATTCACTGCCTTTATCACAGGGATTTTTAACATTTTTGAGGCTACTACATTGTTATTCCTTCTGTTTACATGCACATCGATATCCTGGTTATTACTGGATTTTTTTTAATGAACCTGGTTATGTGTATTTGGTGTGCAGAAACCTGAACATATTACTTAGAGTACTCTGAGAAAAACCAGAACGCTGTGGCTTGTAAACATCTTATCTAGGTTTCTAAATATCTTCTGCTGGTAGAGATCACTGTGGCCAACATGATAAGAACAGGCGCACAATCAGAATCCTGGATATTTACAAGGCTATGTATGTAAAATAAATCATCAGGTTTCTTATGTTTCATGTAAACTTTCTGGAGTATGATTAAAATCTTGATGAGACTAAAGAATGATAGTGAGAATGTAAACAGACTCAGTGCTGCAACTTTTTAATATACTGCGAATTGTACTTTTGGTTTTGGTACTGCCTTTCATGAAAAATAATATTAAGGGATTTAAAAATGTTGCTCCAGCATTATAAAACTGTCTGCTCTACTGTTCCACCCAGGGCCAGTGCATCCAAACTGAAAGACACACAAAACATTCACAAACTTTAAGGCCTGTTATTTAAGGTAGTTATTTGTCAGGCATGTTTTGCACTCTTTGAGTTAAATTTCCTCTTTACTTTTGTTACTTCTGTTTCTGTTTGTTTTTATAATTTAATTACACATTTACATAATTTTATTACGCAGAAAAAATGTTTTGTGTATTTCCTTGTTTTTTCAATCTATCTGTGGCCATTTTGTGTTTCTTTATGGTCATGGTACATTTTATATAGCTGTTTTACAATCTTCACTTTTGTGTCTTTTCATTGATCATGGTCACAATTAAGTTGCCATATTGTGTTGAAATCTTTGTGAAAAAGATTAATTTCTTTGTGCTCTTTTATATTTTATATTAATTAAGTATCTCTTGGTGGATATTTTGTGCCTTGCCTTTGTTAGTTTGTGTCACTTTTGGGGATATATTGCAATTTTTGGAAAAAACCCAGTGCCTCATTGGTCCTTGAGCCACAGCACCAACTGATCACTTTATGTATGTTTATTATTTTCAAAAGCAGAAATGTTGCTTTTTTTAAAAACTATTTTGAATTGACTGAATTATTTACATCTGGATTGTAATTCTTAAAGAAATGTTCTAATTGTTTACATTTATAATGCCAATTATGAATTTCTGACTTGATTCGCCTTGCATAGTGTTGCTGAGATTTCTTGTTTGCATCTCTGTCCAGTATTAAATAAATGTGAATCGTCACGCTGTGTTGGATCTCTATTTCCCATCTTTACAACTTTATGCCATAAATTGTGTCGTCACGGTTTGTTCACCGGTCGCTTAGCAACGCCTCAAACAACGTGTGTTCAAGGAGGCTAAAAAGCTAATTTAATTTCTTAACTGTTAGGGAACACATGCTCATTTAAGAATAATGGACCGAGAACTGAACGATGAGGAGCTGCAGGATTTGTTCGCGTGGATAGACAAAATACCGCTGTCCAGGCCCAAAAGAAACATTACAAGAGATTTCAGCGATGGAGGTAGCGCACACAGCTTTTTCTCCGGTCTGCATTTCACAGGAAGCTGACTACCAGAAAAACTTTATCAGTGTTATCATACCGCGTTCATTTGTCACGTTTTTATTTGCCTCCACAGAAAGTTTTGGTTGTTTGCATGCGTGTTTGTGTATTTATTTGTTTAACTTGTGGTGTCTCCGCGTTGGACCCTCTGCAGTGATGGCTGCTGAGGTTGTCAAACGTTTTATCCCAAAGCTCGTTGACCTGCACAACTATATATCTGCAAACTCCACGCAACAGAAGCTCAGTAATTGGAATCTCCTCAACAGGCAAGACTGTCAAAAACTGCCTTTTGTTTTTTAGTTTTTTAAATTACACATATGAAGTTTGTAGCATTTTATGACAACTGAGTAATTGAGGTTAATCACAGTTGTTTGTAATGCAGTATCTTAGAATATCTTCATAGATAAGGTCATACCTTTTTTCTTCCACAGATATGATAAAACATTTTTTTAACTGATTCTCAGTTGTGCCTTATTGTTAGAGTTCAAATGACCTAATGCAACTACTGGTTGATGATTGTGGTCCATAATAAGGACCTGATAGTTTTTTCATTTCTATTTATGCTCACTGTGAAATTATAGTGAAAACTCCTACTCAGATGCATCTCCCCAGAGACACATTGTAGGCCCTCCTAATATCCCGTGACAGAAATGGAAGACATTGTTAACATTCTTCCATTTCAGTTTTTCTACAAGAACTAAACACAAACTGATGCTGGGCCCCTTTATCTGCTCATGAGAACACATCTCATATCCACCCACTCATACCCTCCTTGCTTACTGTTACAGTTCATAGTCAACCATAGACTTTATGGGACTGTAAAGGCAGCGGCTTCTAAGAACTCATCAGTGAATCACATGTCAGCTCCTTTGTTTTGCTCATTAAAAACATTTATATTTATGTATGGATAGGAAGGTGTTTTCCAAGCTGGACTTTCACGTGCCTGAGGAGACAGTGAGGAGGATTGCATGCAGCTCTGCTGGAGCAATAGAGCCTGTACTGAGCACGCTCCGGGAGAAGATAGACAAGAAACTGCAACACACCCCCAACAACATACTAGTGTGTACTATGACATATAAGCTTTGAATAATTTGTCAACTCATTTGGAAAGTTTAATTACTGTGGTGTGCCTGCCAAGATGCTGATATGTTTTCTCTTTTTGATCTAGAATATGGACTACTATGACACAAGGAACCAGGAGAAACATCATACGGGTGAAGTTGTTATTCTCTTACTGCTTTTGAACACGCACTTATATGCTTTGTATTTCTTAACAAACAAGCTCTTTCAGCAAATGAATATGCAGAACATAGATCATTTAGTCTCCTACTCCGACCTTACCGCAAATCACACGTCAGTCAGTTGAATTAAGTGAATAACGGAAGAAAACTTGTTGAATTAGCAAAAAATTTGATGATTATGTTTTGAGTCATACCTTATGCACCATGTATCGTTATGTTGGTGTATTTCAAGGAAACATTTGCTGGCATGGTAGAAAATAGACTTTTGTAGCACTTAATGGGAAGTGAGCGTCATTTTAAACTATTTGTGGTGGTGCTGCATATGCAAGTTAACTCACAACCACCAAATAAGGGTAATCCAAATTCAACTGAAATGCTTTCTGTAGAATCAAACAGCATTTAATGACTGATGTCACTACAATGAGCTGTTCTCCTGCCTGCTGATCTTGCCAGCATATGTGCCCTGCTAACAGGCCTAGAGATAGCAGTGACCACACAGTGACACAGGCATCCCTCCTTTTGAAGGCATCAGACAGCACTGATTAGAGTGCCACAACCTTTGGGTGTGAACCGGTGATATGCCTCTCTTCCGTTTCCCACACTTCATCTGTTCCTGAAGTTAGTCTGTGAAGCTGACCTCAGTCCTGCACCTCCTCCCTGGGCTCTTTCCTCTTCTATCTGCACCTCACCCACAGAGACGGGGCTTAGGTCCTCTTATCAGTTACCAACATCCAGATGACCCTTATCACTGGCCTGAGCTCAGCACTGCTGACTGAATGTCTCTTTTTTTTTTCCTTTCTCTCTCTTGTTGTCCAGCTTCTGTTTCCCTCTCTTTCTTCTTGTGGTCATTAGCTATATCCCTTTAATCCTAATCAGTTTGGCCTATCTATGCATTAAAGATTTGACAGGTTTATCACTTAAAGGTTCTAATCAGAAAACTATAGATGTGTTTTTTTTAATACATTAAATCAGTGTTGTAGAAATCATCTGTTTCGCTTTTCATTTTAGAAGTTCACCAGACTGAAGCAAAACTTGTGGCTCAGCTAGCAGAGATGAAACATGAAGAAAAGAAAGTGCAGAAAAACATGTAGGAACATTCATTTGAATTGATAAATTCACAAAAAACAATCATTAAAATAATAACGCGTTTGTTTAAAAAAAAAAAAACCCTGTACAGGAAACTACAGCATGCCGTGAAGCTTTACCCAGAAATGGACCCCACTTTTCGGCTGATCCTGCAGGAAAAAGAGCATGCAGTCATGGCTTTGCAGGAGACTGTGGAGGTATGCACAAACACACACTGGACTGGGAGACCATCTGCAAACTAAGCCATCCTCCTTTTTAAAATCCTGTTGGGGAAGAGCTTTGTCATACAGACTCACCACCTGTAACATTGTTACAGATGTGTGTGTCTGTGTGAGTGCGTGTGTGTGTGTCACACCCTGTGTCAGCAGTGGTCAGTGAATCAGCAGCAACTCAACGGATGCAAACGTTTTTTTTTCTTTTCCGTCTTTTGCCACATCTGCATGAAACAAAAAAAAGAGCAATGACTCATTTGTGCAACTTCTCCTTTGAGGAAACGTCCCCCGGTTTAACCTTCACATTTTGTAACCTTGTTTGTAGATCCTGCAGATGAAAGTGAACAAGCTGGAGCATCTGGTGCACTTAAAAGACATGCGTATTGAAGATCTGACACAGCACCTGGAAATGTACAAATCAAAAGGCAAAACACACTGAAACAAAAATGTACACCAACAGGATGTAACTCACATTCATTCATAGACTTAGACTATATTGTTTTCTAAACTTAGTTTAGAAATGTCTGCCTTGGTTTTTCCCACCGAAGGTACCGGTATGTAATTAAATGAAAGATGCTATTTATCCTTGAGGAAAACTACAGTATTGTAAATGATTTAGTGTGTTTGTTTCAGAGATAATTGGTTTGTCTTATTTGATACCATAATATTTGCACTGTAATTATTTAAGAAGGACAATGCAGCTATATCAGTATCCACATTATGTATTTGCGTTTATCTGATTTATGTAAGAAAATTTCATCTGTTGAATACAAATTACCAACTAGCTAAGATGAGTTTAGCTATGTTCTCATTTGGCTTGTTTTGTTTTACACATGAGAGTAGAAGTCTGAAGTTTTACAGATGAATGCATTAAGTAAATTAAGTCAATAATTTCAGTTCATGTCACTTCTTCCTTCTAAATATGACATCACTCTGTTTCAAGGAAATCGTGGAAATTCTCACATGTAAAACATGTCTTAAGATAAAACCAACTTAATAATTTCGTCATTTCCACTTTTTAACGCCTTGACCAAATATAGTGTAATATTCTTAAGACAGCAGCATAGATCTGCCAGCAAACCCACGCACAGCCAGCAAGGCAGAGCACAACATCTTCCAGTCTCTTCATTTGGATGTAAAATATTATTCAGCCACAAATGAAAAATTAAAAATATTAATCTGTTTCCTTGTTTCTTTGACATGAACAAAGCCAAAACGTTAAAGCACTGTGTGGGGAAGTATACGCCTGCAGTTGGTAGCTCATGGGTCTACAGTAAGATGTGGTATTTCTTTTCTGTTTCATATTGTGAATCTCACACCTCCTTGTGAAGAAATTCTGGCCAAGTGAAATAAAAAGAAATCAAAATACATTTAAATGAAACTTCAGTTGGATTTTGTTTTTGCACACCCTGATGCATAAGTTATGTGTGGGTACTGGAACCACTATAGGTTGACTTGAAAAAGTCCAGCTCTCGTGACTAATTTAAAAACTGAGGCAGCTGAGGCTGAATATCCTTAGCTTTAGTCACTCTCAGAGTGGATGTCTGCGAACACTGAATCAGACTTTTTTCATAAGTCAGATGCAAAAGCTGTTCAACTTCCTTTTGCATGTGAAATACCCTAATCATCTAAACAAATCCTCCATTTTTATGGAGGGGTTTTAGGGGTCATTGGTAATTTTCTCCAATGGAAGGACAAACGTTTTCACAGCCTGAAAAGCAATCATTTCATGTAGACTAGCCTTTATAGCACCCAACATTGCATCTAAGAATGAGTTCCATAAAAAAGAAAAAATAGGTTGATCAAACTGCAGGGAGAAAAGACGTCCAGCAAAGAGTTCAATCGGGCAGTTTGTACAGTTGTCATGACTTATGAGAAGATCATTCCAAACACACAAAAGGAGACTGAGAAATCCTGGGAAACACTCAAGATAGGAATGTGATAGAGACCCGAAAAACAGAGCTGCTATTGAAGAGAATACTTCCACCCTGAAAAAGCAAAGACTGATGAATCATAACTGTGTCACACCGCCGGTGGAGAGCTGGATTTGCTTAAAGATAAAGGGCCGCACCCTTCCGTCTCTGGGGAGGGACATAACCAGGAAGATGTCATGGTGGGATGGATTACGTATGAAATGATGTGGGAAGATAGTGACAGAAGGAAGGAAAGAAAAGTGATGGTTCAGCCAGGAAGCTGAAAATCCTGACCTTCACCTCGCTTCCCAAAGGGGGGAGGGCTTTAAACATGCTCAGTTTATTACCCTTACAACAATTAATTAGACCACCCCATGACATTAGCACAAGCCAAAAGACAAATACACAAAAGAAACATTCAGCAGAGTGAGAAACTGAAGATGAGTGCTGTTTATTTACATTTCCCTTGAAGATCACATTAATCTCAATAAGGACAAAAACCTAAACAATATCCCTGAGGAGCCAAAAACTAATGTTTTTGTGGTGAAAGGATACCAGAGTTCCACAGGCCTGAGAGGTCATAGGAGGAAGCCATCACTCAACCGGTCAGCCTGACAACAGCCTCACGCAAGTAACACTTTGAGAGATTTTGCGACTGGCTGGGTACAGAGCTGCTCTTTTTTTTAATGTTTACGCCACATGTTTTGGGCTAGAACAACAGGGACTGTGTGATTGATTGTTTATGGGTTCAGCAAGCATTCAAAGATTCATGCTCACGATGTCACAGTATTCCAGCCAACAAAACAAATGACAAATCTACACATGGATGTGGCATGAAAATATGGGTGTGACTAAAGTATTCGGTGGGCTTCAACAATTGAGTACATGTGAACTGTTAAATAATCTACCTGTATCATTTAAAGGAATCTTTTAAATACTACTGCAGGTCAAAATACAATAAAAATCAAAACTATAACCAAGATACAGATGTCTTTGTACAGATGTGTTTAAACTATTCAGCAGTGTGTGGGAATTTAGGGGACTCCTATCCATTCTACATTTGTGTAACTACTTGGCATTTTGAGCTGTGTGTGCTCGCCTCCTACTGGCACACAGTGGTACTACACAATGACTGTTCACAAGACCAGCAGAGAGAGGAGTGGTACCAAAATAGGTTTTATTTTACATAAGAACATTGTCAAAACCTGAAAACATTTTTGCATATAAACCTTTTTTTTTTTTTTTAAAACAAGGAGACAATGTTTCAATTTCACAGATTGTACAAAACATTAATGAAGACAAAAAAAAAAATCATAGCTGATTAACAGCCCCTGCCCATTGCATCTTTATTTGAATCAGCCACCAAAGCGTTGCAGAGTGCAGCCTTTCACTGGTATTTGCAGGTCACGTAAACATCCCCACATCTTCCAAACACCAGCGGTGAGCTCTGCTAGTTGCATCTTTCTCAGCTTTCAGTTTTTTTAAGTGTCACTTGAACTTTATCTTCTGCAAGCCTGGGGTTACTTACTCATATAAGGCTTAAATTCTGTGTACTGGAAGTATTTCAAAGTTTGTGAAGATCAGAGCTAAATTAAATCAGAAGCATGAACACATTAGAAACTAGCACCAACTTGTATCATTTTTAAACCATATTGATATCAACTTAAATCTCTGAACAGAACAAAACTTGTTCTTATGAAGTGTTAGAACTCATTTTTATCACCAAAAAAAGAGCGGAGAATTAACACATTATCACAACTCACTATTGTAATCAGGAAATGGATGCATTCAATGTAGCCATTGAAGCTTTAAAAATGAAGGAAAAAATAAATATTTCAATTGGCAAAGACCAAGGAATTATCGAAAAATGTCTTAAATCACAGAAACGTAAACAATGACAAAAGACAATCTTGGTTTCATTGTTTCACCTCAACAGACCATCATCCTCATACTAATGCTCACAGACTGCTACTGTCAGCACATCCTAGTGATGGTGGTCCGATCCTTACACGTCTGCAGGAACAGCTGTTCATTCTCACTAAACCTCTTTTTACATTTCTTTATATTAAATTTGATATTAAACCCACGTTAAACTTTTAAACAGCCAATTATCTTGAGGCTATCGTTAGTCTGTTTTAGCTTCTGGAGATTAAGCTCTGACCAACGATGTGCTGCTGTCTTATTAAAATATGCTTCCTGAGAATGTACATTTACTATGTTCTAGTATGTTGTGTTAATGGAGAGCTGGAAAACACACACGGGCTCCATCAATCATCTGAACCAAGCAAAAACTACTTTCACATGCAAAACTCTGACAATCAAACGACCCCAACAACAAATCCAAACTTCATACAGTGTAGTGCGCCACTATGATCACTTTGTTGTTGCGCCATCATATTAACTATATTCACTTCGATTTAAGAAAACAGATCAGATTTCATTCCTTTTTCTAGCGTAGCTTCACAGCCATAACCACATGCCAGCAGATCGACAGCTAATCAAACACCGGAAAATAAACTACACCACTAATAATCTTATATTGCGCATCCGCAGCTCCACAGCCATTAAATTCTCTTTAGCACATCTGTATGATTACAGTCAAATGGAAGTTGGATCCATATAGCAAACCAACTTCAGGGCTCAATTTTTAATGCTAGAAACGGTCCAAGCAGCATTAGGTGAATAAACGGCTCTCGCACTAAGACCATCCCGTGGCTTAGTGTGAGATAAGATGGCACAGAGATGACTGACCCTCGTTCACATTTGTGGTCAATCGAGCTTTGAATTAGCATCACCTGTAAGATTCCAGTGCAGCTAAACCAGAAGTTAATTCTCAAAAGATCAGTCATATTCGACACAAACCTTTGCCTTGCACGCAAACGATAAATGCAGCTCAGAAAGCTAAATTAAATGCTGCAGATATAAAAGCACATGTACATTACGGGCGACTACTTGCTGTCACCTTCCCAGGCATTTGCATTTTTATGCTTCTGATATTAGCTTTGGCATCATTCTCAATCCTTGTGTTCACTTCTCATTAAAGTCAACTTTTCAATTTATTCCCATCCCCTTTTACTTCCACTCTTCTTTCACCTTTCAATTTTGTCACTTGTTCCAATTTAAGACTGATGTGCGCGGGTTCGTCAAACGAGCTGACAAGCTGCCCCACCCATCATCTTCAGTGACAAGACAAGTCTTCTCTGGGTCCTCCGGTCCTGTGCAGAGGCAGAGCTGTGGCCCTAGTGACCATCTGGCTTTCCTTTAACCAAGTCTGGGTTAGCATTGGGCCGAGTAGAGGACGCAGACTTCGGCGGACTGTTGTTTCCCTCGACAAACATGTTCGGGATGTCCTGACCAAAGTAGATCTTACTGTTAGCTGCTATGGCCTGATATTTACTCATCTCCAGGTATTCCGGCGTTAACTTCAGCTGAAAAGATTGAGGAGAGACAACAGTATATTAGTGCTTAGGCGTATCACTGCACACAATACCCACACGATTCTTGGTATTATCATGGAGTTGCACGGCCCAAAATAAACACAACACGGACAGCTGTAACAGGGTGGGAGTGGTAGGTAACACCTTCATAGTGGGATTAGATTTCACTAAATATAAATTGCATCTCTTTAAATATGGGTCTGTATCAGTCGACTGGCCTGAACTAACCTTTCAGTACAGCAGTTCTGTGTATATTAAAAGAAATCGAAACCTTTTAGTGTATTTAGTTTGTGACGGAATTTACTTTGTGTGAGATTTCTAAACTGATTTTACCCTGTTGGCTTCTGCAATCTTTGCAGCACTGTAATACTCGGCATCAGCCTTCGCCTTTTCTCTGGCCAGAAAGGCAGCATCTGGAACGAGAAGAGTGTTGAATGAGACATCTTAAAAGCCAGTCGTCCAACGTAAAGCCTGAAACAGAGAGTTGTCATGCTCACCCTCGATCTCAGAGATCTTCTTCTCCGTCTCCTTCTCCATCACCTTCTGTTTGAAATGGATCTCAGCTACCTGAGCCAATTTCTGGGCCTCTGAAGGACAAAAAAATAAAATAAAATAAAATAAAAAAATAGTTTTACCGAAGGTGGAAGATGGAAGTGAGGTTACACATGACCGATGGAGGGAAAAACCTGCTTTAATCGCACCCAGCCATGCAAATAAAAAGCAAGCAGAGAGATTTACAGTAAAAACATCAACTTTACCAATAATTGCTTTCTTCCGTTCAGTCTCTGCTTCTTTTTCCACCACCTTCTGGGTCTGAGCTGTTATTAACAGCCGGGTCTTCTCAGCCTCCCTGTACACACACACACAAACACAAAACCAGTTTTTGGTAATGTTTTACAAACATGCTTTTTCTGGAGTGTAGTTTAAACTGAGTGGATGGTTACAGATCAAATTGAAGCATGCACCGAATCAGTAAAGGTGAGTAAGACTCCATAAACTCACATGAGTTCAAAGTTCCTTCTGATAGATTCAGGGATCTTTGGCTTGGTAACACGGACCGCCTACAGTAGGTGGTAAAACAGGGCATAAACTATATGACCATATGTTTGCAACAAATTTCACACTGTTACTTTTTGAGAGCAGGAGGAAGCTGAAACATGCGCTCAGAAAATTAAACTGTTGCTGCCAAATCATTGTCTGATTATTTTGTTGTCAAAATAAAGCAAAACGTGGTACAATGCTGGTGTGCGTGTTTACATACCTGTATAGTCAGTCCAGGAGCCATTACATTCAGATCTTTCTGCAATGCAGTCTTAAGGTTCTCATCTATTATGTCTGCAATGAACAAAATTGAATTTTTCCTTCAGCATATGTCTGACTGCACATAATACAGTTCAAATAATTAGTCATTAATACAAAGTCCCCACCAAACAGCTCGATGTAGACCTCCTGTAGTGTGTGTACACTGCAGAACTGGTTTAGTTCGTGGTGAATCTTGTTGAATATTAGCGTTTTGTCGTAATCAGCTGTGTAGTTCCTCACAATGTCCACCACTGCAGACAAAACAATAAAAGCAGTTAAATGAGTACAGCAAATCAAGAACTACTGCCAAGAAAAAACATTTTTTAATCATGTTTTACCTGCTAAAGGGACCAACATATTAACAACTTCTATCCTGTCAAAATAGATCATTACACCACCACTGAGGAGAGAGAAAAAACAAATCAGTTTTAAAAAAGATTCCCATTTTCAAATGGGGGCTTAAAATCTGAACCTGAACTCAGTTGTACCTTGTTCCACAAGGCACATTCTTGATCTCATCAGTTTGGAGTGTAGTCTTGAAGAAAAATAAACAGAATGAAAAGAAATAGTCCATATAGCAAAACATTTCCAGTCTTGTGCACAAATGGAAATACATTTACATTTCATACTACGATAGATATTACATAAAAACATTAAAAACACAAAAATAATTACAAAAATTGCTAGTGTTGTTCTTCGCATTTACACAAAAAATCCTGCTCTAGCAAAATAGAGCCGCCCCGGCGATGGCTGAATGTCAACTGTTTGCACGCTCTAGCTGCATATTTATAGAAGATCCCACCTGGTTTACATGAGCGGTGCCTCACGGCATACTCTTACATGAAATGGCCATTTGAAAAGGTCAGATTTCAAGGCTGAAGGGGTAAATTTACCTGCACTGATCTGTAGGTGGTAATGAAAGGCAGCATGATGTGATATCCCGGCCCATTGGGAGAAGTCAGTAATGCTCCACCTCTGAAAGAAATACAGCCTGGATGTTACAAGCAAAGAAGCCTGTGCTCCAATAGGTTTGAGAATTTTCATTATGCCAAAGATACAATTTCTATAATCATGAAATCCTTACTATTTAGGTACTTTTTTTTAACAAACAGGGAAGGCAGAAGTCTGTGTTAGGGATACCTGTAGTACACAGCAAGGTGTCCTTCTTCTATCTTGTGAATCGAGGAGTGCAACATGATGGCAAACACTCCTGCAATTGCTGCAAATACTGCTCCTACATGCGGCATCGTCATCCTCACTGACACTCACCTGCAGGGGAAGAAATAGGCATCTACACAGTGAAAGACCTGTCCAACATTGAGCACTGAGAGAAACATGACACCTTTGGTCTTACATCAGCACAGCCAGCAGCAGAATATAGAGACATTTCTACATTTTGATGCAAACCCCAGCCAAAGATAAGGAAAAATGTACATTTCCATGTTCACTTTCATTGAGACTATAAGAGTGGGTCATGATTGCACATATTTGGATGTCTGTTACATTATTTGAAACTATAATAAGGTTCCCTGTTAAATGACCGGATACATATTGTCCAGTTTTATTGATACAATTCCAACCAACAAGATCTACACTGAGACTGTTTGACATGCACCCAAACTGCTAACATGGATGAAAACCTTTAAGAAAAAGAAAAAAACATACATTTCTTTACTTTTCTGGTCCAAGTAAAACAAATTAGCATTACTTAGACTGCCATAGCTTAAAATGACCACGTTACTTATTCATACCAGTTATCTTTACCTCATATACGGTAAGCTTATTCATTTATATAGACTTTAGCACAGGTGCACCCAAGTCAGTGCTGCATTTCACATGAACCTATCGTGAGTCTAAAGGCTATGGCTAACATGCACGGCTTCCTTGCTGAATAACTTTAAGTGGACAATACGATAGGCGTTCCTCTGCTAACTGACGACGAAACACACTCATAAAAAGACCAAAAGTATCTGATCGCATGTCCATAACCGACCTGAAAACAAACGTTTGTAGCAATATTCGTTGGGTAGCATTGACCGAGCAGGCTAGGTTAGCTAGCTAGCTCTCATTATCGGGTGGGTTTGGAAGTTAGTCACTCCGTCAGCATCTTGTAGCTTAAAGCTAACTTTAGCTTCGAGGCTAATAAAACAACCAAAATTAGCTCACCTTGCACAATGCTCTAGTGTGACTATAATCATGTGAATGTGGCGTAAACGTCTGGTTGGTGATTATAAAAAAAGTACACTATTTCAAACGTCTCCACCTCTGGTTTTATCATTCATCGACCCATCCCCCTCACCCCGCCTCCTCCCACAGGTTTCTGTCTTGCTTCGACTGGCTACATTTCGTTGCATTTAAGGACTATAGGAAATATGTGTTTCTTGATAATCTTGCCTGGTAAAAATCCTATGAATCACACTGACATTGACAAATATGCGACCACCAGTATCTTTCAGACAAGATAGATATCCAGAGCTTTTTTAGTTACCGTTACAAGGAAATAAAACTACTGTAATCCAAATGCTATACTGCATTTGGGGTGTACATCAAGAAACAGAGGGGTAGGAAGATGGCAATTAATCAAGATTCTAAAAAATATTTCATTGTGATGTTTTTTAGAAATATTCCACAGAATTGCAGAAAGACAATAAGACAACATACGACATGATGCAAAGCTCAAAGACAAATAAAAAAGCCTACAATTTAGTTAAAAAACAAGAAGTGAAACTAAATGTTATACATAAATCAAACGAAATTGCAAACCAGAAAATGGCAAGCTCAGAATGAGAAACATGTTATGCATAAGATGGAAAGTAGCCACAGACAAAATACAGATTCACCAAAATGTGACTCAAAATGAGCTGACACCAAAGATCCAAACCACAACATCAGATGACCATTGAGACGTAAAGAACACTGACAAAAAATATCAAGATGCAGAACATTCCTACAAAAATCACAAATTGTATGTCCATTTTTAGTTATTATAGTTGTGTGTGTATGTGTCCTGATTTTTTGTAGAATGTGTGGGCCGTTTTACTTGTCAGTGCCAGGGGCTACTGTTTTATAATCCAACTGTTGGTACATCTGAGGGCAGGCTTTGGAAAGTACACCCATCTTTTCCTTAGAAAACATCCAGTTTGTTTTTAACATAATTTCTTAATTGCTTTTTAAAAAATCTTTTCTTGTTTTATCTTGTCTGCTGTTGTTTATAAATATTTATTCAAATGCTATTTCCAGGAGTTTTGCATTTGCTGAGAAAAATAGCATCACACTAACCAAAAAATAGAGGCAAAACAGTGTATGTCTTTATGTCGACAAAACTTTATTTCCATCCCGTCATTCACACCTTTTCAGCAGCAATGGTTCACTCTGATTAATAATACAATAAAAATAAAAATGTTGGTTCCACTGCTGGAAAAATACTTTAACATTCATTGAATCTGTTAGTTACAATTTGTCAAATGATAACGCGCATAGCTTACCAGGCCATGATGTTTTTGACAATACTGTCTTACAGCAATACATCCATGTAACTGACACTCATTGGAAACACAAAGCTTTCATATAGCGTAACTCTGCGATGCACTTAGAGTGTGTTTTCTTTGGGAGCTTTTTGAAGCTTGTGAGAGTCATTTTTCATCACTTCAAACTGAGTCCAGCTCCAGTCCAGATCCTGAAGAGAGAATAAACCAGTTTACGCTGTATTGCTGAACCTCCTATTTCCATAGCATCTCCATAATAGGCATTATTTCAGTGATCTGTTTATTCACATTTAGAGAATTACTTGTGCCGTACCATAACGCTAGGCTCCATCTTCTGGGTAGCATCTTGCAGCAGTGAAGTGAGGTGACTCAGATAATGTTGATTTTCATCCAGGAGTTGATTAACTGTTTGACTGAAAAAGACCACAAACTCTTCTCTGACTGCATGTCTTCAAGTTCATATGTCCTTTATCACATGCTCCTAGACTTGTATGACAGTATGCTGGCCTCATGTGGCAGTTTTGAAAATTTGAAAAAATACATTAAATCTCCATTAAATACAGTGAACTAACAGATTTAAAATGCAACACACACCTATCCAGCTGTGAAGCTAGATTAAGAACCTTTTATCTTACCCATCAGAGACTTGTTCTATAAGTGATGGAGAAGGAGAAGTGCCCTTGGTCTGAAGAGACAAACACAGTTAATTAGGTTCATAATCAACTGCCTTCTATATCTAAACTCTGGTCTTAACAACTCATTGTACCTAAACCATCACTAACAGCTATGTACTGCCATTCATTCCATACTTACACAAGCCATCTTGAGAAGGTACCAGAATTCTTTCTGTCTCTTCATTTGCATCTGTGTGACTGCTGCCTCGGCTGTTTTTATGTTTTCTACTGCCCCTTTTAGCTTAGGGAACAAATCCACGATACGTCTTTTGCAAACCAGGATTGTGCTACAGAGAAAAAGGAAAACAATGAGGAAAATCAAACGAGGCAATTTGGGAAATTTAAAATGATACCCGCGTTGGGCTCAAATTTACATGCCTGTGAGCCGACCTGAAGTAAACCTGTGCATAATTTACCTTAGATGAGAGTACAGGTCTTTCAGCACTCTGTCCTGGTTCTGGACTGTTTTGAGTATAGTTTTAACCATATCTGAGCTATCGCTGTAGCCATGAGGAGGGTCAGGACCTTCAGAAATATGAATAAATAATAATACATGCACATTTAGACACACTTATGTCAACACAACATTTCTTAGGAATCCGCTTTTCTTAAAATAACTGCACGATTTGGAATCCTTTCACATGTATGTTCAGTGAGCTGTTTTGCAGGTCGTGCAGCTATATATATTGCAACTATAGGGTAGCCATAGCAACAGCCATTATCAGATTTCCTTGCCAGAATAATTTCATATGGAAAAATCTGATTTAAACCATGTTTCTTGTGTGATTTTTTGTCATTTTTGTACACTGTTTTACTCACTTTTGCATTTTGCTTTTAGTTGCTTGTAGAGTTCAATAGCTGTTGATTCCCTGAAAAAAGTGCACAAAGAGTTAGCATTTCCATAATACTGCCTTCGACTTAAGGTTAATTCAGGTATAAATTGCAGTCCATTAAAAATAAAACAAATGTATCTAGATGTGAATTGGAGTACAAAGTCAATAAACAATTGAAACGATTGCAGCGATAACAAAAATCATATGGATATCTGACTGCTTTTTGTATACACAGTTTAAAAAAGAGGTAAAATCTCTGAGATACTGACAGCTGTTCCATCACATCCCCTTGTCTCCATGCGAACGGGCTTCTCTGTAGCTCCACAATCTCAGAGTGTAGAGCCACAATCTCCTCATCCAGGTACCTCACATCTGCAACCTACAGCGGAACAAAGAGTTATTGTACATTCTTAAGGCAACTGCTAGAACCTGTTATGAATTTGACAAATGTCTTACCTTTGCCAAATCATCAGCCTTCTCTTCATTTTCATTCCATGTCCTTAACATTTTTTCCGATGCTTCATGCAAACACAAACCAGCAGCGACAGAAAGGCCGTATGAGGTTTCAGTGAGGATCTATAATTATAAAATGCATCTTAGCAGATCAGAAGCATCCACTCACAAACACCACTGTCCCTCTGCTTGGCATACTGCTCCAGGTCATACTGGATGCTGGTCTTAAAGAAAGCCAGTTTGGCTTGGAGCTGCTGAGAATGGGAGAACAGCAGGTTCTTGTAGCTTGTTAAGTTGATGTTATAACGTAGCAGACTCAGCCTGCACAAATACAAACACAAGTTAAAAAAGTCTATGTGTGTAGGCTAGTGTATCTATTATAGAGTATATGTACTTACATGGCAGCCCTCTGCCCTTGGTACAGGCGGAGGTAGTCCTCTTTCAGTCCGCATATGTAGCTGACTGCTTCACCCCAAACCTTTCTAAGAGTGGAGAGGGGCAGCTGTGTTTTAGTCTCCCTGACTGAGAACAACACAGAGGAAACAATGATGCTTAATCCACCTTGAGTTTGAAAAAGTGAAGATATAAATCAAGGAGTACACTTTATTTATTTTTTTTAGATGTAAATGTACCCCTAGGTCTAATATTTGTTAGTTTGGTTTAATTATTAGTTAAGGAAACTGTACAAAAAGAACAGCGGCAGGAAAAATGAAGAATGTTGTTTGAATCCATATTTCAAAGCTCAGCTTAGTGAGACGTCTCACCTATAAAGTTGACACTGTCTGGTAGTGGCCTGGCAGTCAGGGGTCCGGAGTACTTAGTGAGGCTCTTATCAAACATGAAGACTATGCAGCTGTCCCAGCCACGCTAAACACAAAATGGCAATTATATACTTTTCCAATGTATGGCCAAACTATTTTCTTCTTAAGTTTTGGCGTGTGTGTCACATACCAAACCATCTGGCAGACACTGTGCAGGTGGTCTGCGCGGATCCAGGGAGACTCCCGTGTCCATCAGAAGCTCTTGATTCAGCGGAGAGATGTGAGCCTGGGTGTCAGCTTCCAAGCGAAGCTGCAGGGAGTGTAAACTCTCCTCAGTGCCCAAAACCATGGAGTGCAGCTGGGCTGAGGTCATGTCCAAGACATGAAAAACCTGCATAAGAAAATGTGCCAAATGCACCGTTTGGTTATTTACTGCAATGTAGTTTGGCACACGAAAAAATGAAAAATCCATTCAGTAGAATAAGAGAGTCCATGCAAGACTCTCAAGATTAACCTTCATGCTGAGGATATTCTGCAGAATGGTGTGACAGTACGGTTTGTTCGTTTCAGGATCTAGTCCTCCACCGCGTGCCGCGGGGTCCCAAAGCAGCAACGTCTGAAGAAGAGTCTCCACTGGTTCCAGAAGCGGCCTGTGAACACACACAAACACACACAAGTCTCACTAATAGTAGTTACTTTTTTTTAAAGACAATAATTAAAGAGTCTCTACCTGCTGAGATTGTTGGGATATGGCAGATGAGATGAGAATCGAACTTCTCCATTCATGTCCTCAACTGCCATGATGTCTTTTGGACCTTTGTTCTTCACTTTGCATGTCCTAGAGGAGCAGGAAAATTTTTGGCCAAAAAAAAAGTATAATAAGTATTATAAAAGTATTATAAGTTTCACATTATTTGATGTTTACAGTAATCATTATATTTCTGGCTTATAATGAGTTTGCTATTTTTAAAATCGTGTCAATACATCCATATCTTAAAAGGAATGTGTATCTACAAATATAATGTAAGACATTCAATTTTAATACGTTCCTCCACTAACATTCATCTGTATATGAGAACATGGCAGTTAATGCATCCATAGTATTGCATGGACATTTATAGAAATAATTTAAGAATAATTTCAATTGTGTTTCATGATGCCTCTACAATCAAAGCGCACAGTAGGAACTGGACAATTGAATTTGGCATGAAACAAATCAATTAAATCCGAGATTGCCTTTAATTCTGGCCAGGAGTGAGGTAGACACAATCTAAAAGAGGCCAGTCCTCACAACGAATCTTGCAGAAGAGGTGAGTGAAAAAGCTAAAAAAAAAAAAAGGCACATACCGTGCACTTGCAATTCTGGTTCGACATGTATTCTTAGTACGAAATAACTCTGCAATAACTGGAAGTGTTCTGACACACAGGTTTTTCAATCTACAGACATGAAATGCATCCTGGGCTCACCACTGTACTGGCTGCATGTGGTGCAGAAACGGCCGAAAACCACATGTACATTCGAAGATCACTGTCCCAAAACTCCAGTAGTCCACGGTCACAGTGTAAGGAATGCTCTCAAACAGCTCTGGGGCCTGCCAAGCACACATACAGATTTCAATAAAAAGGGCATTGATTCCAGTTTTCAAACCAAGTATTAATTGCAGGTGAATACATCTTAGATAAAACACTACATACCAGATACTGGAGAGTGCCAGCAAAAGAAGTACATAGACTTCCCTGATCCAGATCTTTTGCATATCCCAGGTCTATGATTTTATGAATAAGCTGAAGGAAATACATTTCCATAATGAAAAAAAAGCGTATAAAACTAAAAAACATGTATGCTATTGCAGGTCTATAGGTTTCGCATGTTAATTGGGGGATATTTTACCTTTCCATCAACCTCTTGCAGGACAATGTTCTCTGGCTTAAGGTCCCTGTGAATGATCTTATTTTCATGGAGATACTGAATACCAGAACCTGTGGTGGTAAATCAATAAATAATCAATGTACATTATGTATCATTCAGTCAAAGTGACTTTTTATCAAAGTAAAGATGAGAGAATCTTTACCCATGTCTCTGAGCAGTGAGAGGACCTCACTCTCCTTCAGGCCACAGCAATTTTCTGGTTTATTCAGCACCTAAATAAGTTCCCAAGTTACAAAAAATGACTACAAAGATAGTACTTTCAAGTGTTTCTTAAGTACAAATCTGGTACCTTGCGTAGATCTCCTCTTGAGCAATACTCCATGGCCAGCAGTGGGAGATCGTTTACAGCGATGGGGGTCAACTCTTCTGGCACCTCTCTGGCCTGAACGATATTCCCATGGTTCAGCCTGCAAAAGCAGGAGTACCAATGTTTTTATTTACTCAATTTGAAGTATAGTTTCTGGAACGGTTGTTTTCTAAGATATTACACTTACTTCTTCATTATCTGAATCTCTCGACTCCATCGCTCTTTATTCTTACAGCTCAGATCCAAGCGACAGATTTTCACAGCGATCTTCGCTCCAGTGTCCTGCTACGGACAAACATAGAAAGTAAAACAGACTCCTGAGGCTTCAGTTTCTGGCTGTCAGGATTCACATAATGAATGGCAGAACTTACAAGGTTCTGGTATAGGTAGACGTGCCCAAAGCCTCCCGTGCCGAGTCTCTCCTTCATCTCCCAAGAGCCGCACACCTGGTTCTGTTTGAGCGCAGGCCGCTCCATGTCGTGAGGTCTGCTGCAGCCTACAAAATACCTCAGCAAGCCAGGGCCACGACAGTTAATCCTTGTGTTCTATACTGACTGACTGATTTTGTACTACAGTATGAAAATTCTTCATTGCTTCCTTCTTGTTATGACTTTACCTGCAGCGTGCTTTAAGTGGTCTTATTTTTACTGTATCTTCCATCAAGTTCACAGCTGAATAGATTTAAAACTTTTTGGAAACTTATTTTCACAGATTTTGGAGAAATAACCCAGTGAAACTTGTAATAAGTTTTCAAAACTATCCAACCTTTTATTGGATTCTCTATTTTTCGCTTACTGTGGTTAACAAGCTGGTCACTTATTGTTTTGGGATCAGCTATAATAGGTTTACCTAATTCAAATCCCTCACCTTAACGTGCCTTGACTATCTAGAATAAATTCAAACATAAAATATCATCTCACTTTCCCACTCACCTGTCTTGGAGGTCACCGTAAACTGGTGACAGCTTACTATGAGCGCCAGAACATTGTTGTTGTTGCTTCTCAGTTAGCTAACCATGTTATTCACAGTTATTTTTGTTAATTAGTGCTCGACTAAAATAGGTTAAAGTCAGCAACCGCTTGTCCGTAGCAAATCAGCACAGCTTTCAATCCGATTTTATGTTGCGTTCTGGTTAAAATCTCGAGTGAAAAACTGTAGCGACAGACCAAGCAAGCTCAGAGTGAAAGTACACGGGGACAGGGTGGAAAGGAAAGTGTCTGTGCGCATGCGCGTTGATCCTGCCTCGCGCACAGTCCTCTAACGGGGGTTTCCCTGGCAACGCCTCCCAAACGAAGAACTATAGAGATGATTTGTGGAAAGTCAGTGACGCTACATCTTATGGCTACTCTATTTACTTGTTCACCTTAAAACCTAGGCAAACCCATGGCAGTCAAAACAGAAATCTTTACAAATCCACGTCTTCATTTGCTCGCTAGATGGTGCTACATATAAACGTTTTAATCCCTTGTAAAACAGCAGCAGACTGAAAATTGGCTTGATGCCTACCAAGAATAATTAATTATCAAAAGTTTGAATACCTTTGGAATATTGGCACTGTATAGGTGCTTTTTTGGCAACAGTTTTACTTGTGTACTTCATGAATCTATTTATCCCAACAGCAAAACAGCACACAATCATCAGGGTAAAGTACAACTGTGGTTGGGTGGGTAGTCTAAACTATTCTCCATCTTCACTTTTCTTTGTTTCTTTATTTCATTAAAAGTTTATGACTATGATGATTACTGTTTATTAAGTTATTTCTCTTTGCTGTTTCGTGAATGCTTTGTGGTTGCTCACCGTGTTGCCTCACCCCGAGAAGGCTCTCAGCTAGAGCCTAATGGTTAACCCAATGTGGTGGGTCACACCACATGAAACTGACAGTATTCAATCAATTTATCATTTTAAATTGATGATAAGAGCGAATGTGAGTGGCACAATTGTTTGTCTCTGTGGCAGCAGGGACAACCAGTTTAATGTCAGTCTTTAGGGGGACTTAATGTATTCAATTTTTACTTGAGCTGGCTTAGGAACACGAGGTTTGTCAGCCAATAGTTAAACCTGAATTAAATAAATCCCACCACAAGCCAAACAGAAAGCCAAATACCATAATGTGAATGGTAAAACATCCATGACATCATCCATGACAAAATTAAGACGATCATAGCTCATCTATGATAAAACGTTATGTTTTATATTGCAGCATATCAATATTTTGAGTGCGTAAAATTAACAGACATTTCAACTGTAAGGGAGAGCTCAAAGTTTCACAATCTTTTGCACAAACAATGAGCTCAAAACAGACCACAAGACGTGCAACTGACCATGAAATGTGACGACATGACCACAAGTGTGATAAAAGGCTGATGCAATAAATGCCAGCCTCCAGTATTCACAGTACAATCAAATGTGAAGACTGCTGCAACTATCTGTTGCAACCATTTAGTTGCATTTGTTGAGTTTTTACAGCATGACAACTAGGCAATTGCAAATTTCTCCAGTTAAAATGCATGCTGCATGTAAGAGCTACTCAAAGAGGACTTTTCTGAGAGGACAATGTTTTACTATTCTTCTTGATGATCTTGAGAATCTTTCTGGCAATCTGCATTTTCTTTCTAAAGCATCCCATTAAGCAAATACCCTCCCTCAGTTTCTCAAAGAATTTTTCTTTCCTCAGATGTTTTTCTTGCCATTTATTACCTCACCCATCCATCCATTTTCTATACTGCTTATTCCCAAAGGGGTCATGGGGGGCCGAAGTCTAACCCAACTGACAGGGTACTCGTCGCCAGTCCATGGCAGGGCCACACAGAGACAAACAACCACACACACATTCAGTCCGAGGGGCAATTTGGAGTGGCAACTTAACCTAACATGCATGTTTGAATTGAAACTTTTCATTTAAATTAAAACTGTGAGCCTCTGACTCAGTTTGTAGGTGATGTAAGCAGTTGCAAAAAATATAGCTTGAGTGTCAGGAGTAAAGTTGAAGTGTTTTTGTAAAATGCTGAATTTCCCGTCAATATATCACATCTTTTGATGCTTGTTGAGTCATGTGTGAGTATGCCTCTCATTCCCACACCTGTCTGCAAAGACTATAGCTGAGGCTTCCACCTCCCTAAATAGGCTGAAGTACTCAAAACACAATTGCTAATTCTACCAAGCCCTTCCAAGAATACAACCACAAAGATGAGTGTACACAGGTTCCACTGAAAGAATGGGGAGTTTGGTGAAAGGCTACAGCAGAGCAAATGTAGATTGGGAATGAGTACGTGAGAATGTGTACAGATAACAACCACAGAGTTTGCTAATATCGCACAGGAGAAATATGAGCGTTGGACAAGTTACCATTGTGGAAGAGTGGATTTTCTGGCAGAGAATAGAAGAAAGATCAGAGCACATGAGTGAGAGCTGGGGCGGATGAACGTGGATCGGATGTGTTGGTCCACCTGTCTGCGCTCCCCTTCCTCTAATAAAGCACACCAAGACATACTGACCAAAGAAATGAGCGTTTGAGGTTGCTTGGTCTAATTTCCTCCTGTTCCATCCCTTGAAAAACAAATGACCTGTCCAGTGTGCATCACACCATTGCTAGGATGGCTTCCTTTGGTTCTGAGCAGAACAAAGCATCTGTGGAAAAGAAATGAATGTCATTAATAATCCAGTAAGTAGATGAATAGAGTCAAGTTAAGACATTTTTTATTTCTTTTTTATATAAAAGTTTTTTTAAGAGAGAATTACTTTATATTATTAATAAATATCAGTAATAATTATGATTCTGGGATGGTTCTTCATTCATTATTTAGTCAGAGAGGATCAGCAAGTACAGCTATTAAACAGCAGCGTGAACCAATGTATTTTTCAAGAAGGCCATGTTTTGGTTTTGAGAACATTAAATGAGTGTGTTTTGATATCATGAAGATGGCTGAAGCCATGGTGGGAACCACTTGGAGTGGCTTAAGTAGTCTGACCCATCTTGTTGTGTCGTTTTACTTCCCTATTTACACATGTGACACAAGTAACCACTTGGATAAATGTCACTTCTCTACCCTACACTGTTCATAATTCAGTTTACTTTGTTGCTGTGTGTAAAGTGTTTTTGAGTGCCCAAAAGGCACTAGATAAGTAATATCTTTGAAATGTAAAAGGAGCATGAATTTCTGATTACTAACGTTACAAGAGCTCATTACCAGCACGCACAGGCCTAAAAAATGATGGATGGTAATGACAGTCGAATGAAATCCTGGACTGTTCCTGGGGCTTTTTCAAATGAGACATTCACACTGAGACAAGACAATACCAGTCTTTTTACTTCACTGGCGGTTTCTGTTTCACAGTCAGTTGATCAAAAATATTGCAAATAACTCACAGATCAAGCTACAAAAAACAAGACCATTGTGTGCTTTGGTTTAAAAAAAACTGCTGAATCAGTTGTAAATGTGGAAAATGGCATGAATGGGATCATTTATGGTGTGCAAATCCCAACATGCTTTTGATGATACGTGCATTGGTGTCATTTGCTCTGCACACAGTGGATCAACTTTTAAATACCATAACATCATTGTTAACTCTGAATCAGTGTATTGAACACAGAAACATATTGAAATGCCACATATGTAGACATGTTTTTTCCTCTTTATTCATAGATCTGAGTCTTCTTGAACCAAATGTTGGCTGGAGGTAAGGCAAGAGGAATCAAATGGAGAAGCTTACAATGCTTTTGGTGTGAAATACGGTATATATCAGGTGATGCAAGTGTGAATTACATGGTGTGAGAAAAATAAATGTTCTGGGTGGTGACTGATTTGTTTCCTGTTAAAACGAAGGTGTCACTTTGAACCCTTCAAAATGTGTGATAGTGAACAATAAAAAGATGTTTTAAAGGTCAGGAAACAGGAAAACGATACCTTCACTTTAACAATTAAAAATTGGTTGCAAGGGTGCAGCTTTTTGAATTTATTTAAATTTTCTATTGATAATACATGCAATTCTTTCATTTAAGTATTGGTAATTTACTTCTTCCTTTTTTAATGATATATTTTTTATTTGTGAGAGTATTTCCTCCTTTTGTGTCAATCTAAAAACTCCCATATTAATAATGTGAGCCTAGTGGGATGGAATAATAAGAATTCAAATCTATGTACTGACATTTGTGTGTTTTGGCCAAAAAGAGGACACACAAGTTGGAAACAAAGCTGAAACCCAGACTAAGATTTGAACTAATAGGGCAGAATTTGGAGAAGGACTTGTTTGAATTAGACAGAAATCGCACATTGCATGATACAGCTGGCTCAACTTTAAATATCCTGTAATTTTCCAGTTTGCCTAATTTTATCTTGTAGTTCCTCTTTTGGTCTAACACCTGTATAGGGTAGACTTTTACACGTATGCTATGAGACGATAAAGTTATTCAATTTGCAGCCGTTTCTGAACTTCATGTCGTCCAGTGACTCAAGCTTTACACAAAGGAATGCTTGTTTTTGTTTCCATGTAAAAAAGGAAGCATGAGCAACAAAGCTGTCAGAACAATTGATGAGGTATTCTAATGAGGGAGATTTTAGTACAGAAATCCCCTTACAAGATCTTTGGGAAAGATGTGCCACCATGTTTTCTGACATCAATCCATAACTAAAGATGCAGAGCTCGATTACGGCTGGAGCTTTACATGTGCAAAAAAACTTAACATCAAGTTTAACACATATTTCACCTAAAGCTGCAGTTCATTATCTTGTTGATAAGCAAGATTTGACAACTGCATAAATTAATCCAGAAGTTTCTTTGTTTCCATAGTTATCAATGCTGGTTTTACTTTGCATAGCTTAATATAATTTGTAATTAAGTTGGACAACATGTGGATTGCAATAGAGTGGGATTTGTTACAAATTGACAGATGGAAGTTTAGCACAACAGCTGAATATGAACACATCCACTCAGAAATGAAATTCCATGTCTGGTGCTTTTTATGATAAAATTAATAATTAAGACAAAATAAGCCAACATTCCTTAATTTCTGGCTTAGATCGTGAAAAGATCTATGATCCCTTCAATGTCCTTGGATTTCAGAATGATACACTTTCACGGTATCTTAGACATTCAACAGATAAAATTGTTTTCTAGGAAGTGTTCTTGTATCTTTAGTTTTGAACAGGCTCGGTCCGCTTAACAACTTCCTCACTTTGTTACATATAGATTTCAAATTTGTCAAATCTCATGCTCTCATTGTACACATCGCCAATTATGGGTATGTGCTGAAGTGAATCTCATGGCTTTACAGGGAAGTAGACATGTGTCACAGGACATGACAAATATTCTCATTTGATCAGCAGAGAGATGTAATGGATGTTTTCCTGTGGTCTAAACACCGCCCACTAACAGCTGTATCTTTTTAAAAGGGGAGGTACAGCAGATCAGTACTGCAGGAGCAGAACAACACAGTCGTGCGAGTCAAAGTCAGCTAATAAATCAGCAGCATAACTCAGGAGACCGGGAAAAGTTTTGCTTCAACTTGGGAAAAATAAAGACTTCAGAAAGGTAATCAGATCCTGCTAACTTTCAGAAATATATCAGTTGATGTTCTAGTTTACCCGATAACTGTTTACATCAGAGCCTGATACTAATATTGACTCATAACTGAATGATACTGGTAGGTGAATTTAAGTAAAGTTAATCCATGCAAAACATGTTATTTCTTCATTATCTCTTTGGCAGCACATTCCTCATATATCTGCACATAGCCGAACCAACGTGATGTAATGATGTCCACAGGCTGCTATAATCTACTAACCTAAATTGATATTGCAGTCATTGTTCAGATAGAGACATAGATGTTTACAGTACAGTGCACGCACAGTGCACATCCTCCAGTTGTTGACCTCACATTACAACATTGCAAACACATTTTGTCAGTCTGAGGTTAATGTAGATAAAAAAGCAATCCTAAAGTGATGTTTATTACTTTGTAAAATGCACGGTAAAGTCTTTTTTTTCCTAATTAAAGCTCATATTTGAATGTCTCAACAAAAAATATCATTTTAATGGCTGTTAGAGCTCTTTGCACTCTTCCTACTTCAGCCTGGAGCAAACCACCATGTACATCATCCACAGCACTTGGTCACGTGATGTTATAACAAACTCCATAAAAGGGCACAGGAGACCTCCATCCACTTCTCCAGTTATAACATGTTCCATTTATATTGTTTTTTTTTCTGTGTGTGTGTGTTCATTTTTAGACAAATATATACCCAGAAAGCAGAAGTGAAAGAAGAAGTGAAGATGAATCTATTTGTCATCATCTCTGTCCTTGCAGTGTTCAGTGTCGACATGGTAAGCACCAGTAACAACTTTTTTTGTTAAATCACAGAGGGTTACTTGAAAGAGCCAACTGAATTTGTCTTTACTTCTTACAGACCTTTTCTCGAAGATTGCCTAAGAAGAAAAGTAAGTAACAGTTTAGGGCAATATTTGCAGTAATTTGAAATCTTGATAGCCGCATGAAGTAAATGTCCTGCCTGTGTTTGCATGATCACCTGCAGTGAGGTGTCTGTCTGGGGATGGGAGCAGTTACAGGGGAATTGTTGACGAAACATCAAGTGGTCGCAAGTGTCTGTACTGGAATCTTGTGAGACACCCCTGGGGAAATCAAGCGGGAGTTGGAAACCACAATTACTGCAGGTATATTTTAAATATGAAATGTTGACATGTACAAATTAAGCGCCATATTTTTTAATAGTTTTGCACTTAAATGTTAGGAATCCTGATCAGAGCCTAATGCCTTGGTGTTACGTGAGACGAGGACGTTGGGCTGTGAGCGAATTGTGCCATGTCCCCGCATGTAAGAAATCAGATTTGTTCATGATTGACCATGGAATGAATAATTAAAATGTAATAGATTTATCTAAGGATTCTCTAAATATGTCTGGTTTCTGCTCCAACACAGGTTCTCAACCAACAGAAAAACCGACAGTGAGGCCAACAGTAAAGCCAACATCCAAACCTTATCCACTGGTGGACACAGGTAGTTGAACCCTTTAAATCTCTGTGTTCTTCATGGCATCCAGTGATTTCCTTCGTCAGTCCACTGATGCAGACTGTGTTTCCCTCCAGAACGGACGTGTGGCGAGCTGTCTGAACGGAGAATGAATAAAATTGTGGGTGGCTTTTTGACAGCCATTGAGTCACACCCATGGACTGCTGCCATTTTCTATAAAAGAAACAAATTTCTTTGTGGTGGTTCCCTCATCTCACCCTGCTGGGTTCTCTCAGCTGCTCACTGTTTCCGCAACGAGTAAGGAAGTATATAATCATTCAGTCCACTGCCTTTATAAAAAGAAATATGATTCATATCAGAACATAAGATATTAATTCACTGTGTGTGTTCTGGTTCTTCTCAGGGATGGGGATTTGAATGTCAAAGGTCTATCTGTGTTCCTGGGGAAAACTGACATCAGTGAAACAGATGCTGCCAGGGAGCAGAAATTTACAGTGGAGAAAATGATCATCCACCAAGATTTTGATAGCGACAACTTTAACAGCGACATTGGTGTGCATGCACATTGTGTATTTAGATACTGTAGAAATTATTACGGTATCTGTATGTAGACTCACGCATGTGTTCATTTGTACATTTCAGCACTGTTAAAGATCAGAAACACGAACGGGGGCTGTGCAGTTAAGACCCCCTCTGCACGGACAGTTTGCCTTCCTCCAGCTCTCACTCAGCTCCCTTCAGGATTCACATGCAGCATTGCTGGATATGGGAAGGAACAAGAAGGTAAGAATAGAAACCCTTACCATTAGACTCATGAATGATCCTGTAACGATTTCATCGATTCTTATACCAGTAACTGTGTCTTCTGCAGGCGCCTGGGAATACTCTAAACGCTTGAAAAAAACAGATGTAAAACTGCTCTCCAACACCGACTGTAATAGAAAATTGTACTATGACAATCGTATCAATGAGAACATGCTGTGTGCTGCTAGCCCTGACTGGAGCACAGACGCCTGCCATGTAAGCAAACAGTCCAGTGTCCTTCAGATTAAATTTGACTCCCTTGATCTATAAGAATAAACCACCGTGAAATGTCATTTTTAAATTCAGTCATAAATCCATTACATCTTGATTCCTAATATTTCTAGAACTGATGCCACTTTGCATGCCTTAGTGAATGACTGACCTTCCACTTACAGGGTGATTCAGGTGGTCCTCTGGTGTGTGAAGCTTCAGGCCGAATGTTTCTGTTCGGTGTGGTGAGCTGGGGCGAAGGTTGCGCCAAGAAGAACAAGCCAGGTGTTTACACCCAGGTGACCAACTACAACTCATGGATTGCAGAGAAAACGGGTCTCACTGCATACACAACAGGACTGATGTATCCCCAGAAATGAAACCGCTGCAAAACCTTATAATTTATTTTATAATTTATCAGAGAATATTTATGAAACCAAACATTTTGGCAGCTCTTTTAAAACTTATTTATGTTAATGAGTATGTACAGATGTCACAAGTTTTTTAAAGGGAAGATACAGGACAACTGGTATTTAGGCAGGGCTAGTTAACCTGGGTCGTGTCAAATCTGAGTATCACAGAGGTTGGTAAAGTAGGATCAAGTTTACATCTGTGTTTGAAAATGTAAGTTGGAACTGTTTCCCTTTTTTTGGTTTGTTTTTTTCTATGTAATGTACATTAGCATTTCTGGTTTGAAGTGCAGCTGGTTAGTTTTACTGTTAACATACAATGGTGATATTTTTGTCACATTATTTACTTTTATAGTCATCTGTAAATGTTTTATCATCACATCTTGGATGTATTATCAACCGATTTTTGAGCTACACGTGCATAGGTTTTCATTGTTACCTTGTGGATTTATTAGGACTTTTTTTTAACATTATTTGATAACTGTATCAGAATTTTTTAAAGGCTGGCCCAAATGTTTAGTATTTTTCTTAATGCCAAATAAACACAATGTATGTATTAAATTGTTGTCAGACAAATTCATTTCTAAACTCTGTTTCCTTTTCTTGTGCCTGCAAGGAATGACACTCTAAACTGAACACATTCTTTAAGTTGACTTCGTACATGCCCTCTGAGAGACAAATATGTGTAATTACAAAAGAAGGGATTGCGTCACATATGCAGTCAATTTACATTGAGGACATCTGAGGGAACTGAGTGAGGCTATTTGACATTTTGTGAGTTTAAATTTCCTCTAAGTCATACACTGGAGGGCAGTGGTGTGCAAATTGACCAACTATTTCAGGACAGCTTACAATGGTGTGGCCTCATGAACCGATTTCCCACAGCCTGTTACATGGCAGGTTTGTTCATTGTTACTAAAGAGGAGTCACAACTATGTTCCTCCTATGTGCCTTTAAGTCAGAAAAGGATATATTTGCAGTGGAATGGTCATTTGTGTGTGTATGATGATTAGCCTCCTGGATTAACTTTTAAATGATAAGACGCTATCCTGTCCTGAAGATCTCACGCAGTATTTTCCAAACAGGGACCCTCTCTCTCAAACTGCAGGTCTACTTGTAGTTCTTAGAGTTTCTAAAAGTAGAATGGGAGGCAAAGCCTTCAGTCATTGGGCCATCTCTGTAACCAGATGTCAGTTTGTGTCTGGGAAGCAGACACCCTCACTTCATTAAGATTAGCCTTAAAAATGTTTTTAATAACGTTTATACTTACTCTTATTACACACATACTATTATTGACATATGTGCATGAAGATTACTTATCAGATTTACTGATAAAGTTAGATTTGAATGTTTTTGTATTGTGCATACTTGGTGTGGTGTCCTGGCTCCTATTGTCCCCTCAGTCCTGTCCTCTTGATTCCCAGTCCACCAAGAAGATGGCTGCCCACCCTGAGTCTGGATCTGAGAGAGTTTTTTTCTTTCCAGCGTTGCCTTGTGTGCACTGGATGGGCAGCTGGATCAAAGTGAGAGCAGCATGTTTTATCTGTTCCATAGTTATCGGAACAATTAGGTATTTATTTCGATTAACATTATGTTATTAGACTGAGTGGGATTCTGATGAGCTCAAACAGGAGCGCATCTGGAGAAGGAATTTGACTAAGACCTATATAAATATAATTGGTTTGAAACCTTCTTGACTTGCCTTTTTGTCTAAGCAGACTTTGAGACTGGTATGCATACGATTACATTACATTATAATACTCTCTAAACGTTTATATATGCATGTAAGCACCGTGCAAATGAAAGCAGTTCCACTAAACAAAGTCCTTCTGCACACAAGCAACGACCATGCATCACATGTTGTTGGATAGACTGTGACCCCCACATCTCTCATATACCATGCCTCTGACACCCAGGACCCTGTCTTCAACAGTAACATTTCACAGAAGACTAACCAAATGTTTGTATAAACATAATCATGGTATGCGCATCTAAGTGTGCTGTGTGCAACAACAGTCCAGCTTGTCATGACTGGAGGCACACTTAAAATTCTCACCAGGCAACCTGCCGCGGTGTTTTCTCTGGAAGTCTGTTTGGACAGGTCCACATATACAGATAGTTCGCAGAAGGGCGACTGGAGCCAATCAAAGTTTTTCCTGCACCCTCTCGATTACTCCCAGACACTAGTTTACTTTACTCCTTCTCTTACTGTGCTCAATCCATATATGGGTTTGAGATGCAGCGCTCCTTATTCTCACTCCTCTTTAAGGACAACTCCTATGAAGAGAAGATGAGATGAGGGGATAGATATTGGGCTTGTTCCATCCAGAATGACTGGACTGTGCAGTCGGTCTGGTTTGCATGCAAACTCTTGTCTACACACACTCACACAAACATGCACACACATATGTGAAAGGTCTAGTGGGTGCAGGCTCTTTGGCCTGTGGTCTAAGGTGTATAAATACTGCTGTTTTGCTGTTTGGGTTTCTGGTTTCCTGAATGCAGAGTTGAATTTCAGGAGCAGGGACAGCCCTACCACAGTGACATACACAAGCACACACACAAACAGACCAAACCAGTGGATTTACACGTATTAAGTGCCCGATTAGATCGTTTACCTTTCTTCCATGTTAGCTGCTTCAAAGGCCTGCTGTCACTTTAAGGACCACAGACTTAAAATGTAACTTCTTATTTGAATGTTAAAATGTTTGACAACCTATTAAAAGAGTATCTCAAGTGTCAAAGTGGAGAAGTTGGGGAACTCAATGGGACCTGTGTGGTGATCTTTGAGACTCCTTTCAGCTTCAACCAGCAGCAAGTTGAATCCTTGGTCTTTATTTAGACCTGGACATTGAGGACTGGAGACATGAACTCCTGACCCACCTTTTAATGAAACGAGATCACATGTCAGTTGAAGGTTTAAGACTACATAAAAATGACCACTGCTCTTTTTGTTTCACACAATATCCATACGTTAGGAGGATCTTTCTCCTCTCTGAAGTCCCATAGATGTGGAGCTGACCTTTATGGGACAGCAGGGAGTAGCTTCACGGCACAATCGTGCCTCTAACCTTTCCCTCTTGTAGATGTTGCACCTCCTCCAACCAGTACCTCGGAATTACAATCTCTCCCCATTAAGGATCATTAGGTTACCCCAACACTTTCCTTTTTAGGGGCACTGGCATGCATGACGTAATTTCGGAGGAGCGTTGGTTTGCAGTGTGTTTGTGTGTTGTGTGCGTGCAGGGAGAGCGTCAGCGCGCACCGACACCCAGCCGCTCGGCAGCTGTATTCCTTCACTGTGATTGGGCGGAGGGCGGTGATTCCTTCTGTCACGAATTGGGTCGCTCCCACCGGAGGACGCTGACCGCCCGAGTCCAGCCCTTCCCAAGGTGCTCATCTGAGGAGACCGTGCTCAGCAGCAGGGGGAGAGGGATTCTTCTCAGAGGAGCGGACCGACAGCTCGGCGTTCGTCCGCTTGTGTGGGCCAGGAGGAGAGAAGAGAGAGACCATCAGGGCTGGAGCGACCAGCCGCCTTTCTTTGCTTTGGGGCTTGCGGGTAAAAGTCGTTGACGATGCCGGTGTTTCACACCAAGACGATCGAGAGCATCCTGGAGCCGGTGGCCCAGCAGATCTCTCACCTGGTCATCATGCACGAGGAGGGGGAGGTGGACGGGAAAGCCATCCCGGACCTGACGGTGCCGGTGGCTGCGGTGCAGGCGGCGGTCAGCAACCTTGTGCGGGTGAGTCCCGAGTTTTGAAGCAGAGCGTCGGTCCAGGGGAAGACAAATGGCACAAAGTACCTGCGCACAGGGACTACCGTCAAGAACACTTCTCAGTCGCCGAAATCCACATTCGTGCATGGCTGGCTGGATCAATGGGAGGTGTGACAGCAGCCTTCATGGTTTATTTCATGACTGAGATAAATCACATGAAGTCCAAGTCATAAAGCTGCCACATACGAAGCAGCTCTTTTTAAAAATACATTTTTCTTTAGCATCTAGATATAATGTATGTTCATCTCATGGTTCCCTGGTTCTCAGTCCCCCATATATATACATACATATGTGTGTATATGTATATATATATGTGTATATGTATATGATGACGCTCATGGCTGTCTGATGCGCTCCTGCTTTAGTTCTTGTGCATTTATCTCAAACTTTGACCAGATCAATAATCAGGTAGCAGCTGAGTTTAGTGTAGTTTTAGGGCGGGAGAAAGGAGTGCTGACTGAATTTACAGGATGCGTGTCTCTCTTTGGGATCAGGAACATGAGAAATGTCAATTGTGCCTCAGAGGGAGATGAAAGGAGCAAAGGAGCTCATATTTTCTGCATTTCAAATAAAACTCAGTCATAAATAACTAAGAGAACGGAGATACTCAGGGGACTCGTCTTCTTTTTATTTTGCCACTTCTTTCTTCAACCCATCCACATTTAATTTTCACCTGCTCCTCCATTTCTTCTCTCCCACGCTGGATTTTTAATTGGTTGTTTTGTGCTGAAAGAGTCCAGCTTCTGATGGCTACTGATGTCTCTTCTGTGTGCACTGGCTGGAAAAATCAATAGGGTCCACATCATTAATGCTGATCTGGATCGTAGCTATTGATGTATGGCCTACAGGGCTTCACTCACTTGGAAGAAATCAGCAGCAGACTGAGTTAAATACTGGATTGCTAACACTTTGATAAGAAAAGGGGGGAAAAAGCTAGAGAAACGTAGCCTCCTTGAGGAATTTGTGTTTTAAAGCCTGAATTATTTCCATGTGATGGTATTTGTTTATTTTTATGTTATTGTCTGGCATCTAAAATGATGCAACCCAATTATTAAAATGTTTTACAAATGAAAACAAAATATACACCTTGATTTTTAGACATAAATCCTATTCCAGAACTTCTTCTATTTTGTTGTTTTAAAGAATCTTGTAATCTTACTTTGTTACCTAATTTGAAAGTATTTCTTTTGGAAACAAAACCACTTCAATGAGTGGATAATTACACCGTGTCACATATGGCTTGGCTTCAAGGGCATATCAAATCATTTGGATAAATATCTCATTAACGGTTAATGAGAAGGGCTTCACAGTTTTACATCAAACACCATGGCATGTAATGAAGAAAGATCTCCTCCCATGCAATGTGATTCAGCTAGATTGAGTCCTTGATGTCCGTTGGCTGGTAGGCATCCTCTCGTTCTCTGTCTGTCCTTGTGAATGCACTCAGTTGATCCAGGCCGACAGTGAGCAGAGGGAGGTTAATAGCAGCCTTAGGCTTGTTGTTGGGCATCAGATGATGGAGATAAGACACTGCATGGAATGATTAGTTGGTTGCACAGGAAGGAGAAAGTGTAGAAAGATAAGACACAGCAGAAAAACAGGATGAAATGAAAAGTGAGGATGTCCTTATTTTTCCTTAGTTTATTAGATTACCTGTGTACATTTAAAGGAATGTGGTTTTCTTTTAGGTATGCTGGTCTCAGATGGCTGTTAAAATAACATCTCAAGGCAAGAAAAGAGGAGAACATGTGTTCACTGATAGAGAAGCATGAGTGAAGAAGAGGGTGACAAGATGTTGTTGATGTGAAGTACAGAATGTGCCCTTGGTTGCCGGGTAGATAAACTTAATTGGATGGAAATGACACCCAAAGCTCAAACTCACATACTTCTGGTCACATATGTTTTATTTTGGAAAGATGATTCATTTCTTGCCTTGCTCAGTTTGCGCGAACATGGCATACTGTAAGACAACATGCCACCATCACCACAAGAGTCCCCCCGCACACTGATACAATTTCACTGTTAACCCCATCCTGGGTCGGCTGGCTAAGGGGGGTACTTAAGATTCTAGGTCACCGAGACACTTAGACACACTCAAGATGGTGTCAGCTTGGATCTGTCAGAGGTTGTGTGTGGGCTGATGCACTTTTAACTTAAGATGCAACAGAGGCTGTCGGTGCATTAGGCTGAAAGTGTGAGTTTCCCGAACTTCTGCAGATGACAGAACTCTCTTGTAAGCACAGGAGAACCTCCTGCTCCTGAAGGAGTCAGCGCAGACTTCAAGTATGTCTTGGAGAGGGGGGGGGGGGTGCAGAGGAATAAATAGATTTACCATTGAGTGAAGTAACTGCATACTGACAGAACTGAGCAGAAAGAGGGGGAGAGGGCGCATTTGAGGAGGGAGACAGGAGACCGTAACAGCCAAACGGCATGATGCAGACTAAGTCAAGGGACAGAGATCATAAGAAATGACAACTTTCAGTTAGACATCACTTGCTGCCTCTGAGGGTGGGGTGGGGTGTGGGGGGGGGGGGGAGAGGGGTGGGGACGTGTCTGGCGTCTGGCCACATGGTTTTCCCTCCCACTCCTGCTCTCCTTCTCTCTTTCTCACACACACACACACGCCAACTGTCCTCAGCCAGCTTGACCATCCAAATATGAGACATCACTTCTTGTTTTTTGGCAGACTCTGAATTATTCTCAGTTTATATCTGCCTATCCACTTACCTCCTCTGCCTCTGTGTTTTCCTAAAATTAACTTGACTTTTCAGAGGAATTTCAGCATTTTCTGTTTAAGTGTCTATCCCCTTTTAATTCTATGATATTTTGAATAAAACAGATTTTTCTTTATGACTGCAAATAAAATGTACTGCAGGCTGTGTGTAGACAGTCCTACATCATGACAGAAAAGCAGTCCCAGTCTGCAGTTCCTCTCAGCTTCACCGGCTGTTTTAGCACCTTTCAACGCTTTTTGTTTGTTTCACATCTCACATGTTTAACAGGTTTTCAGTCTACAGCAGCAGTTAGCTGTTCAAAAATGGAAAAAGAACTCATTTTAGTATTATAGACTTAAGAAAGTAACGGTCATGGATATCTGCTGTCAGTGAAGCCAACGCCCGCAATAGGAACTAAAATGTAATAGATTGGATATGGATTTTGGGACTTTTCTTTTACATATATGAGAAAACAGCACAGAAAAAGAAGATTACCCTTTTTGAATCAAAGTAAACATTTGGTCAATTTCTTGTTGTTGTATCTTAATGAATAAAATTGGAAAGAGACAGGAGATAGTACATCAGAGAGAGAGCATCCAAATTTCCTCTGGGGGAGCTGTTGACAGGTAAAAGTTCCTTTCATTAATGGCACAAAAAGCTTCAAACAATAACTGCTTAAATAGCTGAACCACAAATAACCCTTATATCAACTCAGTGGCCTAGTTTGGACCCTAATGTCTAAAAGTAAAAGTTATCAAAGAGTTTGTGAAAAAGATTTTTTACATATAAGCCTGATATTTTACCAAGGGATCTTTCTAAACTACCCAAAAGGAAGTCAGTTAGTATCTAGGAAATAACGTACTTTTCCTGAGGATGCTGTCTTTCTGTTCAAGTGAAATTGTTGTTCATACTGGCAAGTCATCAAGCTATCTAAACCAATAAAACGCATGACCTCCTGAAGCATGACCTTTATTCTGAGCTCTTTCTGTAGTTAAGACAGTCAGTCCATTGTTCACACAAGTATTGCTTATTGCATCAATTATGAGGTTTGTTATTTTTAGCATTTAGTTAAATCTTTACATTTAAACAGAGAACTAAAAACAGATCAGAGTAGATTTTTAAAAATCTACTGATCATGCAATAACTACAAGTGTTAAAATGACTAATTGGTGTACTTCTAGCACAAAACAGAGCAATTCAACAGTCAGTGAAATATTAAAGTAAATTTAGGAAAAATACAAATCTGAAAAGCCTTTACTGGGCAACATTGCCTGTGCACATATTGTAAAGGTGAGTGTATATATGATAAAAGTCACACCTGAACATGAAACTGGTGAACTGAGTGTAGCTGTTCTCTGAATCTCTGGAGCCAGAAAGTCTATTAACCAAATTTCACTGATGCAGCAGCAAAAGACTGATGTCATCATCACTCTGTAATTGCATCTCAAATGTGTGTGTGTGTGTGTGTGAGTGAGAGAGAGCGATAGAGAGCCTTTTCTGACATAATTGTTGAGTCTGGCAACCAGGAGTTTGCAGCAGCACCCAAATGCTGAATGACACACATTTGTTTGGCCATTACGTTTTAGGGTTAGACTCTCATAAAGGTTACTGCAGGAGTTCAGGATCAGTCTGGGGTAATGGGCTAGGGAATGCAACATGACAATGGCGAATAAGACAAGGACGTGTGTGTTCGCCCGTGTGGGTGGACGCAAGCTTGTGTGTGGGGGATGTATTTTGTGTTTGAGCGCAGTGTCAGCTGTATGATTATATGAACCTCTGCAGGAAATGTTGCTTTTTCTGCCTTCTGCATAAAGGTGTGTTTATTGGTGTGACTGCTTTTTCAAAACTGTCACCGAAATGCGCAAATATTAGATGTACAGGAACAAAATCATCTGCAAATACCACCATGTGTGAATGAAAATCCAAAGGGAGCAACATAAACCCATTTCCCCTGACCTGTCTTCATGAAGAACAACTAACACTATCAACCAGAGCCAGAGCTGCTTTCCTCAAAGATTGACATGCATGCATTGTTGAAATAGGTGTAAATTGATACACACTCATTCACCCTTTAGACTATTAATAGCGCTGTTTGAAAGAAAACAAACAAACAATTGGCTGTCTTGCTACAGCTAATGATGATAAAATAAATGTGTGTGTGTGTGTTGCAGGTGGGGAAGGAAACGGTTCAAACTACAGAGGATCAGCTGATGAAAAGAGACATGCCTCCTGCTTTTATTAAGTGAGTTTGTAACTGAGCCAGCGCACTTGCTCTGGGGGAAAGAACTCAGCTGCTGTCTCACCCACTCACAGTGTCAAAATTCTGAATACGAACCACTTTATCTCAGCAGACAGAGAACTTTTTTTTATTTATTGGAGGGGATTCCAGGCAGTTTAATGTTTGGAAATGTGGCTTCAATCCCAGCTGCAAAAAAAAAACAAAAGGCCACTTCTTACGCCGAGCTCGTGCTCACGCCAGCATCCAGACCTCTGAGAGGCTGGTAGTTGTTTTCCAGCTTGCATCCCAAACGCTGACATTAAGTCAGGGTGCCGGAGGAGAGCTGCTTCTCAGCACTTCTGGGAATCCCACATCAAGCTACTTGTCTGTGGGAATTTAATATCACCCATTTTAAGCTAGCTCTGGCTCTTGTCCTCACTAGTTTTTCATTTACCTATTTTTTTTCTAACTTTTCCACAAAAATGGTGCAGATCTTAAACAGATCGACATACCTTGTTCTTGCTGCACGCTCAAACATACATGGGGCACTACACCATAAATCTCACTCACAGGGCTTAGGAGGGGGCATGTGGGAATGCGAACCCACCTAAATATAGACAAACCAGAAGCCATTGATACCCTGACCAATGGGGTCAGAAAAAGGAGGTTTGTGGCTTTATCTGAATGCCTTTAAAATGTGTTCCCATCTGGTTTGTAACATTGTGAAAAAAATTAATATTAATAAAATTAATTTATTTTCACCTATTCTCAAATTTTGTAGCATTGACTGTTACATGATTACCTCTAAGGTTTATGACCAGATTTTTTCCAGATTAAGATCTTCAGATTGAATTTCAAGTTTGGACCCTAATGAAATAAGGTGGCAAAATCTTTAGCCAGTTTTTGTGTTTTTATATCAAGTTTTCTTTTCTTACTTGTGCTATACACATTGGATGGTTTCACTACAGCCTGAAGCATTTGTTTGGACTTTTAAAACCAGCTGTATGTTTTCAGGGTGGAGAACTCGTCCTCAAAGCTGGTCCAGGCAGCCCAGATGCTGAAGGCAGATCCATATTCAGTTCCTGCTCGGGATTACCTGATCGACGGATCCAGAGGGATTCTGTCTGGAACGTCCGACCTGCTCCTTACCTTTGATGAAGCAGAGGTGTGTGTTTTTCTGCTCTGCGTGTGTGTGTCCTGACACTCACTCTTACTTCAGAGGTGCTTTGGTATCTTTCAGAGAAATAAAGCTTTTTATAGCAGCTGCACAGAGGAAGGAAGAACTCTTGGAGCTTGAAGCTGTAATGGAGGCTCAGATGCAGGCAGATCTAATCACTGAGATCAAATGACCTCCCTCTGTCATAACTCAGGATGTGGGTTTGTGTATGTGGCTGGTTCTGCGTGGGCATGTGTGCACTCATGCGCAAAGGTTAAATGGTAGAAACATAAGTGGAATCACACTGGACACGTGATTATGCTCACCATGTCTGATCACCGGCCTCATTTTCGAAAGAGTCCCTTTTCTCAGTCACAAGATGTACATCACAAGACCGTAAAGGCACACAAAGGCATCACACAAACAAGCAAGTAACCTCATCAGGGTTTATAAAAAGCTTATGCAGCTTAAAAGGGAGGTTTTATTGTCTCTGTTAGCTATGCTTTTCCTTTAAGCCTGCTATCTCACCTGTGATTGTGTGTGTGTTGTCTCCTAGGTGCGTAAGATCATTCGTGTATGTAAAGGCATCCTGGAGTATCTGACAGTGGCTGAAGTGGTGGAGACCATGGAGGACCTCATCACTTACACCAAAAACCTCGGACCAGGTCAACAGATTTGTTGGAACCTCTGTTAGAGTCCTTTTAACCAGCAAAATGTTTTTTTTGTATTTCCTTTTAGCCTGGACATCATTTATCTCTGGACAATCATTTATTGGTTTATCAAGTAGTAGATTGGCATTAGAATACATATATTCTGATAACATATTGATTAGGCATTTCACACAAGTAAATACATATTTCTGCTTTGAATTCTAAGAAACATTTTCACATCTTTCTTATTATATATATATATCAATGCAATAATCAACATTTTAAATGATGATATGAATTAGATAAATACAGTTGCTTTTATATTATGAAGAAAATCATATTATTACTGTTAGCTTGATGATACAGTTGAAAGGATTTGCTGCCAGTGTTTAAAAAAGTGCCATAAGTCAACTAATTATTCTCCATTTTCTATTAATATTTCTGCTAAAAATCCATGTAATCCACAAAAATGTAATAAATCAAAACCACTGACTGTTTCTTTGTAACCAAGATGCTGTAAGGGAATCTTTTTAATGGCTGGACAGCCATAAACAGGATATTATCATCAAAGGCTTCGAGCTAATTATATTTTCAGTATGGTGTGCCTTCCTAAGATAACTTGATGGATGCCCTCATTATATGAACACGTTTGTTTCTTAAATAAAAAACTCTAACTATGTTGGGGAATACACACAATTATAGCTGTATCAAAACCAGGTCATTTTCCATTTTACAGTCTGGTTGGTCCTAATTTTAGAATCTTTCTGCCTTCATACAATGATAAGAATCTTCTGTTTTACCTCTGTTTTCTTCAGGGATGACCAAAATGTCGAAGATGATAGAGGAGAGGCAGCAGGAGCTGACACACCAGGAACATAGACAGATGCTGCTCAACTCCATGAACACTATCAAAGAGCTGCTGCCTGTCCTCATCTCAGGTCCGTATGTGACTTTGTGTGGGCAAACGTTAGGGTAGGCCACTGAGCATCCAGCAGTTGTTATAGCAACGCTGATAATTACAGTGATTAGGAGCTTGGCTTGTGAGACTGACAAAACACGGCCCGCTGGCAGCTTCGCCAGGATCTCCCATACAATCTACTGCACCAGCTAAGAAGACTGAAGAGAACTGTTTAAGCCTTTATAAGCCCCATGGTGAAACATTTTTCATGTTCCAATAGTTCTGTACAATACATTCCTCAAGGAAGGTATCCAACTATTTTGCAGCCTAAGAACAAGATATCCCATAATTGTATAATTCTAAAAGATTTTCAAAGTAGAATCAGAAAGTATTGTACATAAAGAAAAACGTAGACAATTCACCCCCAGATTCAACTGTGATATTTGCAGACCCTTATTTTAACCCCAAACTAATCATTCTGTTAACTGTCATTATGTTTGAAGAATTGTATAAAACCAAAGCAGGCAGCAGTTTTGTCTGAGCTGCTCATGAACTTGAATTCCAAAGGCGTGCTGTAGTTGCAATAAGAGAGAGGTACAATATCTAAACCAATGTTGGCTTTATTGTTTCTTCTTATAAAACACTTCTGTATGGATGTATTTTATCATTTTAGCTGTTGTCGCTTTTTCAATCCTCAGCCATAAAGATTTTTGTTGCTACCAAGAGCAGTCGAGGTGCCGGTGTCGAGGAGGCAGAGAGGAACAGAAGGTTCACCTTTGAGAAGATGAGCGCTGAAATCAATGAGATCATTAGGGTTTTACAACTCACCACGTGGGATGAAGACGCATGGGCTAATAAGGTAAGGAATAAGAATCGGCTCAAAGAAATCCCCACATTCTGAAAGGAGAATATCACTTTTTCCTTTGGAGTACCCATTGGCACACACGTACTGTTTACTGATTCACAACGTTGCATCTAAAAGAAACTCTCTACTTAGTTTTTGCTTTCTGTTTCCACTTTTCTTTTTGCTCGCTAGTATAACTCCTGGTTTTTCTTTTTCCTTTTCTTTCTTTACCTTCTTCCTCCATTCTTTTCCTCCTTGTAGAAGGTAAGCCTGTTTCTCTCCCCCCTCTGCAGTCTCCAGCATGCAAGTGTGTGTATGTGTGTGATTTGGTTTTGTTTTTTTAACAGAGGACATTTCTTCTCCTGTTTGCCCAGTCAATATCATCTATATCTGTCATTCAGCTAATCAGCAGGTGGTGTGTTTTAGTGCACTGAGGGTTAGGTCATGTGCAGTGCACATTCTTCATCATGACTGCATATGTTGTTACATGTGCATCTGTCTGTCCTAAATGTCCATTTGAGCAAAATGGCTTGAAACAGATGACAGATAAGAGTACTTCCTTTTTACAATAGCTGCCTTAGAAATCCAGTGCGTCTTTCCTCATGTTGTTTTCTTGCTTGTGTTGTTCTTTGTGCTGTGAGATAGCTAGCCATAGAATCAGCAACAAGCCATTTTAAACAGAGATAACTTCCATGGAAAGACATTTTGGACATCAGTGGCAAAGTTTGCAATGAGGTCATTTATATTTAAGATCTGTTTCACTTGTCTAACCTGCAAACCTGCATGTTTTTATGCACACAGCTTCCTCAGACAATGATCTGTCTGTATGTGTATGTGTGTTTGCTGTGGAAATACTGCACACTTACTGTATAAGCTCTGATAAGCACTTACTGTCAGTGCTCGAGGGAAACCGCTGGCACGCGAGGACTGCAGTCCTCTGGGGTCATGAATTATAGATATAAGCTGGTTGGTGTCCAGACACATCCATAATAGATGGGCTGTATTGAGTGGTTCCACTTATGCAGTTCATTCTTCTTTTAGCTGGAAAAAGCTTTTTTTCCAGCCCTACTGTGTAGAGATGGCAGATTACACATGTAAATGTGAGGTGGGTGAACTCATCTAAATGTGTATTTTTTCCTTTTATATTAATTTCTTGTCTTAAATCAAACATCTGCTAAATTTTTAATTATATCTGATAGCAATTTCACTTTCATGTAACACAAAATGATGTTTCAAATGACAGTATTCGTGCAAATGGAGAACTCCATACTCATGCTAGTACAATTCACATTTTATTGAACCAAGAGTGTTTCAAAAGAAAGTGGGATTTGTTTACATTATTGAAACAAAGTATTTTAAAGTTATTTAAACCATGTATTCTGAATTAACTGAAAAAATACAACATGTTACTATTTCAGCTCAAACTGGGAAATTTTATTTATTTCTGTTCGTGCACAAATTTGCCATGTAAACTTTTTTTTCAGTTTAGAAAGAAAGGGAGAGCATCTCACAAATTATGATGCTGGTTGATTGTAGTATCATCCAAGATATGCTTGTTTCTAGTTCAAGAACTGCTAAAAATTTTAACCTAAGGTAATCCTGAAAAAAGGTCATATAGAAAGACATTTCAGGCCACTAACTTATTGAAAATGAACTTTAAGTTAAGTGGAAAACTATCGCGTGGTCTTAAACATCAAAATGTTAAGTGAATTTTTTAAATCATGTACACTTAGTCTGATAGAGTTTAAAAAGAAGAATGATTTGGAATTTAAGTTGGTGTGAGATGGTATTCATGCATATGGCATGGACCATAGGTAAAACAACCATGATATGCTAAACAACACGTGTAGATTTTGGAGTAATCATTCTGCAGTTCAGTTTTATTTTATTTTTTTCATGGAAGGAGTTGCTCTCTGCATTCTGCATGTATTACACCAGCATGGCTCAGCAGTACAAGGCTCTTGTGTTAAACTGGTCTGCTCCCAGTTCAGATCTCATCCAAAATCTACAACTAAACGCTTTGCACTTTGCTAAGCTGCTGAAAACCAGTAAAAATCGGAAGTGAAGCAATATTAACTAAAGACAAAAGCAGCCATATGCGGTTATAGAGGGATTAACAATACGATGCTACCCACTGGTAAATGCAAACCTGTATAACTGTCTTTTCTTTTAATCTGTCCCTGTCATCATATTCAAAATGAGAGACCTTCAATTATAGGAAAACCACAATCATTCAGTACATGCATTGTCTCAGATTTGATTGTTTTATCAAATATATGTAACCTGCTGATGAATTAAATAATGATAATAGTGACATAACTGTTTTCAGTGCATGAGGCATAATGCGATTCATAGTTTTCTCACTGTAAAACTACATGTGTAGCGTTTCATTTACACAAACCGCTGAGCCTCTGTTGCTGACAGTGTCCTCCTGTTATACCGTCCTACAACCACAAATATAGTTGGTCTCCCAACTGTGTAATGCTTTATAATTACACAGTTGTTCAATATAAATATGTTGTTATTTTAATCGATTAACATAAAAATATAAAAAATGTATTTACGGCATAACGGGATTATGATTGTTCTTATTCAGTGTCTGATGCTTCTGTAGTTAATCTGAACAAAAATCAGATTTTTCTCCTCACCTCAGGATATGGAGGCTTTGAAGAGATCTCTGGCTTTGATTGAGTCAAAGATGGCACAAGCTAAAGGCTGGCTAAAAGACCCTCATGGACAGCCAGGTAACCATGTGTTTAGCCCTCTTGCCCAAGAAACCTTCACCTAAAGCAGTGAATCACCACTTTGTGTTATAAACAGCTGGTGCTGTGGCACTTTGTGCTTTTAGGAGATCCTGGCGAGCTGGCATTATGTGTGATACTGGACGAAGCAGGAAAAGTAGGAGAGCTGTGTGCTGGGAAGGAGAGGAAAGACATACTGGCAACCACCAAGGCTCTGGGACAAATGACGGACCAGGTGGCAGATCTTCGCGCCAGGTAGCATGGTGTTTATGTTCAACTGCTTCTTGAGCTGTGCTCTGCCTTGTTATTCTGTTGTGTTTCAGCTGAGTGTGTTGGTTGTTTCTGACAGAGGCCAGGGCCCGACTCCAGGATGTGTGCAGCGTGCTGGCCAGTGCTCTCAGGGCTTAGATTTGTTATTTGGCAAAGTGGACAGTGCTGCACGCAGACTGGAGGCTCTAATCAATGCCAAGCAGGCCATTGCCAGGAGACTGGATGCTGCACAGGTCAGAAAAAACACATACAGTTAATGCTAACATCTATGTTTATAATATTCATGCTTCTTTAAAAAAATCTTTTTACAAGACAAAGTGAAGTAGATAAGATTACCACCTTAATTGTTGATTTATGGGTACTGGATGTCTCAGTCTCATCCTTTAAGTACGTTTCTCAGGTCAGTCATTCATTTTTCATCAGATGTAAATAATGTCAAACTTGTGCATCATTAGGCATGGCTGGCAGATCCTAATGGTGGTCCTGAAGGGGAAGAGAACATCAGGGCGCTTCTAGCAGAGGCAAAACGTATCGCAGATTTATGTGAAGACCCCAAAGAGAGAGATGACATCCTGCGCTCTATTAGTGAGATTGCCGGACTCACTGCCCGGCTCATGGAACTACGCAAACAGTAGGTATTCCACCTGAGACCCCACAATTAAAGTGTTTTGTAATTACTTCCTTTAATGCCTGGACCCTCCTCTTCCAGGCTCAGACTACAACCACATTCCACCAATAGGTGGATTATTATACCTACCTGGACAAAATGTTGTTGCCCGTCAACCTAGGGTGTCAGTCCTAAAAATATAAAGGCTTTTTATATAAGATGTGATTGGCTTGTTCTGTTGGTTAAGAGAAATGGCAACACAGTGAGAAATAAATCTGGCAAAAAGCACTTGAAAATAACTCAGATCCTTGTTCTTTTAAATAATGAGTATTTCATTCTTCTTTTTTTTTCTTTTTTCTGCTGCAGTTAGGAACCAAAACCAAAAAATTCTTTAAGCTTTTATCTACACCAAACCTGCAGATCTTGACTTGAAATGACAACAGCTTCTCTGGTCTAAAGCGGGCATTATCAAGAATTTTCTAATCTGGAACAGAAAGTACAGCACATTAGTCACACATATATATATATCATATAGGAACTAACAGTACAAGGCCAAATAAGATATTTTACCCTCTCTAGATCTCTTATCTTCTATATTCTTGCTTTATTTTTAGAATGGAACACTTCTACTTATTTTTCTTTTTAAGACAGAAGAGATCATTAAAGTTCTAAAGCTTTTTAGAAGACCACAGTTCTTGACAAAGGCTTGTACCGTTTTGTGTGGGGAAATAAAACGCATACATATTTGTAACAAGAAACATTATTATTATTTCCTCATATTTACCCTTAATTTTAGTGTCTCTGTTATGCTCTCAGGGGTAAAGGTGACAGCCCAGAGGCCCGTGCACTGGCGAAGCAGATTGGGGCAGCACTGCTGACCCTACAGTCCAAAACCAACCGTGCTGTGGCCAGCATGAGACCAGCCAAGCCTGCCGTCACCTTGGAGGGCAAGATGGAGCAGGCCCTCCGCTGGGTGAACAGCCCTGGGGTGGATGACAGGGGAGTAGGTAAGAATAGTCTCTTTTTTAACCTGTGGGATGAAAAATGTGTCTGTGGTCCATGAAGAAACAAAGTGTTTTTACGCAGGAAACTAAAGTTTTTGGTACAGAAGTGACTGGGCCATTTCCTCAGATGCTATCTATGATGTATTTTATCCATGAATCACTGGATGACTAACTTGGCTTGCTTAAAGTTTTGCTTTGATGCTTTGTTCTGCTGTTTTCCTGCTCTGTCATTTGATGGTTTCCTCTTGTTTCCCATGCTTCCGTATGGAAGCAGAGTGTGAAAAGCTTGAGTGGAACACAGGTACATGACAACTACACGCTGTCTTGAATAGCAACAAAGACTATATTCAGAATATTATGACAGTCTAGACACAGTATCATGTACCAACACAGTGTACCACAAAATGGCACCCACCTCTTTCTAAGATAGAGACTGCAAAGCAGTGAACAGTTCAGCCTTTGCTTAACTTCCATGCTTACACATGGAACCCACACATGTACTTCACAGTTATTTAACACCATACATTGGTGATATATCAGACTTACAGATATTTAGAGTTCTTTCTTGTGTCGCTCTTAAGGTCAGGCAGCAATCAGAGGCATGGTTGGTGAGGGCAGGCGGCTGGCAGGAGGCCTGTTAGGCCCATATCGACAGGACATGGCTGGACGCTGTGACCGGACAGAGGCTCTGATGACATCTTTGGCCGACCTGGCCGGCAGGGGGGAGGCTGAGGCTCCTCACGCACGAGCAACCGCTGCACAACTGCAGGACACCCTCAAGGTATCCCATTGTGGCACGTGCCCATGCTTGAAAAATGCAAAAGAACTATTGAGTTTATGACATTTTCAGATCTAAGATCAATAAGCTTCCAAATGTTTTTTTTTTAAATGGAAACCCCCCCAAAAAAACATTGTTTGATTTTGTGGAAAGTGTTGATGCAGAGCTCCATCTAGAGGACACATTCTCTCTCTGCCTCTCACAGGACCTGAGACAGCAGATGCAGGAGGTGATGACCCAGGAGGTGTCCGATGTTTTCAGTGACACCACCACCCCTATCAAGCTGCTGGCTGTGGCTGCGACTGCCCCGCCCGATGCCCCCAACAGAGAAGAGGTCAGTAGTGAACAGAAATGAGCGTCACCAGTAGATTAAAAAAGTAATCCCCGAAAGGTGATGAGAGCTGTTTAAACTCCTACTGTGCCATATGTTTCGGTTGTCACAGCAGGAGGGGAACTGTTCAAATCATACTGTGTTGATTCCCCCCCAAAAATGTCTTCTATAGGTTTTTGAGGAGCGTGCCGGGAACTTTGAGACCCACGCAGGTCGGCTGGGAGCGACCGCAGAGAAGGCAGCTGCTGTTGGAACAGCCAACAAAAGCACAGTGGAGGGCATACATGCTGCTGTAAAACATGCCAGGGAGCTCACGCCACAGGTGCGCCCATTTGCCTCCGTGCGGTTGATTTGCATAAAGAGATAAACTGACGAGGCGTGCGGCTGTTAAACACACTCACTGGCGTGTTTGCTAATGTTCAGGTGACCTCTGCTGCTCGCATCTTGCTGAAGAATCCTGGCAACAAAGCAGCTTACGAGCACTTTGACACCATGAAAAACCAGTGGATCGACAATGTGGAGAGACTCACTGGTGAGGACTCTTTCAGTTTTCATCTTTTAATTTGTCATAACAGCCAGTGACACTGGATTAATTGAAGAAGATTAGTTTGAATAACAAGATCAACCTATGCTTGTGTGTGTGTTTTAAGGTCTGGTTGATGAAGCCATCGACACCAAGTCTCTGCTGGATGCTTCTGAAGAGGCTATAAAGAAAGACATTGACAAGTGTCGTGTTGCTATGGCAAATGTTCAACCTCAAATGCTTGTTGCTGGGGCAACAAGCATAGCAAGACGAGCTAACCGGGTTCTGTTGGTGGCTAAGAGAGAAGTTGAAAACTCTGAGGACCCACGGTTCCGAGACACTGTGAAACACGCCTCAGACATCCTCTCACACACCATTTCACCCATGGTGATGGATGCCAAGGCAGTGGCGGGAAACATACAAGATAAAGGTACAAAACAAATACAGTATTACAAAGAATGACTGAATTCTTTCTTGTTAAAACAAATGTTTTACACTCCACCCTTAGCTCTACAGAAAGCTTACTTGGACTCATGCATGAGGATCCTGGCAGCAGTTGGAAAGGTTAGAGAGGCTTTCCAGCCTCAAGAGCCAGAATTCCCTCCTCCACCTCCTGACCTGGATCAGCTCCATGTAAGCACGTTTATGCAATGATTTAACTTTTATCCAACCCAGAATGATCCTCCTGTTTCAGATGGATCCACAAGCAGATGTTAATGAATTTATTTTACCTGTAAAAGAAGTGCAATTCTCATCTACAACAAAAAAAAATTGAAGTCATATTATAATTCAGTAGTTGGTTTGGCAGCACTTGTGTGATAATACTGCTGATGGAAACTATTTCTTCAGGTAATTCATATGTTTTTTAAATGTTATTTTCCAGGTTAGTGATGAACAGGCCCCACCCAAGCCTCCATTACCAGAGGGTGAAGTTCCCCCACCTCGTCCGCCTCCTCCAGAGGAAAAGGACGAGGAGTTTCCGGAGCAGAAGGCTGGTGAGGTGCTCAGCGAGCCAATGATGGTAGCAGCCAGGCAGCTGCATGATGAGGCCCGCAAGTGGTCAAGCAAGGTCAGTTCCCACAGACATGGACATGATGCAGAAATCTATGTTGTTTATTTAGTTACAATCTTTTGTAGAGTGTTTTTAAGCAGAAGTTTTATTCCTGTTGTTCAATAAAGACCACAGGATACGCCTTTATTTTGCTCTGTTGGTTATAAGATGCCTCTCCAATGAGTACCTTCTTGTCTGCTGAGAAAATCAAAGTTTTCTGAAATTGTGTGGGCGCTTCCAATTTCAGAGGAATACTGGAAACTGTCATCTGTTCAAGCTCAAAGCATGTAAGGTTGTTAAGGGCTTGCGTCTACTATTACATGTGTGTACTTGCATGCACAGGTGGAAGATGGAACAATCCCGCCATCCATCCACATCAGGTGTACAGAACACTCCATTTAGCAGGCATCTCCTTCCATGTGTGTGTCCAGCAAACGTTCCTGCTGGAACAGTATAATGTCCTTTTGCTCTCTTTGTGTATCTCATAACCATTTATACCTCTACGACACTCCCAACAGTTTTTCCACAGCTGTAAAAAAAAAAAAAAAAAAAAAAAGGTGGGGTGGAAAACGAACACAAAACACTCTCATTATGGCGCCGTGTTACACTCAGCACTCTACTACAACACTAAATGAACTAGAGGGATGCCAGCCACTGCCTTTTGGATACAGCTAGACCTTGTTTGATTGTACTTTATCAACTGTCAACTCAACCACCACCTCAGGCGCACCATGAGCCTGCTGCCTTCCCAGACGCACTCCTCTTTCCTCTTTTTTTTTCCCCCATCAAAGCTGTTTGTGCTTTTGCGTGCACTTTCACCATCCTGCTCCTTTTCCATTTTCCTCCTCCCCCTTGCAAATCTCCGGTCCATTGTTCTTCATCCAGTGCCTCTCATGCTGTACTAAATGCCTTCTTTTCCCATGCTTCCTTCCCTCCTGCCATCCCTGGCTTTCTTGTTCCCCCTCCTTATTTCTTTCCCCCCTCTCCCTCCTCTTCCTCCTTCCCTCTTTTACCCTTTTTCCTTTCCCTCCTGTCTCAATCAATCCTCCTCCTCCAACCACCGCCAATCCCGCCCCCCTCCCCACTACCCCTGCCTGGCCCAGCCTGAGGATGAGGAGGCAGTAGAGGAGAGAGAGGTAGATGAGGAAGATGAGTTTACTGATGGTGAGGATGACTATGAGCCAGAACTGCTGATGATGCCGTCCAACCAGCCGGTCAATCAACCCATTCTGGCAGCTGCCCAGTCTCTGCACCAGGAGGCGCGCAAGTGGTCCAGCAAGGTCTGCGCACGTACATGCACATGAGCGCACACACACCAGCCCACCTGGGTCAGACAGTATTTGTCAAACGTCCACAGTGTCTTAGGACGCCTGGTTAGTCGAAAAGTACTGTTTGGCCCTGCTCACACACATGCACGCACAGCACAGCCACGCATGTGAACGGGTGATTGCGCCACACTCAGAGAGCCCTGCAGCCGGACCAGAAGCAGCGTCTGGAGTTCTAGCTCACTGTGACTGTGCAAACCCAGAGCTCTGCATATGCCACTACCATGGAAACCACCAAACAGCTGTTTTTTTTTTTACTGATGTTGCATTGTACTCCGACATGGCTGACAAACGGTTGTGCTGATGCCATGCTAAACATTAGCACTACAGGGGAAGGACAATGGGAATGGCAAGTTTTGTTTATTGCACCACAAACTGGTACTGGCTTCAAAAGTCCTTCCTTTATGTTCATGATTAGGTAAAGTAGCTCAAAGCAGGAACCGGGAGCTGTGTCGCGCTGTATCCTCTGTTGTCAGTCACTGGTTGTCTGGCCAACCCGTGAAACCAAGGATGACAGTTTCCCAAAGGCTCCTGGGTGACGTAGCTTTGACATTAGACTGCCTGCTCATCTAGTGTTTCACCTGCTTCTTCTCCTTAGTCTCAGGGTGTGCACTGATCACCTCAACAGTGTGAACATCATCTTTTAGGTACTAACCTAAGGTTGTTGGTGATGTCAAGACAAAGGTTGAATATTTGCTAGCTTCATCTCTAAGTGTTGAAGGATATGTGAACGCTTGCCCCTGACACTGCATGCAGCATGCTGCTAAACGCCTTTACACGTGATGCCTCATTTGTATTTCAAATTTGTTACCACTAAGCAATAATGTTAACTCATCTTTTGTGAACAGTAGCTTCATTGTTTGACACTTTCATCGCGTCACTAGAAAAATATTGGAGGAAACAAGGGTTCTACAGAGTGTCTCCCAACGGTCCAAGGTTGGGCCATTCTGCTGACAGCTCTCACCACGTCTGTCCCTGTCCCTTCTACATAGGGTAATGACATCATAGGAGCCGCCAAGCGGATGGCTCTTCTGATGGCAGAAATGTCTCGGCTGGTGCGTGGAGGAAGCGGGAACAAACGAGCCCTGATTCAGTGCGCTAAGGACATCGCCAAGGCCTCAGATGAGGTGACAAGACTGGCAAAGGAGGTGGCCAAGCAGTGCACTGACAGGCGCATCAGAACCAACCTGCTGCAGGTGAGGACAGGCTTTTACTGACCCAAATATGCTTTGTTTCTCTGTTTTTTCCATCAAATTCTAATCGCTTACTCTCTTTTGCAAAAGAGAAATAGTAAAGTAAGTCGTAATAAACTATGTAATTGCAGTCAAACATGTTAGGCATTACCGAATATCCATTCTAAAGGTCTTGGCTTAATCACATGCTCTTTCTCTTACAAAGGTCTGTGAGAGAATCCCTACCATCAGCACTCAGCTGAAGATCCTCTCCACGGTAAAAGCCACCATGCTGGGACGAACCAACATTAGTGAAGAGGAGTCAGAACAGGTAAAAGCAAAACAAAAGCCATTGAGTATTACGCTCATTTCCCAGAACTTCTTATTTCCCCAAATCTGTCGGTCTTACTGCATTCATCGGAATCCCACTGAAGGCCTTTCAGTGGCCTTCAGACTACAAAATGCCCTCATATGTGCTCTGAGCCCTTTTTATTTCCTAAATTACTTTAACACCTCAAAAAAGATTGAACATTTGCTTTGAACGCTGCTAATTTAAGTTTGAATGATCTGTTCCAACTAACTGGGCTATTGGGAACAGTTTTTTTAAGAAAAAAATAGCAAAATCTCAGCATGTTAGACAGACGTTTATAAGAGGTACACAATCACTGTACAGTGTGAAGCAAATTGTCTTTTTTATGTTTGTTTATATCGCATAAGCAATTTCTTGTTGACCTAAAAAATGTCATTTTAAAGCTCGGCATAACAAGAACCTATTTACTATTACCTATTCTTCATTTCCATCTCTGTTTATGTCACCAGGCCACAGAAATGTTGGTTCATAACGCTCAGAACCTGATGCAGTCGGTGAAGGAGACCGTCAGAGAAGCAGAAGCTGCCTCCATCAAGATCCGCACCGACGCAGGATTCACCCTCCGCTGGGTGAGGAAGACCCCCTGGTATCAATAAAAATACCTGGACACTGACACGAGTTAACAACCTCAGCGCTTCGAATGGAAACTACAGGATTATGAGCCATTCTCTGTTGTGGTTCGGGTGTCGGCACCAGGGACCGGTGGATTTGATACCATGCTAGTTTTATTTATTAGAGTGAGTTCAGCTTTGCTCTCTTTATCTTCAGGGGTGGAATCACGCAAGCTCATCAGAGACAGTTTTTAATATATATTTTTGGTATGTTGTGTTACAAAACTTTATCAGAATCCCAGGTATATATTTTTTGCATGGAATTTTTTCTATTTTCTAAATACAAATTCTGATGTTAAGACACTTAACTATTTGAATGTTTACTTTGAATTGTTTTTCAGTGAGTTTCTTATCATCTGTTGTACATACAATAATTGTTTGTTTTATGAATAATACTCAGCTTTACTCACTGAGTTTGACACTGAGGTGTGGAATCATAGATGAGCTGATGAGCTCTCCTCTCATGTTTACTTTTAGAAATTAATTACCGAAGATTTATGGATTCAAAGGTGATACATCATTACTGTGTGCAATGATGATGTTTATACTTGAAAAACTAAAAGGTCTTCTGAGTAAAAGGTTGTAAAGGAATTGAGGATTATTAGTTATGAGGTTTTCCCTTGATTGCAGGAAGGAAAACTATAACAACAGTGGTACAAGTGACAGTAAAGATTGGCTTACATGTTTTTTTTAAATGTTTTAATTTGACTGAACTGTAACAGTGTGTGATGCCAAAGGATCTGTTTTAAAATACTTTAAACTCATTCAGTTCTTCTATAACTCGAAAGCCAGGTTATAACAAACAATGCAGACTGCTTTCTTTACAGACACCGTAATGGTTTCCTCTGCTTTGCCTTATTTTCTATTTTATTTAATTTTTTTTATCAACTTGTAGTGCTTTGTGTCTGCACTCTGTAACAGTTGAACTGTTTGGGATTAGACTACAAACATCCTGTTTCTCCCTTTCCCCAGGCATACCCAATCTGAATGCTCTGTTTTGTTCTTAAATAACCCCGGTGGTTAACGAATAATATTAATATGTGATATGAGATATTGATGCCAGCCAAGCAGCAAATACTTTAGTTAAAACCAAAACTTCTTTGGTTGTTTTAGTCTAAATTTATAGAGAAAAACAAATATATATCTTACACACAGTCAGTGAATGTATATTTTAATTAACTCAGAGGTAATTTGTTGCCAATTTTCTTTTTAAATGATGGCTGAGCTAATTTAAGTGTTAAATTTAGATTCTGTATTTGTGTGTGTGTATGAGAGCACTTAATCTAAACAGTGTTGGTAAGCTGCCCCTCTGAAGTCAGAGACAGCTTTGAAAAAGCAACACGAAAGGTGAACAACACTTTTTTAGTTGGGCCTACTGGGCACGTAGCAGCCAACGGTGCTCATGAAGATCAACGGTTATACTTGATGTCTTCATTCACACCTTAAATGTACTCTAATAGCCGCTAGCCCTGCCAACACATCTGCTGTGCCTTGGAAGAATAAATTACTAAAAAGATGGTTGCAGTCGGTCTCTTAACTCGCTTTCACTGCCTGAAAAGTGCCAACACAGGAAAAGAGTGAGATCTGAGATACGGACCCCAGCACGGTGACAGGGATACACTTGTGATTGCATGAATAAGAAATAAGGAATCAAAAGAAATAAAAAAATATTTTAAATCTTTTATAAGACATCTTATAAACTGGCATGTTGCCTCACATTTACAGAGAGCTTTAAGTAATATATCTCATGGGGAAAATTGATTGTGCAAGTGCTGTTCCAGGTAAAGAGGTGATAGTAGGAATTGTGTGAGTATCTTTAAGATTTTAGCATGCTTTTTAAACAACTATCCCACATTTTGCCAGAATTACTAATTCATAACTACATAATTTCTGTCAAACTACACTAAGTACCTTAAATGAAAGACAATTTTCATAAATGATAACTTCACATTTCCTAAGCATGCAGTTTGTGCTGTAGTGTGTGCTATACTGAGCACCTTCAACTGCTCTTACAAGGCCACATTTACACAGATTGTGCAAAAATATCCACGCTGCAACTAGTCCGACAATCAGATTCTTAAAAAAAAAAAAATCAGAACATTCATAGGTATAAAAATGTCTGTCATATGTGAAAAGATCCTTGAATGCACATCTGTTAAGTTCCAGGCGATTGTTCAGGTGCAGTGAAGTCCAAGACAGAAGAAAGTGTCCTTTTCCGTTAAAATATTACAATTTGGCAGCAGACAGATTGCAGAAGGAATGATCCATAGAGTTTTGCACATTTAAACAAGATAGAAACAAATAGCACTTTAACAAGGTCACATTGATTATTAAGGCTTCCCTTTATAGGCCACAGACAATCCAGACACACTTATGTAATGCCAAATATATAATAAATAGCTGTTAGAGTGTAGAAGTGTTCAATAATAGCAATGCTCCTGTGAATACTGGAGACTTATTGGGGAGCTGATGTGAACGAGCACCCTCGCCCCTTTTTTTGGCACAGTGGATTACTGATCACAGCACTCAGGTCCGCACTTGGAATTTTCCTGCTTTAGTCACATATTTGACCCCTTTGAAAGGCTTGTACTTCTCCCCGTACATGTCAAGGCGACTCACCTTAAGGCCTGCACAGAAGGGAGAAAAAGAAAAAGACAGGCGGATTCATCCTGCAATGTGAAACCCAACACTGTTACAGCCACCTAAACCTTTAACCTTCACAGCAACACACCGCAAAGAAATTACGAGGCTGGATGAGCTGCTTAGCAACTTGTTTTTGTTTGTACTCAAAACCTGAGTTTAAATAACAAGTTTATAACCTTTTGAGGAGTTTATTTAAGCCCCTAGAGTCACATCTCATCAAAATGACTCATTTTAAGAAGACAATTCACCAATATCTCACCCACCATAAAAACACCACATGGGTGTGTTAACAAGCCTAAAAACTGGATTTTTGTTAGAAAGCGGCTTTAAAAGGTGAGGAAGTCTGGAATACCTGATATAGCCAGCTGCTGAATCTTCAGATCAATGTTGAGGGAGGGGTTCTCCTCAGGTTTTGGGACTCCGACCTGCATACTCAGGCTGCCTCGTAAGGTGGGAAGCTTCTGGGGGTTGAGTTTCCCAATGTCCCAAACTAGCACCTATCAAGACAGAGTTACTCAAATTTAGGCCAATGGACAGCCATCAGTTAGCGCTTGCATATCTAAAAGAATTTAACAGTGTAATAGCTAATTTAGCACATAGGAGAAAGAGTGACTAAGACTATGCAATGAAATGAAAAAAAACTAGGCTGACTGGATATGAAAGTCAGTTCAAATCTCTTCTTAGCAGTGCATCACTGCAGAAAGAAACTTTCTTTGTAGTTGGTTACCTTGTTATTGAGGTCATAAGTGTAGTTTCCCTGTGTGGCTGTGAGATTAACACTGAGAACAGACTTTGGCATGTGGATAGAGACCATCAAGCCCTCCACAGTCTTCCCCATGGTCTGCTTTGGTCCAATGGTAATCTCCAGACGGCCAAAGGACCCCGTCTCTAAAAAGCTGATGTTCTGCTTCACATACACCGGAATGGCTACAAGACTGAGGAAGGAAACAGACAGGCAGTGCTGTCATCAGTCCAGATTGTTTCTGGCTTACTTCCCCCTCAAATAGCAAGAAATAACACTGTCAACAAATGTATCTCTGCTGACATCATGCAAAAGAAAAGAGAAATATATTTTCATCCAATACAATAAAATTATTTTGGGCCACACCAATGACTCGTTGAGTAAACTGATTTAATTTCATCAGTTCTTGGGACCAGAAAAGGACTTGATAAAGTCCAGTTTTACAGCACCCTTTTCAATTTCATTGTTATAGAATAAAAAGTAAGGGGGCAAAAGTGGTGCAGGCACTTACTTTTGAGAGCTAACATGATAGGACATGAGTGTGAAGTTTCCGTCGGGCGGGATGAAAGACAGGACGCGCTCCGCCTCCCAGCGCTTGAACCGCACACATGGGTGGAAGCTCACGTCATCCAGGAGACGTGGGTTCTGTTCACATCAACAACAAGCGTACTGATAACGCACATACTGCAGGAAATAAAAGCACAGAGCTAAAAGAAAAAAGACAAACCCACCATGAAGGACAGAGTCAGGTCAGGCATCCCGGTGAGTCTCACGCAGGCTTCTATCACACCCTGGATTTCTGCAAACACGGTGGTACCTGAGAAGAGACAGATCTACTTAAATGACCGGACAGAAAAGGACAGGTGTAACAGGGATGAACATTCTCTTCATCCAACTGGCGATTAAAGATGTTGATTCTCTGTACCTGATTTGTCCAGAATGGCATCAATCTCCTCTATCACATCAAAATACGCCTCGTTATTAGTGTACTTCACACCAGCCCGCCTCCACGGGATGTTAGACAGCTGACCCGTCGGTAAAGTGTCTCCAACATTACTGCCACCTGAAAAACAAGCACAGCCCACTCAGTGCACACTCCACTTTTGCATGGTGGTAAGCAGACAGAGGTCCAACCATCACGGGTTGACCTGCGTTTACCTGTGAGCGTATTGACCACCGACCGCAGGATGGTCGGAGGCCTTATCATCTCCTTGAGGACATTGGACTCGGTCGCCAGCGGAAACCCATTGTCCAGCATCTCCTCCAGCAGCTCATAAACAATCACCAGGTTTTCCTTGATAACACCTTCCGAACATTCTCCAAAGTAATCCTGTTTGCAAAAATGCACAACTCACAGATGACATCTCCAGATTTACACGGTACATTGAGAGGTGATCACTTAACTGTTAACAGTGTAAGTAATACTAAATAAAAACGTTTTTTGAGCAACTGTACTATTCTAACAACTTTCATGCTCTTCTAAGAATTCTAAGTCAATATTTGCTCCAAATGATCAATGACCTAATCAAACCGCAACTCCTGACTATTCCTTTTAGCCAGCTGTGGCCGAGTTGCTCCTCTATTAACTGAGCGCACAGCACTTTGCAAAACATCAACTAGAGAGAAAAGAAAGAAAATGTTTTGAATTATTAATCAGGTTTCTTTGCTAGCACAAACACATAGCAGTCATTAGAAAGAGGGGAAAACGCCAAAGAAGCTTTTTAAATTAGGGAGTTTCTTCAATTGTCTGTTGGGTTGTCTTATTTGTGGCAAAAGTATGAATGTATTTGGTTCTTTCTCCTTTGGACCTTGTCTAGTATATCTCCAACTTTGTTGTAGGAAATAGTCCTCATTGAACCCAAAGCCTGGTTACAAGGCAACAAAGCAAACATTTCCAACCTTGATAGTGGACGGCTCCCCTCAGCTTGTGAAATGCAGTTAGTTCAGTGTTACACTGAACTGGTGATAGTTGCGGTTTGGGTTTGGTGAACAAACACAGACAGAAGTTGAGTCAACATACATGACAGATCTACACACCTAAATTGGCCTTACAATTAATAAAAAGAACTGGACACAACAATATGAAACCACATTTTATAGGAAAACTACTACCACTTGATTAACTTACCTGGAATGTATCTGCCACTCTGTGCAGGAACTCAATGACAAAGAGAGGGGGGACTTCAGACTGAATGACAGAGAGGAAGAAGAGTTTTCCCCTGTAAATGCTGATGAGATAGTGGTGTGGGGTCTGCAGCACTGGGGGCACATTCTCAGGGTCCACTGCCTTCTCCTTGGCCTCGAAAAAGTAGTCGCACACACTCCGACCGATGACACTCTTCCAGTGTTTCTCCAGGAAGATGTCCCCAGAGTGATTAATCAGGAAGAGGCTGTGGATCATCTCAGCTGCAACAATGAGGTTGCTGTTGTTTTTAATGGTCAAATGAATGAGTGGCACACTGTGACTACATCAGCAGTTCTACGAGACAGTCTTCCGTTATATTGTTCTGCAGTCAAAACAATGCAAGAAATGTTGTTGTATAAAGCAGTACCAATGGTTTGCAATCATTACCTCCAGTAAACGGTGAAAACTAACTTTAAACTAAGGTAACTTCCCCGGCTATTTAGCAACCTGACATGAGACATTTCGGACATCTTCACAAACTTAAGGCTTGAAATGAAATACATTCTAAATAAATCAAAATAAACGGCTATTTGAATAATATCGATAACTTGTTTAAAGTTTTACCTGTTATGTCCAGTTGTCTGTGCCTAAATTACTCCTGGGTGTCAATATGGCAGAGTTGCCAGAGTCGCTGAAAAGACGCCTGCAGATTTTTGCAAACGTCAGCGTCCACCACGTCACAGCTTGGCGTGGTCACAAAATGTGAGTGGAGCCCGTGAATGACAAATTAAGTGTTAAAGTGTATAAAGTGACTTCAGTAACCCAGTAATCGACTCGACCTCCCCTTTCAATCCAAAGTTTCCCTCTTTTTAGTCAGGCAGCATGTACGGGCAGCTACACTTTGAAAATGCCCGTATTTTTGGGTTATTTTACCCTGCGTAAATCCTTACAGGGACTCTCAAACGTCACAACAGTAGTGACAATTAAGCATGTATGTATGATTAAGATGCCTTAGTCTCTCTCGCAGATTACTTTTGATTGATTTTTTGTGCTACTTATGATTCTAAAGGGATTACATGTATATACATACAAGCTTGTATGTGTATAAGTGGACGAAATGAGGGCAATGGCACTTACTTTTAGAACCTTGATATAATCTCACTTTTTACTTTACGCACATCAATTTCAGCAACAACGGACAATGTCAAGAAATAGCTGAACCTACCAATTTCACTACTGACCAAATAGGTTAGATATGTAGAGGTCCAATTACAAGAAGTGGAGGTTTAACAGTGGGCAAAAACATCAAGTTCGTAAGAAGCAATGCAAAAGACCACAAGCAGCCTTTTTTTGGACAGTTGTGAATATGTTGTAGAAGACTTCAACACTTTACTTGAACCCCACTAATACAGACCAGTACATACTTTTTGATTCTTTGACAAACTGAATGTTGTCATATGTGCAATGCAGCGCAGCAAGGAGTGTGCAGATCATTCTAAATAAGAAAGAGCAAACAGCAGCACTGTAGACCGAGAATCTCCATCAACCTTTTGTAAAATGGGTTTGTCAGCCCTCCACACAAGACAAGATACATTTAGAGATAACTTAGAGATAACTAAATGGAGAAAAAAAAATCACCAAACTGTTTTACTTCAAAGCATTGACATTTCTTTATTTCTAATATCATAAACAAAAAAGAGAAATCGTAAACCTATTTAAAAAGAAGATTGCTTAGTTTTAGTTCATGGTTGAACACATTTTTTGAAAACTTCTAACAAGAAATGCCATGTGAAATTCTGACGTGTGCAGGTTCTTGTTCTCTGTTGATATTAACATGTACTGTGTGCTACATTGGGTTTGTTATTGTTGTTCTGTGAAAAGTTTCCAAAGCCAGTCAGTGGAGGTGTTGGGGGTGAGGGGGGGCAGCTGCCTGTAAGACTGCGCTGAGGGAAACACACAGAAGCTTTTGATTTATGTGACCGCATTTTCATAAGGTGATTACAACGTGCTCAGCTCGCTCAGCCATGGCTTCTGACGAACCCAAAGCAAAGAAAGCTAAACTTTCCGAGGAGGAAAAGACTGAGTCTCCGCCTAAAAAGTCTCCGCATAAAAAGTCTCCGGCCAAACTAACGTAAGTGAGAGCACATTGAGAAACCCCTCCGTGCGGAGCACGGAGACTTAACCCTCTGCTCGGTACGTGTCCTCCAATCCGAATTTAGCAAAGGGAGCATGCGTTTGTACCTGCATTGGATGGCGGGGTTTAAAACAAATCAGGGTTCGAGAGTTTGTTTGTGTATGTTTGTTCCTCTGCGGAGGGCGCAGGAGGTGGGGACCGGTGTCAAGTCCTAACATGGAGGAATGTAGCTAATAGGTAACCCGCCAAGTGGGAAGCTTTCAGCCCCCCGTGTAGCTTGATGGGGTCCTTTGGACTGCAGAAGCCGGGGGTCGGGTTGGTGTGCCAAGGTCTAATCTGAGCTCAGCCTCGTCCGCGCAGCAGCTGCGGAGAGTGACCGGTCCGGAGACTGTGTCCATTCATCCCGGAGGATTGTGTCCGGTCTCGTGCGCGCGTGCCACCCTGCGCCAGCCTCCAAAACAACGACATGCCCAGCAGTCACATGGCCCCCGCGCGGCGCACGCTTTCACGCCCCCGTTCGTTTGTTTTCCGTGTGTGTGTGTGGGAGGAAATGGAGCCCGGTACGTCTGTGGAGCCCCCAGCCGCAGCCTGCCGCTCGGGGTCCGGGGCGGCCCCGGGTCATCAGCACGCTCCTCACGGTGTATATTAAGCTGCAAAACGGGTGAGAGAACCGAGTCTGGAGTCGGCGAAGCAAGCCAATGGACACGTAGAAGGCATTTCGGTGGCCCTTCCTCCTTCAGATGCCTCCAATCAGTCAGTGCCGAGGAGGAGGAGCCGTGGTTGCAGGAGAAAATCGATCTGCCCGCTCGCTGAGCTGAGCTGAAATTGTTCAATTTTTGGATGCTTTGCCTTTTTCTGAGCTGGCCTTAGGTTGCTCCACAGGTTTGTCAAGTTCTAGCCGGTGCGTACAAGGGAGCAACATCATGTCTGCTGTGAGGTAAGAGCCCTCTGACATGCAGCCACAAAGAGGCATGGATTCTGGGTTAGTGTAACAGGCTCCATCCTTCATTCATTAATCATCTGACTGCACTTATTACAGTTAGAGATATAAGTACGGGCGTATGGGAAGTGTGCATTTTGTGTCCAATCCCTCTGTGTTTTCAACAGCACGCCCTCCGTGTTAATTCCTCTTTATTGTGGGAAAGAATTTGTTTCTGGGTGGAGGAACGTGACTGCACTCGTTGGTGTGGCGGTGGCATCTGTCGGGTTGCGTTCAAAGGCTCCACACATCTGGTGTTTTCCCAGCGAGCGTGTGGGAGTGAGGTCTGCAGCCAGGCACGGGTCACAGGTTCTGATAGCTGACCTGGGGTCTGCGTGCTTTCTGCACTTTCTGTCCTCAGACAGAAGTTGCACAGTAACCCTTGTCTGTTATTGGTTAGCGACGTGGCCTCTGGGTTCCAGAGGAGATGTTATGTGATGACACAAAGAGCAGACGTGTTCTTTTGGCCGTCGTTCCATGTTGCCGTGCCCCTGCCGTTATTCGTCTATTGGCGTCACAAGACTCCGATTTCCTCGGTGGGTCAAGCCCTGCAGTGACTTTTGTGCTCTGAGAAACAAAACAGCCTGCAGGGCCACGCGCTGCTCCTCATTAGTTTACTCGCCCGGCTGCCCAGATGCTCAATCCAAACCGCATTTATCTGGTTATTGTAGATTTTGCTGCTTAGTCATCTGGGTTCCTGCTGTCTTAACTGTGTCTGCCCCCATTTGAACCATTTCTGCTTTTCTGTCTGGGTCCACTGGAGGTTTTGCACAGTGCGGTTGGAGTGGCGTGGAAAAGAAAGCTGCTGGTTGGAAAAAGATGCATAGCTCTGCAATAAAAACACACTGAAATGTGTCTTATTTCATAACTGGCTGCATGGACAGCTGTCTCAACCGGTTGCATTGCTGTAAAAATTCAGAAAAGGCTGCCACGCCACAGCGTGTTTTTGTGTCTAACATTTTGCCTTCATGTTTCAGTCCTAATCTGCTCTTTGGGATGGGAAACCCTTTACTGGACATCTCTGCTGTTGTGGATAAAGACTTCTTGGATAAGTAAGTAAAGGGAACCAAGGCAGTGAAATAAAGTGGTGATCAGGGGCTTTAGCCACCACTAAAACGTTGCACACATTTCAACATGCTGGCTCGTCCTGAGTTCTGTTTGAACTCTCCCAAACATTAGTGAGTTTTTAAGCTGTTTATATCAAATACTAAAGAGTCAGAAAATAAGTGAGTGTGTGCCTGTCCCAGCGATATTTAAAAGTATGGCATCGGGGGGGTCACAACAGTCAAAAGGCCGAAACGGACAAGAAAAGATTCCATGACGTCCCTAATCAATAAAGAAGAAGAAACGCTGTCGATAAAAGACAGCAGAGCTGGCTGGGAATCGATGTGTGCAGGGCTGGACAGTGTGACCGGCCTATGCGTTGGTTCAATGTGTCCTGAAATAAGACAGCGTTGCTGCCATGCCTGTTTAAAAATAACAGACGTCTCTTATTGTTTTGTCGATCAGTTTGCACTGTCCCAGCACTAAAAAGCAACTCGGAATCCCTCGCTTTATAAGTGATGAAATTCCTGCTTTCCTGAGCAGACCGGTTTGAACAGAGCAGTGAGCTACTTTAGCCTCCAGCTCAGTGTCTACTCAAATGCTCCTTGCGTAAACTCCTGGATTAGAGCTGAGCCGGCCAATCACAGCTCGGCTTCAGCCTCTGTCAAGAGGACTTACAGGGCTCTTTAATCCCCAAGTCACCTTTGTCTTTGTTTTGAGGAAATCACATTCTGATTAGCCAGTGTAATGGTTTCGACGTAAAGTGTTTTAAGTAATCTTTGTTTTTTTGTGTTTTTTTATATGACCTAATAAATTGAAAATCACCACATTGTTATCCATATCATCAAAAACATGAATGTCTGACTGGGGGCCTTTTGTTTCTCTCTCCTCTAATAATCCACAGGTACACTCTGAAGCCCAACGATCAGATCCTGGCTGAGGACAAGCACAAAGCACTGTTCGTATCCGCCACTTTGCATTATTTGTCGTACTATATTGAAGCTGTGCTAGAACTCTCACACACTGGCTTAGCTAATCTCCCCCCAGAGTTTGTGTCCTGCACAAAGAAAAAAGTCGTACCGAGCTTGTTCCTCCCTGCTCTGGAGAGAGCCAGTCAAAACAGGCACACTCGCAAACAGCAGAAATCGCTACCATTGACCTCTGGTCCTGTTCAAGCAGCCAATGGCAGCGCAGCAGCTTCAGCCCAGTGAAAGGCGCTCCTCCAATGGCAAGCGGGGAAACTTCACCTCCCCGAAGAGGCAGCAGCCAGAAGAAAGCAAACATTTAACAGCAGGAGATAAGAAAGTCATACTTTGCTGTGTGCGCGTGCTGATTCAGTGTAGCTCTTCAGTCGTAATAATCTTAAACACAAAGTTCTTTCTTATTGGAACAAAATATTTTGTCCCAATACAATGACCAACTCCACTCAGGACAATGTGTGATATCTTTTTTTTTTTTTTTTTGATCAGGCGCGATTTCCTCTCGTGTTTCCCAGTTTTAGAGATGGAACAGTGCTGACAGCCCGATAAAGGGATCCGGCACCCGGTACGAGTGAAGGTGCAAATCTCACTCACGTTCCGCATCTCTCCCTCCTGCCTGTGGTAGCTAACACTCATCAGGGAGATGATCCCCACACGGCCCTGCAGCCCCCTGGCTTCCTCAGAGGCTTTTTACCAGCTTGTTACTGTATCCTATTATATATTTAAACGCACGCCCCCCCCCCCCCCCACCGCTCGGATAAACCACTCAGACGAATGCTGGTGTCCAGGCTGAAGCCACAGCTATATTTAGACAGCGAAACGTGGCATATTAGGGATGCTATAGCCCAAAGGGGGACGTGAAAGCGCGGCCTCAATGCGTTATGTAACGGTCGTAAATGGCTCAGATTGTATAATCTGTGGTCAGTCGTGCATGGGTTGTATCTTTTTATTTAGTTATTTTTACCTAAGGCTGTTATCTGCAGAGACCGTAAGCTAATGATAGACATGGTTTCCAGCCCGCACAGCACAATTCAATAAAAGCAGCTATTGTACGATGTCACACAGACCACTGCTGGTGGGGACAGCGCTGCTTCTCTAAAGCTGTTAGAGCTGCTGAATCCCATCTCTGTTTTCAAGGAAAAGGAAGCAAGACTTTAATGAATATATCAGAACTTTCTGACAGATAATAAGGTTGATATTTCATTCATAGGGTTTTTCAGTTACATCCCCAGAAACTTCATACGATCATCAAAAAGTGGCTATTTAAGGTTTACAATTCATAAATGAGAAAGTAACATTCAAAGTAAATGCAATGAAAATACAAAATATAAGCATTATGTTTAAAATGTCTGATGGGATGAACTTTTGGCCACTTTCCAGGTTATTCTATGCCAGTTTTAATGCTCTTTTTACATATATATGCGTGTGTGTTTGTGCGTAGAGCTCTGCTGCTCTGTGAGCAATTTAAAGAACAACTTTGTCTCTGTTTTAGATTCGAGGAGATCGTGAAGAAGTTCAAAGTTGAGTACCACGCTGGCGGAGCCACCCAGAACTCCATTAAGATCGCCCAGGTGGGTCCTCCACACACAGAGCCAGTGGCCTTACCATCCCTGTGCCCTGCTGGGAGTAGAGCTGTCTGTCTGGTGTTAACCTGAGCTGTTGTGGTGCTCTGCAGTGGATGATCCAACAGCCCCCCAAGGTGGGCACGTTCTTTGGCTGCATCGGCAAGGACAAGTTTGGGGAAATTCTGAAGCAAAAGGCTGAGGAGTCCTCCGTCGACGCTCACTACTACGAACAAGGTGAAGAGCCCACAGGGACATGTGCGGCTTGCATCACCGGAGAGAACAGGTGAACGATCAGTTTTTATCTCCAGCCTTTTTAAGCCGCCGATAACCCGTCCCGTTGTTTTCCCCTCTCAGGTCACTGGTGGCCAACCTAGCCGCAGCAAACTGTTACAAGAAGGAAAAACATCTAGATCTGGAGGAGAACTGGAAGCTGGTGGAAAAAGCTAAAGTCTATTATATTGCTGTGAGTAGTTTTTCATGCCTTGTGGGAGAGTGGGCCGTTTTTCTTCTCAAACCTCGGTCACGTGCGCTCATTTCAAACCTAAGATTGTAAACATTAAAACAATTTTTTTTTTTTAAAGGTTAAAAAATGTGTTTTTTTTATCCATTTCATTTACTCCTGGTCTCTGTTGTTCAGCACATCTAACATTTAAATCGCCTGTTTTCCTTTTTTCCAGGGTTTCTTTTTGACCGTGTCTGTGGAGTCCATCCTGAAAGTTGCAAAGCACGCCTCTGAAAACAACAAGTTGTTCTGCATCAACCTCTCTGCTCCCTTCATCTGCCAGTTCTTCAAGGACAACCTCATGCAGGTCATGCCTTACGTCGACGTGCTGTTCGGCAATGAGACGGTAGGCTGCTCTTCTTTTTATTAAATCAACCTACAGGTCTCTGTGTTCTGCTCTTATGGTTGTCTCACAGTCAAACCCATCTTTTTTTTATTCAGGAGGCGTCTGCTTTTGCTAAAGAACAAGACTTTGGGGTGAGTGGGCTTACTTTTTGATGGGTAGAGCTGCTGCTTCTGGACATTGAAGCTATTATTAACTTTAAGCTATTTGTTTTGTTTTTGTTTGTTGTTTGTAGACCAAGGACATTAAGGAGATTGCCAAGAAAGCGCAGGCTTTGCCTAAAGTCAACACTAAGAGACACAGGATTGTGGTGTTGACGCAGGGAAAGGATGAAACGATCATGGCTCTAAGTGAGTCGTTTTTTTTTAACGTATTCATATCATCTTTTTGTTCAGCTCTGTGATGTCTATATTTTCTTCCTGTATGTGTTCAGGTGATAAGATTGAGACTTTCCCCGTGTTGAAGATCGACCCCAAGGACATTGTTGACACAAACGGTGCAGGCGACGCTTTTGTAGGAGGTGAAATCAAACTGTCTCTTCACATCCTTCCTTTTTGTGCTGCTTTGTTTTCTGTATTTGTTGTCACCATGTTTTTCTCAAATGGTTTGTTATGTGCTGCAGGTTTCCTGTCTGGCCTTGTCCAAGAGAAGCCTCTGGATCAGTGCGTGAAGGCGGCCCACTATTCCGCCAACGTCATCATCAGACGAGCAGGTTGCACCTTCCCAGAAAAACCAGATTTCAAGTGAGGAGCCCCAGAGAACTTTTTCTCCAGCCCGAAACCTCAAATCACACTGCCGCCTCAAATCTGAACTTTTTTTTTTTTCTTAATCAGCCATCTGTCCATACCATCATTTATTTAAAGTGCATCTTTTTGTAGACCTTGGTACCTGGCTTTTCCTGTTTGCGTATTTTCCACCAGGGGTCAGTAGAGGATCATGCAGTCAACAAAAAAAAGTGTTGCTTATCTAAAATTGGCCCTAAAAGTAGTATAACATCAGGGAGAGATATAGCTTTGCTTTTAATAAGGGATCTACATGTAAAAGTCTTTTTAGTTCAAACATTTGTGTTCGATCTGGGGTTTGGCTGACATCCATCAGATTCTGCTGCAGCACACTGTTGTTGCTGCCCCTGAAAGACGAGCACAAAAGACGAGACAAAACCCCAAAGTCGCATGCTTTTATGATTCTTGCACTGAAAGTGCAAATGGAATGGGATTATGTTGGAATTTTTTTTCTTGATTACATAGGCCAGTTTTTAAACCAAATACTGTATTTTTTGTGTCTTGAGTCACACCTTTCAAAGGTGTCAAAGCCTCTGTCCACTTTGTCATGCTTGAACGGTTAAATGTTCTCTCTCAGTAATATTTAGAGGCTGTCGTCCAGTGGCCTCGTTCTTTCTGCTGATGTATAAAATATCAAGTTTGAGGATTTGGGGAGAAGATGTCTCCAGGTTTTATGTGATCCTGCATTTCTCCGTGGTGAACCCTACAAGACCTGTGATACATAAGTGCTGGTTTATAGGGACCCACATAGATGCTGGACATATTGGAAATAGGTTGCTGGTTATGTAGGAAAGACCATCTGGAAGATCTGTCAATAGGCATTGTCTGCCTTCTCTTTTCTTTTATTTTACTCACCTCCTAAGGTGGCCTTTGTCAATTTTGAAAAATTACATGTAAATGAAGTAGCAAAATGTCTTATCACCTTATCAAATTTTGATGTTTTTGTTGGGGTGTAATCCCGGCTACAAAAAATAGATGCAGCAAAAAATAGAGGAGGAAAAGAAATGCATAACATTGATTATGGGGCCAAACATTTAAGAATATCTGTATTACCATAGGTTTTCCGAATGTTGTGTCATAGAAAAAACAAAACTACTTGAATATAGTAACACTAATTATGGATATAGTTAAATTATTCATGAGGGGGAGGTATGTTAAATTCAGGATAATACAAGACATGTTTTGAATATTGCTCATACTAAAATGTCCTAATGAGTCCTTCTACTTAATAGGCTTCTTCTTTGTACGTTCAGATGCACCGAAAAGCCTTACGGGACTTTTTATTCCAGTTCTCAGTGGTCATCACTCTGTTAAACCGATGCTTGAAACTGACAAATAAAACTGACTTTTTTTCCTTCACTTTTTTGGTGTGTTTTGTTTTTCTTTTGGGCAGCTTCGTTCCACATGAATGTTTAAATTGTATTATTATTTGCCAGGAGTAACAGTTTATGTGCTCATTAGATTCAGAACTTGGGGGTGCTATTCAGAAACCACACAGAAAAGAACATATTCAGTTTTATGTCTCTTTCGGCTCTGTGGTGTCCAGGATAACAGGTTGGTCTTCACAAAGTAAATGTGTTTTGGTCTTCAGTCTCTGAAGACTGTCTCTTGGGCCAAAATGCCTGATCTCCTGGTCCATTATGAACTAATTAAAACCCTAAATGCATCAGGGTCAGACTTGCTGTACCCAGAGTTTGAACCAAACACCATGAGGGAGTTCAGCTTTATGCTTCCCAACTGTGGAACAAATTCCCAGACTGTATCAGGGCTGCTGTAACTCTCTACTGCTTTCAGACTAGATTCAAAACCTTTTTGTCAACCGCTGCGTTTCCGAGATCTGCCACTATGAACTGTAACTGTTCTTTCATGCATTACATTTGTTTTATTCTGTTTAACCACCTAACCTCTTTGTTTTTTATTCCTGCTTTAAAACTATTTTACTTTCAAATGAATTTGGTATTTTCTGTTCTTATTTCCCTTTTAATATAAACCCCTCTAACTTTTCGTACGCCAAACGTGTCATATAAATAAACTTCCCTTGTCATCAGGTTTGTACACTGAGCTTCATGATGGCTCATTTCCGTCATAATATCACTGAGACGCAGGTTAAAAGGACCTCAAAATTATACGAACCCAAAAACGGAGGATTGCATTCATTCATTTGTCCAAAATTGTAAGAATACCTGTTTAGAAGCGCTGGCATTAGCTGCATGTAGCAAAGTAGGCCTTTATTTTTAAACCAAAAAGGACGGGAAGTGAGAAAATAAACGAAGAAAACACTTGACCTAACCAAACGAATTTGAAAATAAAAAACATAAATTATACTTCCTTTAGATGGTGAATGAATGAAAAACTAAAAAAGATCAAATGAAAAACATCTTTCGTGGCTTTATTGATTTTCATTCAAACGAAAACCAACGTTTAAAAAAAACAAAAAAAACATCTTGATTTATTTTTCTTATTCGTACATAACATTTTAGTTCATTCGGTGGGTGGTTAGCTGAAAAACAATGATCTTTTCCGTTCTCTTGTCGATGCGATCGTGATCAAAAATTTCCCATCCTGGTCTTCCGGGGGAATCATTGGTCTAATAACTAACGGCTCTCCAAAGGGAGCAGAAAACGTTTCTGGTAGGCTACTGGCGTCCCACAGCGGGCTGCACGCCTCACAGGCTCTCCAGGAAGGCTGCGACTTTGTCGTGCTTGTTCTTCCTGGCTACGTCGGCCGGCAGACGGTTTGCGTGGTCCCGGGCTCGCGGGTCGGCCCGGTGCTGCAGCAGGAGCCGGACCGTGTCCAGGAAGCCCGCCCCGGCCGCGTCGTGCAGCGGGGTGGCGCCGGTGGAGGGGTCCGCGGCGCGGGGCTCCGCTCCGTGCCGCAGCAGGGCCCGGGCCACCGGCGTGCTGCCCATCATCATCACCTGCAACACAGCAGCCCCGGGGGGGGGGGGCACGCCACGGATAACGAAGGCACACATTTACTACGGAAGTAACACACATCACGAAAGGCAAGCATCACTGAAGATGCCAAATTTAAATAAATAAAAAAAATCTCATTTCAAGGGCATCTTATTTGATGTTTGACACTGTCTGACGTTTTTAAATCGATGGCTAGCATATTAAAACACTTGGCTTTTTAGCATAGGGTTATTTCATTTCAAACAGCCTGCTTTTTTGTTCTAGGTGTTCTAACGGAAAGCAGATTTTAGTCCCCAGATTGCCTATAACCATCTAAAATATTGGCATCCGAATTCCAGCAGGTCCTCCTGCAGGCTATCAATTCTCGTAAAAGAATATTAAAAACCTGCATTATACTAACAGGCAACAGCATTTATCTGCAATGATTTTATGTTAAATATTAGACAAAAAGGAGGGGCAATTTCGAATGTGGCCGATTAAAGAAATAGCCTATTCAAATATAAGAAATTGCCACTCTGCCTTATTAGCTGTAGCCGCTGGGAAATCGGCTGAAATTTTGTAAGAGACGGAGAAGAACAATTGGCAGTTTATTCGTTATAATGAGCTGACTCATAACCTCGTCTTTCACAGGCTTTCGTTTAGAGCCAGAATCACAGCAATCGGTGAGCATCATTTATAACTGCGTCATGACACAGGCCTCTCCGGCTAAGGACCGCAGAAACTTAGCGATGTCTATTGGTCTAATTCGTTAGGTTAACCTTATCTCACCTGCAGACTTTAATAACGTGACCTAGCCCCCTAATAACCGGACACGGTTTGGTGTGAAAATGCTCTTTGTGCTGGCCGATGAGGCGCATCAGATGGGACCGACCTGCACAGCCGTGCGTCCAAAGCTATTCGTCCCGTTGACTGAAGCCCCAGCCCTCAGGAGCCCCAGCACCGCGGACACGTCCCCGTTCGCTGACGCAGCTGACAGCTTATCGTTCAGTGTCACGTCCATTCTTCAGATGACTTCCGATTAGTTCAGACTGTTGATGCTGCTCCGATTTCAGACAAGAGACAAGCCGCAAAAAAAAAAAAAAACGGTCTTTGCTTTCAAGGGACCCCACAGACTCCCGGTCCGGTGCCCACACGCTTTCTCTTTTCTCTTGTTCTCTTTTCCTTTTCTTCCCGTTATCCCTGGCTTCCAAGTTATTAATAAAATATTGGCATCATTAACACAGTTTCTTTTTCACTAGAGGAACCCCAAACAGCTGATATAATTCTATAATCATATAGATGTGAAGAGAGGGTTGATGTAGCTGGACATTTTGTGTTACGGAGCATCAACACATAAAGTTAATGAATTAGTGGGCAGTGTTTTTACCGGTTCAAACTCTTAAAGGAGCAGCAGCTGTTTCTTGGCCCCAGTTGGTGACTGAGGCAACTTGGAGTTACATAACAGCCTCTGATCAACATTAAAAGAGACAGGCACGGGTTCACAGGAAGAACTGTTCAGTGACAATCCTCAGGAGGTCAGGCTGTCCATCAGATCCAGATCTAAGGTATGTAGTATGAATGGATTACATGTACTGATGTAAAGCCAGAGGCTCTTGTGACATGTTGTACAGCTGGGGGGCTGGAAGGTAGAGGAAAAGGGCACTCAAGGAGAACTTGTGCTGCCTTAAAGTGAAGCGACCCCCCTTGTGACTTACGGGGTAAGCAGATTTCTTTGGGGGATATTTCTGGTGCCTGTCGCCTCTTCTTTCACAGGTCTGGTTCAGTACATTTAAAAAGATTTAGTCTTTTCTTTTGGATAGTTAACCGTGAAGTGAGATGATCAGACAAAGTAATGGCAATCATTGATTTTTTAAATTTGTTTGTTTTACTCTTACAGAACGTCTTGTGTATTTGAGCCAATGGAGGATGTCTCTCCGAAATCCTCCTTACGAGCCGCCCTCGGTCTCAGAGCTGCAGGCAGTCCTGCTGGCAGGGAGACAACCAACTGGACACGTCAATCAAGTCTGGCCTAACCTTTACATTGGCAATGAGTGAGTTTACACACAACGTCAGGTACACACAGGCGTCGACAGTGTGTGCAAGTCAGCGTGCCTTACCCCACACACAAGAGATGTGTGATCGTGTTTCAGGGTGGCGGCTCGTGACAAGGCCACTCTTCACAGTCTGGGCATAACTCACATTGTGAACGCTGCTCATGGCTCCCCCGACCCCTCTGCCGGACCCTGTTTCCACGTCAACACCGGCCCACGTTTCTACAGAGACATGAAGGTGGATTATTATGGGGTGGAGGCCGATGATGCAGTAGAGTTCATCCTCAGCCCTTTCTTCTATCCCACAGCCCGCTACATCAGGGCTGCGCTGGCCTCGGGAGGCGAGTCGGCACACACACAGTTATCACACCGTGTTGTGAGACCGGAGTTACACTCAGCGCTAAAATTATTAATGACTTTTACCCATGGTCAAGGTGTTGTGGCATCAATGTCCAAGTCCAAATACTTTTGCACTGTAACACTGAAAAATGCATAATATATCCTGCCACTTTAATGTAAAACATAATGACGCTTGAATACCGTAATATGTATGATGATAGAAGTAGAAGGGGCAACATAAACTAGACAAAACTGTTTATATAATTTTCAGCTAATAATGGTCACATTTACACTTTGATATAGACACCAAAAGCATTATGAACATTCATCTCCTTTCAAAGAGAATATTTCTGTGTTGGAATTCATCAAGACAGATACTCAGGGTATATGAAGCAGAAGTTAACAGCAGGTCCCTCTGTCCCAGGACGGGTGTTCGTGCACTGCCTGATGGGCGTGAGCCGCTCTGCAACATTAGTGCTGGCCTTCCTGATGATCGTAGAGGGCTTGAGGCTTCAGGAGGCAGTGGCTGCAGTCCGGCCGCACAGAGACATCTGCCCTAACCCGGGTTTCCTGCAGCAGCTGCGCAGCCTCGACATGAGCCTGGAAAGAGAAAGGAGGAGAAAAGTGCAGTCCAAAGCACTGTAAAGACACTCAAACACACCCAAACTATTGGCACCAACAGAAACACACATATACACACAGATCTTTATTGCTGCAGAAGTTGCCTAGACCAGCAAGGAGCTCTGACTGAGTAGAGGAAAATTCTCTGGACAAACAATAGGCCAGTGGAACCTGTTAATAAAGTCTGGCCACATCTGTACATTGGAGATGAGTGAGTAGAAAAATCTTATTTAACGTCATGGGATGATGCCGAACACCTACAGATAAAATTTGCATTGCATATTTTGTGTGTCGACAGGTCTGTGGCGCGAGATAAAGCCACGCTCTCCCGCTGGGTGTGACTCATTTACTGAACGCTGGAGGTCTCCATCGAATCAACACAGGTCAGCAGTTCTAGTGTGACATCTCTGTGGACTACCAGGGCATCCAGCGTTTAACCTCCAGCCTTTCTTCAACCCTGCTGCTCATTCATAGATAGTCCTCTGAGGAAAAATGGTCAATGAGACAACATAATACAGACAGCTGGAATTGGACCTCCATCCTCAGAGCGGACAGATGCAGAAGGACAATTTTGACACACCCTGAAAATGTGTGTATATATATATATATGTATATTTATTCCTGTCCAAAAATATCTGTACTGGAAAATGCATTGAGATTGTCCCACCCGCTCATATATCAGTGACATTCTACTGATGACAGTAATGCCTTTTGGAGTTTGCATTCATTCAAATGTTTCTTGGAAATAAATTAATTGTTTTTCATCAAAATTAAAGCTTGAAAAATGCAATTTTAGATATACACCACAGTAGGATGACTATGATGCATTTGGGCGCTTGTGTGTGTCACGTTGTCCAGGTCAGGTTTTGTGGCCCCGCCGTCTAAAAATATCATCTTAAACACACCCAGAGAGTGCTGTTACTATTTCAGATTTATCATCGTACTTCCTGCATGGAGTGCTCTCATGTGCATGTCACACATGCAGTTCACACGTTTCCTCAGGCAGCTGAGCTCTGTTTCATCTTCAATGACTGATTCGTGAGAGGTTAGTGAATCATTTCAGCAAATGTTTTTTTTATGGTTCATTTTAACTGCCTACAGGGTATCAGAAATTTCTCTAGTAACCGCAATTCGCAAAAGGGCACTACTTCAGAGAAGTAGCATTGGGTTTTGATCAGGTACATTTAAAAAGATTGAACAATGTTCACAACATGAACATGGAGGTGACGCAATTATCAACTGCTATTAAAAAGGATTGATAAAAGAGTAAAACAGTATGGGATAAATTATTTAAAGCATATTTATGAAATTCAAAGAGAAATGTAACTGGTATCACAGAAACTTTAGATTTTAAAAAATCCTGCAAGTTTATGATCTTGAGTAAATGTTGTAGAATAAGTGAGGACTGGACCCAAAAGCAGACACAGAATGGCGGGATGAATGAATAACAGGTGATTTGTTAGTTAGGAGGGAGGGTGAAGGTACCAGGGAGCCTGTGAAGGTATGCCAGGTCCAGGTGCCGGAGGCCCAATGGGGGAATGAGGTGTGTTAGGGGAGCAAGGCTTGAAGGGGGGCTGGAAAATAAATCCAAAAGGATTGCAGAACAGCCAGGACAAAACCACACAGGTCACAGGACAGCCGTCGAATCAAGAGGCAACCATCTGGCGTGGGACACGTGGAGAGTGCAGGCATATAACGGGTGCTAATAGCCAACAGGCTGCAGGTGTGTTACTGAGCAGGCCTGCCCAGCCTGAACCAATCAGCAGAACCCAAAGAGTACAGTCATCACAGTAACATGTTTTTCAGGTATCCTCCTGTCTGATTTCATTTTAAACTGTGCATCTTGGTTATGCATAGATACTCCTTTCAGTGTCTCGCAGCAGACTAAGTTTATTCTTTCTCAGCCAGCAAACGCCTGCATAAAACTGTGTTTGAAAAAAAAAATCATCTTTTGAAAGTGAGGCACGTGAAGATACATTAAAAGCAGATAAAATCAGCTGGATGATTAACCTCACATTAAAGACAGACCGAAATATTAGTGTCATTTCAGGGAAAGGCTATTGGTCATAACTCAAACCTTAGTTGAGGGATTCCGTTCTGACCTGCACAAAGCTCACAAAGATCAAAGTGTCTCTAACATTCTGAGAAAGGTGCTGTACAGAAAGCAAAATGCAGTGTGATTAATTCAGGATGTTATGCATGTATATGTTAAAGCACCTTTAATTTTGATTATGTTTATTTGACTGTTTAAGAGTGAGATTAAGTGTTGAATTTAAAGATTTCCATTTGATCTGGAATATTTTCATTTCATAACAGGAATGTGTGTTGTTTTCTGAATAGCAGAGGTGAGACATGACCTCTTGTGCGGTGAAGCACAGAGGTAAGAATCCATATGCAGCTGTACAGGTGGATCCAGACAGTGACTATATTACCCCAGGAACCTTAGACCTGGAGCAGCTGTTTTGGACTGGGACAATAGCTCAGTATGCACATGTCAATGAGGTCTGGCCCAGTGTCTACATTGGAGATGAGTGAGTGCACCCATGCAATAAAGACCACTTTGTATCATACATATTCTGAAGTACTTTATATGTGTCAACAATGTTTTTGCTCATAGTTCTGAGTATGTGCTGCATGAAAACAGGAAAACAGCCCTGGAAAGACCTGGTCTGAGCGATCTGGGTATCACACATGTCCTGAATGCAGCAGAGGGGAAGTGGAATAATGTATTGACTGGTGCTCACTACTACAGTGACATGAGCATCCAGTACTACGGCATAGAAGCTGACGACAAACCCACCTTCAACATCTCTCCGTACTTCTGTCCTGCAGCAGAATTCATCCATGAGGCCCTCCGCCACCCACAGAGTAAGACTCATTGGTGACTGAGATTTGAGCCATTTGTCACTTTCAAGCTAACGATCTCTTCTGCCTCTTTTTTTGTTTCTAGACAAGGTGCTGGTACACTGTGTTATGGGTCGGAGCAGGTCAGCAACTCTGGTCCTGGCATACCTGATGATGAAGCACAGTTTAACTGTGGTGGAAGCTATTGAGCGTGTGCGACAACATCGTTGTATTCTGCCTAATCATGGCTTCCTAAGACAACTAAGAGCCCTTGATATTGCATTGCAAGAGGAAAAGCTGAGAATAAAAAGACAGATGCATGACCAATGATACAAAAGTACTTCACAATATGTTTCCCTTTATTTCTAAAATAGACCCTTTTTTCCCAACCTTTTCCTTTAATTTGACAGTAGAAAAAGGTTGGAGCTTTAAGTATAATCTTTTGTATGTGTAAAATGACAGGGTACTTACAATGTCAAAGCCCACTTTACATAAACTCATAGTGTCCCCCTGAACTGCTTGCATCTCAGGCAATCATCATCGAATACAATATCAATGGGAGTATTTAAACTTTTCTGGAAAAGGAGGGTTTTAATTCACAACATAAGATTTAGGAGGCAACACCTGTTATTTTTTAGACACTTTTAAGATAATACTGATGGTAATTTGTGCCACATGTTAGCAGTTTACATTTTAAAGACTGATGGGTTTTTTTTCATTTGGAAACTGGATTGCATCCAATTTCATTAAGCTAACAATTCTGAATACACACTCCATGATATTCAGAGAGGTACACAAACAGCCAATATGAATACACACCTATGATTACAACTGAAGGCAAAAAGGTGCTCAACAGAATTAAGTAGCCAATACCAGTAGCTAATAAACAGTAGCATGTAGGCCAGTTTGGGATCAAAGTACTACCTCATTTTTGTTTCACTATTCCAGCACACATCGGAAAAAACAAAGGCATATAAAGACAGAAAGTGATAAGGACAACATACATATATCATTGGTGGCAGACATACATATATCATTGGTGGCAGACAAATCTTTTGATCAATCTTTCACTTTTACTAAAAAAACTTTTGTCTAGAAATATAATGACATGCCTAATTTTGTGTTGTTACAGACAAAATAGAAAAAGACAAATTCCTTTTACTGACCTTCTACAAAGAAATGTAATGGTATACAAAAAAGAAAAAAATTAAAAACCTTCTTTTTTTTGGTCCATGGGGTTGATCAGAACACTGAGATGGACTGTTGGGTCTTGAATAAAGGATTTATGGGTCTAACTGGGTCTTGTATTTCTCATGAAGCATTTATTCATAATTTCAAACTATTGGAGTTTCAAGCACAAAGACATAACAAATAAATATTTACAGGCGCTACCACTTAATAGATTGGAGGGCAGTGCTGAGGTAACCAATGGCTTATGGGAAGATGTCAGAGAAGAGGGCACAAACTCCTTTTTCGTGCCAGCTGCTCATCCAACTTGAGAAGGAGAGACAGAAAGTTCCGGTTGGGGTAAATTGGTCGTTTTTGGACAATGTGCTTCAAGGCATCTCTCAGAGACAGACGCTGCTTTAGCATGAGGTAGGCCACGACCAAAGTGGCCGATCGACTCACCCCCATGATGCAGTGCACTAGCACTTTTCCTGTGGAGAAGCGAGAGGAGGGAAATGGGATTCAGTCATGGATGACTCATCATAGCTGGAAAGATCTCGGATGACTTTATTCACATTCAGTTTACCATCTTTATTCTTCAGGCCTTTATGTATGAAGTCAGCTGCTGGTTTGAAGCACTGACTCATGTCGAAGTGGTCGGAATCCTCTGCTGGGATGCCAAAGTAAACACATGTGTCCCCATAAAAACTCTGGCTGCCGATGCTGCCCTGCTTGGAGTGCGCTGCATTCAAAACATGGGTGATGCCTAATTTATGTAATTTCTTTCTATTCTGTGCAACAGCCCTGGAGAACACACACAAGAGAGAGATTTAGAAAAATATAAAACACTTTCATGAGATTCTATTTAAGACCTAAATCTTATGTGATCAGTCTATGACTATTATATAATTGTTAACCAACTTTGATCAACAGTAGATGTGAGTATACATTAGGTAAAGAACAGATGTGCAAATAAATGACTTACGCTATCGTTAAACATCATCATATTCAGATGTTATAAATATCTATTATACTCATTGTGCAATACTAAACCACTCACAATTAAATGTTATTGTCAATGGCAACATTATCATTCATTTGAAACTTTTTCAAACATCGATTTTTCTGATTTAAAAAATCTAAGAAAGCAGGATAAATTTCCCTCTTGCAGAGCTCCATAATGTATTGTTTCTGCCCACAAACGCAGACCACTCACACATTTCCTATGTAAAGGTTGGGCCAGACTTCATCCACTGCTGTGAGATCCGGGGAGCAGGAATCCAAGATGAGCTCCAGTTGTTTGATGAGCGCAACGTCCTGTGGCTGCTTGCTCCCTGACATTCCGACTGCGCGCAGAGTACAAGCTTCAGCAGACACCCACACAGCTCCCGAGTCCTCCGTCTCTTCAGTGCCAGAGTGGACGGCTCAGTGAGGGGCATGCACAGCTGCTGGGCTCCAAATTTAGCCCCCCGTGTTCTCTCTGACTGAATGTGCAGTGAGTGGATGTTGCTGTGGGGCTGATTGGTCTTCTCACTGGTGCCGTAAACCCACGCGAAAGGTGGTACGTGTATACGTGTGTGCGTCTTTGTCACCAGTGACGTTCTACCAGAAGAAGCCACAGAAAGGAGTGAACATAGCTGAATACTTGATATGTGCAAGTAAATCAGACACATGGAAACAAGCTTAACTATATCAACTTATTTTATCTCTTCCTTAAACACAGGGTTGTTTGCATCTTTTTACAGTGTGTACTCAACTAGGCCCTGTTCCTTAAGTGTCCGGTCAAGTGCTCTAAGTTGTTGTAGGAATCCTCTGTTAGGGAAAATCCAGCGCTTCTGTTGCACACAGCGTATGGAGGACATAAGACTGAAGTGATGGTGGATCATCAGGTAGGCGAGGACCAGTGCAGCTGAGCGGCTCACACCCACAGCACAGTGCACTAAAACCTTCCCTGGAAACAAATGACAAAGGTGCTGAGAGGTCTACATGTTGTCACCGGGTGGTCATCCAAAGCCATTGTTCATTACCTCCTGAGGTCAAAGCCTGGTGAATGAACTCGGATGCAGGGTGGAAAAAAGGCGATAGGTCAAACGTTGGCAGGTCGTTGGCGGGGACTCCGAGATATTTCACGGTAGTTCCGTAAAAATCATCGCTACCTTTACAACAGAGTTTGCCATGAGCAGCGTTCAGCACGTGGGTGATGCCCAGCTGCCAGAGCCCGAACTTGTCGTGGGACATAGACCTGACACAAATGCAAAACATTTACACAGTTTATGGAATTGACCAGGGATGAGTGTGGCCTCGAATTGAGCATGGGAGTTTACTGACATGTCTCCCAGAAAGAGGTTCGGCCACACTTCATCTCCATGGTGACAGGAGTGCGGGGCTGAGTGAAGAGCCTCCTCTATCTCCTGGAGAGACGGGATCTTACCTGTCTCCTGTGTGTGCTCCTCCTCGTATTCTGAGCCTTGCGCAACAGATTCAACCCCTGTCCCTGCCCCTGAAGGTGACCTCCTGCCTGACATTACTGTAACGGGGGGTTCACTGACCTGTTCTTCCCCCTGCAGTTAAATCTTGCTCCCCTGTTTGTTGTCCTTTTGCATTTCACTCCACCGGGCTGTGACGGTCACAAACAGGTTCACAAACTCTCCGGAGTGTCTGTTTATGACAGAAACTTGAAATCCACTCCATGTGTGAATCAATCCTCATCTGGCCTCTCTATCTGGTCAAGCGAAACCTCAGCTGTAATCAGATCCTGGGGGGGTTGTTCCACTTGATGGCCACTAGATGTCAGTGTGCTCCAAGAAGCGGCGCCCCACCGGCCAGGAGCTCTTCTTTGCTCCGTCTTTATTAGGTCTCTTCCTGTTTGGTGTTGCTTGGTTGTCAAAAGCATGTTGTCCACCAAACCCGCCTGGGAGTGGAGTCACAGCCAGGCAACTCCCCAACAAGCTTTGAGAACGCTGAGACGGCGGATATCTGGTAAGGGAGGCACATATGGTGTCGTGTTAACTTTTAGTGAGGCCACGGCACGTTCTGACTTGAGCACGTTCACCCCCCTCGCTTCTGTTTTCGGGTGTGGAAACCGGGGGTTTTAAAGGGATGACTCGTTCCCAGCCCAACCCTTCGGCTCTGGGGTGAGCAGGCTCACAAACCCCTTTGTCAAGCTGGCTTTGTCTCCCGCACACTGAAGGGCTCTCTGTGTCCCACAGCCGTGAGTCACTGCTCCCTGTCACTCAGTGTAAGCCAGCCAAACACGCTGACACGGCACTTATCTGTCCCAAGTAAAGCCTCGGAGCCAGAGAAGTGGCGGGATGTTACCAGTAACATCTCGAAGCTAGTTAGAGATAAGTTAGTTCTGTTTTGGGCATAGAGCAGCAGCAGTCTGGTGAGTCACTTCAAGTTTCAGACATGTCATTCTTTATTTGCTCGGGCTGGTACTGCCTTTGAATGGGTTGTTCTCTGGTGGAGCCCCAGTGGGATTTGCATTTCTGATGGAATGAGATAAGATATTTATGTCTATTAATGTAAATATATGTGGGTGTGGTTGTTAATTTAAGGGGGGGGGGGGGGGGTGGTATCTGAGAAAGTAAAACATCCAAAGTACTGGAAGAGCGACAGGAAGCCATCACAAACTTGGTATATTATTTGAATAGTTCCAGCATTGGAATGATAACTGTCAGAGTTCTGAGTTGCACCTAATGATTAAACAGAATAGAATTAGCTTTTTCATTGGTTCTTCAATGGTTGAAAGCACTCCCTTCTGACATTTAGCTGCTTTTCTTGTTTTGGACATAGAATCGCATTTGAAGACATTTTAACTGATCTTTCATAGAGCAAATAGAGATTAAACAGCAGCTTATTCTCTAAGTAGAATATGGCTTTGCGATTATATCACTAAACTTCAGGTCAATGCTCTTGTTTTTAGGGCTGTGGTATTCCGAGCGTTACTCATGGCAAAAAACAGTTTTTTTCTAACTATCTAGATCTTAGTCAGCATGCAGGCTGTTGCTCCCTCTGGGAGGCCAACAGTTCCATGTTGGTGAAGGGTTGCAGACCTTTGGAGTAGTTGGAAGTTCAGGGTGAACAGCACTGTGGTGATCTTATCAAAAAATCAAAGGGCGAAAGACAGAATTACTGACTTATCATTACAGACAATCCTAAGCACTTCTGATGACTCAATTCCTATTTTATGAAGAAGTCAGAAAATATTCATTTGGTGATTATTATCAGTCAAATATGTTGAGCTGCACAGAAAAACAAAGATAGTGTTGGTCTTTATGGATTTTCATTAGTTTAATCAGCAGTTTGCCATCGTAGTCTGCATATTTGGGTCTCTTATTTGTTCAGTTGTGCAGTTTGGGGAGTATGAAGGAAATATTAAGGTTTTTGACCAAATTGATGAAAATTAAATGATTGGAAATTAATTGTAGCTGAATTATCGACAGCTTTCTGTGTATGGGTGCGTCCACTGTTTTTAGCTCCATCTCTGTTCTTGAGTTTTGTGCTTCACCACGACCTAACACTCTCTGGGGTGGTTGTCTGCAGGAGCATGGCACAGTCAGATGACACCGTGATTGCCTGGAGCTGTCATCAGGTGGCCCAGTGGCTGCAGGAGGAGGGTTTCGGGCAGTATGTGGAGTTGCTGTGCACACAACACCGCCTGGACGGCCTCAGCCTGCTGGCTCTGACTGAGGCGGACCTGCGGGGTCCTCCCCTGGCTCTCACTGTTCTCGGAGACATCAAAAGGCTGTCCATAGCCATCCACCGGCTCCAAAGAAGAAATCGAACCCAGCTTGAGGAGCTGGGCCTCCAAACTGGAGATGCTGTTGACACTGGCCATGCACTGGGTCCTGCCGGGGTGGAGTGGGGCTGTGACGGCGCTGACAGGAGGGGGTGTGGTGGGGGGGACCGCCTGTGTAATGGGAATGGACTGCGGCTGAGGAGCAGGGAAAGATCGGGATGTGCACCTGGAGCAGCGGCCTGTCACACGCACTCCAACGGGAGGTGTCGGCAGCAGCTGGCCGGCAGATTGGACCCGGAGGTGTGGAAGACGGTCCTCAGCTCAATTTATGTGTTTTTGGTATTTGGGTTCACCTCTGTTGTCATGGTCTTCGTACATGAGCGTGTGCCAGACATGAGGACGTACCCACCGCTTCCTGATATATTCCTGGACAGGTAGAAACAGCCTTGTATATTGCATATTTTCTAAAGAATGCTTATCTATTCATTTCCACATAAAGATTCTAGCACCTGAGGAACTTCAGCTCCTTGGTTCAAGTCTACTTTATTTTTCTGTCTTATCTAATCTAATCATGATGTTTTTGTGCTCTCACAGTGTACCAAGAATTCCATGGGCCTTTGCAATGGCTGAGGCCTGTGGGCTGATCTTGTGTTACATGTTTTCGTTGATCCTGCTCCTTCACAAACACAGGTAGTGGCTTTTCCAGCATGAACTTCCATCGTATTATATTTTACTGTGTGTTGCATAAGATGCAAAGCACATGATAAGTGCGTTTTTGTTTTATTTTTTGTCTCTGTTCAAGGTCGATTCTTCTCAGGCGCTTGTGTTCTTTGATGGGGACAGTGTTTCTGCTGCGCTGCTGCACCATGTTTGTCACCTCGCTGTCAGTGCCGGGGCATCACCTGAAATGTGCCAGCAAGGTGGGCAAAGCTCATGAGATTCTGTAATGAATTTACCTTTGCTGTTGTTTTTTTTACATTTTTTACCTGAAAACTTCTGCTTTAATGATTAATTATGCTGCCAGTGGGACTCAAAACCAGAACAATCACAATTTTCTTTTTTTTCTTTTTTTTGCATCCTCCCCCGCCAGACCTATGGTGATACCTGGGGAAAGATACAGAGAGCTCTGGCTATCTGGAGTGGCTTTGGGATGACTCTCACAGGGGTCCAAACCTGTGGAGACTACATGTTCAGCGGGCATACTGTTGTCATCACAATGCTCAACTTTTTTGTGACTGAATGTGAGTATTATCTGTTTTGTTTCCCTAAAACGATCAAATGTTTGACTGGAATTGATTTGTCATTGTTTGTTTGCTCCATATGGATTACTGAAAACTCACAAGATTGAAACTTTTATTCTATTTTCCTTTTAAATGATTTATTGCCCACAACCATTATGTCATATAGGAAAAAGAACGTATACAAATCAGTGAAATTCCAGTGTTACTAACATTGAAGCCCATGATGAGTGTATGTACTCATCTATCCAAATTGTTTTGTGTGTTTGAAATAGCTAATTGATTCCCATTAACACAGTTTTTGTGCTTTCAAATTTATTCCACTTAGGAAGTAATTAAATGATAAAACACATTTCATATTAAACTACGGTAAGTAGCAGAAAAGCATATCGAGGAACCATTCTAAATAAGATGAAACAGCAGTATTTATCATTACTAAGGGACATGCTTCCCATTGTACTTGTGTGGAACTCATGCAGGAAGAAATGAGCTTCAGCCTTCGGATGCACATACAATTTTAGGGAAAAAAAGCCTATCACTAGATCTGTCCTTTTGACGACTTGTGTCATTTGCAGACACACCACGAAACTGGAATATGATTCACACCATCTCCTGGGTGTTAAACCTCTTTGGTATTTTTTTCATCCTCGCGGCCCATGAGCACTACTCCATCGACGTGTTCATTGCTTTCTACATCACCACTCGGCTCTTCTTGTACTACCACACCTTGGCCAACACCCGGGCCTACCAGCACAGCCGCAGGGCTCGCATTTGGTTTCCCATGTTCTCCTTTTTTGAGTGCAATGTGAATGGACCTGTACCCAACCAGTACAACTGGCCCTTCAACAAACCTGCCTTCATGAAAACTCTGATTGGATGACTGGTCTGTACTAGTGTGCCTCAATGGAAAAACTCTCTAATTTATTAAACACAATATATTTTCTCTCTCTTTTGACCAAAGGAAATCTGTGCATGTTTGTCCTCAGGTTTATAAGAATTATTTGCACAGTATAAGGAAACATACTTTTATGCAGGGATTTAGGTTAAATTAGTGAGTAATATCTCTGCAAGCTAAATATGAAGCTACAGCTGGCTGGCTCGCTTAGCTTGACAATGTAGAAGCTTGGAAAGAAATGCCTTTTTCTCAAAGAAAAGCTCTCTATACCATGTTTCCTGAAGAACTTGTCATAAATTGTACAGGAACCGAATGATATTCACTGCACTGGAACATCTTTGTTTCTTTCCAGTTTTGGCTGGAAAAGAAACACTGAAAGGTACCCGATTAAGCTTGTGGAGTCTTATCAAGCATATTCCCATCATAACAGTCAAATTAATTTTCAGAATGTTCAACTATTTTTTTTAAATTGAATTGCTCTTTAACGAAGAACAACTAAATGTTTGTTTTAATAATGGGAACTAAAAAAAAAAATCAGCTTTATTATTTTTATTTTCAACTTTAGAGTTTACATTATGGTGGTTTAAATGCTTTTTGTCACTTTACATATTATTGTGATGGATGCGGGAAAGGGGGTTGAAGTTGTTTTGATTTTTGTAAGTGCTCCCAGGGGGGACTGTTTCTTTCACTGTGGAAAGAAAAACCCCACAAACAAGAACTTACCAAAAACTCAACATTTTCTTTCACTAATTTAGCTTTAAAACTGTTTTGTAATCAATATTCATCTTTTTAGGTGGTGGAGATACGGTACGTACACTCATAGTTAAACTCTTACTAACCAACCATTCAGCTTGTTAGTATGTAGTTATATTTTTCACTTCTGATTAATGTTATAAGTTTGTATTGAAAATAACTTTCTGATATCAGCTATTAGCAGCTTGTAGACAAAAGCCGAAGAGTGTAATGTTTACAATGGCCGATCCAAACTTCTTTTTTTTTTTTTTTTACATTCTACTAGCTTTGTGGCGATGGGGGGGATTAACTACAGTAGCATGATGCAAGTAGCATGAGTAAAAGTTATATTATAGGTGTGCCTTCAATCTACAATATCAACACAATTTCCTGACCCCCTTAAAACAAATGTTGTTGCACACAATTTATATTGCCAGTAAAGGTTTGCAGGTGTGCTCGCCTTAATGTAAGCCATCATAGAGGACTCCGCACACACACAAAGTCTCCTTCTGAAGATGGTATGCGTTTGACTCAAACTTTATGAGAATATTTAATTATTGTCAGTGTATCTTTTTGTAATAAATAAATTGTCCTTTTTGTTGACTTTGGTCCATATGTTCTTTTATTTGTGTACGGATATGTGTTCAAAGACTTCTAGTTGTCTTTGTTTATATGTTACGTTTCGCAGAGTTAAATTTTATTTATCTATGTAATGAATTTAGAATCATTCTAAGCTGCAGACAGAATTATGTCATTTGTAGATTTCAGGTTATTCTATGTCTACGTTAATGACATCATAAGGGTTCGTAATGGGCAAAATTTACTCAGTAGAAAGCCAATGATGCACTACAGAGAAAAAAAATCCCACTTCATGTTCACAGATGTCTTTTTATACTTCTGCAGATCTCTCTTCGTGTTCTCATTTGTCTGCTGGGTCTTTTCGCCCTGTGTCACTGTGACTGCTTCTTCCACGCATTAGAGAGCAAAGATTTGAAAAACCCTCCCAAAGGTGATTTATTATGAACACCCCTCTCAGGGAGATGAGTTGTATGATAAAGTGGAAGTGAGAGTTTTTCTGAAATATATATTTTTCTTCTTTAATATGTTTGGAAAATGCTTACATTTTTATATATATATAGATAGATATTAATAACTATAAAAAACGCACTTCAATTATCAGTAGACACAGTATTAACCTGCTATGCTATGAATTTAGCATACTGATAAGTTAGTTAGTCAGCAGTTTCTCTGAACAGTTGTGATTAAAGAATGTGTTGATAGAATGGAGAGCTGCATGTTTTTGCACAATAAAGGGTTTTAGTAAGTAGGGTTGTGATCAATTTTATTGACATGATATAAAGGTTAATATTTGTATTTCTATCCTCCCATCGAACCCGGAACCCTATTGCTTCAGAAAGAGTGAAATACTGTGGTTATTCAAAAGTTTAAGAAATATGACTATATTTGTTGTAAAACAGGATGAGATTGAATAAGGCCAATAAATGTGCTACTGTCAAAAAGTAATTTCCAAGAGAAAATTATCAAAACTTCCCAATTACAGACGGGCATCAGCTGGATGGGAGTCCTCTCATACCAAATGCAACCTTTTATTTTTCCTTTAATGGCAAACAGCTATGATTCAGAGAAGAACAATTTCCTGCGTTTAAAAAAGAAAAATCCTTCTCGTTTAGGAAAATATCATGTCAATATGAAAATATGTAATTGTATGTTGTGAGTAAATATAAATATTCAACACCCCGGATTTCAAACAAATAATTGTGACTGACATTTTTCCCAAAGTAATTTAAATGATCTTCCTTTCATTCTGATTCCCATCATCCTGTCCCAAAGATAACATTTTCTAATGTTTGTTACTGTACAAAAGTTTGTTAGGAATGCTTTTGTTGTCATTTGTTTGTGTCTCTCGGCTCCCCAGTGATGGCTTTGTAGGCCTCCCTAAAGACTGGCAGCTGGGTGTTGATAAGATCTCCTTTTCTGCTGAGATGGTGCTGAAGTCAGACAAGACTAAACCCTGTAACCCTATTTAAGAAACAATGTACTGTTTCTCTCTCAGCTCTGCTTGTCTGCTCGATGCTTCTTCGACACTACTTTCAGCAATCTCAAGATGTAATATAATAATTTTGCCACTATGTGACAGCAGAGCTCGGCACTCGGAGGGTCTCAGGTACCCAAAGAGCTCAAACAGCCCAATTATTGCTGTTCTCCACTCGCTGCCGTCTATGACAGAAACGCTCTGCTTATTATGATGTTCAGCTCACATCCCTGAGGATTCACACCTGTTCAAAGAATTGTCTCCAGACGTCTTTCCACCACAGAAACTCTTTATTCATCCAGCAACACACGTGAGTCCTTTCTTTCTTTTACAGCCAACGGTGCTCTATTGAATAAGCTAATGATATTTGTAAAGGAAAGTCAATATCTTCTAGAATCGAATAATTTCTGAAATGCATGCTGTATTGTTTTCGACTGTCATCTTGAAGCTTCCCTTCATCTGTACAGGGTGTCTTTTTGTTTACAGATGTTTTTGGATTGCATTGAAACAAAAGCCCTCAACAGCGGGCATTTCTGAGGATAAGAAAAGCAAACCAGGGAAAAATGTGTGGCTAATTTGCATGGGTTTTTTGTAGTGTGTGGAAATGTGACAGCTAGAAATTTCATAACGGTATTCCCAGAGGGGAAGATCTTTAGAGGGATCACCCACAGTCCCTGACACCCCCCAGCAGAGAACAATGAGGCTCAGGTCATTATCTCAGGTTGAGCACACGTAACGGTGCCAGCTGCCGTTATTCTGATCCTCTACAGGCAGGAGGAAAATAGAGAGAAAATTGTTTCGAGATAACATGTAGGAGGAACGCGCTTCATTAAAACACGCCCTGCCCACCCGTCTTTGATTTTATCATTTTAGACATACGATAGAGAAGTCTAATCCATTAGTTGCATTCATTTAAATTGAATCCAAACTTGCAAATATTTCACAGATGAAAAAAAAAAGGATTTTCTGTCAAAGTGTGATAGAGCTGTACATGGTGGAGGTATATTATTGTGATATCAGTGATGCATAACCTTGATCAAAGAATGTGTGAAATCAAAGTGCGATGAGACAAAATACTATGAAAAAAGGCAGTGTTGATGGGTTGGTCAATGCAAACCTGTACACTGAATAGCAAAGCCTCTTAAAGATCTAAAAAGAACGAAACCCAAGATGAACATGGTCCAAGGAAAGTAACTTTCAGGCATTGGTTCACCCATCTAACATATATTTTCGGAGACATGGTGGACAAAGAACCAAATGGAACCAGGTCATGGTGTTCCTTAGCCAGAAGAGATTTACCTCAAGTATGATGCCACAATGCCACACCTGCTAGCTGGATGAGAATCCTTCATTGTCAGTTTTCTCTTTTGTGATAGTGCTCAAAAGTGTTCAGCTTATTGGTCCTTTTTTTTCTCTGGCCAGTGGTTTTGAGTCCCAATTTTTTGTTGAGTGGGCTATTAATTCTGGTTTCGGGTGACATTAAACTTGCTTTTCCTCCCCTAACAAAAGGATGATCAATGCTGTGCCACCCTGCCTGCAGCTCACTCAACACACTGACAGAATAGGTTAGTAATGATGCAGTGTGAAATGACTGATAGCAAAATTCTGGTGCCATTAATGGAAAGTGACAGTCTCATTTCGTCTCACAATGCGGTTACAGGGGGAAAAATCCATTTTTAGGACCCTGACAATGTCATGCCCTTTGACACATATTCGCTGTGATCAAGAACGGAATACAAGTTAGAGCCTGTCTTCTAGCATACGCACAGCAATTTTACTGTCACTAAGTTATTATTTTCACCGTGAAATGTGGGCACCCTTTGTCGGAGGGGAACTGACAAGTCTTGCATCTTAAGAGTTGTCAGATGTAAGCTTACGGAAATAAAACTGTCATGAAGATATAATGCCATATCTCTGTCATTCCGTTTTATAGCCTGTGACTTTAACACAATGACTGCCTCTTTAGAGATGTAGACATGTTTGCAGTGATTATGCTCATGTTGTTTGACATATTCCACCTAAAGGTGAGGTCTAACATGAAACCTTCATATGGTTAATGGATTCAAATACAAGCTCTGGTCTTATCGCTGACTGATTAGTGTGATTATAGGATAAGTAATGCAAATTTAGCATGTTTTTCTTACAGTTACTGATTTCTTGTGTTGGTGTCATCAGATGACAAGTGTGAAGCAAATGAAAAAAATTACAATTAAACATGATTTAGTGTTCTTCCTCATTTCAATCAGCATTTTTAAAGGTTCATTCACGGGTTTTGAACATTATATCATTCTGAATCTCTGCAGCACTTTAATCTTTAATCTTAATCTTCATGTCAAATATATAAACAAAATTTGTCAATTAAATTAAATGTGATTTTCATTTTAGAAGTTATGCAAAAATACCTACCTAATAATTTGAGTGATTAATTATAATTTTTCTTGTTATTATTAAGTTTTAGGCCACATAACTAATCACCAACATCTTCACCTATTAACATTACTTACACAGTTCCAGTTATTTTGCATCTGTTGGGGCTGATACTTTCTCATTAGATCCCACTTGTTCTCGTGGGTAACATGACACTTGAGTTATGGAACCCATTTAGCATTTTACATAATTTTGCATAATGTGTGCATTAGTCTGAGCTCTTGCAAAGCTGACACACCTCTCTATTCGGAATCTAAATTAATCTGTGCTGTTACTCTGCAAAGCTCTGCTAAACCCTCTATTTGGATCCAAGGTGAACATGAATGTGTAAAATATCAGTCAACATCTCAAGGAAAAGTTATCTGTGTTATGGCTCTTTGAAAATGACCCCAATTTTAGTGTCTCTGTGCATGTTCTGTGAACTGTGAGTATCTGTACAACATTTAATTGTTGATTAATCAGCTCATTTAACGAGTGTTTTTAATGATTTGTTTTCTGTTTTCCTTCATTTAAATTCCTCAGCGGTGGATTGGTTTGCTATACTTCCTCCACTTATTACTTCTCTCAGTATCATGAACAGAGCATTTTCCCAATAGGATATATTGTTATTGTAAAGTAAAGCTTATCATGTCTCCCCTTCTTTCTCTTTGTCTCAGATGCATGTTTTCAGAGCACTGGAATGGATGATTAGATCCAAGGAGCTATAGACACTCAGGTCTTGGTGATATGTCTTTTAGTGTCAACACAAGCCAACCCGCTTTGTCAACATCACCACAGTTATTCAACACCTCCACCCCTCTATATTCCATACCACGGGAGCAGGAAAGTGCTCGTGATGACGTGATGCAGGAATGGCCTGAGAACGTGACCCAGCTCATCTCAGATTTCTCTGTTCTGGGGGATGATGAGCAGTGCCAAATGTCTCCTATCCTCACAACATGTCTAGTTGTGTGGTACAGCCTCACAATGGTGCTGGGGCTGGTGGGGAACATCGGACTTATCTGCATTATTGCCCATCGCAGAGAGAAAGTCAATGTAACCAGCATTTTCATCTGCAACCTGTCGTTCTCTGACATTCTGGTGTGCATTTTCTGCCTCCCTTTCACCGTCATATACACAATTATGGATCACTGGGTGTTTGGGTCACTGTTATGCCGCCTGGTGCCATTCATCCAATGTGTGTCTGTGACTGTATCAGTGCTGTCGCTGGTGTTCATTGCTTTAGAAAGGCATCAGCTCATCATCAACCCCTCCGGATGGAAACCGAGTATCCCTCAGGCCTACATGGCAGTCATTGTTATTTGGATATTAGCTGGCATCACCTCCACACCTTTTCTTGCTTTTCAGCTTCTCACAAATGAACCCTACACCAATGTAGCCTTACCACTTCATCAACAGCCATCTCCTCATGCTTATCTCAATGCATCTTTGCCTCGACTTGTCTCATATTCAAACAAAAATTCATCTGTGCCTCTTAATTTGTACCGCTCCCTATTTTCTTATGTGCCCACCTCTCCACACATGGAAGCCTGTGTGGAGCACTGGCCATCACAGGAACATAGGGTTGCTTACACCACATGGCTCCTGCTGTCCCAGTACTGTGGTCCACTTTTATTAGTCCTTCTTTGTTATGTAAGGGTTTTTGTGCGCCTTCGCCACCGCAAAGACATGCTGGACCGGGCCAGGATCCCTGAGAACCAGCGGGTGTCCCACAGTCGACGAATCAACATCATGCTGGTCGCGCTTATAACCGCCTTTGCTCTTTGCTGGCTTCCACTCACCATCTTTAACGTCGTGGCAGACTGGAACCTGGAGGCTTTGCCAATATGTCATCACAACCTTCTTTTCTCTCTCTGCCACCTGCTGGCCATGTCCTCCACTTGCATTAACCCCATCATCTATGGCTTCCTCAACTCCAACTTTCGCCAAGAAGTGCGAGAGGTTCTCCTACACTGCCACTGTTTCCGAATAGAAGAAGAGTGTGAACACTTCCCCATGTCAACGGTGTCCCGCATTTCTGTGCCTCTTCAGTGCAGGAGTAATTCTGTCTGATTTTGATTATATAATGTAAAGCATGCCGCTATATAAGAATGTTGTAACATAGACTGTGCAGTTGTTGGACTACCTTTGTTTTGTCTGTGGTTTTAAGTAAATAGTGTAATACAGTATTGTATTCTAAGGTGTCTCAAAATTAAACACGTCATTAATAGAGAAAATATTTGAATTAATCTATTTCTGGATGTAAAATTCACACTGAAAGCATTAACAAGTTGTTTTAAACTGCTGTTGTCAGATTCTCACATTCCCTTACTTATTTTCCATTTTTTAAATCATTCCAGGAATTCTGTGAGAAAACTTTTGCAGTACAGAAAAAATAAGCATTGTTTGTTTTAAATGCTTCTGAAATATTGAAAAGTGTTTATTTTTCACCGTTGTTCAATTTGGTGAGTAAGTTTTGTCATTGCAGGCAATTTTTACATGATATGTTTATATTTGGGGTTGATGGCTGAGGTCAAAGTATTTTGTGTTTTGTTGTAAATCTGCTTGATTTTTATGTGTGTGTAACTGGAGTCATGCATATCTTAATGATTTAATTATCCAGCAAGCTGTCACTTATAAATAAACTACAACTACCTCTAACACCTTTCCTCATTAATTATTTTGTGTTTATTTGACTATATGCGGGACAAAAAATGAAAAGTAAGTCAGAACATAAAATAAAAGTAAGTTTACCAAATCAAAGTTTCCTCAAACTAGTATACCGACGAGCCAATAGTTACTTGGAACCTCCTTCGGACAAGAGCGAACAACGGTAACCTGCAAACTCATTAGAGCTCATCATAAGGAGGCATTTCACATTTGACCCCTCAGTATCTTTGACGGAAGTGACGTAGTTTCTTGTCATCCAATAGTCATACTCTTTCCCAGAATCCCTTGCAATACAAACTGCACGCGCCAATGATGTACATTGTAGTCAGTTAGTTATTGGTAACGCGCACTTTAAAATTCGCTGACACATAAAGTAAGTACACGGGAAATACAAAGAAGCACTGGCAAATAACTTGTTATTTCTTTGTAGTACAAACACTTTAAAAGAGGTAAGATTACGGAACTACCACTCCCTGTTCCTCGTTGCACAATGCTAACTTGATGGTCATGAATTTGCTAACTACATAAATTAGCAGAGACAAGCCAGGTTATTTCGTAAAAATATCAATTACCAACAGTGTTGGTGGTATTTGTTTGAAGTTTCAAGTACACGTAAGTCAGAAATGTTTCTGTTTTTAAGTATGTTGACACGTAAATAGTTGCATGTCGGTTTAGATGGCAAATGTTGACTGCTCTTTGTTACGTTATGTTTTATTTATCATGATAATAATGCCATTTGATTATAATACTACATTCACAGATATGTCTGTGTTGATAGAGTACAGCAATATAGCCGGATAATCTCTGGTTTAGATAAGTTATTTTCACTCTTTTGGGACAAAGCTTTTACGTACTGTCCAACAGGATAAGCTTTTAGAAAACCATTGTCATGGAATACTGATTTTGTTCAAATATATTATTACGTTTATCAAAGACTTTCACTAATTACCGTCCTATCTTATGACATGTAAATAGAATGATTCCTTTCTGTCTGATATTGCAGTCACAACCTTGATAGTCAGCATGACAGGCAACTGTGTTATTCAGTTTTATTTTAATGAGAAGAATTTTGCTAGCTGTCAACGTTTTAAAAATGCACTCTAATTTGTCTGTTTTCTTAGCTACTGTATCTTCAAGCTAAAGAGACCAGTGATGACCACAAACAACAGGTCTACAGTTCTTAAAGGTACAATGGAATTCAGTTTTGCAACAAATTCAAAATTCATCTTACTGCTTGTCGTTCTATTGTATGACGTAAATAAATTTGTCTGCAGATGTTGTCGCCTATGTTGATGTTTGGTCATCAGACAAAAGAGCAAATTACTCTAAACCATTTGTTCAGCAACTGCAGGAAATGGGCGCTGAGGTCAGATAGCAATTTCAGAAACTTAATGTTTACAGACTGATGGTGCATTAACACTCCAAAACTCAAATGGCATATCTTTTTATAGGTATCACAAAGATTCAATAAACAAGTCACTCATGTCGTGTTCAACAATGGTCATCTGGCCACATGGAGGAAAGCTAAGAAAAGTGAGGTGCAGCTTGTCTCTGTTCTGTGGGTAGGAAGGTAAGAATAATTTGTTTAAGCTTAAAGCAGTTATGTTGTTAGTGAATTGTTGTAGTCAGCTATTTTTGTTGACATATGTTCAGATGTTATGATGATGGTGTACGTGCGGATGAGAAGTTGTTTCCAGCCTTAAATGATGAAAGCAATCCTGTGATGAAGAACAGGAAAGTAAGTGAATTTATATCTATGTCTGTTTAAAGCTTGTGCCATTGTTTAAAGTGGTAATATTTAAGCTGTGTCTAAGGCCTATTTAACACTCGCCTCATTAAGATTGGACAGGCTGGATAGAGGGACACCGTCTGACACCGTGCTTACATCAGAAAGCCAATATGAAAGAACCACCAACCATGATAAATCTGTTAACCTCTTACACGGCAGGTCATTGAGCACAACCAAAGAATGAAAGAGGCTTAAATTATCTTACTGTGACGTAATAAAGCAAATCTTTCTGTTATCTCATAAGATCTCAGTGGTTCCAAATGTATGCAAATCTGTGTTTGATTGGCTGAAAGCTGCTTTATTACACAAAGGCCTGTATATGTGCAATAGTTGATGAACCAGAACCATTACTAGGATTTTAAAAAAAAAGTTAATCTCAAAATACCGAGTCTTTTCTTGCAAAGATCTGAAACCCTCTATGTTTGATGAAATTTAAATTTCAGAGTTTTCTGATTTAATATTTAAAAGGATGATGAGATGCTTTTATGTAAGATCTATTGTTTACTTTTCTTTTCTCAGTTTACTTTCAGTGCCAGTTTTATAATAATTTGAATGCATTTAAAACATTGAACTTTTATGTGTTTTTGTCTGAAAAGATACCCATGAATAAATATTTCCTTGAAAATTTGCTAATAATTCAAAGCACATGTTTATATTTTTATTAATCTCCTAATGCTCAGATGCAAAGACTGCAGTTGCCCGTCGTCATTTCTGCTTGCTTCCCTTTCAAAACTTTTTCATGTTTTGATTCATGCAGCATCGTTGCATGTTGCCCAAAGATTCTCCAGAGAAGACTACTGAAAATGACTGGCGTATGAGGAAAAAATTAGATAAGATGATGAAGGATCTGGCTCCAAAAGAACCTTTTGGTAAGCAGTTTTAACAGCATTAGGATGTTTTTCTAACGAGGGCATGCAATGAATTGTGTCATGCTTCTTTTTTTCTCAGTTACTGATATGTCGCCCATAATTATTGATGAGGAGAATGGAATAATCTATAGTCCTGCTCTGAAAAGGTCAGATTACATGGCACGACGTTTGAAAGACATGAAAGACAAACGGGAGAACCTTTCACCTACTGGTATGAGAGGCTGCATCTCTATTGTTTTTTTTATTTGAAATATACTTTAAACATCTCAGAACTCATGGGATGACAGCAGAATAAATCAAATGTCACTGCCTTGCAGCTTCACAGATGGCTGAATCCTGCTCACCTACCGGACTGAAGCCTTCTCTTGGGAGCACACCAACTGTCTTCAAATTTAAGTGTAAGAGCACTTAGTATAAACTATTTGCCACCAATCACTGGGTATTTTTATATTGCGTCTTTCAAAGGTCAGATGGTTGTCCTTAAAGTTTCTCTTTGTTTTATTTTGCATTCTTTTTTTTTAAATTGAGGTCTCTCAGTTTTTGTGATGCTGGACTGTCAGTGAGCTAAATCTAAGTGAATGGAAATGAATGGGACATCCACCGGTGTTGTGCTCTACAGGCATACTATGTGTGTTTGACATCACAGTCAGTGGGGGAAAAAAACAGCTATACTGAGCTGAAAAAGGAGGTTTTACTTTCTTGATGAAAGATTGACAAGGACTGTCCGACATAATTTGCATCAGTTGTATTGACATAAACTCTCATGAAGCCACTTGTAAAACGGTTTTGAAAAAAACAAACAGAATATATTAGTAGAAACTACAACAGTGCTGCTTTTTGAAGCTGTAATTTCTCATCATTGCTAGGAAAAATATTCATCTCTATGTATCGTACTATATACAGTTCTCTGCAAGCATCTTGTTTATTTCACCCCTCACAGTTTCACAGTGGGTGTGTAGTGTGCAATCTGGATGTGTGAGCTTGTGAAAAATGAGTGCCTGTGGTTTTCTGGTGTTGGAATCAGTGAAAGACAGTACCTGTAAAAGTCACTGTGAACAGTATATGTAAGACTAGCTCAAATTCTTATGATTCAAGTACTACTGACTATATTTAATCTTTTTGTTTTATTTTATTATTTTCTCCAACTTGCAGTAGATGACCAGTCTGATGATGATTCCTGTGCTTCTGTTGCTGAACTTGGTTGCTCACCTGACAAGGAAGAGGGGAGAACACATTTGAACGGGAGAGAGCTTGGCTGTGTTGAACACTCTGGAAAGCCCGGGTTCTCACCCTGCCATGACGTGCCAAAACGGATTTCAAGCGAGCCCGATTGTCCCGACTTTAAGAACAAAGAGGATGAAGAGGGGAATAAACAAACAAAGCCAAGAATAAGTTCAGCCAGGAAAAAGACTGCAGAAAAATTCAAATGTGAAGACTTTCTAGAGAGTCCTTTGCAGGATTGGTCTGACAAGAAGGCTCATACAGAACAAAAACAATCCCAGAGTAAATCACCTAACGTATTTAAAAAGGGAGAACAACAAGTTTCAGATACTAAATCCTTTACAGACACTGGGTCCTACATTAATCCTGCCTTTGTGAAATCTTTGGGTTGCCTTTCATTAGCCATGCCCGCTGATACTGCTTCTGCACGGTCAAAGGCAGCTTCTACCCCGTCACAGAAAATGGAGCGCAGGACACCCAAACGAAGCAGATCTTCACTTTCTGCATTGGTACGATCTGCTACTCTATCCAGTGAATGCAAAAGTGTTCTTTCTGATTCCACTGAAGGAGAGGTGTTTGAGGACTATTTTTCTCCAGCGAACCGCAAAAAGTCCATTTTGCCTAATCTACCCATGGAGAGCACCATTCAGATCCCTTTTGAGCTGGACTCTGCCCCAAAGAAGAGGAAACAAAGAAGCAAAAGCTTTGGATTTGAACCTAATGGCAAAAAACCCCAGAAACCAGAGAAAAGTCAGAGTAGCAAAAATGTCCAACCACAATCCAATGAAGTCAGTGAGCCTCAAAGTCTGCAACAGGATAAAAAAACATCTCTCACAAAATTAGATAACCCCAGAGACAATCTAACACTAATGAGTAAAAGGCGAAGACAAAGCACCTTGGCACTTTCAAGCACCAGTACAGCTAAAATTGATGAGGGGAAATGGAGGTCTGCATTCAAACCAGATTCGCCCTCATTGCCAACAGAGAATGCCACAGAGACTGAGCAGCAGAAACACTCTGATTTCACTGTTCTTTCTCACACTGTGGAAAGTGAGTAATAAGGATATCAGTAACAATGAACTCAACACTTTTCTTGTCATTTTAGTGTTCTGGTTTGAGAGTAGTACCATCGATAGAGCTTTAACAATGGTGAAAATTGTATGTGTACGACGAGCTATAATGATATGTGTGTGTTATTCCTTAGTCATATTAGCTTTCAGAAAAACTGACGAGTTATTTTAGGGAAGAATTAAAGGGGATCTGTAAGAGATTTACTGCTTAAACTTAAAGCAGAAGTTTTGTTTTTGAATGTTGCATTAAGATGAATTAAAAAGCACCATGTACAATTAAGACTTTTAAATCTGGATTTAAATTTTAGATACACACGCACCACTTTTATTTCAAATTTTCAGTGCCCTTGACGGTAGGTGAATTGAAATGTGAGGAAAAAACGGGCAACAAAGAGTTTGAAGTCGTGACCCGACACTAGCTGGCTGCATCAAGGAAGTAGACCCTCTGAATGTGGGGCATCTACCTAGTTTTTTCACTTATACAGCCTCTAATCATTCATAGAAAGGGATCATTGAGAACAGCTCTGTGTTTGCTGGCAGAGCTTTTTACAGTATAACAGAACCAGAAGATTCTCTCTCAAAAGGGCAAAAAATGGTTCTCGTTATCACCGATAAGCAGTACATGTTTTTTTTCCTCTGTGTGGTGGTGACTGTCTCTGCGTTGGTGAATGAAAACATTTAAAAAAAGAATTGGTGTTTTACATCCATATTAAAAAGTCTCAATTGTTCCTCTCATCACATAGCACCTGGCATAATTTCCACCTCTCATTTAAAGAATGAAAGGCTTACAGCAGATGTATAGATGGAGAAAGTTCCCTATGTGTAAATCTGAATTCACCCTGAATTAGAGGGGGGAATTCAATCTTCCAAAAGGCAGGCTTAGATCTAAACCCTAGAGCCTGGGGGAAAAAAGTAGGTTTTATTAATTATTTACTGTAAGACGGTAAAGTTGGTATATCATAATTTCGTACAAAGATAAAAATTTAAGTCTAAGATTAAAAACACAAAGAAGAATTATTAATTCATATTAAAGTTGTTTGAGTGTAAGCAACTGCAACAAAGTGCCTCAGTTTGAATTGTAGGCAATTAGTTTCCCCCCAGGGGTAAGAAGATAAACATACGCCAGCCTTTTAATGCCAGCTGTATGATTGCTTGTCTGCCCCCACCCACCTGCTCCTCTCTTTTAAATTGCTCCCCTTGTTTTCAAATGTAGGTGGAGGAAATGAATGTACGGTTGCAGCTGGTTTCACAGAGGTCTCCTCTGAAACTGAAGAAAATCGCAAAAAGCAACTCTGCTTAAGTCTTCAGAAAATGGTTAACAAAACAAAGGTAAGAGGATCTTAATTTCTTTCCATTTGTACAGTGTGGTGGATAAGCAGTCATAAATGATATGTACATGTATGAAGTCATCAGTGGGAAGTGTGTGGATATACTGGAGATATCAGAGAAAAGTTGTTGTTTTTTTTTCCATCAGTCAAACACTAATATATTGATAAATGTTTCAAGGAAATTGTTGGATTCTGTCTATTGTCCAAAGACAAAAGTCAGAGTTCAACGCATCACCTTCCAATAGACAGATGGGCTGCTCTCCTCTCTGAGCTATGTTTATTATCCTGAGCGTTGTGTGTTGAATTGTTTGTCATCCTACTTTACAGAGATATGTGAGATGGAACGCAGTATAGAGAAAATGTAAATGTCTGTGATATAGGAAGTTTTGTATGGAAACTAAACATCAGCTGTGTTTGTGCAAGCCTTTCCTCTTTAGGGCCATACACTTCCAAAACTGCAGGCGTTTGATGCATCTCGATAAGATGTTTCTGTCTGCTCCTGAGGATTTCCTTTGTTTAGGCTCTGTGATGGTATTGCAACTTCCTTACTTGTGAAATGCACCTGCAGCTCTGTTTTCGTTACACTGGTAACCTCAAAAAGCTGTCATTGGAGAAATGAAAGAAGCAAACGGGATGTCCTCGGGGACCTTTAACAGTTTATGTTATGATCCGATCATAGATGCGGTAGCCGGTCTACTGGTCTTGTAATATCAAAAGTGTGTCCTTATGTTGAATGTTTTTCAGGTGGTATTTTTAAGGTTATATCATTTTAAACCTGTGATGAAAATCTTTAATGTGAAACAGTCGAAAAAAACACAGCTTTTATTGTAATTTTGTTGTTGTCACTGTTATATAACTTGATGAATATTTATATTGCTGGCATGCAGTCTGATATATGAAGAGTTAATGTTATGTTGTGCCAAAGTGAAGCTTTTTAATGCAATACATAAAGTTCAAGTATGGATTATTATAGTCAAGTTTCCATTAAAGCTGATTTTAGTCACATATTGTTCTGCCTGGTTAAATGAATAATAAGATGGTTGAATAAGTCAGAAATTTTGACAGGAAATCAGAACATTAAGAATGTTGCAACCAGTGTTTAGTGAAAGCATTTGAAGACTCTCAGCTCTATTACAGTTCTGATTTTGCAACCACAGAATCATCTGACAAAATCACAGTTAAAGAATTTTAATAACAATGACAATCAAGCTATTTATTAATAAACCTATTTAGGGTTTATTAATGGGTATATTTGATAAAGTTGTAAACTTTGCTTTAATGTGTTTTTAATTCTCTAAAAGATGTTCAGGACCACTCTCACCTTTCAACTAATTGGAATTCTAAATGTAAGTTGGTCTTTAATGTGGAAAGCTGTACTTTGACATTTAGACTTACTTAACTGCTTTTTGTGTTTGGCTGTCACAGTTCATAAGATCTCAGGCTTTGCAGAGATTAAGCCCTTTATTTCTCTCTGATTATCTGAACAGTGTTAGTTTCAGTGGGCACCAAACAGTAGCCGTCATGAAGACCCAGTCATACGGTGAAGAATTTCCTTTGTTTGTGCTCTGGAGCCTTTCAGCCTTGTCAGAGGCTCATTATGTGCCGCTCAGTCCGCTGTGCCTTATTCCTGTGCTGCTGCCAAAATATGTCCTGCACATACAGCAGAGTCCCTATAGAGGAACTTTCAGAAGAGCAGTCTACATTTGAATAAGTTTTATTCATACTTAAAATGAGCACCGTTTTTTTTTCTTTCCATGAAGCAATAACAAATCATAAACCTTTCGTAGCTCATTAAAACTGGATTATAAAACATTTGAGCGACAGAACAACCAAAAGGAAGTAATAATCCAGCAGGGATATTATCAACTAGGTGACCTCTCAGCTTGCCATGTCAGGGCTAACATGAATATCTGACTCATGGGTGTGTCTTGTAGACTGTTATGACACCTTTGCGCTCAGCAGGCCTTAACCCCTGACTTTCAGCTGTGAGAACAGATATCAGAGTGGCAGGAAAAGGGCTTGGTGGTCCTGTTTGTTTCTGTCACAGAGCTGTTTGTGTCGATGATAGCTGTCTTTATGGGCTGCAGCTATCAGGGTACAAATACATGTCCGGTTCAGTTCGACATTTCTCCTCAGCTTGCTGCCTTTATGTTTGTGTTTGCATTTATTCCGCTGGTAAATGTAGTGTTTGTTGTGACCCATATAATCATAGTACTGGAAAACAGATTCCACCCTTCGATTCCTGCTCTCATAAAACACAAACAACTCTGTTTTTATCAACACTGTTGAGCTGCTCTGTTTATATTTCACTTCCAAATATGTGGAGGATGTGACAAAATATGGTTTATTGTTCTTAATGTGAGGCTGAGAAGTACCCAAGAACAATACCTTACCGGACATGTCTTAACGCTGTATGACTGACGGCTCACAATTAGTTGCGTGTGTACATATCACTGACCATTTTTTATGGTTCATCTTTTTTCAGAACATGAGAACACTGGTCATGACAAGCATGCCAACTGAGTAAGTTCTGCTTGTTCAATATTAAACAAATGTCAGTTTCATGAAACATTATGTTATTAAGTGAGAAAATGTGCAAACAGATGACCTGTGCCATTGTTCCTGTCAGATGTTATCTAACATGCTCACTTCTCGTAGGAAGCAGCACACGGTGGTTCAGGTGGTGAAAGCACTGGGTGGTTTTTCAATTGTTGACCGAGTGTGTGAGAGCACAACTCATGTGGTGTCTGGGGGACACAGGCGGACTCTCAACATCCTGCTGGGAATAGCACGTGGCTGCTGGATCCTCTCTTTTGAATGGGTATGGAGGTTTGGCAGGCCGTGACATTACACGACTAAACAGCTGATGAGGTCAAGTTAAACTGTTCTTAATGTTTGCCTAAAATAGATTCTGTGGTGTTTGGAGCAGAGACAATGGATTCCAGAAGAACCATATGAACTTTCAGACCAATTTCCTGCAGCACAGGTTAGTGCCAATTTCTGTATTTATTTCTATGACCAAAGGCATCTTTTTAAACCAGATCCAGGTGAGTGGAAATCTGCACAGCTGTAACACTAGCTGTCCACTTAGAGCCTGCCTGTTTTTCCTGAAGCATCCTGTGTGAATTGTGGATGTTGTCTCTTCCTGAGCCTGTCATTCATGAGTCACTGTCCTGTAATACCATTGTGATAGAAGACATAGGGTTCTGGTGGAGACAAAGGTCAACGCGTTTCCTGTTGAAATTGCACGGAGGCTTTTGTTGTGACACAAAATATTTTGACGTCCCTACGGCTTTTTATCATTCTTCTGCTCTTACGGACGCATCTCACATTTGGCAAACCTCATTCTTTCCTGTTTCATTCAGTTCCTGTTGAGTGTGGACTGTGCTGTTACCTTCTGTAGTGAAAGAGTCTGTCTTTAGTGGTATTCATTATTATTAGTAGTATTTTTATCATTATTAATTAAAGAACTTACATAGGACTCTCCATCATTTTTGCATTTCTTTTTATGTAAAATTATACTTATTTATTTATATTGCAATGCAAAAGTTTTCCAGATAGGTTAGAAAGTTTGAGAGACTGGTATACACTGATAATCTGTAAATTGCATGTTTGGCCAACCCTTTAAGTCTTCTCATATATTTTTTGCAAATGTCTATGGCTGTTAATGACCTTGAAGGAGAGCTAACTCATGAACGTGATGGATGTAACCCATGTTAATAAGGCTGAAATGCATAGGTCCCACACTAATCATAAATGTGACTGATACAAGTCAGCTTCAGCCAAACATATTTAAAACCCTAAACAAGGAGTTCACGTGCCAAATAAATGGGTGTGGAGCAGAGCCACCATACGACTTCATCTACAGTGAAATTGTGACTCCATATTTTCCATTTTTTACCTTGTTCAAGGTGACAGACATGCTTAATCCCCCCCACAGATTTAAAGTGATCCAGCAACTGTGTTTTCATTTTGTACATGTGTTGCAAACTTAAACTTTTTTGGAGGGAAGTGCTCACATTCACCTAGAAAATGTAACGATCTTGGGAGCAGCTTCAGCAGCACCTCACAGTCAGTAGAGTCAGTTTAACCAATAAGAACCATAAACCAACCCCTCAGATTTTCAAATACTTTAATTTTCAGTCATTTCATTTGGACTACCCTAAAAATGAACAATTACATTTCATCTATAGTAATTGCATCAACTGATTTGCCTCAATATAATCTGGGGCTGTTTTTAATCCCAGCTGCCATTAGGCAGTTGGCAGAATACACCCTAGACAGGTCTCCAGTCCATCATAGGGACACCCAGAAAAAAACAAGACACACAACCAAACACACTCACACTCACTCGTACTGGCAATTTAAAGGCACAGATTTACCTAACATGCATGTTTTTAAATGATGGGCAGAGATAAACGGGGATAACATGCAAACTCGTCACAGAAAAGCCCCAGCTGGGATTCGAACCAGGAATCCACTTGCGGTGAGGTGACGGTGATAACAGCCACACTTCTGCGTAACTACAGGAGAATATATTACTGTAATTCTTTAGTTTATGTGCAATTAAGTTCTTTAGTTCCAGACCCTCACTTGATATCTGTAACAGTTCTCCTTCATATATAATAAAGTTAAATACCAGTCCTAAAATCTTCACTTAAATTAAACAAGAAATGTACATACATTCTAGGATAAAAAAATGTTCTGAAGAGAAACTTTTTTTGGCACATTTTAAGCACTCTAAAACATTTTCACCAACATTAAAAAAAGATTTGAGCTGGTTCTTTAACTGCATGTTGTACCATAGTCTTTTCTAACACAAATATCATGTCATTCATAGTTAAATGGGAAATTAAATGGTATTGAATTATTCAAGAAATAATATGTAGATAGTTTAACATTCTACCCATTATTATATCCCATTATCAAATGGTTATAACAGAGTTCAGTCTCTAAGCCTTTAGTGGGTTTGTTTCTTTGTTTTGCACAATTTTTCAAAACCAACACTGCAGTTCAAACTATTAAACACATAAATAGCAAAAAGATATATGAAAATATGCTCATGAAGTGCTTTGGATCCCCCATGCGGTTTAACCTTTGGTGGTGTTTGTCAGACAGAATGTCTTCCCCACTGGTTAATCTGAGGGAGATTTCAAAGGGAACCTGAGAAGTCGGCTGGTCTGATCATCATTGCAGTGGACTTCAGTGAGTAGCCTGAGCCTTTCCAGTAGTACCATTTGATTCCGTTGAAGCGGTTGGAGTTTTGGCCTTGTTGGTAATACATCCCATTCAGATTGGATGGGCCACAGGCATCAAACCACCAGCCTACAAATTCAAAACATTGTTAGTTCTGAGTGAAAAAGAATAACCCGTACAGCTGTTTGGGGTTGTTATCCTATCTGTGCAAGGAGGTAGAAATGAGGGGTATGTTGCAGAACTTTGCACTTTCGAACTAACTCTTTCTAACTAATTCTGCCTGTATTGATGCCTCTAGAAGCAGTGGATTTAACTTCTCGAAACTCCTTGTATAACAACTGACTGAAATGTGTATCATTTCTCCCCAACTCATGTTAAAATGCAGTGATTTATTTGAAAAAGAAGCGTTGGACCTTGGCTGGCGGTAGTCAATGTGCTGAGAGGTGTATCAGTTTTGCACGTATTCACAGAGATTTATTAGTGATTCAGTATGATCAAAAGGTGCAGTTCCACACTTATCAAATATGTTGATACACGTTTTCTTATTGTTTTTTTCTTTTTTATCTTACTGGCCCAGTGCCACTTAGTCATATTAATGTTCAGTGTGCTTATGAGAAACCCCTCATGGGAAAAAGGAATGGGGTTATGGTTTTAGCCTTTCAAGCTCCCTACTACAGAGAGAGAGACAAATGTCTGGCAGGAGAGTCACTTTCAAGGGAATGGAGCAGAACTTTTGGGCTACAAGAGGAGAGAGGGAAAAGCTCAGTTCCCAGGCTATTAATGTCAGCTATTGTCGAAGCTGAATTCCCCAATGAGCTGATCAGTGATTAAGTCCGAGCTAATTGTGCTCTTTGACACGGCCACAAAAGTACAGCAGCTCTTAAAATGCCCTTGAAGATTTTTGGGCCAAGAGCCAAAATTTGTCTTAGTGGGAATTTTACCCACAACAAGTGCTTACCAGTGATCAACAATATTTCTGTATTTTCAGAATATTTAAAAGCATACATTATTGAGTGTAATGTGATTCTTACCTCCTGTTGTCAATTGGGAACATTTGCAAACACATTTATCATTGTCTGCATCCTTTGTACTGAAATCACTTCCTGGCTGCCCAATGCTGCTTACTTTGCCTGCCGTTCCACCATAGCCTTTAAGGTGTATCCTGTAGAATGGAAAAGGAAAAATGAAGGAAGAGGAGGAGGAAGTCTCTGAATACTGTTCCTCAAAAGGCAAGACTGGTCTCTCATGCAGTTCTTTGGGCATAGCTTTTACCAGTACTGGGTCTAAAATGGGTCTTGTCACAAGTTTAATTTAGTTTTAAACAGTTCTTTAAAATTTGTATTTTCATATTATGTTCTTTTTGGCTTATACCTAAGGATTTGTTGTCAAGCTACAAATCAAGCTAGACAAATAGAAGAAGTGTGACGTTAACATTTTTTTTAACTGAATTGGGCTTTTAGCTCCCTCCAAAGCTCTGTCAACTTCAAGGGAAGTATATGTTCCACTGTCAGCCTATGTTTGGATGCCAAAGCAGTGGTACAGCCAAGAAACTCCGGCTGAATGTCTGCAAACCGCAGAAATTGATGTCTTTCCTATTTTTTAAATACTGACCAATTTCATTTGATTTTTTTGGGCTAATGCCAATGCATCAATGTCAATGTGTGTATAGTTATTCATGTCAAGAACCGCCATCTACAGGTTTTTTTTTTGTTATGTATTTGGCTTTTGAATAGTCATTGTCAGCCTGCAGAAATGATCATGGGGAGTTTTTGTCATATGTGAAATAAATGTTTTCAGCCAGCACTCGGTGCTTGTAGCTTTAGAAAGTTGTATCAGGCAAACTGTAAACTGTAGCACACCGTTCAATTATGATTTCTTCTATTCATTCCAGTCCTTTTCTGTGTTTGTATTATTCGAGAAAAGTGCAAATATACCGCAACCTTTGGAAAAAAAAAAAAGAAGTTGAAATCAAACTGTGCTGAAGCATTACAGAAGGAACATGTACCTGAAATTCTGCGCTTCGTTGTCAAGCAAAATTTGATCATATTGTGAGAATGCAGAGTTTCCTTCCCAATCACTGAGCTGGATCCGTAGTTTGTAGGTCTGTTGGTTTGTCAGTCTGGAGACAAATTCGTTTCCCAACCAGAATTCGCCTGAAGGTTCTCCAAATCCCTAAAAAGTAAATGTACGGTAATCAAACCCAAAGGAATTCTCAAATGACCCTCCTGTTTACTTTAATAATCTATTAAAAGAGCAGACCAGTTAATGACCAGTATCATGTCTGATGTTGAAATTTCTGCACATTTCTGTGTCGGAACACCATTATTGAGTCTATAACTTAATGTATAGTAACTAGGTTGTTGTTGTTTTTTGATAATTGCATGCCATAACTGTTGATCCAGCTTGTCCGCCTGGTTATGGCTCATTTGTTTTTTACTTGGCATCAGATCAGTGCTGTTCAATATTTTTGGAATTCTTCCAAGTACTTGAATGGAAAAATATTATGAGCACTGTCCTTACAGGAATAATAGATATGCTATGACTGACTCTTTCTTGAAAGATAGTTGAAAATTGTGAAATTATTGTGGTTTCCAAAATGCGGGGCGCTGACTACATTATACTAATGAATAGTTTGCCTTTTTCTTTTTGGATGGTGTTCAGCAGTCACCTCAGAGTGAAAGTGAAGGATCAAAAGATCCTGAAAAACACACACCATGTATCAACGAGAGGAAAAAATTCTGGCTTTGTACATTTGGACTGAAAACCGTAGCCATGGTTTTATTTTTCTAAGAGAAGAATTTCTTCTTGAATCTGCTTACCTTTTTGTACTCTTGCCACGTACGGTGAAAGTCAACACGGCCATCAAAACGTTTTTGTATTACTGTCCAGCCACCTCCATCTGTGTCCATGTCACAGAAAGCCTTAAATGAGAGGAAATAGTTCAGTAGAATCAGAAAAACAAAAACCGGGTTCTAATGAAACGGGACACTCCTTCATACTGTAATCTTGACATAATTATTTTGCATTAAAACAAGTTAGGGAACGGATTGTGTCCAAGCTTATGAAAAGTTTCTACGGTGATCACAGTTTTAGCTCAAGCATGCACCATCATTAATAGAAGTCTGAGAAGGTTTTAATTAAAGTACTCCACCCTCAAACAGCACATTTTCCTGAACTCCTGCAGTCTTTGAATTAAAGTTGCATTAACGAGGGATGGTCAGTGTGCTATCACAAAATATTCAGACACGCACTCACTGTACATGCAGAATGAATCAGAACGATCCAGTTAAACATTAATTTCTTCACTGATCAGAGCGTAAGTGCCTGAGTGCCCCACCTGCACCTCCATGGTAGTGTTTGGTATTGTGAGAGTGTAGACGCCACTGTTGGTGTTCCCGGACTTGTAGACTGCAGTGCAGTCCATGTAGGTGGAGGGAGTGTCCTGCATCATGACCGTTTTAGGCTCTGCAGAGGGTGGAAGCATTTTGACCATTGACACCACAAAACTGAAATCGTATTTACATGTCCACCGTATGCAAAAATGATTAAGGATCGATCCTTTCTGTGTACACTGTATGTTAAGTTTCTAGTTCAGAATAGGGCATCTTTTGTTTTGCCCGATTTATTAATTGGATATATTATCGAAGTTAGAATACAGTAAATGTCTCTTTCCGTCCATCCATACACGCCTGTCTCCTGCTTATATAATGAACTAGACTAACCTATACTGACCGGTCATATCCAACTTCTCAACAGGTAGTAATATGTTTATTGACCAAAATGCTGGACTGTTCTTTTAGTCTGCTTCTACCCCAGATGGCATCTAATGGTTACAGCTCTGCTGTCTCCACTGGTATGTCTAATTTTTATTGATACCTGTCAGATGTAAAGTCATCCTAAGTGATGCCTCACCTCCAGGCGAGCCAGCTGACAGAGTATTTATGAGGCTGTTCACTGTGTCCAGCAGCTCCTGCTGCTGGTGATGTAAGACCGAGTTGTTGGAGGACACCTTCAACAGCTGCTGCTCCAGCTGACCTATGATTGCCGTTTGCCTCAGTATCAGAGTGTTAAGCTGCTCCTTTTCATCTCGAAGGCCCTTCAGCTCCACTTGTCTCTGCTCCTCCATCTCTTGCACTTTCTTCTCCAGAAAACTGTCAAGAAGTGAGAAAGTGAGCTTTAATCTTTAACTCAACACAGTTTTAGTGATCATGAAAATTATCTCTTTTTTTTTCTTCTAGCCCCTGATTCAATGTCCTCACCTGTTTTTGTCATTCAGTTTGTTGATTTCATTTGTTTGGACTATGAGTTGTTTTTCCAAATTGTTGGTTGACAGTGAGTTTTCAAGGAGTTGACGCTCGAGCCGTGTTGTATGTTGAATGACCTAAAACCAAAAAAGCAGTTAAGAGAGAGTCTTCCAGTTACAAATTGTGATGGTTCATTCATCTGTCCTTCAGACATCAGATAGAAAATAAATCCTTTAAAATAAATCCAAATGGTTCAGAATCTTTCTGATCTTATCATCAGAAAGCCCATCCAAAAAGTAAAAAACATATTTGCTTCCCTACATAAAACAGTTTTTATTTCTTTTGTAATGAAATGCTGAGTTATTGTTGAATATTGTCAATTGGAATTGTTTATCTCCACTTTCATGTTAAAAATAGTGTCTCTTTAATCCATAACAGTCAACACACAAACCCAGTTTGTGTACCTAGGCCGAAGAAACATCCACTTGCTAAGTGGGGGACAGCACAGGAAAGAACAACCATACTCTAAAACAGCAGACATACCTGAACAAGGGGAAACAGCGATGTATTGAACTAAACTCCAGGGTTGGGGACCTTGCCACTAATTTCCCAGTTTAGAGGAACTGAACTCAGCAAAAAGCAGGTTGTTTACATGGATCCTAGCTGTGTGTCTCCAATGGAGCTGTTGATTTCTTTGAACAGACGGATGTGTGATTGTGACAAACTGATAGACCCTTTCTCTGGGAATACGAGTGTGCTAATAACAGGAAATGCTGTACAGTTGGCTCACATAAGGTCATTGACGTGTAGCCACAATAATAAACTGACGCCATCATGCCTGTTTTTCCCACTGCTCTGTTTTTTAACACCCTCAAACTGCATCAAACTCGTGAATTACAGAGCACACTTAAAGCTGAGCGTAATCCTGTGTATGTGTGGAACAGGAAGGTTCAACAATTGCATGTATGGTTCTCTTTGCATGTTATTTCCATGTGCGAGGAAAAAACAGAATGTGCAGCCTCACCTGTGCCTCCACATTGGAGAGTTTCCTTGTTTGCTCAGCAGTTTGACTCAGCAGGTTTGCCCCAATTTCAATCATCGTAGCCGTGTGGTTTTGTACGGCATTATGTTGAAACTGGATAATGTCCTGCTTCATGCTGTCTTGAATGTAGTTATCTAACTGCAAGGCCAAAACAAAAAGAAAATTAGTTGCCTATAGGTTTTTTTGATAACCTTTTTTCTTTTTCTTTTCTCAATTGTAGAGAAGGTAGGTCAAGGAGTCCTCTGGTTTCTTAATCTGCGTGAGTCTGTAGCAGTAATTTCACCATGTTTAGGTTTCTCACCCAGATTAGGACTGCACATATCCTAATGTTATAAGTTTTAAAGTATCAAGAGTAACCATGATTGTTTAATTGATGTTTATGCTAAATTTACAGCTGAGTGCAGCTGTTTTAACATCTTAAAGAAAGAAACAGTTTTGCAAAAGAACAAAGTTTTGTTAGTTTTTTAATTTAATTATTTAAAGTGTCCTTGAACTTCAAATGGTCTCAACATTGTTTTTCTTTTATTCTTAAAGCCAACATATTTTTACATGACACTATTTCCAGCCATTGTGGTGAATTAACAAACCAATATATCTATATCAAGATAATGTAAAGCATTTGGAGAAGTGATGCAACAACGTCCACTTTGAGAGGTTTGTCTTATCTACCTTGCTGAAAGGCCAGATTTAGACCCAGACTAATCATTAAGTTATTTCCTGCATGGTGTTCCTGAGTGGCAATCAGGTCACACGACTCGTAAACAGGATGGAAGTGTTGAGTGAGGAGTTACATCCTCCATGACAGTCAGACTTGTTTGCATGTGGAAACTACCATCAGCTAAATACCTTTGTCATCCACGCTAAGAATGCATAATTGCTGCCTTTTTTATTTCTTGTGTACTCATCAGTCAGTAACACAACTTCAAACATTTTTGTTGTTACTAATCTTGCCAAGTCCAAATAAGAGGTGCAATTAGTGACGTTGTTTGTCTTCCTTTCTTCGTGTCTACTCTGTTTATGTTCTTGGATACACACAGATGTGTGGAACATAGTCATTTGAATTGCTGACAGGATGTCCCATTGACAGTTAGTGATCTAATCAGTTGTTTACGCTCTGTGCCTCAAAAGAGATGGCAAAGAATGACGGAGTTCCTCATTCATATGATTTTTTTTTTTGTGATCACCAGCTGGTGCAGAGAAGTCATGTTGTAGATAAAATGACTGCTGGGATTTTCTTATTTTCATTTTTAGCCTTGAAGCAAAACAACGTGAACCTACTTATGTATCTCTTTCTTTCTACTCTCATCCATCACGCATCTCCTGCAAAATACTTTTATTTATGCTTCACAGGATTTTGCTTGACATGAACAATAAGAGGCATTTAACTTAATTCAGCACTTTATTAAGAGTTCAAAACTTTTTGAAATTATGCACTTGAGGATTAAAGTCATCCCGGACTTCGAGCATAGAACTCCACCTGTCCCGAGAATCCTATTCTGTCTGTAACGCCTCACTAACATGGGACATGATAGGGAACAGAAAACTGACTAAATTTGCCACATATATCACATCATAAAGAAAAACATTCTGGTACTACCACCAAATGTCCAAGATCTGTGATTTCCATAGGTTCCGTTGACCATTTTTGATAAAATTTTGGATTGTTTGTTACATTTGTGTCACTCTTGGTTCTTATGTGTTAAACGATTAAATAATTAATCACACATGTTTGTGGCCCAATAATAATCCTCTCTTCAAGTTAATGCTCCTCGTTTGTTAATACGTGTAAATGAAGTTATGTTGGGAAAACAAAGAAGACAAGAACACTAATATAAAAAACAGAAATGTAACAAAAAGAAACGATGCATGAGGAATTGTTAAGTGCGTACAGATTGTTTCTCTTTGCAGTTAGGATTTTGTTTTTCATGTATCACTTGTAGACTGTGTTATGAAAATGGATACTTTTTTTTTTTGTGTTAACACCATAGCTGTGATTTTTTTTTTTTACTCTGAAAATGGTGAAGAATGGGAGCAATAACTAGGTGGTTCACTCCTTTCAGCAGACAACTAATGGTCTGGCGAAGTGAGGCAAGAATGCCTCAGGTGGGCACCTGTCTTTTATTTTTGTCTGTCATTAAAACCATTACACATTAACTAAAAGTGTTCATGCACCATGACTCCCAGGACTCTTAGTTTATGTCAACAGTCATCCTCAATCTGTGCATTACAATTCTGCAAGTGTTTTGTCACCTTTTGAATAAGCCTTTTAAAAACAATTCAGCATGCTTGCTAAGTGGAATATATTTAATATTTCAGTATGTTAAGTAGCTATTGGTCGAATTCATGCCTGAGTCACTCTGTTGCATGAAATGGGCACATTTCATGTAATGACCGCCTACTTAACTTGCAGATATATGCAGTACATCATGAGGGTGATTTTACCCACAATACATTCAAATTACATCCACTTTATGCACTACAGATAAGGCTGTCTTTGAAATGTTTGCCTCTGGAGCACAAAAGAAATCAGGTTTTTCCTCTGATGTCTTTTTGTAATGCTCTTTCTCCTCACTACACTTTTCACACATCACACCTACACAGACTTTGTTCTTTTTTCTGTTCCTTTCAAATCCCAGTGATAGACTATTGTTACCACAGCGCGATCATGAGATGTGACAGAGCCTTACCTTTAGCAGCCAATCTGTGTTATTCTTCAAGCTGATCTCCAGTTGTTCCAGCCTCAGCGTGGACTCGTCAGCGGGGCCATCCTTCTGAATGGGGTGGTTGTAGTTGTCTTGCCTTTGGCAGTTTTCCTGCTCAGGCAGGAGAAAAGTATAGCTGCATGGGCCGTTTTGGATCTGAAATTGCCTCTTAGCAGCTGCAACGCTTCTCATTCCCAGACCAAGGCAGAAGCTTAAAACTAGTATGTCCACGTTCATCATCTTCAAAGCTATTTTTTTCCCCCAAAAAAAGTTAATAAGCACAGCTTTAATCTCTTAGGTTGTCAGTTTTCTTTTTTTAATCTCCTTGAAATAATTGGATGTCCACTACAACATCCAATTGTAAACAGCTCTCTTGAGATTGTGCAGATTCCTTTTATTACCTCTCAGTGGTAGGAGGAGAGAAAGCCATCTGGAATTGGAGGTAGTGTGTCCTTAGATTATTGGTGCCAGACCGCATGTGCTTGCCTCTCATCAAGCCCCCAGCCACTTGCTAAAGTGGTTTAAACTCGCTGGCAGGGAATTTAAACCACACCCCCTTCACTGAGGCCAGTCACTGTGAAGAGCAGTGAAGTGGAGATTCCTTTCAGAACACTCATAACAACACACAGGAGCAGATGCACAAACTACACATCCTCCGCTACATCCTCTACAACACCCACATGTTGTTTTCTGCGCCAACTGAGCAGCCAGTCAGGATGCCGCTGTCCACGTTCAGCACTCTCTTTGATAGTGACTGCATCCATCCCATTCATTGAGAAATGCTTCCCAACAACACACAAGAGCCTTGAATGGGAGTTTCCAAGGAAAAATCACCTATTTCCCTGTATATCCTGCTGTGTTCCTATAAGAAGCTCCCAGGACATCCACATCTACAGATTGCCCTTTTTATTAGATTTTTAAATAGTTTTTCCCTCTTAAATTCATATTATATTCCAAGTATTGAACAATTAAAGATTCAAGAACTTCCTGTGAGTTTTCGGGTTCATAAAGTTTCTGTTCTCTGCTGGTCCAGATGAAAGTGTCCATCTGGGGACCACAAAATAGATTTCAAGCACTACATTTAGATAATATCAGTGTAACCTGTGAGAATATTGTTTGCTGTAAATGTGCAAAGTTCTCTGTTCACTCCGACTGTCAAAGTTGGAATGTTTTTAAGTTGTGGGTGTTTCCTGTATCCTGGCTCATTCAGGTCTACAAAGATCTGAAATAGCTCAACAAATAGTGTACCCACTCACATACTGTGTCAAATCGTTTTTTTGTGTCTTATTTAGGAGTGAAACTAACTTGATATTGAAAAATATTTTCATTATAAATTTAGTTTGCTCCTTTAGGGCAGTGTGGCTGTTTTCAGGCATGCTCTGATGGTTTGAAAGAGAGTTTTCCATATTCCAGTTGCGATTGACTTCTCTGTATTAGCAAAGTTAGTAAAGTTTGTTTTTTTGTAATCCAAAGAAGTGTACTCAGTTTGAAGAGCCTTTTTGGAGACTGGCTGTTTTATCGGGGAAGTAGCTACAGTGAACATTCTTCAGATATCTCTCTTCATTCAGTAGTCATTTTTGCTCTGTTAGTGTCCACTGCAGCATGTTTGAGTGTTTGATAGGAAAGCGTTAGACCTGCTCTCTACAGAATTGTAGGAAGTAGACTGAGGTAATGCCTACTGTATCAGGGAAATGCAGCATATTTATGGCACATTACCAAAGAGGAGGAACTTGTCGTCATTTAAAAAACATTCTCTTTTTCAGGTGTTCAGACTGAGCCACTCGCACTGCGGATTCATCCGCACCTTTTTTTTTTTTCATATTTGTTTTATGGTTATGAAAGGCCCATAGGAGGCAAACAACAGGAACGATGATTCATTCAAACAGACATCACCTCCAGGGGCCATTCATTCACTTAATTTATTGCCGGGCCACATCCTATGCAAACGGCACTACAGACAATTCCCTCATGCTGGGAGCATGTGTAACGTCTGCTGACCTGCCACACACACTGAATTTCACTATGAGGGAATGTCAAGCTTAATTTATTGTGATTTGGTTACAGTGTTGCACAAGCTGCCTGCACTGTTTGCTCTGCCTGTGTGTTGGCTCGCTGTACGACTGACATAACCATACCGTATGGCAGCAGAAATACTGGTCGGTCATTTGAAAGGATAAATCGCATGAAAAGTAATGAGAAAATGCAGGTCTTTACTGCCATGAAAAAATTCATGAGTGTACGTTAGGGAGATGTGCTCACTCTGTTATCGTCATGGGGGGTTGGGGGAATGGGTCTGCTGTCACTTATAAACTGATATATTTCCATCACTTTTATCCTCACCATTAAGTGAGACTGTATGGATGGTGGTGGCGGTTTCTGTTCCTTCATTTTTCCTTCTTTGATCCACATGAGCTCTTACGATGGGGCATTTGTCTATTTTCTGCAGAGGCACTATAAATTCACTCTATAGATCCACTGTGGTCTGGCTGTTCATCAGCAAACATGGGTTCAGCATTTGAGGAGATAAGTGGAAACCAAAGGCAGAGATAAAGGAGGGCGATAAGTCTCAATAATGCCATATTATTGACCCAACGATTTTGTATTGTAACAGACTATTTGTTTGCTAACATAAAAGTCATGCTAATTCATTCCTATAAATTTATTCACAGCTTGTTTTTGTTGTATGCAAACAGAAGTAATAATTATTTTATTATATAAAACACAGAAATGTTTCATGTTAATTTTTCAATGAATAGGTTATGCTAAGAAAGGACGACATCACAGTGTATCTCCAGTCTGCTACCAATGCCACATAAAAGTCTTTTTAAATACCTGAGTAGCCACTGCTGCTGTCAGTTAACACAGTTGCAGAAATTTGGGCTGTTGTGATGCATTCCAAAGGTTTTTAGGGCTTAAAGCTTTGGACTCTGTGTCACAGTCACTCACTCGATCTTGAGCAGTTTGTGGCGTGATGGGGCACATTGTCCTGCCGTGAGGGGGGCATATTGGTCAGGGAGCACCGCTGCTTTGGGGCTGGGTGGTACAGGTCAACATGAGACCCACCTAAATGCCAAGACCAAAGATTTCCCAGTCAGTCAGTGAGCCCTAACTTGACTGGTCATTTAGATGACACGTCTACAGTATATATTTAAAACATTCATTAGAAAAGAGTTTAAGCGTCTTTTATAGCTTATTTTTTGTGTTTCTGTTAGACTGTACTCCTCCCACAGTAGGCAATAAATACAGTCCCCAGTTATTCACATTTGAACAGATTCATTTGAACATGTTACAGTTTCCATTTGTCATTTTATTTATTTTTGTCGATAGTTATCAAGAGCAGTGATATACTACAACACTAGGTTCTATTTAGGATTCATAAGTATTTACTGGTCCACTTAGCTCATCTGACTAGTGCATTATTTACTCATCGAGACCTGTAACACAAGGGGCTTGGTGCTTTGCTGAAGGGGTTTGAAATCCAAAACCCGTAGCTCCAGCAGCCACCTTCAGGACAATCGTGGTACTTCAACAGATGTACAAATGGGGTTCTTCTGTGTTGAAGTGAAAGTTATTTTATATCCATTTGAACCCAAATTGAGTGAAGTTGTTACACTGTTCTTTGAATTAAACTGAACTGTTCACCACTGACAGGAGAAATGTAAATCAATGTAAATGGGGCATCCCTGTTCCTTTTAGTGAGGTACAATTATTATTTTGTGAGTGTGTTGTTCTTTATGTTTATCAGAAAATTGTTTCCATGTTAAGTCAACACTCACTACAACAATAAGAGAAGGATGAAACCAGGATAATTTTATTTACGGGTGTGTAAACAGCAGCGTCTTCAGTCACTTCACTGTCAGGACTGTGTGGAATCTTTGTCTGACACCAGGATAAAACTGAACCATCAGTGATATTATTACTAACACTTGCACTTTCCTGTGTCACAATGTGCAGTAATACATTATGTTTGTTAGTTTTACCATGATGTTTCCTGTTTTCCGCTCATCTTTAACCTGATCAAAGTCGGTGAGAGCAGCCGTATATTATAGTGCGACAACAAACGATAAAGAATAGAATATTTCTGTTCAAGTAATCTCAAATGTTGAAACATTTAATTGATAGCTGACTTTTGGGCTTGTAATGTCTTTTCAATTACGCAAATTGAATAAGAAAACAGCCCTCACCTGTCTACTACTTAGTCAAAAAGTTAGGAAGAAACTCACAAAATACCTTTTCATAATTTGATGCAATAAGATTAAATGATAAATGTATCATACAAAATTTAAGCTTTACTGAAGGACTTAAAATATGTCAGCATATTAGCTCACACCCTCAGCCAACAGCAAAAAATGGCAGCACGGTGATTAATAAAAATTAAACTGAAATGCCAACTAATTGTCATAGCTTTGGAGTCTAATCAGTACAGTAGTTAACTATCAGTTTCTACCTTAGATTTGTCGTCTCCAGAGGCACCTGTCTGCGGGAGAGCACCAGCAGGACCTGTTCCAAGGCCAACCAGCCATGTTTGTGTCGCAGCACTGCCAGCCACCCTCCCAGAGTCTGGTGGAGCTCGTGGAGCTGTGCGGAGGAACAGTTTGCAAGACGGTACGGCAGGCAGGGATCTGCATAGGAAAGTACAGCGGCAGGAGGCCAAAGGGAAGCAGAATCCTGTCTGAGCAGTGGATTCTAGGTAAGACCGATTCAGCTACTCTGTGATAAAAGGGAAATTCCATTTGGATGTTTCGAATAACTTTCTTCTTTTTTTATTTCTTTCAGATAGTATTACTAATCTCAAGGTCTTGTCATATGATAACTACGACTTGGAGTAAGAGATTATAACTTGTTTTTTTTTTTGCCAACATGTTTACTTTTATAAAGTCTGTCCTGGGAAATGCTTTTAGTTCTACCATACAGTGTTCCTCTTTGCAGGTTCATCAGCCTGCTTTTCCAAAGTGCAGCGGTTTGACACAAATCATCTGAAAAGATACTTGTCACCATGTAAACCTGCTATTGTACAACCTGACTTTCATTCAACAGTGGTCTAAGTTACTGTGAAACACAACCTGCTTCAATATGTTGGTGTTTTATTCAATTTGCATGTCTTTCCATCAAGTGGCAACCACTACTGTGACTGTGTATATAGAATCCTTGCTGAGCCAGCCAAATGGTCAAATCGTCAGAAAGCAATGTATCCTGATAGAAAGGTTTTATGATGTCATTTTAATAAATGTTTTTGTTTAAATGTAGATTTTGTTCTTGTTTTATATCAAGACAGGTTTAAAACCAAGACCCATGTCAACCACTCAAATGCTTTAGATACACACAGGGCTGAAAGATTGTACAAAGCCCAACAGCAACTCACACCAGAGTAAAGTTACATTTTGTTTTATGAGCACAGACAAATCAGACTTGAGCATTATCTGAAACTCTTTGTAAAGGCTACATCCTAACTTTTACACTTTTTACACACTTCTGATGTGATTATGTGGCCCTGTGATAGACTGGTGAACTGTCCTATGTGTACCCTGCTCCTCACCCAATGTCTGATGGGATAGGCTCCAGCCCCCCATGACCCTCCTTGGACTAAGCGGTATGAATGATGGATGGATGGCCATGCTTCTGATATTAAAGGTCAATCAACTCTGCCTACTAAGATTTATTAGGCATTATTATATTAAATGCAGCTGCAGTCAGAATACGGTGATTTTCAAAGTAATTCAAACATAAATTTTGTGCATATAAACACACAAAAATCAGTTTTTTTTGTATATATATGTATATATAATTTGCTATTGGGAGGTACATCAAAATTGAGAGACTGGGCCTTTAATAATAGTGTATATGGGGCGCCCGGTTTGCTTTCTGCCCATTGGCTGGCTTCCATTGCGTCAGTCGGCCAATCATCTTCGCCAATGCTCTAGCATCATACGCAGGGAGGCGTGTGTGACATTTAGTGCTAGAAGCTAGTAGCCGGATAAAGATGAACTGAGGAAGGAAATAGACAGTGTGGTTTTCTTTCACCAAAACAAGCGTACTTCTGGGGTATACTTTATCATCGTTACCGCTTTAGAGGACACAGTTTATGTTAAACCAAGAGTTAGATAAAACTTCCAGTTTATTGACGTTTTTATTGTCGGCTAACGCTTTTTCTTAACTTGTACTGTAAATACATGGAGTTTGGGCAGATGTCGCTTTCTGTTTAACGCTTTTTAAAAATGTCGGTACTTACCCGATAGCTATGTTTTTACTCGACGTGACATGGGTCAGCGTTAGCACTGAAGCTGACTTTGCAAATTGAGTTTTGCACACAAGGTTAAATTTAGCTTTAGCCAACTAGCCCCTCACTCTCCTCTCGCTGCAGCTTTCTCACTTTCTTATGCTGACCTCTCGGAGTAGGTGTGCTGAAAGTAGGCCAGGTGTGCTGTGGGATAGATAGGCTGGTTTGTAACTTAATCACGGTTTGTGATACAAAGTCCATCAGTCGACTTTCAGGGATTTGTAAGTGGAGACAGAGGTGGAAACATGCTGCTCTCTTTGGTTGTGCACACATACTCGCTGCGGTACTGGTTTCCTGCCACGATCATGCTGGGAACAGCCCCAGCTTATCTACTGTCATGGGGCGCCTGGCGCTTTCTTTCAACTTTCTTACCAGCAAGTGTGTATCACAAGGTAGATGACCGACTGTACTGTATCTATCAGAGCATGGTCCTGTTCTTCTTTGAAAACTACACAGGAGTTGAGGTAAGTCATCCCACACTATCTGGGTTTGAATTAAATGAGGAAATGCTGTGTCTGTGGTATTACATCTGCATTCTCAGAAAACGTTGCATTTGTGAAGATCCCTGGGTATCTGTGAACATAAATGGAAAAAAGTTAGGGTAACATGGTTGACCAAACTGTAAATAACGTGATCTTGATGAACCTGCCACATAGCAAGAGAGTCCGCATTCTTTTGTGGTGTACTCACAGCTTGCAGAGCTGGTGTATTTTTGTGTGAGGGCATGAAGACAAAAAATTATGACAGTGATGCTGCCTTTGAACCTTTTTTTGTATATGATCTGTGTGCATAGAACCAGTTGCAGGATATGAGGCTAAGCCACATCTACGAAAATTGCTTTACTGCAAAGAATAAAATGTGGATGTAAACTTAAATTATAATCTCGATGCAGTGTGAAGATGTATAAATAGTTTACAATAGATGATACTGTGAAGAACAAGTACTTTTTTGCTTTACCGGCCCTACACTCTTTTTCTGCAGATTGTTATACATGGAAATATACCAAAGAACAAGGAAAACGTGGTCTACCTTTCAAATCATCAGTGTACAGGTAGAGAATCTGAGTTTTTACTTTTTTAAAAGCGTTTTGCTGTGATGTGAGTTATGCTAGGCCTCTCTGTTTTCCTTACAGCCGACTGGATCATCGCTGACATGCTCGCCATCAGGCAGAGTGCTCTCGGTCATGTCAGGTATGTCCTCAAAGATGGACTCAAGTGGCTGCCGCTGTACGGATGGTATTTCTCTCAGGTACGGCAACAGTTTGACTGCCAGGGTCATTTTCAAATGAATGGTACAAGTGTATTCCAAATTCACTGCTGGTTGACTGGATAATCTTTTTCTTTTTAGCATGGAGGAATCTATGTGAAACGAAGTGCAAAGTTTAATGAAATGGCCATGATGAAGAAGCTAAGAAGGCAAACTAGATGTGGAACACCAGTAAGTACGCAAGACAGGTGTTTTTAAAACCAGATTATTAAACCCCGGGACACCATATGTGAACTGTGTCACTGTCTGTACAAAAACTGTATGTATGAGTACAGTAAAGAGTTGTTAACAAGGAGGTGAGAGGCTGTGTTTGCAGTCATTTTAGTAAATATTCTTTTCCATTTCAATGTTAGGTTTCTAAAATTCTATTCAGTCAACATCTAAAGCCTTAAACCTTCGTGCAAATATTTTACTTAATCAGGACATGAGAAGCAGGCAATAGTTATTGATTTGAAGGGCTTGTTTTTAATCGCTTTTTTGGATTTAACTGAGAGGGGATTAGTGTGTGTGTGTGATCGTGTGGTTTCAGATTTACCTCATGTTGTGGGGACTCATTCTATGTCCACAGTCCCAGGATGGGATAATCCTTCCTTTTTGGAACAAATTGAAAGCCTTCATAATTTAATTATTGCATCTTAAGATGAATGAGCTTCAGGTTTGGGTTCAGTAAGCAGCAGTTATGGTCAAGTTTAGAGTGAATATCCAGCGAATGGGTGCACGGCAGGGGGATGTCCTCAGAAGTTGGGGAGGGCCAAGCGGGTGTGTTCTCGTTTGTGTGTGTGACAGATGTGTTTCTGGTGACCTAAAAGCAAGCACACAATGTAAGCTGAGTTACAACATGCAAAGCTGAAAGTTGAATTGAACCTTTTCACAGTAATATAAATTTTGGAAATCCAGTAACACGGGACCAAAGCAGCCTGTTGGCACTAAGAGTTTGAGGCTGGGTTTTGGGTGTCATTAACTACAGATGTAAATCTTATTTTTGGGTAAAAGTGTTCTTTGACATTTTTAGGAGGATTAAACATAGCAATGGTATTCAACTGTATAATGATGCCCCACGCTTTCTTTGGCCAGTTCCACACTAATGGCTCTATTTACCTGTGCTTTTCTCCCCACAGATGTACCTTGTCATCTTCCCAGAAGGAACTCGGTATAATCCAGAGCTCAAGAATGTTATCGCTGACAGTCAGGCTTTTGCTACAAAACAAGGTGGAGGCACCCCCGGCTGCTGAATACTTATTCCTTACAGCCTACCCACGTTTGTAAAACAGCTGACTAAGTTTGATTGGACTGCTTCTTGCAGGCCAAGCAGTGAGCATCATGTTGCATGCAAATTTGTCTCGATTACAGAGTTCAGCTGTCAGTTCCAACTGGCTGTTTAGTACAACACGGGGAAAAAATAGAAAATTTGACTAAGCCAAAGGTAGAGAGAATGGGGTTCAGTGACCTAAAAATTACATGTAAATATCCATGATGGAAGAATGTCAGTTGTGACCGGAAATGGATTTGATCTCTTATTTCTTCGTCCCCATGTACAAAACATTTGAATGATCAATAATTGGCTTTAATAACCAGCTGGGGTCACTGACCATCCAAAATGAATTAATTCAGCTAATGCAGCTTAGATTTATGGGGAATAGATGGGCAGGCTTCTGGTTAATACGGCTGAGCACAGTGCTCCCTCACAGTTCTAAACGCTCCATTTGAAAGAAACGTGAGTTACACATCTTGTGTTTGAGTGGTTTTGCATCATTGTTTGGGGACATCTGTAGAGATTAAGCCTATTTCTAGTCCACAGCTCTGAATATCACCTTCCCCCTTTAATCCACATAAATCGCCTGAGAGAGATGACATGTGCTCGTGACATTATCTGCTATTAGGGAGGTATTAGTGAGCAGTGGATGGTACCACGTTGACCAAGACCAGCAGACTGAGTAGTGATGAGGCTAACGGGAGCATTCACATTTAATCTCTGACTTTCAATCATGGATTCTGCAGAGGTCTGTAGGTGGTCTTTTTAAAGTGGACAGGAGCAAAGGGTACTGGACAACCAAACTTTCAGAGCGGTTTCTGATATGAAATTTGCATTTTCAGAGCCGATTCACTTAAATATTTTTCGTCCTTTTGGCAGGACTGGCTGTCCTGAAGCACACCCTCACTCCCAGGATGAAGGCATCTCACGTAGCCATAGAGGCCATGAGGGAACACTTGGACGCCGTGTATGACGTCACCGTGGCCTATGAGGGAACGCTGGACGGCTCCGGTCGCAGGAGGACCGCACCATCAATGCCAGGTGAGCAGGCCTTCTGCAGCGTGGGGTCAACTTCACGATGGAACCTTTACAGGGCCTTTCCAAACGCTTGTGAGAAAATTTCCCTATGAAATCGACTTAGACTCAAAGACTGAGTCTTGATTCAAATTGTCCCATTTTGGAGCTGATGCCATAAAGATTTTTTTAATACAGTTTTCTCTCTAATTTGATTCTATTGCAAAAATAATTTGACAAACACCTCGCATAAGATATAAACCTTTATGGTATAAATTCCTGCTGATCAACCTGTGCTGGCATTAAGTCCTAACTCATAAAAAAAAAAAAAAAATTGCAGTAAACACAATATTCATTTACAAAACCAATTCAAAATCAATAACATGAGAAAAAAAACTCCATATATGTATATTTATTTAAAGCTATCTGCACAAACTTTGTTTCTTTTGATTAGGTAACATTTGTAGATGTAGTACGATATTTCTATCATAAACCCTCATATGACATTTTATCAGCAGATAAAAATGCAGCCCTCAAATGCCAGCGAACAGCCCCAGCCTACCTTTTTATTGTTCTTCATGCTCTGTGTTATCAAAGCTGCCACATTGTTGATAACCTTCCCGGTAATTAATCACACAGCAAACATCACCTATGAGCAACCACGCCTTCCTGTAAACAGGGCCACTCTGTGTTTTGGAGTCTTTGATTATGGCTTGGCCCCGGTTGTTTATCGAGCCCCATTTGAATCCTTAAAAAAGAAAAACAACCCCAAAAAAAACATCCCGTTTCGGTTGTCGTTGGTTCCTCGTAAACAGGGCAGAGAATAGACACGCATTCCACTCATCACGCACTTCCTGGCCTCATGCGGTGAAGGTGACTTTAGCGACTTCACTGGAAGAAGGAAGTCTCCAAACTGGGGGAAATCTTTATCGCTTAAACCATTTGCGTGATTTCAGGATTTAAAGTACTAGAAACACCACTGAGTATGGGGGGGGGGAAGCATTTATATCTTTGTAACTCCTTAAAATGTAAAAGTAACTGTGCCTGAACTGTTTGTGTAAGCAGAAGTTATTCAGCTGAGAAAAGACAGGATTTAAAGGGTGTAGTTTTCCATTTCGATAGCAGAACTTGTGCTCCAAATGTTTTTGTTGCTTTGAAAAACACTGGCTGAAAATGGTAGCTGTTGATGAAGATGCTGGGCATCCCAAAGCCCTTCAGAAGTACAGTTGAAGGCCTGGAGGGCTGTTATTAGTTGGTATGTTTTGACGTGCTTTGTGCTGGCTTTTTGAATGAGTTTGCTGTATCCATCATAATGCTTTATGTTTGTATTAGATGGGTAATGGTGTGACACTGGTAGATGGTCATGCAGATGCTCCTCTGAGCGAAGAGCTCAGATCAGAGCGGCCCGTTTGCTGATCTCACAGGCTGCTTTTGTTGTCTGCCGGCTTGAAGACAGGAAATGTTTTTGCATTGTCCCCAGTAATGTGTAAGAAAAAACAAACATATTTTCTTTGACCAAATAAAAAGGCCCCTAAAGAACACAGCTCTCCTCATTTTGGCTTCTGCAAACCAAAGTGTGCGTGTTATCGCGGGTGTTTCACGTTTTAAGGTTACATGGCCAAGTGTGGGAGGCTTTAATAGCTGTAATATATAGTTATTTATCTCAATCCAAGAGGTCCTCTTCCTCAGGGTATTTCTCGAACTTGTTAACATCTGCCATGGTGTGTCTGCCTGCCCTTGACTTGATGATTTTCTGGCTGTGATAAGGTGAAAACAGGGTTTGTATCGTGAAGTGTTGTTTGGCACTCCACAGCAAAGAGCCGATTTCCTTCTTCTGTTCCAGGTGGTTGTTTTTAAAGTGTGTTTTGGAGCATTGTTCTGCACAAACGCACATGACCTGCTGTGGAAGCTCAGCTTTCTTTAGAAAAGTTCAGCATTGTTTTGTTCAATTCTTTAAGAGTCTTATGCGGTCTTAATGCCAAACTCTGAGAAGCCTGAAAGGAGCATTCACCCCCCGCAGGTTTCAGGCAGCCGAGGCGGGGAATGAAGGACTGATTGTTGAGGTGTGCGCTTTTTGTGTGTGTTCTCCCGAGCCTCCGAGTAGCAGAGCTGTTGAGGTGTGTTAAATTGACACGTACGGTGTCTGAAGGGCATATTAAATGAGTAAAAACTGCTAATGGACCGGCTGCGAAGCAATCTTTGGCTTCTGTCTTCGATCAAGTTTCTTCTTTTGGCCGTGGTGCCACGTTTCCTGGTAGTATTGCGTGTTTTGGAAACAGGAACTTGAAGGTCTGGGGGTGGGGGTACGTGTAGCCTTGAGCCTTCACGCTCAGGGTTTTATGTCTGACATCTTTGTCTCTGAGAACATAAATAGAAACATCTTTACAGGTGAAAAATAAATCTGCTACAGTCAAAACATCAGCTGTCAAATGAGGCTTAATGACCTGACTTTGAGAGCCTGTTTGAGACTGTCAGCGCCTCAGAGGCTGCCCCCCCCCCCTCAACTGCCACCTGATGGCTGGTTTTAAGTGCTCGCCGTACGTGCCGATTTGCTGAAAGACATTTCCTGTTTTTGTTTAGTCTCTGTATTATTTTATGTTTTTGATATTTAACAGAATTCCTCTGCAAAGAATGCCCCCGTATCCACATCCACTTTGACCGTGTGGACATAAAGGAAATCCCATCGGAGCCAGTGTTTTTCCGCAGGTGGCTGCACGATCGGTTCGAAATAAAGGACCGGTAAGTGTGTGTGGAACACTAAACTGTGTTTAGATTGTCTGTCATGCCGTCCATGTGGAAACTGTTTTTCTACTATGTGCCACCAGTCCATCCATCACAATTTCCAATTGTTGAGGCTGCAAATTTCATTTACAATCCCCCAATACATGTTTTCAAATCGGCAAAAAGCCCCTCCAGTGTGATTTAAGTTATTAATTTATCCTGTTTTTTATGGTGAGTTTTGTTTTTATTTCCCATAACAAAGAATTCAAAACTCTCTGAACCCCTAAGTTTCCTGCTGCCTTTAGAAGTAAACTGGAAACTTGGAATCAGAGACTGTAAATTCAGTAGCACAAGTAAATGAATAAGTAAAAGGCACAATGACATGCTATATGTGCCACAAACCCATCCCACATTTGTAGTGAATGATGCAGGACGACAAGTGTTGCTGTCACTGCTGACCAGGCAGCAGAAAGCCCTGCTGGGATTTGCCCGCCATGTCTGCGCTGTAACTGCACTGTGTGAATTATTTTTGTGGGTTTGTTTCACTTTGCAGTTTCTTTTCCAGCCCCTGTGCATTCCTCACTCAGCTGCATTTCCTAAGAGACCTGTTTGTCTTTTAAAAGGCTGCTGACAGACTTCTACGAGCCGCGGGGTTCGGACAGATCGAACCTGTGCAAGTTCCCCGGGGAGGGCAGACCCTCTCAGCTGAGTCTGTCCAAGACGCTGCCGTCAGTGATGGTCCTGGGGGGGCTGACACTGCCACTGCTGCTGACGGAGGGCGGCAGAAAACTCTACGTGAAAACCTGGGTTTGTGGGACGCTGCTGGGCTGGCTGTGGGTCAACTTTCTCCCTTAAACAAAGCGGGGGGAACTGGGGGGCAAGGGGCTGCCACGATGAGACGCACAGAAGACTGGGAGAAGGATGCCATTTTCCTGGATCACAGCAACACAAGGCGTGTTCCAGATGCAGAGCAGCATCTGGGGCGATGCGCGCAGTTTCCGACTGTCGAGCGCAGATGCTGAGAAACGTCGATCACCTCGTGCTTCATCAACCATCTTGCGTTTGGATTTGCAGCCTGAAATGCTGAAAAGTAATGTAAAAGGAATTGTTATTGTTCAGTTTTTCGAAAAAAAACTAAACAGAAACAAATTGAACGCCAAAAATACGAAACAAGAATATAAACAGAAATCTCCTAATATAAAATCCCCCCTAACAAATTGACCTGAATCAGTTTTCTTGCATGCTGTTTTTATCAGTCATTGGCTTGTTTTACAAAGCTCAAACCTCTGAAAGTGTGCTGAGTACTCAAAAATCCTTCTTGATCATTAATTCTTAAGTGCACTGACTAATTGATACTGGTAAAAATGTTGTTCATGCCAAGTCCCTTATCAAGAGGATAATGCACTTTTCTCATCCAGAGAGAGGTTTTACACTGGTAGAACCAACTGAGCAGCCCGCAGAGAGCCCATAAACGCAACACCAGCCTAAGTGTTTACCATAAAAATCCATGCAGACATGCTTTTGTTTTATGACGGTGAATGTAGCTGTAAAAAACAAGTTCACCCGTGGAAATGGGAGGTGCGGTCTGCCAGTGAGGAGGAACGAGTCCCAAACGCAGACGTTCTACCAGTGTAAGACCAAACGGGAATATTCAAACGTCAGTCATTGCCAAAAGCCGGCACGTTCGCCATGACGTTCTGTCGAATGTCTCTGTGTGTTTTACGGTAAGCAATACTTTGTATTTTCTGGCCCAGATACGCAGCAAAGAAACCCCTGTCTGTTTGTTCATCTGGATCCTAAACGTGGTCTTTTTTTTCTTTTTTTTTTTTTCCTTTTCCGGTTTGAGTTTAATTAGTTTCATAACTTTGATACTTGCATTTGTAACATTAAAAGAAAAACAACACAAAAACATGTAGTTCCCTTAACATCTCTACCTAACAAAAATCTGACAAGCCATGTTAACAGTATATCGCAGGTTCTCGTGCACTTAAAGCCATTTGTATTATAACATCACTGTATTATGAAATGCACTGTATGTCCATTGTTGTTTACTGTAATGAAACCATTGCATTTTCCACTTGTCACTTTACTCATTAGACTTCTCGTCCTCCTTTACAGCTAGTCTTCTCTCCATTTCCATGGTACGGTTATCTTGTGGATTTAACATTTTGCTCCAATACCTCACTTGAATAATCCTTCCTTGTTCTTAAATAATCCTTGTCAACCATTTTATAGTCATTTTTATTCTGACAAGACCAGACTATAACTCATCAGGAAACTGTAGACAGTATTTAAAATGCCAACTGTTTTTGGAAAAGTGTGCCTTCTCTTTGGGGGCCACAGTGGCCCTGTTCCAGCGGGTGGCCGAGTGGAGACGCCCAGCAAGGTGTGGTCACGTCTACAGCTCATAGTGGCTTATTTTGCTCCAAGAATGCATTGATTTACACTTTTTAAGAACTATTATTAAAATATGAAACCTTTAAGGAGTGTAAGGTGTGGGGCGTGTGGGGAAGCGGGGTTCTGAGTGAAATAAAGTGGTTTTCTTTGGGAGAACAGTTTTTGTGTGTCCTCTTTTTTAAATTTATTTTTAATTTAATTATTTTATATATCAAGCACTTAGATCTATAAGATATAATAAAGGGAAACAAATACAAAACAAATATTTACAGTGGAATTTGAGTTTAAATTGTATTTTTAAAGCATCAATCTCTGTCTTCTGTAGGATTTTTTTTTAAATTAATATTCTTATTCACATAAATTAGAGTCAATTAGAGTTGGTATTTGAAATGCCAGGACATATAATGGGATAAGGGCATTCAGACACGTTTGTATTTAATTTTAAAAAAGATATGGGATTTTTTTCCCGTGGCTAATAGTGAGTGTATTAACTCATGGACTAATTGCAGAATAATATACGGCTTGTTCCATCACTGTGTAAAGAGCAGTTTTATTTGAGTATTTAATACATTAGACATACCAGAAATTTGGTATATTATTTAACATCTAAACTAAAATTAAGGCAACACGCCAAAATAAAACCAATGCTTTCTTTGGCAAGATCAGTCATGTTTGAAAGGAAATTTAGAAGAATATTTTAATTAAAATGTACAGATCACGTATCGTATTTATTCGGCCTCGTCACTATAAAACAAGCCTATATCTAGGAGTCAGCAGTAAGTAGTGTGCAAATAATAGCAAGATAAGCCGTTATAAATCCCCTTTAAAATCCAGTTTGAGACCAAATTACTTACATGACTACTAGATTTTGGGAGCACACTGGTGGATTCTATTTATTTGCAAGAACAGAAAAGGTTAACACTCAGATTCTGCTGGGAGTCAGCGAACGCCACATGAGCCAGAGAGCGCATGCGCCTGGTCACTGTGGCCAGGAAGAAGAACGTGCAAAGAACCCGTTAGGAAGCTTCTACTGTACATCAGCTGTCTCCTTTGGACTCCAGGTTTGTTATTTAGGCTGCGCCGATTCAGTAAATGATGTGAGTGAATCATGATAGGTGTGTGTAGTGTATTTAAACATGATTCATGCTGTAAATAAATCTAGATGTTTGTCTTTTCGCAACCTCTATAAGCATTTAGTATTTTATTCATTGTAGGGTTACAGTGACATCTAAAGGTTTACTGGATTATCTGCAGATACTTTAGAATACTTGAATTGGCTGGCACAAAATATCAAACTACACAAATCTTAGCACCTCACAGATCTCCGATTTCATATTTAACATGGGTCTTTTCAGATTTGTGACTACAATGGACTGGTTTGGTTTCGGGTATTCTGCAGCCATCATTTTTGGAGGATTTATGGGATACAAGAGGAAAGGTTGACATAGTAAATCATTTGTTATAAAAATAAATTAAAAAAACTCCAGATAACAAGTAATCTTTGTTGATTGATGTGTATCTCTGTGTGGTCACAGGCAGCGTAATGTCCTTGATGGCTGGGTTAGTTTTTGGTGGAATATCAGCCTACGGTGCATACAACATCTCCAATGACACAAAGGACTTCAAAGTCTCACTGTGTAAGTATGATCAACCTGATTCTGGTCATTTCTGTTCAGAGGTCAGGTAATTCATGATAACACACAGCTGTCTCTCATTTCAGTGGCTTCAGGAGTTCTCTTAGTTGTCATGGGAATGAGATACAAGAAATCTGGAAAGTTGCTGCCAGCCGGCATTATGTCAGGGTTGAGGTCAGGGTCAGAGTTTCTCAACATACTTGAAGAACAATAAGTAAATCAGGAGTTCTTGAAGCAGATTAGCTGACTAATCTTTTATCCTTTTTCATCTGCTGACTCCTGCAGTTTGCTGATGGTGATTCGCCTGTTGCTCCTGGCCATGGCCTGACCACAAAAGCACGTACAGGACTTTGAGCTCACTGAACACGCCTTGTTTTAAAGGAGACTTCATTCCCATTTGCTCAGTTTTGTACATTGTTCTAAATGGATTATGTTGTATGTGTTAGGCGGTGTATGATTATATATCTCATCATTTCAGATGAATTGCCTTAATTGATTCTCTCACATTAACTGCACTACTGATCAAATGTAAGCAGGGAGGGGGGTCAATGCGAAACTAAATTCCTTTTTGAAGCAGAAGTGCTCTAACAACAGAAAAGGGAATGTATCTCTGACATGTTTTTAGAAGAAAAAATAATTACATTTTTGTAATGGGAACAAAACTAAATAAACTGCTTAAATGAATAAATGTCAGTTTTGTTTGAATGTGCAAGTGTGTGTGTACAAAATGTTGTAATGGAATTAAAGCCAACTGGCACACAAAATAACACAACCAGTTCTCAAATGATCTCCAAGAATATTTATTAAGGTCAGTTTTAGTTTGCATTAACAATCAACCACATTCTGTTATAAAACATTACATAGGTGCCTTTCACATGTATTAGATTGGTTCGTTTCAGGAGGATAGTGCTGTGTTAATCTACATAAGCCATTTGGCACTTGTATTGTGCTTGTGCACCATGACTCGGCAACAATGCTGGCTTTGAGAGGAATGTACTTTTTGAAGAGTTCAGGGAAGAGACGTGACATTGAACACTTGCATGACGGTCTTCACGTAAACTTCATCAGGCTGCGGCTTCCTCTTGCTGCCTGTCTGCAGGAACTTTGAGATGGCGGGAATTTGCGTCATCCTGCCCTGAAAGGACTGGACCAAAAGACAAGACATACGACTTTAAACACAGCACTGAATGCAACAATGGCTATCAATTCTTGCCTCACTGTAAAAACAATATATACACATATATATGAGATCTCTTACTTTGACGTTTGGGAAGTCTGCGAGGATTCCGGGGAATTTCTCCTCCAGCATCAGGGTGCATTCAAGCAGCAGCACATCTGCACTGCTTAGCTTGCCTCCAACCAGGTACACAGGTCCATCCAGTGCCTGAGAAGTTTTCCAGAGATCCTAAGTGCTTTATTTTTCTCTAAACAGGTAAGGTTTGGACTAAATTCAGAGGCTGTTGCACCATACCTTTTCAAACACAGGCAAGTAGCGCTCTTTTGCTTTGCTTTGGATGTTATCCAGTTTAGGTTTTGGGTCTGAGAGAAAAGGGAGCATCATGATCATTTCCATGAGGTCCATCAGTCCCTCTGAGTACATGTTGATCCTAAGAGGAAGTGTAACAAAATTGTTATTAAGAGAAAATCACAAAAAAAGAGAAGCTGTCACTACATTTCCACAGAACTGGATCGTACTTGACACGTTCTTTTATGTCTTTTCCATTGAGATTGTACTTCTCTGCAATGTAACTCAAGATTGCTTTTGTCTGAACAAGTTTCATATCATCGATTTCCACCATGGGAACCTGTTGGAACATGAGGGATCCATCTGCAAAGAAAACAAACAGGACTTTCACACATTGCTGCCAGTAACAAAGGCTCAGATCACATGACAGATTGCATGTTTGACTATAGGTCACACCACACCTGCAACATGCAGGTGTGGCTTCATGGTACATGGAAAAAAGAGCTTATTTCACAGATAAAAAAAAATCTCACTAATTTACCATTTAAGAGTTTTTCATACTGGTCTCTGGTCGTGAGAAAGTACTCATCAAACTAGGGATGAAAAAAAGAGTCATTAAAAGTCACACACACAAATACAATCAGTACAAAGCTTCATAAACCTTGTAATGTCTTACCTCCACCCCTGCCACTGCCAGGAGCCAGCGAATTGACTCCATTTTCCCTCTCCCATTGAAGTAGTGAAGACTAACTTTTCCAGACATGATTGTTTTTTTTCGGCTCAGATCCTGCAAATGTAAAAAAAACGCGTTAGAATACACTTAATAATATTGACTAACGCAAATTGCACTGAGTGCCTACCTACGCTCGACTTCTGGTGGGAAAAACGTACCTTGGCCAGTGATCAGCCTTAAAGTTTGGGTTATTGCGTAATCGGGCGGCGGAGGGGCGTTGAGGGGAAATCCGAGGTCTGTGATTGGTTGCTTCCGGCCAATGGCAACATGGTACCTCAACATATACGCGCTAGGCATCATGGGTAAGTGAAAATGTGGTTTGTTTAAGTAATATTTTTCTCACTAATCCGTCTAAACTACCCATATACTGATAATGAATAAAATAATACAACCAGTCTTCATTTATTGTGATGTACATTCAATTTTCGAAAAACCACGATAGAGACTTATCCGCATGAGGCTCTCTATATAATGGCACGGCTTCCTTTAGTCTGTCGGATGTGAGGGCGATCTGGCTGCGACATCTGTCACCCCATTGATCGCTAGGGTTGATTCGGCTGATCTGGCTGGCTAGGCGGGTGTCCCCTTCCTCCCTCACCGGTCCATGTGTGTCCCTCCCGAAGCTCTGCGCTCGGTGGCAGCGGACGGTGTCCCCTCCCTCGGCGGACGACCATCGGTATACCAGTAGCTGCGCTCCCCTGCTAGAACCTCCAAACAAGCTCAAGGCCAATAGGAGAAACGTAGGGAAGTCAAGCTCCAAGCTTCAGACACATCCAAGTGCGGCGCTGCACGTGGCAGTCTGCCTTACTTTTTAAATTGGTAATAATTATTTTGAATTAGTTAGTTAGTTATAAATTGACAACTGTATCTTTATTTTTCCTTATGGCCAATTCCTACTTACAAACACTACAGCCTGGCACACTAAGAAACATTTCCTTTAACCCAGTTTAGTTCCAAATGAAGCCCCCTCCAGGACAATTTATTTGACACACAACAATCAATCAGGATGTACAGTCCTCATGCATGTATGCGGCTATTAGTAAAATTGTACTGGCCTGGATTAATCTCCAACAACAGATTAATCCAGTGGTCCTGCTGTGCTCCTGCAGCTAATGGCCAGGCAAAAAATATATATAAGAAACATACATATATATATATACATATAACAAACACAATATTTAACAGTCTTAAAAATTCAGATTGTAAAGGGGGGGAAAAAACGAGCACTTTGCTTTGTCAGGCGTTTCAATTGACTAGATAGCCTGATACTCCAAAATCAATTTGGACAAGCTGACATTGAGTATGTGAACTACTTTTTTCAATTGACCTAATTTCACGGCGCAGATTTTGTCATAAAACAAAAGGAGCAGAATGTAAAAAATGTGCTGTACATAGGCAAAGTCAAACACAGTCACAGTGAAGGTTTCATAATATTATAATATGCATATTAATGTTGGAGATCAACATTCAATGTTACAAAACTGTGGATGCAACTCCATCACAACAGCAGTTATATTACAGAAATACATGGCAAAATACTGAGAAGCTAGTCTGGACACACACTTTGGCTAGTTGCATTTATTCATACATTTAAACGGCACACAACTCACAGCATCCAGAGTCCACATAAAGAAACAAACTTTATTGCTGTGTAAGATCTCTGTACAGATTTCGATTAGAAAACAACTAAGCCTACTCTTTGGAGGTGAAAGAGTTCTTAGGCAACATGTCAGAGCTCAAAGGAAGCCACTAACGGTGTCCGTATTTGGCAGACCAGTCAGTTCGCCCGTGAATGCTCTGTAGCGGTGGGCGGGGCAGCAGGCCAGGGCTGCTCTTGTTGGATATTGGCATGCTGGCAGAGGCATTCATCTGGCTCCGACCAGACCGCCATGTTGCATAATCTAAAACGGCGGTAAAAATACATTGAATGACACGTTTTCAGTGTTTTACGGCATTGTTTCAAAGAGTCTGTTACTTAACACACAGATAAGCTGATATTGAAGAAACCTACTTGATGCCGTTGTTTCCATTGAAACATTCTGATGGCCTCGGTGCCCAGCAGAGCCACTGTCTTTCTTATAAAAAGATAGCATGTATCCACCTGGGATTGTATTGGTACCTGATCGATAAAGCAGAAATGGATCAGTTTATTTGTACCTTCTTAACAGCAACACGATGAGTGGCAAAGATGATGGGAATGTTACCATGAGCTCCTCTGCTGGGCAGGGTCCCCCCGTATGGAATACTGCTGCTACCCCAAAAATGGCTTCCGGTAAAGTCTTTACTGGCATTAATGGCAACATTCTTCTTTGTAGTAATGCCTGAATTAGACGGTCAGAGACTCTTATTAGACACAGCATCGAAACATGATTAAAAGAGACACAAGGGTAAAGATCAAATTACCAGGTAAATATCTTGACTGCCTCAGGTAATGTTGTTTGGCAGAGGCAGTTCTAGAAGGCTCTTGATAGGCTGCAGTCTTGTTTAGGTTTAATGGCGCATCTTCTTTACCACTGGGTCGGCTAAAATCCAGAACATTCCCATACCTAGAAGACAAAAGGTAGAGGCTGTCTGAACAAGCAGCATTTTTAGTCTACTTAATGTAACAAATTGGTGCAGAGTACTCCTCATTTTATCTCAGCCTCACCTGCTCAGAACATCCTCCCCCTGCCTCGACTTCTGGGAGGGGAAGTTACCTTTTCCAAGAATACTTATAGAGGACAAGTCTGTCTCTTCGTCGTCCCAGTCGTCACCTTTAAGGTGTCCTGTTCCATAGCCCCACCGGCGGCGCCCTCCTCCTTTCGGCTTCAACTGATAACTTAGAAGGTTTGCATTTTCGGACTCCTGCCGGGTTTGCGACAAAACACCAACACGTTTTCTATTTTTAGCATGTTCGTCAAATACGCTGACAGTTAGACTTATTTTAATGAACTTGTTTAAACAGAACAAGGGGGCTGGGAAATATTTGGGGGTACCTTTCTAAAACCATCAGTTGTAGTGTAAACCCATGCATCATGTTTCCAGACTCACACTGCTCTGGAGACTCTTGTCAACGATGTAAGGAAGGTGGCTCTCGGTGTGTTCCGGCTGCAGGATGTGTTTCGGCTGCTGCTGCGCCCGCACCAGCTCCGTGTGCCGCTGGTACGCCGCCGCCTGGGGAGTGACCGAAACAGGGGAGGGCTGGATCTGCTGCAGCGGTCGGGATGGGGAGCAGTGTTGGTTGGCAGGTGGGGGCTGGGGGGGGGGGACTGGCTTCAAAAGCAGAGGCTGCTGCAGCGTCTGCTGTGACAGTAAAGGAGCCTGAGGCGGCGCAAGGCCCGGCTGAGGTCTGCCCAGCTCCAGGATCTGCTGAGGCGTGCCCAAAGCCTGACCCACATGGAAGTACGAGTACCTCAGAGCCTGGAATAACACATAATATACGGAAAAACAACATCAGCCTTGATTCTGCTTATCAAACTATGGCGAATCGTTAGACTATTAGAGATGCCACCTGTGCAGAAGCTGGCCTCTTCTTTGGATCCCACTGAAGCAAATCTGTCATCAGATGGATGGCCTCAGGACTGGCATTAGGAATCAGTGTCTTCAAATGACTGGGAACACACTGAGGCCAACGGAAATTCATGGCACTTGCAAGCTGGTAACCCTCCGGCCAATCAGTCTAAAAGGACAAAACATGGCCTCAATACACTAAATTTCCCCACGGGATTAATCAAATTGATATAATCTAATAACAAAAGATGTACTACAGAAGTCACATAACTGTATAGATTTACAGCCCACGAGCTAATAAAAATACATATAATAAGCACATCTGCAACTTAAAAGAATATAAGGTAGTCACACGTCCTTTTTTGTAAAATGCAGCTGGACAGTTAAACAGTTTTACACAGACTGCCACTTCACAGCCACTTTAAATCAAAGAAACTCTTTGTGGATTTGAATGCTACTTCTAATCCTTGTTTATTCAGTTTATTGTTCTTGTTGTTACCTTTTTTGGTGTTCCCAATACTTGGCAAATCTTGAATATGGTGTCTACTTCACTGGATCCTGGGAAAAGAGGCCTAAGGGTGTAAAGCTCAGCCATGATGCAGCCAACTGCCCACTGGTCTATGGGTGAACTGTAGGATGTGGATCTGAGGAGCACCTCTGGAGCTCTGTACCTGGTCCAAATAAAAAAAAAGCAAAAGAACTTCAGCATGTCACCCAGTGGATTTATAATTTGTTCATAGGGACACAAAAAAGTTCACCATCTTGTGGAAACATAGTCCGTGTATGGCGGGCGGGATCTGATCTCACGAGCTAGTCCAAAGTCGGCTATTTTCACCAGCTCTGGGCCCATGCACAGAAGATTCTCAGGCTTCATGTCCCTGTGAAAAAAGCCTACCACAGACCCAGAAAATCAGTCATTACTCAGCTGGACCAAACTTTTGTTTTGTTACACATTTAACTGTCCCCCTGAGGGAGTAATTCAGACATACCATGTTTATGAATGAATGCGAGTCCCTGCAGTATCTGAAACATTAGATTTCTTACAGCAGATTCAGGGAACAGTCGTGCCCTACAAAACAGTAGTTCAGAAATGTCAAGCTTTCATCAAATGGACTTCAAGCCATAAAGAAAATGCAGAATCTGAACAACTATACGCACCTATCTTTCATTAGTTGATACAAATTTTCCTTCATGTACTCAAATATGAAGTACAAGTGATCGTTTTCTCGAATAACCTCCTTAAGTTTAATCACATTAGCGTGGTTGAGTTTCTTTAGGGACTGAAAGAAGAAACAGATTTTGTAAGACACGTGTAAACACAAAATAAAGTCAAAAATAATAAATGTAACCATGCTGGACAAAACCCACAGGTCACTGCAGCACATTCAGAAGCACATCCTAAAGGTTGAACTATTTTTTAAGTATGGGTTGTGTCAAAACATAATGTAGTTTGAAGGGAGGTGCTGCAAAGGTGGTCTTAATTTAAAAGGGAAAAGAAATATAGAACAACTACAAAGCAGGGTGGAGAAATATGTACTATTCCCATGCACTGGGATACAGGTTTAACCATGCTCCATTTTAGTAAGGGGAGAAGCTATAATGGGACATAGATATTTAGTGGAGGCATGCTGTATATTTATCTATAAGTTGTAATCTACTCAGCGGGACTTCTTAGAACCAGCGTGTGCTACACATGGTTTGCTGCAATAAGCTCCAGAAAAAGGGGGGGGTGTCGGCCAAGGAACTCAAAACCAGCAGCACACAAGAATCACCTTCTGCTCTCAGAGTTGGTGTGAGGAAATTTAGACAGTAACATAATGGACTGGTGTGAAAAGAAACAACAGAAAATGTCGGATTATTTGACAGCCGTACCAAAAAATATCACATAATCATCAACAATCGATCAGGTTTTTCAGTGACCTCTCAGACACAGAACTGCAGCTCCCAGTGTCTCGATTTCTGTGTTAATAAACTGCCACAGCTATTTTTCATACCACTCCCATTCAAACGTGTGTAAGCATGTTTCAAAAGTAAACTCACTTTGACTTCACGAAGATTCATGCATTCTTCCCAGGAGTAGAACTTCCGTTTCATTCTACAAAAGATCATTTATGATGACTAATTTAGAAAATGACACCTTCATCTACTCAGATTAAAAATGGACAATCCCCTCACTTACTTCTTTATGGCAACGAGTTCTCCTGACTCCAGACTGCGGCCGAGGATGACCGAGCCGTACGTGCCATCCCCGAGCTGTCTGAGGGTGGTGTATCTGTTCATTATGCTTGTCCTTCCATACCGTCCCACGTAGGAGGGTAATTAATTGGGTGGAAAACAGATGCGCTCACGTCCTGTTGCTGAATGCAACCAGATTTTCCTGTGACAACAGCAGAAGACTGTGGGAAGAGCTGGAGGACTCATTGTGCCATGGACTTGGCTCCTTCGAGCTGAGAATTTGAAAGATGGAAAAAAAATAGTCATATGAATTATGCAGCTGGATGAAATAGTAGTGTGGAGAACATTTAATGTCGGAACACTTGTCAAGTAAATGGTTCAAACACTTTGGGTTACCCAAAACAACTAGACAGCATTTGTTTATGCCAGCGCAACAATGTGCGTTGGACCTAGCAAAAATGCTCTTTTCAGTTTAACAATCTAGCTCAACTTCATAAAATCACAGTTTTGAAACATTTTGATGGTATAAACCAGTCAAAGACCATGTTTCCAGTGCCTCGATAAAAAGACAATTATGAATTATTTCTCAAGTTTTTAACGTTGTGTTATTTGTTAATTGATATAAATAGATTGAAACAAGCTAAATAAACATGAATCAACTTCGAAAACACTCGATATCACAACTATTTGACAAATCACATATAGTTAAGGATAGATATTGCCAAAGTGGATCTTTAAAAAAGCTGTTGAATGTTAATGCTTAAGTTAAATGTCTCACATTAGCCTCCTCCTTACTAATGACCTGTATCAACTGCTCATTTTAAAAGCTAACGGGAAAGCCTTCCTCACGTCAATTACAGACATATAACATTGATACCGATGTTAGTTCAGGTTCTGCTGTTACATCTCGCCCTGTGTAATATTTTCAACGGCATTTACGACGGTAGTAGTGGGCAAAACGACCATCATTGTAGCAGAGTGCTGGTGGTGGCCCAGCTGCTGACTAAATATTACATCTCTGCAGAGACAACAGGGGTCTGGTGGGACTGTAGGGTCTCCTAACTGAGTCAAATTGAAACAACAGCAGAATTTACTTACCAACCCCGCTTCAAAGTGATAACAGCACATAGCCAAGCATTGGTAGTCGATGTCCCACAAACGGCAGCTGCCACCTAAACACCAACAATAACGCTGAGAACCGCAGCCAGCACACTACACAACGTAAATAAATCCTGAGCGAGGCCCGATCGCCAGAGAGCTCCTCAAAATCTCGCGTTGTTACACAAACCGTTTGAGATCACCTCATGACAAATCACAGTTCTCCCCGATGGAGTAGAGGTAAATAAATCAGGGCAGGCAGTGGCGTGGCTTCATAAGTAACAGCAGCACGCACTCGATGTCTGAAATGGACCAATTTGTTGTTTGCAAAACTATTTTTAAATATGACGTTTGACCCTTTCTGTTTGTTTTCTGGCGACATTGAAAGCACCCGAAATAAAGTTGAATTCAAGTTTGATACAAAACCAAGACATATGACGGACAGTTGTGAAATACATACTGCCACCAAAGTGACTATAGAAATTATACACCATAGTGTCCAAGAGAAAAAAAAGCTGTTATTAACAGACTTAGTAATGGATTGAACCAATAGCCATGCTCAACCCATTAATGATAAATATTAATGAGAAAATGATCAAACAAAATTATTCTGGTGTTTTGCACACCTTAATTTGATAGAGATGTGTTGTCAGTGTCACGAATTTCTTTAACTGTGTTGCTGACATATTCAGGATGAAATAATAGTTTTGTAAAATCAGTAAACAGTCAAAATCTATTACTTTTAGTGTTTAATCTTTCTTCTATAAATGTGTGCATTCTGTGTCCAATTTACAAAGTAAATTAAGTAACCCAGACGCGTGTATATAAAATATGAGTGGCTCTCTGGAGCACAGAGAGGAGAAGGGGATCTTTCTTCCTCGTCGACCTTATAGTTACTCCCCACTTCCTGTGTCACCGGAGCTCCGGGGCTGCTCAGCGAAATGGCTGCGTTCCTGCGAGCTCGTAAATATGTCCGTTGTGTCGTCCGTTTCTCCGACCGTGAACTGTAAACGGCATTATTAAGCGCTTGTGAAGAAAAGGAAGACTTACTCACCGAGGTGTCATGGTGGGTCGTCGAGTGTTTTCTGTGTTATTCCGAGAGAAAAACATTAGCCAGCTCACTAGCTAGCCCAGCTAATGTTACCTGGCCTCTTTTAACTACACCTGTAGTTTAGTCTCAGCTTGGGCCACCGTGTCAACAACCTGTTATAACAACTTTTAAGCAACAGTCTCTTTAACCAGCTGCAAATTGAAAACGGGGAAATGTTATTTTCGTTTTTCGTGCGTGCCAGTAATGTCACCGTCATAAAGTACAACGCTACAGAATAACGTGTTTGCAGGAATATTACTTCCATATGTTACGGGTGTTTTTGTTGTTTGGTGCTGTCAAAATTTTGGTTTGGGTATATATAGAACACATACATAATTGATATAATTTTGTTCTTTTATAACACAATTAGATTTAGTGAGTTATAAACTGGAGTGATCAACATTTGCATGCGACTTAATAAAGGAAGTACAAAATTATTTGAAATCCCCACATTCGTCCCATAGTATTTACATAGAAATGTGCACCTTCATCAGATTGTGCACAGCAACCTCTCAGACGGATTGTGAATGCTAAATGTTCAACATGGACGAAAACAAACATTTCCACATCTCGATCGAGAATAAGCAGCAACTCTATGCTAGCTTGAGCAGACCTTCCCAGTTACTCAAAGTGCATGACAGTTGAAAATAAACTCTTGCACTGAAAATAATACTGCAATGAAGTCTGTTACCAAAGGGGGATACATATGGCTTCCTCAAACAGGCCACAAACATAGTCGTACTTATAACATGTATTTAAAGCAATGTGTGGACATAGCTTTTTATGTCCTACACCTCAACCGGACAAATCTTTGCTTGATATAATGAAACAGATACAATTTTTCTACACATCAAATCAGGCTTGACATTTCTGTACAACAATAACCATTAGGACCATTACTACGGCTGTGGCTCAGGAGGAAATAGCGGTTGCCCACTGATTGGAGGGTCAGTGGTTCAACTTCTTGAGAGTCGTTGGGCAAGGCTCTGAATCCCAAATTACCCATTTGTTGGATCTGTTGTGCCAACTGGTCTGTGCATGTGTGTGTGAATGGTGAATGACATGTAGTGTAAAACACTTTGAGTAGTCAGCTTGACTGGAAAAACACTATTCAATTGCGTTTACATTATCCAGGCTTTTTATTGACAATTTATACCTTTGACAAAGGGTAAAGTCAGTAGTACTTTCTGTTTTCTTGCTCAGGCTGATGAAAATGCAGATATTGGAGGTATGTTAGAGGATGAAGATGAGAGTTCAGATGACCCAAACCTTCAGGTGAGAAAACTTCAATGAACAAAAATGATTTAATTTATACTTAATAATGAATGATTAGTTTTAGTAGTAGTACTAGTATTAGTAGTATAAAGAAGTAATTTGGAATGAGTTAAACTTAATTTTTAAACAGCATGAATGTCCACACTACCCTAATCCATGTTTTTTATGTCTCCTTTAAATCGGATGGTTGAAACAGTCTGAACAAGGCTGACAACCCTGAAGTCATATAGGAGCTGATTCCTTGTTGTTGGCTTTCACTGTAGTAATGTTTTCATGCCATCACAGGTGGAGCTCAATGCTTTCAGAGCTCAGTGGATGTCTGAGCTCAAACCGAGTTCTGGGGCAAGTGGACTAAGTGACCGAGTACTGCGGGCAAAAGGAGTTAAGAGGACTCAAGAAATAGCCCGGGAGGAAAAAGTAAGAAAAGTTGCATAATAACAGTAGCTTTTGTGCCTGCATGTAATGCCGGTTGAATGACTGATGTGACGTACCTTCCCCCAGGCTACAGAGCTGTTCCTGAGAGCTGTTCAGGAGGAGCAGAATGGAGCTGTCTATGAAGGTAAGGTGGAAAATACACAAGAGTAGCAGCTATTCTTCCTGTGTTAAAATGCTCTCATAACCTTCTTTGGGGGGGGGGGGACTCTTAGCTTGTTTCATCGCCAACAAACTATAATGTGTAGAAGTTTTTAGGAAAATCTAAACAAGTGATTGTTTTTTGCAGATAGCAGAAAAAGATCTTATTTTCCTAATCAGTTTTTGTTATTTGCAGCTATCAAGTTTTATCGCTTGGCTATGCAGCTCGTTCCTGACATTGAATTTAAAATCAACTACAACCGCCCTCCTGATTCAGACCGAGTTGGAGGAAAATAGTAAGTGGAGTGTATCTTTCTATTTTCTCTTTTCAGTTATGAGGCAGCTAGAGTTGCTCAGACGCTCTGTGTTTTCCTTTAACTGGAAGGTCTAAGAGTCACACAGATTTTGACCAACATTACGGCCCTGGATTTGGTTTGACCAGTTTTTTCCATAAGCTGTTGCAGGTGTAAAACATAATTTGTGCTACCTAAACAAAGCTAACATTGTGTGTTTGTTTCTCTCATAGCTTGGAGGACAATGATGCTGATGGGGAGATAGAGGATCTCCTTGCCTACTTTGAGCAGCAGCTCTCACTGGAGAGCTCCTTTCCAAAGATCTGCATGCCTGAACTTGAAGTCACTCAGATTCACATTTCAGGTGAGGAAAGCATTCACTTGCGAGGTCTTCAAACCTGTCTGAAATTATTTTTGGTGCCCGTGGCTTGTGATTTTGTATTAATTTTCATAATGTCACCACAGCCTTGCCGCGGGAAATCCTGATGTACATTTTTCGCTGGGTTGTGTCCAGCGATCTTGATATGCGAGCCCTGGAGCAGCTGTCCCTGGTGTGCCGTGGGTTTTACATTTGTGCAAGGTCAGTCCTGCTGTTATAACGGCGTTAAAGATCTGTTCTTCCCTGGCCACAAATTAAGACATGAAAATGTAGAGTTTCTAATTTCATCATGAACTTTGTCTTTCTGTCTGTCAGGGACCCAGAGATTTGGCGTTTGGCCTGTATAAGAGTGTGGGGACGGAACTGTACCAAAGTTTTACCCTTCAAGACCTGGAGGGAAATGTTCCTGCAGAGGCCACATGTTCGTTTCGATGGTCAGTATTTTACTCTGACATTGAGATCAGAGCCAGTGTCTTCTGTTGTGCCCCAGATGGTTCCTCAAAGGCAGACACCATTTGTTCAGATGCCTTTGCGCATTGTTTTTCTGTGGTTGCTTTCAAATTGTTGGACAGCACCAGTGTTTTATGTATTCCTTCCCTGACCTTCCTAGTCTCAGTCTGCCTGCTCATCCTTTCTGTGCAGAGTTCTGTCCTTCTTCTTTCCTTTCCAGTAATGGTGACCTCACCCACAGTCCTTTCTGTCACCTCTGGCTCTTCATGTCAGCATGGTATTTAATCTCAGACTGTCTCTCTGCAGGTGTTTATATCAGCAAGACATCCTACATACGTCAAGGAGAGGAATCACTGGATGGATTCTACAGGGCTTGGCACCACGTTGAGTACTACAGGTAAACCTTTGTCTTGAGATGTTTACCTGTGTGGATGAAACAGCTCTCACATCAATTCTTACATGTCAGAAGTTAAGGTGGATGTCCTCTGTCTAAAAAAGCCAGTCTGTTGTGACACAGGAAAGAGTCCAATCCAAAAAATACTATTAAGAAACTTTTGTTCTATTTTGGGAACATACCTTGTTTCAGGTTGTGTGAAGCGTAAACCAGATTATAGACAAACTTTCAAATATTACATTTGATTTTATGGAGCTTTAATTCTATTATGTTTTATTTTGAGTGTTACATTTGCATCAGTTAAGTCATGCGATTGCTTTTCCAGGTACCTTCGCTTCTTCCCTGATGGCCACGTTGTCATGCTAACCACCCCTGAGGACCCTTTGTCTGTTATTCCTCGCTTGCGTACAAGGAATAGCAGGTAAACGTCTATCACCCGCAATTTCGGATAGACCAGATTTTGCAACACGAGACATGATATGGCTTGTTCTCTTAATTTTGCAGGATGGATTCTGTTCTACTTGGTCATTTCCGTCTGTCACAAGAGACAGACAATCAAACCAAAGTTTTTGCTGTTGTCTGCAAGAAAAAGGAGGAGGTTAGACTCAAGTACCTAAAAAAATCACATGAATGTCATAGGAGACCAGCTCAGCTTTCAAACTAAATTGTTTCTTTACAGAAAGTCACCGAATTTCAAAGGAATCGGTTCTGCAGGCGGAACCCAGCTCCAGAGGCTGAACACACCTTCCACATAGGACTGCATCTGTCCTCCAGGGGGCGCCAGAGCTTCAGCAAACTGGTGTGGATCCACCACTCCTGCCACATCACATACAAGTAAGGCTGGAGTTTGTTTGTTTTTAACAGGAAAAATAATGCTTTTTCCCTAATATTACCTTCAAATCTGATTTTAGGCTGACAGGAGAAACAGTAATCACAACGTTCGACCTGGACAGGATGTACACACCCTTCTTCTTTGCCCGCGTGAAGAGTTACACAGCGTTCTCTGAGCAGCCTCTGTGAGCAGCAGAGACCTGCAGCCAATCCCACCAAGACCATTGAAGCTGATTCACAACCTTACCACACATGCATACCCCTTAGAATGGTTTGGATGATGGTGTTTCTCTTTAAACCCTCATGTTTCTACACACAAGCATGTTAAGTTTCAGGTTTGCTTATTAGAATACTACTTATTTTCTGATAATCAGAAATTACAGCCATTTGCTGAAAGCTAAACTAATTAGCAACCTTCCCCACTTGTTCCAAGCAATGAATGTTCATTCTGTTCTTGTTTCATGGTGCACTTTCTTCCTCAAATAAACAGATGAACGAACCCAGCTCTGTGTAGCAACGTGTAACTTCACAGATTTCAAATGTATCACATGTAGATTCCCTACAACTGAAGGAAAAAAAAACATCAATGCATTATCAATACCGCTTATGACTAGTAGGGTCGTGGGGCGGCTGTAGCCAATCCCAGCTGACATGGGGCGAGAGGCAGGGTACACCCTGGACAGGTTACCAGTCCACCATGGAGACAAACCACCACACACACCCACTATTAGTGTTCAGTTGACCTAACAAACATGTCTTTGAGAGGAAACCGGAGTACCTGGAGGGAACCCTCCCAGACACAGGGAGAAAATGCAAACTCAACAAAGGTATACCCCCAGTTCCCCGGATTGGCAGCTTGATCCTTCTTGGTGTGAGGCGACTGTGCTAACCGCCATACTCTCATGCTGCCCATGCTAAAACCACACAGGTCCTATTACACAATCTCTGTCAAAACACATTTCAAATATGTTACATGATTGTCTTCTTGTGGATGCAAGTGTTATCTGCATGTTACATTTTCTAAGAGCCAAGAGCACACACAGCCAACAGGATTTACAGATTTTAAAAATTGAATGTCAACTTGAATTGGATTAGACAAAAATAATTTGTTGCTTGTTGACTCCACTTAAGCTGTTGTGTTTTTTAAATGTCCTAAAGAAGCTCCTACAGTGCAGTTGTGAAAACAGAGTCCATGTTTTTGGTCTTTTTGTTCCTAAAATAAGATACGCAAGAGAAGACACTTGTAGCCAAAGCCAGATTACATATACAGAAGCAATTAAAATAGCCCTGTTTTCATAACCCATCCGGTCAAAAACGCCTTTTCCTCCAATCAATTGCCAAGAAATTGTCAAGCAACAAGATTTTTCATCCCACCTTCCTTTAATGTATTACAGTAAGTTAAACATGAGTCACTGAACATGAACACACATTTATCCAAGATTTCAAAAAAATACATCTGTTTATATCCATATACACACATTCATTTGAGCAATTAAGAACATAAATATTACATTACATTCTGGTATGCTTCCTTGACTTTTCTCAAGGTGTAAATCAGTGCTAATATGTTTATCTGGAAAAGAAAAGAAAAACCTGACTCGATATGGTTCATGCATGCTGCTGTGTTACCAGCCCAGATGTGCTTTAAAAAATTCATTTTCACTGACAAATGAGTAACTAGATTTTAAGATATTGGAAAGATATCTTATTACATTTAGTCTGCATGGAACAGAAATCCAGCTCCACAGATGTTTCATTTTCCCTCTAGCAGCATTTACTGTAAAGGTCAAAGGGAATGTTGGTGAAAAAAACATTTCAATCACAACTTCTCCATCAAAAGAAAAGTCAAAACTATGGAAAAGTGCTAGGTATTCACTCTTCTTTACTAAGGTCTGTATGCCCTGTGTGAAGCCAGCTGGGTTTTGTAGTAAAACTGAATACAGCCAGGCTGGCTCTGTCTGGCATTATCTAAAGTAAGCTTTGGAGGTTTTTGTAACAGACTTCAGCATTTTTTTTTAACAGAGTCAGGATAACTCTTTCTATCTGTTTCCAACTTTGCTAAGCTGGCTTTCTGTTTCTTCACACACTTCCAGACATTAATTATTACCTGATCTGCTTTGTTCATTCAAGGTCAGCCTGAGTATTCACCACTACATAGTTCAGGTATCACTAATTATCTTTATTATTGTGTTTATCCTTATGTTTCACTAAATTTAATAAATACAATTGAGGAAAAATAAGGTTGGACACACAGGATTGACTGACAAGATTAAAAATAATACATAAAAAACGAATTAGCTAAACAGGAAGGCACCCCATTTAAAATGGTGTTCAACACTTTCTTTCACTCTGTAATGCAATCTCTGCTTAAGATATAAAGAGAAGACAACAAAACAAAAATAAAAACAAACTATTATTAGAAATATATTACTATTGTATATTTTAACAGAAAAATTGGGCATTTTTTCCCATATGCATGAGTGGTAAAAGTATCTTAATCCTCAATTCTAAGGAAATATCAGATTCCAGAGGTGTTGTGTCACTGGGAATAAAAGCAGGCGTTTGTGGGTTCACACCCATCCCATAAGTGGGATTCTTGCAACATGTTTATGAAAACTGTTGTGGTGCAAACCACATTTCATAAAACTCCAGAAAGGTCTTGTTGGAAACCTTAAAAAGTTCCAAAGAAAAATATAGCAAAAAACAAATCCCTTGATCACAACAATCATTCTGTCAAATCATGGCTAAATAACAGTAGAATGCATGTAGGTTTTGAACTTCCCATCTCTCATGGAAGGACCAGAATAGAGGAGTTGACAAGGGGAAATGGCTCCATCAGCAGAGTCCTTAAGCTAGTGTTATCAACCAAAAGTTACTGGAGTTATACAAACTTAGATCTTTTTCACAATATGCCCTCTAGTAGGGAGGAAAAAGCTTTTGTTCATGTTTATTTGTGACTGTGTGATTCATGAAAAGATATGTCAAAATATCTTGACTGGAAAAAAGATCTATTGAATAAAAATAACAAAAAGGTTTTGAATCAGATATTAAAAAGAAAGGTTTGATAATGTATTATGTGTTATTGGATTTAAAAATGAAATCTAAACTTTTAGATATCACTGTCTTAAGAAAAACTCTAGCTTTCCTTCAGTTAACAAAAACTTTTTAGTGATCATTATTTGAATGAGCTTTTTCTTATTTAGCAGTGATTTATATCTAATTATCATACTGCCTTTCCTGATTTGATACCTAAGAATTTATTGTTAAAATAAAATTTCTTGCAGATAAGGTGCAATCTTATCAAGTTGAACATATTTAGGCTCTTGAAGCTCCGATAGGTGTACTCACAGAAGTAGCTACTTCCTGTAATACTGACATCATGAGGAACTGGATTTCTGTGTTCGTAAAAACACAACGCGGTACTCTATGCTTTGGTTACCCGTGCAGATTTAAAATGCCATTTTGTGCTGCATGAAGAAATCCCTGACAGTGTTACTGAGAACCCACATTTGTAATACGCATTTTAGGCCATGGAAAGGTAAAGCAGACACCTGTTCACCATAAGCATCACCACTGTGACCACAGCAAGCACTTTGTATTAAACTGTCCCTTAAATGGAAGCCATGCTGTAATGAAGTCAGCTGACAACACAGTGAATCATCTTTGGACCTTTGCTGTGAGAAGCATCACTGAGTATAAATGCGTGTTTGTTTGCTGATGGCAGAAATAGATCCCTGTTGTGAATTTAATTTATTCTAAAAGGTAAGGAAGGCAGTGTGGACAAAACTACAGTACTCTAAAAATAGCATAAATTTAATACTTTAAGTAAGTGTGCAAAACAGAAAAAAAACCTCCTTTTTCAGCTTACCTCCTGTCTCCTGTCACCTCCTGTCACAACAAACTAAACGATAACAAGACTCATCTTCCACTTCCGTCCCCCCCTCATGTTTTTGTTCCTGCTGCACACACCTGAACTGCACTTATCCAGCCTAAAGTTCTGCTGTGAAAATTGTTCTCTAAAATGGACTCAATTGTTCTTTTCTAATTCGCTTTGGATAAAAGCGTGTGCTAAGTGCCTTCATGTAAATGAAAATTCTGAGTCAACTATATGCGGCTATGGCTTAGATCTAGATTATTCTAGAAGAAGATACGTACACCTCCTTTTGCAGCATTAGCTAATATACTACTGTGAGAACATGATGACGGCTTCTCAATTGTCAATCCACTCTCAGCTTCTTGGATGCAGTGTGCTCCATCGATGGCGTACCATTTGCGTGTCCATTTGTTGATGTAGACGAGCCATTTTGATGCTCCTTTTTCTGAGAAGAACTGCGCTTCTTGTAAGTCTTTGTCAGATAAGGAGAGAGAGGAGGAATTATTACTATTACTGAGAATTAAATAAGTTTAACTTTTACATTTCTATTAGTTACAATTAGTCCACTAGAGAATACTCAGGTTTGCAGGTACATTCATTTACAGTCCACAGTTAGAGACAATATTTCTGCAGTTGTAGAACCAATAACAGTACATGCTACATGATCAGTTAATGGTTGGCTATTCAGAACTTAGGACTTATTTATGGAAACATACCTGAAAGTAGAAGTTTGAGAAAAGCACCATGAATGTGAACATGTAACTTATTTGGAAGAGGAGCCATCTTATGGGGAACCCACATGGCCGTATGACTGCAGAGGCGGTCTGGACGATGGTCATAAAGAACTGGATCTGTGATGAGAACATAAGCACACACTGACTGGAGAGGCCAACTGACAAAGAGTGACATGTTTCTCCTTATTCCTGAATGGTTAATCTAGAGCTCAACTGTCCTCACAATCCATTGTTTTTTAACTGTCACTGGAAGACAATTAAAGTCAAAGGATGTGAACCCACCAGCTGGAACAGTGTGATGTACTTTTTCCACCAGAGGTACGGCCGGAGGGCAGGAATGGCTGAGAGGCAGTAGTAAGAGTACATGACAACGTGGACCAAGCTGTTTATGGAGGCACCGAAGTATGCTGCGGACACACAGCAAAAAAAAAAACACAAGAACTCAGTTATGGATCGCAAACAAGAACAGGGACTCAGCAGTGTGATGATGTGTACAGAAGGCAAAACAACAAAGTGGGAAAAGGCGCTTTTGAGCCGCGCCATATTCTGACGTATCTTGAGAGAGCACTGCATTTGTTCCACACTCTGATCGTGATACGGTCTAACTGTGTCACTTTGTGTTCTCTTAGTTCTTTGTTGGGTCAACAGGACAAATTGGTTTGACATGGGAGCATCTGAATTATTCAGTCCACTGTGATGCCAAAAAAGTAAAAAAAAATGGTCAAGCACTCACTGTGGCCACAGGGTATCCAGTTCATAACAAACCACCATATATTCAGCATGCTGGCATGGTGGTACACATGAAGAAATGTGATCTGGTAGCTATTCTTTCGCAGTATAAAGAAAAAGGTGTCCATGAATTCAATGAGCTTGGAGAAGTAGTACCACCACAGGACATTTATGACCTGGAAGCAAAACATAGTGATCAAAGTTGTGAACAAAAAAAGGAGGTAAGCAAAACACATCTGTCTGCGGGCCAGGTCTTACAAAGAAAAACATATGATGGATTTATAACAGTCGCTCCATTAATCAGAGACTTGCTAACACAATTTATGTGCCGAGGGCCCTTAAAAGCCAGGATGACTTAATGGTAGAAAAGCCACATTGATTACGCTCTCTGTTTAATTAGAACAGAAATGCAAAGTCACACACTTCTCACTGTGAGCCTGGTGTTACCCTCCACTGCCTCAGTACACGCACTAAAGATAATCAGCAGGACCACACAAATTAGATTAAACTGACTCCCTTGCCCAGATGAATACACACAGACTCATTTTCCTCCACGCAAATTGGTGTTTTTACTGGACGAATGTGCGGTGAGAATGTGAGCACCTCATTTGTTCTTCAGACCATGTGTTCCCAATTTACCAAGATGCAAAACAGATGATCTCACTGAGATTTACAGGATCATAGAGATTTTTTGCTGAGTTTCTTTCGCCTTATCAAATATCAGTCCATGTAGTTTTAACTACTAACTGCAAATGCGCCTTGAAATAAAATAGAGAAATGCATCTGATAATACAGCACGAAATTGTTTAACAAGTTTTCCATAGATGTGTTTAAGAAAACAACTAAAACACCATCAACTGTCTATAAAGGAGCATCTCCACAGGGCTCCAAAGTGCGCAGGCTGTGTATTGATCTGCTACAGATAAAACGGGAGTTGTCTGTCCTCTGCTGTAGCTCTGATGTGACGGGCGAGCTCTGATGCATTTAGACCGCTGCTCTGTAATCCGACCATTCTTTTACCTCTGCAAGGTCCTTTGCTCTGAATGTACAGAGCTGATCTCTTTTTACTTCCTAATTCAGCAGTTTGGGCTGAATAGGCCTGGCATAAACACTGTATATGCAACGTACTGCCTATGCTTAACAGTTTTGGTCTTCAATCTGCGTATTTCTATAGTGAAAACTCTGGGTCTACTCTGGATAAACTCTGGGTTTTTAACAAAAGTAAAATCACAAAAAGGATATAATGAAATACTCAGAAGGAAAAAACACACAATGTCTGACCTTAATGTCCACTTCTGGTTCACTGTATGTGTTCTGGCAGATGAAATTGTAGTTACTGTGCCACACAATGTTAACAAGCTGCAAAAAAAACATTGAAATACATGGGAAGTGAGTACTTGACAATATTCCTGAGCAGACAAACTGCTATCTCAAAATCAACTAATTAAATTAAAGCTGGTGAGTTGTTTTTTAATTGCATTTTTTCCTTTACTTCAGGCACTAAAATCTCACATAAACACACCCATTGATAGAAAGTATAATAAACTGATATGATACAATGTCCGTTTAGTAAGTCTGTCATCAATCCGGCCATCAAGCATGAGCAGATAAATGTCTAATCAAAATGGGGGTAATCCATCAAGTGAACATCCTGCAGGAAGTGCAGGTGGTATAAAAAATGTTGCGGGACATAATCAATTACAGATACACATAAAAAATCAGCGACAGAATGATTACTCCCCTCACATGCATACATGTACGTTATCCCAGGAGCTCACTATACTGTCTTCTTTTTCATTTAACCTACTTGTTCAAATGAACGTGTAAATCAAATGAATGACAGCCGTCTCGCAGTTTGAACTGACAAGTTGACAGAGAGCAGATAACACGCTCTGTACTTTGATTCAAATCAGGTGATATTGATTTTGCAATGCTGAAAGTTCACCAGGGGGGTGTCACGGAGCGAGCTTTAATGAATCTGCTTCCTTGTGCCGTGTAATTCTTTTCAGATACTTAGTAGGCTGTCAAGGAAAGGAGCGTTTTAACAAAATGAGACGATAGCGAGCTGTGCTAATGTCTGAAGGTATAAGTGGGAGTTACTGAGGGACACAGCTGTCACCCTGCTGTGTCCCTCTTAAAGCCTGATCGTGCAGTCTTCACAGATGGCTTTTAGCCAGCACAAACAGGCATTGAACTTTCTCTGTGGGAGCTTATCAATGTGGCTGAATGCAATGAACAGGCGTTGTCTTCAAATGACTTCATTGGTGGTTTTGTCTGATGATGCTTTGGCAATAAAATCAAGGTTTTATTAGAGCAAAGCAAGAGTCTAGACGCGCTTTAGGATACCACTGTTTGATGCATAGTCTGTCAGAAAATATGGTGCATATCAGAGAGAAGCCAGAGATTTTGGCTGTACATGCATGGGGAAATGTTCCTGTTTTTGTGAAAAAATGCAGAAAGCTGGAACTTTGCGTAAGAAGCATCCCGGTCGATCTGGCTCAAGCTGGGTATATGCATGCACGGGTAATACATTTACTACTGAAGCTGTTAGTCTTCGTTGATAAGCTCGATTTCATATGATTTTGATGAGATTTACATGATGAGATTTAAATGATCCATAGTACACAGTTTAATAATCTGTGTCTTTTAGTGTTACGTACACATTTACATCAGTGTCCTATGAGTTTCATCTTCTTATGAGCAAAGTTTGTGAAGGCACACCGCGCCTGACTGTCTATGCTATTTGCAACCTTCTAAAATCACACATATCGTTCATGTAAATCATCTCTGCACAATTCTGTTTGCAAGTCCGTTTACCTCATAAAACATGTAGAAGGACAAAAGTGTAAGGCCCAGATTGTAGAGCACCATGAGGCCTCTGCAGGAGTATGGCTGCCTGTTCTTCATGTACTTGGGCCCAATCCACACAATCAGGAGGTACATGACCGTAAGTGCAAAGGTTGGAGGGTAGTTCTCAAGCAAAAGCATTTTCTCCACCCGCTTATCTGAAAGAAGTAGATAAAGAGATGAAGAGGATGACCATCAAAGTGAAAAAGTGAAGAGAATATAGCAGGTTAAATAAAAGCGCAAAATGACTGTTGCTGTGCATTCTTATTTCATTTTTACCTCTTGGACCCATCCATGATTCAAAGAATCTATTAAGATTGTTGTTGAAGGTCTCCATTTCTCACCTAAAAAACAGAAAGCAGAATGAACACTTAAGTCTCTCACTCTGGGGTCACCTTATAATTAAATAACATGCATAAACACTAAGAAATCAAATCTGAACAAAGGGAACTGTTTTAATCAAAACACTAATGCTTGTTGGTACAAATGAAATGTCAAAAATGCATCTAACATCCATCTCTATTCCCACTTTATCCTGCACAGGACTGTCAGTACTGTTCCAGAGGAACTTGAAACAATATTATTCACATTGTGGAGAAAATGCTACACAAACTCCGGCATCAGGTTTTTACAGGGAATCTGGTTACTATGTAGAACACCAGTGTGTTTTATCATCCCCATGACTTTCAATTGTTTGCAGGAGCCTGCTCTATCAGCTCAAGCCTTGCAGAAAATGTGTCCTTGCAGCCACAGAAATGAAAACTTTCTTTTTTCCCGTTCATTTCTAACTGAATGCCTCCACATCCCCCTACACCTCAGTGTCCAGCTGCAAAAAAATTCCTGTGCTTATCAGTTTCTAATGCTGTGAACTGTTTTAAGTGTATGAGAATCACTTACTGGTATTTTGAGTTCATGCTTTAATGGAAAACAACATCAGGATGTGTTGAGGACTCCTCATACACTAGCTGACTTTGAATCCTGTGCTTTAACTTCTCATAGACATTTCAGTAAAGCTGATGTGGACTAATGGGTGGTCCTTACTCAGGCCAGTAAAGCTGACCAATCAGAGCACAGTGGACTCTACAGGAGGCTTTGGCCTCTACCTTTTGTTTTCCAGCGGTCACACATTTGCTGTTCATGGTGTCTAAAAGAACGTTGATAATTATTCTATGGGAGCTTTAAACCACATCTCACTAAGAGAACAGAGCTCTGTGGACTTTGCTTACATAATACAAAACTCATAAAGTCAAACTCTTCATTGTCATCTGCTGCTTGGTTACCAAATAGCATATTATTATCAGTTGCATTCATCTGTACAAACGTGGCTGATTTCGATCAACCACAATTCAGTAATACCCTTGCTCTGATTATCAGAGATGCATTAGGCAGCACAAGAACAAGATAATCTGCAAAGCTTTAATCGGAGCACGGTGACCCATAATGGAAAAGCATGTTATCATTAAATCTCATCCGTTTGTCATAGCCTGGTAGATCTTCCACAACCATTAAAAATTCAGAAAATTCAGAAAAGGCTGGTCTACCTAATGTCACATCTGTAGCCTGGTCAGCTCCTGTTTAAGTTCATCTGCATAAGTGATGTTGATTAGGTCAGAGAAATTCACCAGAAAGGTCAGACTTGGACATTGCAGACAAATAAACCAGGAGAGGCTTTTATCCCTACTGCTTTAAAGCCTGTGAACTTTTAGTCTTAAAAAGATAAATTAGGTTTATTTAATTGATTGGATTAGTCCAAATCTGACAGCATAATGACTACTACTTACATCTACACAAACAGAAAAAGATTGTGTTTATTTCAATGTATTTATCTATTAATAAGGAAAGATGACTAAGTGCACATGGCTCATCTGGCTCAACTCTACCCCAAAGCTGCACACTGAATGCAAATCCAGTAATGCCACACATGAAGCTGTTGGGAGTTGATCTATTCTCACAGAAAACAGCAGATCAAACATTTAATAAAACACTACAAAAGAAGTCGATCTATTTCAAGTGTGTACAAAAGTTGCACTGCACTGATCCCCAGATATGGGACAACAGCTGAACATGATCTGCTCAACAAAAGCAGCATGCCGAAGTTTCCCACAACTTGAGCACAAAGTTGTCACACTACTGACAACCGCAGAGCAATCGCCCCTAACACAATGATGCGGGGCTCTACGAGCCATTTCAGCGCCTGCACCAGGTATCGGGACTACAGAATGATGGGAACAGTGCCCTAAGTCAGGATGTTTTGCGGGACACTATTGTGTAACGGCAGTTTTGCCTCAGGGTCACATGCGCACTTTTACGCAGCGAAAGCAGCCTGGAACGGAAAGAGCTGATCTGATGGCGGTGGTTGTTTTATCATTACAACATGACTTGATTCATTTGATAGCGGGAAAAACTTCCAAAAAAAGGAATTCAAAGAGGCAAACTTGTAGCATCCACAGAAGCAGTGTCAGTGCAGGTAACCGCGTCAGCATCAGCCGGTGCGCTCGTAAACGTCTAACATATCTGGAGATGGAAAAAGCTTCTTACCACAAAGCTCTCCTGCCGTGCGGTGAAGTTGCTGGAAAGAGGAGGAAACGTTAAGGGCGGACGGGCAGATGCAGCCGTGTGCCGCGCACTGCCTGCGTTTTTGGCGTGGGGTGAGAGAAAAAGCGCCTGCGTAACCTTGGCCGTCCCGGTGTGAGCACAATGTGCTGCCTTGTCGCTCACTGGGGGAAAAAAAAAAGAAGTGGGAGGCACACACGGAGTGCTGGCCCGCAGCCTGCAGCAGAATTTAAGCCAGGAGGTGACCCGGTGTGTTGCAACACTTGCAATCAAATAGATGACATTAGGACTTTGAGTCCATGAGATTCCAGCCACAGTCGCGGCTGCGGTTGAAACCCCGGGAGGCAGAGTCCCGCCATTTAGGCCAACGCCGTGAGTGGATGGCAGAGGGCAGGGGGCAGAAATGAGCACTGTGGTCCAGCAGACGGAGGCTGTGAGCGCGGATTCATTACAGCAATTAAAAAAGTTGTTTGCAATACGTCCCCACTGTGATATTTAAAGTGTAATGAATAATGACAATTTCAACAAATAAATGAGGGCACTGTGTTTTTCATCTTTATTGTGTTATTCTCCCACGGTAGACCAGATTGGCTTTAGGTGCTTTGAGGCATTTACATTATTTGTCGTCCTCTTGGTTTGATTATGTTCTCTTTATCTATCTGTAGGTAATAACATTTTAACACATAGATCAGGAACATTAAGACTCCCCCATAGTCATTTCTACACTGATGGCAGAATTCTTTTTTTTTTTTACCCAAGTAAATCTGATTGATTCCTCAAAAGAAAGGAAGTACTCTTGAGGATCTGAACCCACCAGCTGGAACAGTGTGATCTACTTTTTCCAGGTAGGGCCGGATGGCAGGATACAGGCAGCGATAAGAGTTCATCACAACTTAAGCTGTTCATGGAGGCACCGCAGCAGGGGGAGGACACACTGAGTTGAGAAACACAGGAAGTTATTCATCTTTAGTGAACAATAGGTGTAAGTCAGCGCTGATCCAACAGTGGAGTAACAAAAACCCAAGTGATTTCAGAAGGACTCTTAGGATGATGAAGCCAACAACCTTTTATGTGGCTTCTGCTTTTTAACTTTAAGCACAAAACGGTTGTTCTTGGCTGCAGCACTGTTCAGGTCAGTGTGTCTATTTGTGTACTTTAAGGGGAAATCAGGCTATTTTCAAGGTGAGTGGGCTAAACACGAAATAGTGGAAAACTCGAACCACCACAGGACATTAATGACCTGGAAGGAGGCGGAGAAACAACACTGTCCACAGCTGGAATAAGTCAAATATACAAACAGGACAAAACATCAATAATACAGGAAGAGGAGCTGTCAGGTTTACTTTAGAAGTTCAATAGGAGTCTAAAACGAGGGACAAAGCCACATAGCGCTTGTATTTAACCAAAGCAGAAATGCAAAGTCATGCACATCTCACTGTGAACCTAGTTTTCACCTCCCTGCAGAGCCCAGAACAGATCCTAAAGAGAATCACCATGATGACACGAATCAGATTAAACTGGCTCCCTGCCTGTGGCTTATCTCCTGGGATTTTGCAGATATTTTCTAACATAAATGAAAAAAAGAGATCAGACTTTGGCATGAGTTCTGTCTGCTGTACTGAAATGAAACAAATAAAATGGAAACTGTTGGTGTGACTTTTTTGGTAAAAAACCCTGCGACTGGCCGACGGACAGTCCAGGGAGTATCCAGCCTCCTGCCCGTTGTATACTGGGATATTATACATACTGGGATCTGTACCGTTGGGAATAAGCGGTACAGAAAATTGATGGATGGATAGATCATGTCAAAGATGTTATCCCAGGGGGAAAATATACTGTTTATTAAAAAACTGTTGGAGAAAGACTGCTATTCTGACCTCATTATCCTCTTCCTTTGCACTGTCTGTTCACTGAGGCACTTTGTTAAAATTAAGAGAAGAAGAGAGAAAATAAAAAAGGGCTCCATCCAACCGTGACCCAAGGAACACTTTGAGAAGCCCAAACTTGCTTTCAAAAGCAAGAAAATTTTGACAGAACGAAACACATGGAAGGTTGACTGGAGGTGGAAAGGACAGAAATAAATAAAAAAGCACCTTGACACCAGCCCTGTCTCAGATTAAATCATTCTCATTGCCTTAAACCTGGTACATTTTCATGTAAAATTTTAAAAAAGATAAAGGAATTGTTTGAAAACAAAAGGATGAAAAAATCCCTTAGTGTCAACATCTCAGTGTCAAGCAAGTTCAGACTTCATGATGACGTTCTATCGTACTAAACTGGGAAGTCAAGATCATCTTTTTGATCATCTTCTTTCTTTCCTTTGAATACTTTTCAAACAATGTTGGGAAGTCATTTTGGTCTGCGCTCATGCCTGAGAGAGTAAAAGAGAAATCCGATAGCTGAAACAGTGAGCCTGTCAGCCTCCAGCTGTGGTCTTCTCACTGCATGATAGCACTGCTCTTATGACATTTTTCAGAAACATTCCAGCAGCAACAGGCCTGTGTTCAGTTAGAGCTCTGAAGAACAAGTTCAATCTGCGCTCTCCAAGTTAGCATAGAAATCTTAGCATGAAAAGAACCAATAATGGTAAAAATTCTTATTACCTGGATTTTAACTTCACACTTTACCACGTTAGATGTCTTTCTCTTTGCAATCATTGTGCTTTTATCACCACATTTAATTGAACAGTTCAACGATCTGGGAAATGTTGGAGGAAATTAGACGAAAAGCAAAATGCCGAACACTAGCGTGGAGAGAGTAATGTGCTGTACAAATGAAAAGTCAGAGGAAAACGACCTTTTACAGTGTTTAGTTATCGTTTCATCATTTGTTATCTTGTTATGTAGTATCTTTAGGGACTTTACTTACTACCATTGGACCTCTTCTGGAGTAACACTACGTATGACTCGTGGACTGAGGCCTTGTCCAGACGAACAGGAGATACATGACCATGAGAGCAAAGGTTGTCAGGTAGCAGCAGCATTCTCTGCACCTGGCCTGCTTATCTAAAACACGGAGATAAAGAGTTTAAGAGGATGACCAACAGAATGAACTAGTTTGGTCGGACTGGGCTAAAGGTTACGCACGCCTACTAAAATCAAAAATCAATTTATGCGTTAAGCTGCAACAGCATATGTCCTGAATAAATTTCTTCATAAACCCAAACTTGTTGTCTATTTGTCATCTGGATCAGTGTCAAATTTTAGGTTTATTCAAAACTGCAATTGATGATAAAATAAAACAAGGAAAAAAGAAAGAAAGAAAAAAAAAGCCCAATGAAAGCAGCTTCTATTTATGTAAGGTTATGTTTGCGTTGCAAAGTATCAAACTTTTGGCTTTTGAGTGGTTTTAAATGGCAAAACGTGGCACTTAAAACCACTTATTTATGATTAGCTGTTCGCTGTTAGCAAGTTCGCAGGTCAGAAGTTCAGGAATGGCATTTCATGGACAAATAAATTAGTAATTTGTCTGTTGCATCCAGGAAGGTACTGATGTGGATTGATGGGTGGAGCTGAATCAGGCCAGTGAAGTTGACCAATCAGAGCCCAATGAGCTCCTCGGGAGGTTTTCATAACATTCACACAATCATCTGAAGTCAGGTTGAACCTGTATGTGATAATGAAACATGAACAGAGGTGGACTCAAGTTTTACATTTTAAACCCACCACAGCTCATTAACATCCTTTCTCTTTATGGTGAACAAGGGAACACTTGAGCAAAAAATAATGTGGACGGCCTTAACTGGAGCATGGTGCCCCACAACAGGAGAGCATGTTATCATCACATCACTCACTTTTCTGTGTTGACATTCTGTGTTTGTGAAAATAACTAAAAATCACTACAGAAACCCTTACACTTTGATTTAACAGTACCGTGTGATTTCATCACTTTAGCTGTTCATGATTCATTCATATAGTAAGATGTAAGAGGAAAGGGGGGGTAGTGTGTGAGCATGAATCAGAAAGTGGTCATCTGTCAGCAGTATGGGATTTAGCAATATGGTGTGACCCTGTCAGAGGTGTTTTACGTCACCTGGGGTGACGCTTTACTGACTTTTTTTCTTCCAGGTATCTTACTTCACCTGAATTGGGGAAAACAAACAACACCGAGTTTAGGTCAAATTGTATTTTTTCCTAAAGCATATTCAGAGCAACAGCTACTGACCTACAACCTGTACGATTGGTTTAATTTCACTTAGGTTTAGTCTCTCCTTTGTGCCTCTCTAAACTTGGACATAGCCAGAGGCAAATGGTCAGTAGACCCAAGTAGCTTTGTCAGAAATATAAAAAGGAGCATGCTCACAAAGGGCCTTATGAGACTGCGTCAAAGTCTTAGAGTCAGTCCTTAAATGGAGGTGAAGCCACTGAAGAAACTTTCTTAATTCTAATTGGCACTCTGAGGAACATCACACATAGAAACGGAATCGGTAAGTACTGTGTAATGTTTATGTCAATTGGTTGTTACCACGGATCTAAAAAAAAAAAGAAGCTGACCCTCTGTAAAAGAGAGGTGGAGTGGAGTCCAGTGGGCCCGGCCACGCTCCAGTGACCTGTCTGAATAGAGGTGTAAGTGAGTGGAAGAAAAAGGAGCTGCTTCAGAGTCTCTCCATTATTTTGACCAAAGGATGTAACAAAGATTTAATGAGATCTCAGGAAACTGTTTCAGCTTGAGCAAGAAAGGCATGCAATGTGTCAGTGAGTCACTGATGAATTAATGTTTCTGATCTTTAAATCCTACAGCTGTTATATTAGTGTAATTCACTTTCTTATGAGGCTGGTTTAACATGCATCAGTTAAACGTTTTTTGGTTATTTAGATAATCTATTATTCAACGTTCAAATGATGTTTCCTCCTTACAGGGTGAATTTACAGTTTTAAATGGCACTTTGGCATCAACATTATATGTTTAACCATCCATCCATTTTCTATATTACTTATTCCCAACATGGTTCCGGGGGGTCTGGAGCTTATCCCAGCTGACAATGGGCAAGAGCAATAGAAAATGAAAGTAAAAAATATAATCTTGGGATAAAGGTTCAATCAAAATTAAAGAGATGGTGGGATATCACCTTAAAACAGACATTAATACATAAATTAATACATAAGCACATTAATACATAAGTCTTTCAAAAAGGCAATGATCAAGAAGAAAACAGGTGAAAGGTCTCTGAGTTTGTTCTGTGAAGTCAAAGACTGGGATATTAACAACAAATCTTTTAAATCTTTGGCTCAGAGGTGGGGGCCCTGTTCATGGATTTGGATCTGAGGTATTTGAAGTCCAGAACCAATAGCTGGGATTCTCTGCTGTGCTCTTGAGCCATTATGAAGCACATGAAACATAAATGAATACTATGAAGTTTGTGATGTTTTGGTGAGCACCAAAGTACTATACATGTTAGGGCCAGAATCCACTACTTCCTAGGAAAACGCTGCACAGTAACAAGATGATACAGGTCAGTGGTTTGAAAATGTCTAGCTCTTCTGAATACCTGTGAGTGATCTCAAAACGCCTTTTGAGGATGTTCCTGTCACAGTCGATGCCTCCTGAAAGACAATTTGTCATGATTACTGACGTAAACACACATGCACAGACTCAAAGTGAGATTACACAAGACCAGCAGAAATAATCAGTCATCCTTAGCTTGTTGTATTAGCCATTTGTCAAAATGTAAACCTGCTTATACATGTGTCCTTGTGAAATGCGATCTTACCAAGTACTGTTTTAATCCACCTATTTAACCAAGTAAAGTTAAGTACGCCGTAAAGTATGCTGTCGTACGCAGCTTCCCCTTTTTATTTGATCTTTTCTGTGTGGGAAGTATGCCAACTTTAATATTGAAGCTTTTAAAAAAACTCCCCTTAGTGTAGACTCTGGAGAATGGTATACTTTTTAACTTATTTTTTATAAGAATTTCCTTAAACTGACTCATTATTACAAATAAGTTAACGCAGCTTCAGCAGAAACGAGAATAACATATTCTAAGTGCATGATGTTTTATGACGAACCTTTTTCATGAATGACTCCCTAAAATTGGGAAAATATGATAAGATAGAAAAATAATCTTTCTGACAAAAGATGATCGATAAAAATGACAAGAGCTTTGGATCCACAGAGATTTATGATTCTGACCACGGCAGGAATAACTATGATAATTTGAACTCTGCTTTTGATCTGCACAGAGTCCATTGAAAAACATCTTCGATATGTCTCTCAGCTTCTTTTGAACTTTGACAGCCCTGATGAGCAGAACATTTTGACCAAACTTGGGTTTTATGCATGCAAATTATGTTAGAAGAAATCTGATGATCAGATGTGCTAATCCACATAAAGAATCATTCAAAAAGTTAAGAATATAATTGCAAATGTGTAAATTTGATGGCAGAAACTCCCTACAAGCTTGGTCCTTGTTTACAGTTATAATGAAACACTTATTGAAATTGGTCTCCATGCTAGGACAGTTGAATCAATATGCCCACAGTCACAGCATGTATACAGATGTCCAGTAAAGGGGGAGGTTATATGGGGCTCCTTTTCTGAAAAGCACAGTCATGTGCTCTGATTGGCCAGCTTCAGTGGCCTGATCAGGCACTGCCCACCATTTGGGATCAGCTCTGTTCATACTCTAATTAAATGTACAGCGCACTTGTTAAAGAAAACCTTACAGCAAGAAATCACTCTTTGAAAAATAAGGTCAACATCAAAGGTTTGTTCATTCAAACCAAAGATATTTCAATCTACATTGAAAAAAGTCTCCCAGCTTTGAGCTGAACAACACCCATGATGTCTGTACTTATCTAAGAGGTCAAACTGAGGTAATACTCTCTTCCGTTACAGCAGCTCTGAGTTGCATAAAACTGTGGTGCAATACCACCACCTTGTGGGTTAATAAGGTATTTAAGAAAAACACTGATGCAATAGATATTCTCTGATTTCCCGATCCAAATATCGACATTAGATCAAGCCACCTCATCCCAAAAATCAGAATGACCCGGGAAATTGGCTTATTTGTTTATAGATTTATTGTTAAACAGCATCACATTGCAAACAATGGTTCCCCATTTCCACCTGAATGCAACACTAATTTTAAGGTCCCACTACAAAGTCAATAGAGTAAAGCAAACATTTTTCTGAAATGCAAAATAAGAAAAAAAGCACGCACCAAATCTTAAGAAAGATCTTATTAGCAAAAGAGAAAAAAACAAGCAAAACAACAACAGAGAAAACAGTGTTAATGTTTGAAAGAGCAGTACAGTATTTACAGAGCTCAGGATCAGAAGCAGACTACTGTACAACTCTCCTCTACATTTACAGTCACACACAGATATGCTTAATTTCTGACAAAAATAAATACACATCTGATCAACTATTACACAACCCTTTGTATGTCTTAATCCTATTAAAATAATTTTGTAATCAAAAAAATCTCGTACAGTGTATATACATATATTTTGAAGCATCTGTATTCCATTTCAAACACAGGCATGCTGCTGTGTTTCCTACAACTGGACCTCTTTCGTTTGGTCTGTCTTTACATGCACGCTGGGGCCACGGCGCGGCGCCTGCGCTCACTTTCATTTGAACTTGTTAACTGGATTTCCGATGAGCTCGGGGCACTGCTCTTCGCCTTTGGCGACGCTGTCGCACTTTTTGAACAGGTCGTAGTTGATCTTGTCGCTTATGACGCTGTCTTGCTTGTACTGCGGGTGCTTGGCGACAAATTCCCTCATCCACTTGGCCATGGTCATGAGCTCGCCTGTTTCAGAAAAGCAAGAGAAGGAGCCAAAGGTCATAAAAGAAGCTAAATCCAGTGGATCTTTGTTGGCCAATGAAATGACTCTACCTGAGGCGCGCTTCTTGATGAGCTTCAGATAATTCAGAATGGTGCACCTGGTGTCGACATCAACCTCCATGTTTTCCAGATAGCAGTTAAGGATCGGGATGAGGCCCTGAAACACGCCCTCCTGAAGAAAACAGCAGTCCCCATTAGGTGGGCTCACACTGAAGGGTTACTGCTGCACTCTGCGGTAGCACTTCCTCCTCCATCACTTTTCCATCACAGCTCCGAATATGAAAATGTAAGCTTTTTTTTCCCCATATTAATGGATGCTGATTTTTATGAGATGAGTCACTCCTGAGCTTTTCTTCGATAGCTAAACAGACACATGGTCGTCCACAGTGGTGGACGCATCCTCAGCTTGGGAAACAAAAGTCACCTTTCCGTTGATGATGGTGTCAATGCTCATCAGCGTGTACTCCTCATTTCCACCTTCAGTCTCCAGGCCGTTCTGAGCCGAGGCGGAGCCGTCAAAGACCGGGTTGCAGCCTGTTGGTAGGTACCAGTGTGTCAGTGACTGGATTTTCAACAAAGAAACAGACCTAACAGCTTTGCTTCTGTGTTATCCACCTTTGAAGATGTCCTTCCTGAAGTAAAACATTCCCGTCTGGACTGCGTTTCTCTTCTGTGCCACCTTCATGTTTTCATCGACCTGACAAACAACATGTTTTACTCTGTAATAGTTGGAAATAAAAATATTCAAATGTTCTTTCTTCGTTAGTAAAACTATGAGGTAGTACTCACTTTTGACAGTGGGATTAAGAAGTCCAGTTTGTAGGACAAGATCACTCTGGTGAGCAGGACCACAAAGACCACGTATGCAGCGTTTTCAAAGTCAGTCAGCTGCACCTAAAGGGCAAAAAAACAAAATAAACTCACTAGGAAACGTTCCTGCAAATAAAATCAGACCGCCGGTTTCAGATCTGCTCAGTACCTCCATGGGGCGGAACTCTACTCTCCATCCGATATCAGAGTTGGGAGGAGGAGGCTTAAATCGCATCGTCTGCCAGTTGGTGGACTGGAGGTTCTGCAGGATGTTTGAAACAAACCCATTTACTTAAATCACCCATTTTTTCCTTTCCACAATTGGTCTGCCTTCTTCTAGGAAACTGCACGCAGAACGGGGTAACCCTCACCTCAAAGTGATCCGACTCGTTTTCATCATCGAGGTGTATTTTCTCCTCAAATACAGACAGCGGGTCCCGTATGAAGAGGTGAGCAATGTGTTGAGCCAGAAGCTTGTCAATCCCTGTTAGAAGCAGATTCATGGTGTTGTGAACACGGGCCTGACTCTGTGGAGCATAGCTGCCGTTCAGTCCCGGCTACCTGCATCCAGCAGCTGCTTGTAAACCTCCTCGTCTATCGTCAAATCGATGTCGTTGTACTTCTCACCGCAGCTGGACAGGTAGCTGTCAATCGAGTCGTACCTCGACTTGAAGATCCTGTACTTATTGTTTTTCAGTGGCTAAAAGGCAAATGTAAAGTGAATTCAGTATATAAAAAAAATACACAAGGCCAACCAGGAGGAATTTTAAATGAGAAAGAAAAAATGTTAAATTAGTAGATGAAACATAACATTTTAAACATTTTACATTTTCTTTACGACACAAGCATTAAAGGAGAAGGGATTAACCTAATTTAGAAGTAGAGTGCTGGAGTAATAATATGTCAAAGGCTCATTGTTAAAACTGTTCCTGAAAATGGTTCCTCCTGACTCCTCTGTGCTGGGCCCGCCTGTCAGCCTGAGGAGTGTCTGAGATGTGAAGGACCTGCAGCTGATTTGTTCATTTCTCTACACTCCGTCTTGATATATGCTTTCAGCCCCTGCTCACCTTCAGGCCCCGCTCCTCCTGTGTCCTGTCGTCCACCGAGGCTGAAATAACTCCCCAGCGACAGTCGTTGTCCGACACGTAGCCTCTGTAGAAAGGCGAGGCTGCGCTCAGCGCCATCTGCAGATGGTCAGAGGAATGGACAATCCACTGGGTGCTTCTCAAAGAGTAACATTGATGCACTAAGAACAAGCAGCCATGCTGCCATAAACCACTGACGAATGAGAGCAGACCCACACACTCACATTAACGCTGCATTACACACAACCATTACATTTCTAGTCATGCACACCCTTACTGGGAAGCCCTTCAAGTTCCAGATTTTTATACCCAGTATTGTCCCTCCTGTCAAAGCTGACAGGCAGGATTTGTTCTCTCTTTGTTTTTTTTGTGGGCTGGAAATTAAGGACAGCCTACCTTTTCATATCCAACCTGCACAGACCCGTAGTCATTGAAACAACAACCATTTCCTTTTACAGTCCGGGTTTTATGGTCTGAGACGATTCACTTTACTTGTGAAAAACTTGCTTAGGATTGTTTATTCCATTTAATACTTTTATGTTTGTTGATTGTAATTAATATCTATATTCTGTACAGGAATTAGTTTGTTTATTACTGCCTTATAGAGAGAAATTTGGGCCATACTGCTTTCGAAATAGCCAGGTGTTACCTTTTTAGTTTAACAACAGATTACACATTTGACTGCTTTTTATACAGACATACATCTCACAGGTTATTTTGAGGAGGTGGTTATTTCCACCTGCTGGAAACATTAACCGTTAACTCACCACAATGGGGCAGAATGTTGCTAGTTGGTCATAAAGATATCTTGCCTCATCAATGCTACAAGCCTGGAATGTCACCTGTGGAAGCATCATGAATGAGGCTGAAGTACATTTATAAATCACTTATTAGGATTGTGACCATGCTCACTATAATCAAGATCATGTCAGAGGACAAAACCGCTCAGTCAGTTCCGGCTCTACCTGCAGACAGCAGTTGCCCATGCCAAAACCCATGGCGTCCATGTAGATGTGGTCGGGCAGAGCCGCCCGCGCGCCCTCACCATCATCCTCCGGAAACTCTTCCACAAAGGGAGACGGAGTGTGCTTATCTTTGAAGACTGAAACAGAGAAAAACATGGTTTTTACATTAAGGGCAAATGGCACCCATCCAACACCCAGGGAGCATCACACTGTGTTGTTCAAATGTCCAACTTACTGGGCACGTTTATAACAACCTTTTCCCCCCTTCTGTGACGTATGTTTCTGGTAAGCGTGCTGAAAAAAATGAAAGGACCGTAAATATTCCGCCACACACGATCTGTCACGTTACAGAGAAACAAAAGAACCTTAAAGCAAGTGTGAAGCTATTCGTTCGACATCACTTATCTGAATTAATGCAGCCTACCTGAATCTCGGGTGCCTGTTGATGGCTTCATCTGGGAAAAACAGGGATTTTGACACTCCCTTCTCAACAGGAGTCGGCCGGTATTCCGGCTGGGTGAAACCTGGACAACCTAACCTAAACAAGGATTCAAAATATTAAAATCTCACCCGGGCCTTCAGCTACGAGTTTATTATCATTTACTACTATCTTAACCAATTATCGCTTAATGTTTTGTCGGAGGACAAGAAAAACATTACATTCTTGCGCAGAAAGTGAAGGGATCATATTTGTAAAGATCTCCATCAAAAATCAGTAAAGAGGACTGAGACGATTGATCAGTGTGAACCCGTGGAGCACCTTGGAAAAGAGGTGATGGTACAGAGTGTCTCCTTATGGCTGAGCACAGACGAGGCCTCGTGGCGTCTCTTCCCCATGTTGCCCTCCACGGTGTTGAACTCCGACATGGTCCCGCCGTACGGCTGCCCGGGAGTCCCCTCAATCATGTAGCTGCCATACTCTGGTCTCCAAAGAGTTGGGTGACTGCAGAAATACATCAAAGAATTATGTGAAGACACTTGACTCCCCCCCCCCCCCCTCCCAGGCGGGATAAGGCCCCGGTCTCAGTATCATGATGACTTTGCTGATTCAATAAGTGACTGCTCTCCCTTTCTGATATGACAGCCGTAATCCCAAGAGGGCAAATGAACGAGATGCGTTTGTGCTTCAGAGCGTGATCTGTGGTGTGTGCGACAGAGGGGCAGTAATGAGGAATGCACCAGCTCTACTATTGTCACTGGCTTTTTCCCCGGGTGAAGTTGGCCACATGGATTTAGACGGACATCAGCAGCAGAGGGCAAGCATAACAGAGCCTAAAAAAAACAGGTTCACAGCCCCTGTAGAGTACTTCTTTTAGTTAAAAATGTACTTCATTTGCATAGCCTTTAGACTCCTGGGGAGTTGCAACAATTACTGTAATAAAAAGTTCCCATTTTAACAAAAGGGGATAAGCCAATTCTGATATGACAGATCGATCAAGTCCAAGTGAGGCCATGACGGACAAGAAAGGATGCATGACATTTTGTAGTCTGTTTGTTGTGGTGCTGTATTCTCTGTATGCTCTGAGGGAAAATGAACATTTAAAGCTTGTTTTTGCTTTAAAACCATGTTTGTTGCTCTGTATGCGAGCTCCTCTGTCATTACTGTGATGTGGCTGGTTGGTTCTTTTACGACAGGTATAATAATGCTTGAGAATGTTTGCATGGAGCTGTATGTAAACAAGCTAATTATGCAACTTTGTGAAACAACTACAAAGCATCCCCTATCTGTGATGCATGTTTGTCAGGGAAGGAAACCTTTTAATTTACCTGACAGTTCCTCAACATGCTGAGTCAGATCTGATAATATTGACACTTGTCCGTGGCAGAAAGCGCATTCACAAAAAACAAAAGGTAGTTGAATGGTCAGATTTCAAGTGCCAAATGGTCCAAAAGCAAAAGCATCCTTCAGACTGTAACACTAAGTAAGTAAATTAATGCTCCAAACTATGCAAAATCCTAGGTTTACCTTCCAGTAATAGACACAGACATGTTCCCAACTCTGAGTGTCTAAGCATAAGGAAACAGAGCTGCAACCATGACCATTTAAACACAGCTCCAGCTTAACAGCAACTTTCATCATTGTTGTAATGCCATGTAGTAAAACAAGATTTTCTACTGAACTTATCCATGGCTGACAAGCGTTATACAGCCATTCATGTTGTTAGGGTAACCTGAATTTTAACCCTTCAACATTTCAGATCTAATCTGATAGACTATCCAAGTTTTCCATCTTTGAAAATAAAAGATGCAGGGACATAAGGCAGTGGGTTTAACATCATTTAGCATTCTGTATTATTAACGTGTTAGAATATGAAACTAAGGCTTAAAACATAAACATATATGAAAGCCCCACCGTTTCCTAGGAGTGTGATAACCTACTTGGGGTTAGTTTTTTCCCCCTGTTCTTGAAGAGTTTCCAAAACCTCTCCGCCGTTCAGGACAAGTCGAACCTTTTCATCCTTGTCGTCCAGTTCCACCAACATATACTCTACCTAAAAAGACAAATAAGAAAATAACATAAGCGCACATGCGAATAGGATATGCTCCTTACTTTTTTACCTAGACTGTTGATTGGTGGTGACCTGCAGCACAAAGGCTAGATAAAAAAAACAAAAAAAACAGGCCGGGACGCCACCACATCAGTTCCAATTCATCACTTATGTTTCCTTGACTCTGCCTCTGCTGCTGCTGCAAATCCCCTGTCTGAAAGAGGGATTAATCTGCGACAACAGCATTCCGCATCGTTTGAAATCCAAACTTTCTGCTCAAGCTGTACCACACTGAAGTTTGGAGGCCCGGTTTTACATCATACTACAAATCCCACAGGCTATACTGTGCTGCACCAGACACTGTGCTCCTTACTCAAAATATAGTATTGTGGGCACTGTTTTACCTAGAATAAGAATTACGCTTCTACCTAGAATAAGTAGAAGCAGTGTCCAGGAATACACACTGGGTCAGGGGGCAACCACAACTTTGTTGTTACAAAGGAGTGGCACATGTATTGAAAAATATTTGGATCTTGTGAAACAACATATTTGACTTTTAGCTAGGCACTCAGCTGATGTCAGCTGTAAGTTGATGATAACTGTAACATTGTGTCTACTTTGTAAATTGCTTTGGTCTGAAAAATACATAAACATAAAGAGTCAGCTCATGTACATTCTTCTGAATTGGTTCTTGTGTATATTACAATAAATATATCTGATGCATATTCATTACCGTTTCTGTACACAGTGTACTTCAGATGTCATTTTAAAATGACACAAGCTGCATCAGTAAGACAGCCTTACTACACCATCCACAACCATCAGACAGCGCTGACAGTATGCTTACTCGATCAATGTAAGACAAAGTTTCTTACCTCGTCGCCCCATTTCAACACATCTTTCTGGCGCTCCTTGACCTTGTTGTAGATGTTGAGGAACTGAATGATGCCGTGCTTTCTGATGTGGTCGGCATACTTCCTTGTTTCTTCCCAGTTCAGCGGAGACCCTTGTGAGAGTAAACCCATCTCACAGAGAGGAGGATGGAGGTGTCAACTTACGGCCGGTGACTGCCTCTAACCCGTCAACTGCACTACGAGCGTTAGCTGCTTAGCTAACTCGTGGGAAACTCGCATGAAGTCTCGCCGCAGACGAGTGCCAGAGCCTGGGTCCTTCGGCTGCTGTAGGAGAGGTGGCGGGCAGAATACAGTCGCGTCGTGCTGTTTAAACAGTGTGCCCGGTCGGTAACCTTAGCTGAGCATCCAGAAGAGCCAGGCCCCTGTTCATCACTTGCTAATGTCTTGTTAGCAGTAAAGCTCAGCCTTGAGTCGACAACAAACCCGATAAGTTTACTGAAGCCTCCGCTCGGTAAACAAAAACAGACTGCGTAATTTAATGTCCAGCTCCGCGATGGAATGACAGCTAAGTGAACCGTAACAAGTTTAACTTCCCGAGACAGGCTGCTGACTTCCAGAGTTGTGCTGTGTTGTACTTATGAACGCCCTCCTGGTTTTACACACGTGACGCTTCCAGGCGGAGCGGAGTGACATCACTATGACTCAGCGATATTTGCAACGAGGTTCCTCCCATCCAATCAGAGCAGGCCGCAGTGAGACGTTCAGGAGCCCCGGAAGAGCAAAAGACGGGCGTAAGGTACAAACCCCACACCGAAGGTGTTGTTCCCCCAGGGATATGAACCAGGACTGTGCTAAACTCAAGACCACTGTGCCGACTAGATTAGGGGAAATTTAAAACCATTCTGGAAAAAAACAATAAAAATTCAAATCGGGATGTTTTCTTTCATAATATTGTGTTTATAATTTTTTGTCTTCACTTTTCAGTTGAACTTTTACCACTACCACTACTACTACTACTACCACTACTACTATCGCTTTTTCATTTCAAAACCAACATTCCTCAGTATGCATTTCAAAAATAAAAAATGTTTTGCTAAAATTTTTTGTAAACATGTTCTGTGGTTTTACTAAATGAAGTTAGCAATACACAGGATGCCTTGAAATGAATAGGTAATGACAGGAATTTAAAAAATATGCACTTGCATACAGCATCGTCCTAAGAAAAGTGATTGTAATAATGACACAGCACAGGGTGTAACTTGTTGGATGGGGGTATGTCAATGTAATCAGGGAAGAGGTCAATGGACTAAACTCAGACCTGCCGCCGAATACTGCACAACATCGTGACTTGAAAAGGTTTACCGTCCCTATATGTCCACGTAAACACACAAATATTATACACAAATGTATTTATACATATATAATTCTGAATATCTGACAAGAATAACACAAAGAATAACAAAAGCACAGGCTCACATTTGCTAAGTCTGGTTTGATAAGTACATATGTTTGATGTCCAAAGCTTAGTTGTTTTAGCAGGTTATTTTTTATTTTTTTATTTTTTTTTGCTTTATCCTTAGTGGGCCTGCGGCTGTTAAATAACATAGCTTATTTCAAGGGACCCAGGCCAAGACTAGAGTTAGCAGTTTTATATGTTCAATTTGAGCTCAGTACTATCAATAACACAAGGCATATTGTAAAAAAGAGATTTATATTGTATATGGGCTACAAAGAATATGCAAAAAACCTCTGTGTTTGTTGGGGAAGTTTGCAAAATGCTGTAAAAGATATTTAAGAAAACCGTATTTCTGAGGTAGTGGCTTTCAAGCAGGGGGCAAAATAACAAAGCCTATGACAAAACTTCAACTTTTGTTTAAAATGTTTAATGAAATAAGCTATCTTAAAAGATAAACTGTGCTTGGACATGAATAAATGACAGAGCTCGGAGTAGCTTACACCTTATATCTTTAATTTAAAAACAAACATAAACTGGAAAGACATGAGTGATCAGGGACTCCATGACCTGTGGAAAATGCTCAGGCTGTGAATGTTGCTCTCGTGTAGCGTTTTTATCTTTTACAAAATGATATATTTTTTACTAATTTAAACCATTCTATGATCATTATTCCCTCTCTTTCCCAACCAAATCTGTTTAAATTGTACGCAGAGTTTTCCTGCCATCACACAACATACAACATAAGACCACTAAATGTTGAACATGATTTACAGGCATAGAAACTACAGTCCTACTGTGTGATGTGTAGAACTACTCCTCTGAACACTCCTACTCCTGGTAGGTTCCATCAACGCTTGTTCCAACTCCAGCCTCTTATTATGTTCAAGTATATGAGTCACAGTATCTAAAGTCACCTCAGACATGACTATCAAAAGGTTCAGAACTTAATTCCCTTTTGGAGATGTTTCTTTTTTCACAATGATGATTTTATTTATTATTTGAGTTTAAACAGCATTACATTTGATGTAGCAAAAAAGCTCCTGAAAACAATCCAGCTGAATTGGCCCCAGAAATACAATTTTCAAATGTTTCTGATCATGTTTGTTTTTGATGTCTGTTGTTTCATTCCCTCTTACAAACCTCATCAGGCATTATGCTCCAACAAAAAAAATCAGGATATTTTTTGATTCTGAAATCTTTTCATTCTAATTTTGCAATCCTTACATGTTCCTTTTTTCATTTACAGAAAGTTGCCATCGATTTTGTAGGAGGTTATACAACAGAAAAAAACTGGAGACTTAATGACATTTAAAGTACACCACTGGTATAATCTAGATCCTTATATACTGACTGGTGCGGATGAAACTGAACTGGCTCTGGACTCTCTTGTTTTCCGTGTGGGTATGGTGACGACGCAGCAGGAAATGCCAACTGTAGCTTCTGGCAGCTCATCATCCTCAGTCCATTCATTGAGGTCAGGGTTGTAAACCTGAATACATTTCTTGTACTTCTTCTCACCCTCGTTCCAGCCCCCCAGCAGATAGATCTTGTTGTTCAAAATGGAAATACCGGCTGTGCTCACGCCTGTGTGAAGAGGTGCGCAGTAGCTCCACTGCCCATTGTGAGGGTTATAAGATTCTACAACAAGGACGTCTACTCTCTCCCCTCTACCACCTAGCTGACTACCACCAATGACGAAGGCCCGGTCTCCAATGGTGGCAGCGCAATGCCAGCCTCTTGGTGTGCTTAGACTGCTCTTATCCTGCCAGGTGTCAGTAGATGGGTCATAGGAGCACACCGCCCTGGAGTAAGCATTGTTGATGTAACCTCCTGTAACGAGAATCTTTCCATCGATAACTGAGCTGCCATGGCAGCAGCGAGGCACCTCCATTGGGGCCTTCATCTGCCACTGGTTGGAGGAGGGCACATAGCACTCCATGGAGGCTTGAACACCATCAGCATTTCGCCCTCCAATGGCAAACAAGAGGCCATTGAAAGTGTTGAGGCTAAAGTGGGTACGTCTTTGGATCATGTTGTTCAAGTGAATCCAGGTGTTGAAGCGGGGATCATACCTGCAGAGTGCAAGAAGGATATCTGGTTACCTTCTAGTTCTCCACCCACCACTATCACAGATGCCAAATTTAAATAAAGCAGTTGGTACCTGCAGAAGTTGCCAACAGCATGCTTCGCCTGGTTTCGCGCATCATTCTGGTCCTCTCCACCCGCCACATAAAGGAAACCATCAAGGACTGCCACACACTGATTAAAGCTCTTTGCTGGCATTTCTGTCAACTTATTCCACACATCATCTGTATCTCTGTAGAGAACATCTTTGCTGAGAGATTTCTCTGTCAAGGCGGGACGTCCACCAACTGTGAGGATCACCTTAAGGCCACCTCGAACCTTTGTTCTACGTGACTGCAGGATGTTCTGTTGGTATGGCAGCAGATGATAATTCATGGCATCGACAAGAAGACGGTGGCACTCAGAGTCTTGCATCATTCTTGGCACACTCTGGACATGATTCACCAGGTCTTGGGCAGAGATAGTTCCGAAGCGGATGTGGGTTAGAAGATCTGCCGCATACTTCAACCTTTTCTCGTCAAAGTCCAACCACTTCATTGCAATCTGGAAAGCTGTGATCTCTGAGGGGAGCTGCAAGGAATCATCTGAAAGGAATTCACTTATCTGCTCATATGTGAGCTTCAGGAACTGCTCCATCTCAGAAAACTCAATGAAGTTCTCCCGCATGAACTTCTGTGCTGCTTCCTTGGTTTCCTTAAGGTCGTAGGCTTCGGCAATATTGGCTACGTACATGCAATTCTCCACACTGAGCTCCTGCATGAGGAAATCACTGCACATCTTCACTAAGGTGTTGATTTGTAGCAACATGGCTGCAGCAATTGTGCTCCCAATGTTGTAAAGCGACAGCGTGAGCTTTCCTGAGTAGGCGTACGTGATTGCAGTGGCCAGACCGACTGGTGAGAGGTCGTTCAGGTCGATCTTCTGGAGGGTTGAGTCCTTCTTCAAGATGTTTCTAATGTACTCACTGCAGGAGGCCATGACAACCTTGTGGACATCAAATGACTTTGAATTGGTGGAAACTGTTAGATCACAGAGGAAGCTATCCTGTCTCATCGTGCTCAAACCTTCCAGAAGGTTTGGAGCATACAAAGAATCATTGACTTCAGTTGAGATGCAGCTGAAGCCATTTCCTCCCTCTATGAGAGTGTTTAATCCATTGATCTTGTTTACGGGACTGCTCTCCACCATTATATCATTGATGTCCCCCTTATTCTTCTTGGTTGCTTTGTTCTTTTTGGGTGCCATGGCTGTAGCAGTGGAACACAGCCCAGACCTTCTGAAAATGTACATATACATGTGTTTTAGAGTTAGTGATGAAGGCTGACTCAACCGGATGAACATAAGAAACAACACATCACACCAGCCACCCACATAAATTACAAATGAAGTGTGAAATGCAGCCAGTTTCCCCAAATAATTTTCTTTCCCATTTTTTTATTAAGTTTTATTGGAGCTTTACATTAAACTTAGTTGATACAAGGATTTGGAAATAATCTGAATTTATTTAGACAAATGGTCACTGAAATTTTTTAAAACATGTGCAACCAGGTGATGCCAAAGTGTGAGTACATCAACATGCCCCTCTTTGCATCTGTCACAATTTATCAGCAGCATGTCCAGGAATAGCAACACTGGACAGCTCTCCCATGACGTTCCTTTTATAGACTTTGAGACATGAGCAGCAGGCCTCATGTCACTGTGACTTCAAATAAAAAAAGTTGTGGCTTTTATGAAATTCATTCTTCTGTTTTGTCTTAACTATATATTTGTATTCAAAATTGTACAGGATAAAAGTGCTCATCAAAAAAATAAAACACACCTAAAATTCCTTATGAAATTAACTACAAGCTGCAAAGACTTGAGGCTTATGGTTTCAGAGGTATGTGTACAAACTCAGCTTAGGAACTGCTCTATACAATATATTAACAGCTCGTGATAGAGGGGTACGTTTCATCTAGTATAAAATACAAACTGACCCAAGCTGCATTCTTAATGCTGAAATCAATTAAACCCATTGAAAATTACCACTTACCTAAGAAATGAAGTTGAGGCTGGTGAAGAAGGAACTTGTGCCTCCAGTTACTGGAGCAGGAGAGAGAGACCAGCCGTCACCCCTGCAGAAGGAGACATACAGTTAACTCCTCCTCCAGATGAGAAAGTGCCAATCAACTATTGTGCAATGTATGTGGCAGCAGGCAGGGAGCAGACGCACAATGTTCCACAATAGCCTCCAAAGTTAACATATATTTCAGAGGACCAGGAGCACATCCTCTATAGCAAGTCATCAAATCATTTTGGCTTTCGAATATTCCCACAGCATTTGTGAAGCTTACATTTTGTACTTTTACAACTATTTGAAAATCTTGAAAGAATATATGCCACTCTGGAACTGGCACTTGCTGTTTCTCTATGCAATATAATGCATATTATAATGTATATAATTATTCTACTATAATAATATAATATTTGGGCCCTAGTCTTTGCTCTGCTAGTCTTTGTATGCATTGTATCTTTTTTCACTGTTTTTGTAAACAGCCATTAATGTAAAAAGTGGCTAATTCATCTGTGTATCAAATCTATCATCTACAGCTATCATAGATAACTGCATTCATATCTTCTTTTCATTGCTTCTTTACAAGGGGGATTTCGGCTCTTGAGGTAAACAGAACCAGAGTATATGGTATAATTAAGAATTGTTGTCTGTCGTGAAGTGGAATTTAGAGATAGTCATGCTGCCATTTTTTTTTAAATTTGTGCTAAAGTTATCTTGTTTTTCAGTATTATCTGTCAGTGTGCATCTCCCTTATTTCATTTTGTTAATAATTTATCAATTTTGTACTTGCTGACTCTCTTAGTTGTTAGTGGTATTTATTTGTAACACTTCTGGAGATCTTTTATTGTGAAGAAATGTATCTTTGTTACCAGATAATCTGTTGTCAAACTTACTTTGCATCAAAAATGTCCAGAAACACTTGAAACAGAGATTAGTTCTTATGGGCCTGTGCACATGTTTTAAACCTTGGCTTAGATTACCTTTTAAATACATTACTTCTTCAAAAACATATTGGAGACTATTTTTTAACATGCAATATTTAAAAAACAGATATGACACGATGTGATGTTATTATTATTATTATTGAAGTTGGACATTTTTGACCAGACTCGGTCCCGCCCATTATAATAGTGCCATCAGCGGTCGCGCGCGGCCCGGTGTGCGCAGGCGGTTCCACGTGAGTCTCCGTGATGGCCAGCAGCTCTGATGTGGTGAAGAAAATCACACGCTTCAAACTTCAGCTGTCAGACTCCACAGAGCCCGCAATGGTAGATAAGAGCTTATGTTGAGCTCAACAGAAAGTTTTTGCAATTTTCCTCTCGATTTATGAATAGTTTTATTTATGGCTTTGTCTCCTCGGGCTGACACACTGTGAACCTAATACCACCTGTTGCAACATTTGACGCCACATAGCTAAATTGGAATGGCTGCAAAAATAATTCAGAATGCAGATCGCATCTTTTTTTCATATGCGAATTGAGGGCCGTTCCTCTCATTGATTACGCTCCGGTTTTAAAACTACTCTCCGCGAGGGTCAGGTTGTTTAAATGGGAGGCGTTCTGCTTCCATAGTTGGCAAGTCCCCCTGTTGCCCAACTTGTGGCAGCTGTCCATCATCGGTGAAGGCGCAGGCGCTTTGCAGGCAATTCTATGTCAGTTTGTTTGTCCATATTATTAGTACCTATATCTCTGAATCGATTTCAAATGAAGAATTTGTAAATGCCAAAACCATTAGTGCCTCATACGGTGTCAAAGATGCATTTTAGTCATGACAACAGCCTGCAGTAGAATATATTTTTAGTTCGCAGTAAAAGGAGCAGTGTCTGTGGGTGTGTGAGGATCCCATACATAGCTTCTGCTCTAAATGTGCAATCAGCAACTGTGGTGATCCAAAACTAGGACTGCCATGTATGGTGTGTCAAGTGTTGTGAGGTGGAGCTCACTTATCTGTTGGGTTTGTCCCAAAAAAATGCATCAAAAATCAAAATTAAGCACAATGACAGTGGGGGCTGGGTTACAGTGGTCAGCATTACTAATGTTTCTTATCATCTTTCCAGGTTCTAAAAATATTGCAGAAACTGAAAGGTCTGGATATCACATTCGAAATTCTCGCTGTAAGTGTCTTTATTACAAAAGGACATTTCATTTTTACATGATTAAGTTGTTTCCCTGAATGCATTAACTAAATGTACTTCAGGAAACTGGGATTGGCAAAACGGTTAATTCCTTGCGGAGACACAAACAGGCTGGAGAACTTGCCAAATCGCTGGTCAAAGACTGGAAAAGAATGGTTCCAAAGGAATCCACAAGGTGAAGTGTGCTTAACTGTTAGAAAATTCCTTTTTAATTATTTCGATGTTTTATGTCAACATTGCTGCTTGGGGCCATGTGGAAGGAGGACCTTTGTCAGAGAGTGTTTTTGTAAAAAATTTAAATTATCAGAGCTGTTCAGTCGGAAGTTTCCCAAATCTGGATGTAAACAATATCTGCTTAACTTCTCATAGCAAGATTCAAGAATCGTCTGTTGAGGCCCCCCTAAAAGCACGGAAAGCTGATTCACAGGAAGAATGCTGTGAAGAGCGGGAAAGAAAAATTGAGATCAAGAAATACGAAAATAGTCACCAAGAAAACCATAAGATATCACAGAAGAACATTTTGAGAAACAAATCTAAAATCAAGGAAGACAAAATGGACAACCCTGTTGTAACCAGGAAGAAGATAAACAATAATAATTTATTTGGAAACAAAAACCTTGAAGGCACCCATAAAAAATTAGTAGCGGACTCCAGTGAGAAGTTGAAAGATGAGAGGGGAAGATTTGGGTCAGAAAGAAAGTCAAACGCAAAATCAAAGCCATCAAAAGAATCATCAGGGGAAGACGAACATTCTTTTTCATCCAAACCCTCAAAAAGTTTAAAGGGGGCCGATGAGGACTGGCCTTCTGAAATATCAAGGAGCCTGGAGTCCAAAAGCAGAAAAAGAAAAGAAAAAGATAAGCGTGGTGATACTGAAAAGTATAAACAAAACTCCAAAAATAACCAACATTCAAAACACAAAAAGGCCAAAATAAAGCACAAAGATGTGGGGAACAAAAGCGATCTGGAAGAGCCTTCGATGTCTTTTGAATCTTACTTGAACTATGACTTGAATGGTGCGAAGAAAAAAGAACAAGCTGGAGGGAAGAAAACCTCCACAAAAACCAAGACTGCAGCAAAAGAACCACCAAAAAAGGACGCATCCATTAAACCTGCGATGTCACTGGCAGCCTCTCCTGAGCAGGTAACATTAACAGTGATGTTTAAGTATATGCCGTTAAGAGACTGAGTCACAATTGGTTATTATTTGTCAATTATTCCTGTTCCTGTAGAATCATCTGGAGTCTTTCATGCACCTGATAGACGTTCCTTTACCTGCCACTCTGCCGGAATTGGAAAAGCCATCCAGTGTTGATTACTACTTTGAAAGAAAAGGTACATCAACAAATACAGCTGTAGTCTCTTAAGCTGGTTTGCCCCTGACATGTTTTCCTTGGTGTTAAAGCTGAGAAGGAGCCGGATATCTGTGATGCCTCAGAAGAGTCTGCTGTTTTCACTGGTCAGAGGCTGAATAAGAAAATGCAAGTGTACTCCGGTACCAAAACCCTTTTCTTACCAGCAATGATGAGTTTATATCAACAGTGTATTCGCGCACTCCAGAACAATATTAACTGTGAGTAAAGTCTGCCGGAAAATTCTACACCTCTGCTAGTTTGATGGATTTTAAATGTAGCTCTAAGGGTCTCATTTTAGTGCTTTATGAAACTGGTGGAGTACCGTTTGAACTTCTTGAACCGGTGTTGGAGAGGTGCACGCCGGAGCAGCTGCTACGCATTGAGGAATGCAACCCAGTAAGAATATGATATTTTGAGAATCTATGCACAGATTCACACTTTGTGGCTTCTTCAGTAGCACTGGTGTAAGTTTTTAGCGGCTTTTCTCGGATGAACACGCATTTTTCTAACTTTCCTGGATATATTGGACTTCTTGATATTAGTCAGTACACAAAATGCAGACACCCCCCCCCCCGTCCTTTTTAGTCTTGCACTTTTGTAGAGTTAGTCCGTCATAGCCTTGTTCAGTAGCTGGAGTTTAGTTCTTCGGGTGAGTATTCCTGTATCTTGAATTGCAAGAACATTTCTGTTAATCAATCAATCCATTTTATTTCTTGACTTCGACAATTGCGTCATACTGTTGTATTGCATGTAACACAAGAGTTGTTTGGCATCTGCATGCGATTGTTCAACCTGCTTTTTTACCGCCTGCATACAACTGTCTTATCAGTGTAACTGGCTGATTGCATTGATAACTTATTATTATCATTGACAACCCACATACTTCTTGAAAAAAAACAACCTCCTGATCCCCCAGCTTACAGGCTCAAATGTACTGGATCTGGAAGAGCTGGTTCTCAACAAGCAATGACTGGTTCTTGTTGACAATTTTAACTGTTCAAATATTTTTACAGATTTACATCGGAGAGACTGATCACTTATGGGGAAAACACTGCCAGAGGGAATTCAAAGACTATAAACTTCAAGAATATGAGTCATGGAAAGAGATGTACATCAGGCTTTCCGAGGAGAGAGAAAAGAAACTCCAAAGACTCACAAAAACAATTGTCTCGGCACATTCTAAGAAACCAAAGGGTGTGTACTGTTCAGTAAAACAAACCATGAAGTACCAGTTTGCTATGTTAGACATATGACAGACCGATTCAACTTTCATATTCATACAAGTGTTTTTAAAAACCTGTACACACACCCTTGATTCAAGCAATCATTTATGTCAGTAGTTGTGAGCCTATGTATAAACAGAACCATTAACATGACCAAAGGTATGCCGAAGAAAAAAAATGTTCTAAAGATTTAAATATCCTAAAGAGTAAATCATATTGTTGTACATTTCACATTAAAAACAGAAAATATAACATTATAGTCACAATCAAGCTTTTCATTTTAGAGGTATTGGTGTTCAATAATCTCTGTGATGTTCTACACTATGGATCTTTTTTAAATTTGATATCCCCAGGACGGCAGGTGAAGATGGCATTTATTCACACCGTTGCCAAGCCACCGAGAGATGTGCGAATTCAGCAGGAAATTCATGGAACTGCTGTTCAGCAGCCTCATCAGCCCAAGTGCAGGTGGGCGTCAGTCTCCTAAATACAGAGTAATCACAAAATGAGTCCTTTTGTTAGCCCACAGTTACTTCATTTCATTTGCTTCATAAGTTGTCCATTTTATTTGTGTTGAGTTTGAAATGACTGTTGAGATGATCCTCCATCATTTCGGGGCATTGAGGTGCATTATTCTTTTGAGAAAATCTTTAGTAAATGAGGTTCTTCCATATAAACGTCCTTAACCACACAATGATCACAAAACAACTGCAGCTCAGCAGTGTCATAACCTCTCAGACACTCACGTGATAACAGTGGGTAAAATGTTTTTTTTGGTAGGCTTGGACAAACACAGGAATCTGAGCAATGTGCTGGATAAACTGGTTTAGTCCTGGTTACAGAACGCCTGGGTTTCTTTTGTGGTCAACTTTTACAACTGCTGCTTTATCCCAATGCTGTTGGGCTCGCACACTCATTTTTCTATAACTGAACTGTGAACTGCTCTGTTTGAATTGTTTTAAATAGACCTGCTGATCAAATGTGATGCTGACCATTTTTACGTGTTTCCAGTGGAAAACCACAAGACAGCCAGGTGAAGTCCAGTTTTAATGAGGCCGTAAAGTCCAGCAGCATCGGTTCCGGAGGAAGCAATTCACAAGACCCTCGCAAAAAAACAAGTCAGCTGAGTGGTGGTCAAGATTGTCATTTATTTTGCGTTTCACCCAAAAATGGTCTGTTCAGAAATGTAGTCAGTTATTGGTACTGAAGTCACTTTGGTTTAGCAATCCAAATGCTTTCCATCAAATATTCTGAGTTCCTGCTCATGGATGTTTTAACAGTTTTTTCTTGTTTTCACAGGAGTTGCTCCAATGATGGCAAAGTCTTTGAAGGCATTTAAGAAGCAGCTGGGACGCAGATAAATGCTATTTGATGTTGTGTTTACAGTGTGTCGATGTGGAAAATACATACTTCATTAACTTTGACAGCATCAGGCCTATTTTTTCTTCTTAGTCTCTGTTTGGTTAAATGTAGTGACATTAGGTGAGTGTTTTTTTTCTGTTATTTTTCTTCACTATTAAATGGACAATCAAGTCAGCAGATTCACTTTGTGTCATGTTTTGTCTTCCAGCCTGTTTAAGCAGAACACATCAATCAGTAGGTTATTTAATGGGATGCGGCTCCCTCTAGAGGATGTAAGTCTTTCTGCTAATCTTTCTTACAAAACACTTCACAGAGTAGTACATTTCACATAATTCCATCAAATGTTGTTGTTTTTATGGGAAATTTGCATGGAGATCCTGCCTGTTTCTGTTTTTTTGATATACTTAAAAAAATCTTTGAGGTATTAAAATAAAGCTGAGCAAAATCACCTATCTTGATACCATGTCTGTGGCAGGCGGCTAGAAACCAAATACACGGTCGACCTGTAGGACCTGTCTTTACTATTAAATAGGGGTCCAGTGGTCTGAAAGACTTCTTGAAATGTAATAATGGAAGTGGATTTAATCCACAAAGTTTTTAAGAAGTTCAGACATAGCTCAGTAGACAGAATGTAATGTTGGGTAGGGCTTTTAAATGGAGCACCTGTTGTTTTGGCACCTAAATGAGCAGTTCCTATGAGGAAATCTACTTACATTCCACAGGTGAAGCCACTCCACACAAAGAAATGGGGTAACATTCCTTCAAGCTGATGTAAAGGACTGATTTGACAGCTTTTGGAAACACTTAACTCCCTCACTGCTGCACAATGAGGTCACGACATACAAAAAGTTGAATGCTCTCTCATTTTTACCTTTCACATATTTGTCAGTTTGTAGAATTTTTCTGACTGTCGTAATTACCCAGAATTAAACTTTAGTTTTTCTTGTCTAGGTTTACGGCAAACAAATATTTTCTGCAAATGTAGACAAGTACACAAGGGTTTCCCAAAGTTCCAAAGAACCCCGTGATGTATTCATTCATTCTTTGATCCCAAACCTAATAAACAAAACACCAACTTCAACTTAAGTTAGCATTGCATTACAATGTTAGATGTAGATGATGACTGAACTCTTTTTGATGATTTGAAAAGCTGTGTTAACACCATTATGAATGTTCAAGGGAAGCTAATTATGGAAATCAAATTTATAGTAGATTTCTAATAAAGTAAGATGGTATTAGCCTTTTAACTGACATCCATCACATTGCAGAAGTCTACAACCAGACCCCCCCTCTCCTTTTCATCCATTTCCTTGAACAATGACTTGTATTTGCTTCTTTTCTCAACACAAGCCAAAAAAAATAATTCAAGAATAAAGAATGCACCAAACTCAAGTCATGCACCAGTCTTGCGTTTATAAATTCATAACTGAATTAACTCCAATGATCCTGGAATAAATCATATTTCTATTTACTCTATTCGAAGAAAGGAGGACTGACTTCAGAGTTTTTGCACCATGTTTTCATCTGATGGAAGAGTTTACGTAATCGGAGCTGTGATATTATAAGGGTGGAATAAGTATGAATAAAAAGGATTTATATGTGAATATTTGTACCATAAATAGCATAGATGAATCGCTTTAGATTTGCAGCTTACATAAGGGCAGAACTCCTTTAATCTCTGGCTAAGCACCCAAAAGACAGAGGGCAGTTTAGATATGTCCGAGTGGGCCTTTGGCTCCAGAGTTGTTCTGACGTCTGGCCCGGCCTGGGCCTCTCTCCCCCCCCCCCCCCCCCCTCCCCCTCCCCCCTAACCCCCTCCCTCCCCCCTCCCCCTCCCTGTGCCCCATCATGGCGGCGGTCCTGTTCGGGACGGGAGGGACCGGAGGGAGGAGCAGCATGGAACGATGACGTAGGATAGGAATGAGGGAGTGAATGTTCCGGGTCAGAAACTGGACGGGGAGAGGAAATTAACTCCGGGACGAGTCGAAGCGAAGCAAAAAAAACAAAAAACAAAACAAAACCCCAGAATGATACCCTCTGCTACACCGAGGTGTAGCCTGCGCTTCTCCGCGAAATAAAAACGGCGCTTTCTCATTCGGCGGAGGCGGAAAAACAGGTGGCTACCGCAAACTACAGAAGTGAGGCGGCGGAGGCGGCGGCGGAGAGTTGTTTCCCATGTTGGCGGCGGCGGCCTCCCGGACGTTAGCTCGGTAACGGCACCGCGACCTCTTCTCGGCGGGAGTTTCGGCGTCAACTTGCGGGGGGAGTTCGGCCTCGCGTGCGCTTCAGACGCGAATTGAGCTCCGGGACTGCAGCAATCTGTTGCATCCACCCCCCCCCCCCCCCCCCCCTTCTCCCTCGTTATTTTGTACATCGCAGGGCCACGAGATTTATTCCCACTTCCCCCACCCCTCCACCACCGCCACCACCACCGCCACCCCCTCCCGTGATGTTCCACTGCATACCCCTGTGGCGGTGCAACCGTCACGTTGAGGTGATCGATAAACGCCACTGCTCCCTGCTCTATGTTCCCGACGAGATCTACCGCTACGGACGGAGTTTGGAGGAGCTGCTGCTGGATGCCAACCAACTCCGAGATTTGCCCAAGGTAAGCGCCGGGCCAGCTTCCGCCCGCAGGCCCCCGGACGCCGGGCTCACCCGGGGTGGATTTGTGTGTCCCTCCCCGTGAGAGTCCGGTGGGAATTGGGGTACAGTGATTAGGCAAGATCATAATAATTAGGCAGCAAAACAAGGGTACGGGGAGAAAATTGTGTATTCAGCTCCTACAAGTGGCTCCAGCATTCTCACGGCGAAACCCCATGAGTGTGTGACATCTGTCAAACCTGTTTGGACAGATGCCAAGGCCCCATGACCTTTTTTATTTAGTTGTGCCTATACCAAAGGTTTAGGTTAGTCCGCTTTCAAGGGGAAGAGATAGGAGGTGCATTTCAATTGCAGGACAGATTTCTGTGGAATTCCACATGTCAGTGTTGTGGATGATGCACTTATGTCTGATTTAAGACGGGTTTCTGTCTGAGCTTCAGCGGGACCAGGTAAAAACACATCCCGTGAAGCAGGGTGGGTAAACATCTGAGACATCTAAAGCCAATGAAGGTGAAACATTCCGAATCCTGATTCTGTCAAATACACAAACGCCAAAGGTGGCTGTTAAACCTGTCCTCTCTGTGACTGGGAGATGTGTTCAAAAACTTTCTACATTTTGTGAGTGATGCCCACCTTGAATACCAGCCCGATTAGTCGGTGGTATGTTACAGACGAAATCTATCGAGAGCTGACGTCTTCAGATGAGTGAACTGGCAGTAAACAAATGACGGAGGATAGTTATTTCTACTCTGTATGGACACTTCACGGCGAAGCCACCAGAGCTGTCATGTATGCATCATTACTTCTTTAAAGTTTATATTCACGCACTAGCTATGGATGATGGATTTAAAGGCGAGGACAGCGGTGTTGCAGTTGGCACACTTTTATGGAAGGGCTGACTCAGACACAAGATTTAACAGAGCTAAACTTTTTTTTTTCTTTTACTACGACACGCAGGTCAAATTGCCCATGACGTTAGAACTTCTGGAGTACTCCTGTTTGACGGAAACCACACAGGAGAACCACAGACTACAAGTGACAGGCTTTTGGCTTTAGTGATAAGCAGGTCTGGGTTTCTGACATCTACCCCCTTTGTTCTGGCTCTGCCTCTTACTTCCTTCAGGGATGAAAGGTTCCTTTCGGAGTTCTGTCTGTCCGCGCTGTAAAGTGGAGATTGCAACACTGACTCCTTAGTTAATGTTTTTTTAGCTCACCCTCTTATAGTTTCTTCCAGCAAAACTGTCTCCGTTCCTTGTATTTTGAGTCTGATTTGGGGATTTTTGCATTAGACAGTCTCTTTTTAACCCCAAAAGCAAAGAGTACAGAACAGTAAATCTCACTATGTGCACAAAGTAGTTCACTTGAAAAACTCCTGACTTCACGGCCGGAGGCATTTTGTATCAGATCTTGGGTGGATTAAGGACTAATTTGTGTCTGCAATACTCGTTTCCTGTGTTTATATGTGTGTAAATCTTTAAAGAAGCATCAACCCAAGTCCACAGAATACAAACACAAATGCATGTGAACAGAAAATGTGAGCAACCTCCCATGGCTGGGCCACATCGCTCACTTTGTCTGCAGAAGAAAAGCACAGTAACAGGTATTCTGACTGAAAACAAAGGCCGCATTATGTGTTTTGTTGTTGCCTCGCTTGGGCAATTGTTAGTGCCCGGGTCTTCTAATGAAGTCATGGTGAATCAATGACCTGAATTGTAAAGGACAGACCAATAAAGCCATAAACGGATTCGGAGAAAAAGGCTTGATACTTGACGGACCAGAAACCGTCAGACGAAAGCCTCTTCCTGCTTCCTGTGTCTACAGGGATGTGATTAACAGGTGTTCCCTTGGGCCACAATCCTACATAGTCATTTCTACACGCGCTCGCCAAATATTCTAAACATCTTTAGGGGATGGGGGTGGATTTGTTTGCATGTCGGCGGAAGAAGAAACTGCTATTGTGCCCTCTGGAATGTAACTAATGTCATCAATGCTTGCTGAGCGAACCAAAGAAACGTCCAAGTGGATGAACCTCAGCGCTGGCGCCGCCGCCTCATCGCGTTTGCCTCGGAGGCGCTTTGCTGCGCGCACACCGGCCAGTGGCTTTATAGCTCTGTCAGCGACGAGGCCACGAAGTCTCGACACAGTAGCATACTTCAAGTCAATGATTCCCACCAAGCGGGCAGATAAAAACACGCTCAGAGCATGTAGAAGGCCAGTAAAGGAGTGTTTTACTGTAACAGGATGAGGCAAGTTCAACTTATGCAGTTTCAATGATTTTGCAAAGAAAAATCTGCCGCGCAGTTCACAGACAGAAATCAGAGGCTCGTATAAAGAACTCTCTCATGATAGCAGTTTGTTTTTCCTCTTTACTTTGGTTTCTTTCTCTTCTTCTCAGCATTTTGCTGTAGTAATTGTTTGTTCAGCCATTTGCTCGATCAAATAGAAAAACTCTACTAGCCCCTCAAATATGTTAGTGTTCTGAACCTTTGATGATGGTAGGTTAGGGTTAGCAAATGTGACAGGGCCGCCAGATAATGACGATGATGGGTGTGGAGACGATATCCGGTTTTAGACGGGAAGCTGCTGGGTGTATGACCTGTGTGAAGCGGTCAAAGTGACTGAATGACAGCACTGCATTCAACAGGAAGTAGTGTCCTAAAGGTAGCCCAGCCTTTTTTAAACTCTGTTTTAACTAGTCCATGCTTTGATTTTGATGCATGCACATCTGCCTGTAATCTGATTATAAACTGAACACAGCCTGCTGCCAAAAAAAGGCATGTTTAACCTTAAAGAGAATTAAAACGTCACCTCAATGCCACTAAACTAAAGAAAAGAGACCAAACTAATTGTAGATGAAAAGCCCCAACATACATCCATAGTGCTGGAGGTGAAATCCAGCCTCTGTTTCTTAAGAAGTTCTGTTTTGCTTTCTGTATTTCCTGGCATAGTCTGGCGGGGGGGGTCCGAATGCTTGATGTGGAATAAAACTAACAGGAAGAACAGGTTTACTGTCAGCACTCCAAAGTTTGCCACTGTTATGCATATACGTTCTGCCCTTTGTAACCCGTATGACTGTTTTCCTCACTCCTGTCAGACACTTGAACTTTTCCACGTGCAGAGAGTTTTAAAGGCCGTGACAGCAGTCCTCAAGCTGCCGCCAGCGGAGCATAAAGCTGCAGAACCATCCTCATCCGATCTGTCAGCTCCAAGCCCAGCGTCCCGGAACTAACCAGGGCTGTTAACTTGTGTTCGCAAAACTAGTTTAGCAGATAATTGCCGTGACCACAAATGTATTTTCATTAAACGTGAAAGTGAAATTAAGGCGGATTTAAAGAAAAGGCCCAGACAAACATCACAAACTGGTTTGTTTGCTTGATGAAAGGACAGATTAGAGACTGGTTTAAGACTTTGGAGCATATTCTAACAGGGTGGAGTTTGACTTTTGGACTGTTTATTGTGCACACCGTGGCCCACGTACAATGAAAAACACACTTCACAGGTGGCACCCATGCCTGGTTGACCCTCAAGATCCGAGTCCTCTCTCACATTCGATGCCGTTTATTTTACTGTATCCAGTTTGAAGGTGGTGGTATTAAATATTAAGGATCTCATATAATCATTAACATTCATTCATAAATTATTATTGAGCCTGGTAATGTGCTCCAAATGTGAGGCTAATTTTACAGTAATGAGCTTCTGGGGGGGTCTGTGCGCCCACAGAAGGGAACAACTCTCTGGTTTAACAAAAATAGAAAGGTTTAAACTGGATTTACAGTCCCAAACGGTGGTTCACGTTGACAGTAAGCGAAGTGATTCTTTCAGTGATCGAAGATGAGCCTGTGCCTTGAGCCTCTTTGTCTGTTTGGCACACCTTTTAACCAGCAAAGCTGAGAAAAATGCACAGCCCTGAGGGGAAATGCAGGAGTTATGCCGTTTCATGCCAAAACATTTAGGGAACCTGAAGCTGTGTTCTGAGCTACCCTCTGTACCGGCAGACAGGCAGAGCTCTGTCTGTTCTTGTCAGGGACGTTAACCTGTCAGTGTGCCCCCTGGATCTCTCTGTCTTGATCTGGCACTTTTTCCCATAGTCATAGCAGCTGGGTGTAGGCTGTCGGTGGGAAGAGCTAACTGAGATCACCTCAGTGGAAGTAGTCAAGTGTATCTGGAGTAGCCTCATTTTTAAAGGAGTAACGAAACGCAATAAACTTTCATTTCTTGGTACTTTTTTATAAAACACTTGGATATTGTACTCGTATTCTCACGCGTCCTCTTTGGTAGTTAAGGGAAGTTAAATTAGTTCGGAACTGCTACTTAAAATCAAGCCCAAATGTCTTTTTTTCTGTTAAATGCTTTGTTTTTAATGGTATAGCTCATGGTTTTTCTTCCTTGTTGAATCATTGTTTTATTGCTTTTGTGTTGCTCTCTCTTTGTCCTGTTTTACAGATTGTAAAGCTCTGTATTATTATCTTTTATCTCTGCTTCCTCAGCATCTTGGCTTCTGCGTTTGGTTGGATCCGGTACAATAAATAACAAACAATTAAATGGTAGGGGGAAAAAAAGCAGAAGGCACAGAGAATCTTTGCGGCTGCTTATGATCAGATGCTGTATTTGCATCATCGTTTTAAAATCCAGTTTAAATACACTAGTCTGTCAGCAGAAAGACGGTATGGATTCAGTCTTTTCTTTCACTGAGCTGTCATCAAATGTTGTCCAATCTGAATGAAAACCGAAGGGCTTATCTTTTCACCTGCACCCAAACTTGATGTTCTCCTCTGTAAATATGCACTGAGGTAAAACAATAACAAAGTGTACCTAATGCATGTCTTTTCTCTCTCCTTCCAGCCATTTTTCCAGCTGGTGAAACTTCGAAAACTCGGCCTCAGCGACAATGAGATACATAGACTTCCCCCAGAAATATGCAACTTTATGCAGTTGGTAGAACTGGATGTCTCTCGAAATGGTAAGGACCAAGAAAAAAAAAATCCCAGCACAAAATGAAGCTAGAATGGGTGTGTAAAGCATAGTGTAGTGAGCCACAGTGCTGCTTCAGCAAACTGATGCAACAAACAAGCATCAAAGCGAGGTATGGTTCACATTAGCCTCAGTCTCTGAGGCTGTGAGGAGTTTTGGCTGTGAAACCAGCTCCAGAGAGCCAGCTAAGAAAGTTCAACTTGAGCTCAAGCAGTCGTAGTAGTGCAGGATCCTTCTTTTTTTGGTCAAATAGTATTATAGTATTGCGTGAGACCAGGTAAACATAACTAATGGTAGATAACCTTCCTCATATGCGACATCTTACAGTGTGGAATCTAAACAAAAACATACTGGGATCAACTTTAAACTACTTACTGGTTATATTAAGTGGTTAGAATGTCAGATATTTCCTTCTCCCCTTTAATCTGATATTTAGTCAATTAATGTGAAGATGAATATTTTAAAGTTGGATGCTCTTTGTCTGTCCAGCCCTGACAATCCTTCCTCCTACCTGGCACGTGTATGTGCCTTTTTCAGTTTTACAGAAAAAACAGGAAAACAAAGAGGAAGTCAGAAGTGAGATGTAGCATTAGCTCTGTCTCCTGTTAAAATGTTAGAATCTTTATTTTTCAATACAAATGATTATTGAAATGGATCAAGTCTATTTAATTGTTAGTTTAATCAACAACGTCCTATTTGTAACATTTTTCTTTTCTTTTATTCAGACATTTTGGAAATTCCAGAAAGCATTTCTAACTGCAAAGCCCTCCAAGTGGCAGATTTCAGTGGAAATCCATTAACAAGGTAATTCATCTCATAACAGTTGTTTCATAACAGTTATTTTTGTTGTACAAAAACATTTTCTGAAATAACAAAATCTTACAAAATAAGGCCAAATCTCAAATAGGGACATCTCACTCGGCATATTGCAGATTATGCATCGTATGTTTTCATGTTGTTAGTGCGATCAAGTGTAATTTACACCTCAGCATGGGTGACACCACATGGCTTCAGTTTAGAAGGCAACTGTGAGTGGTGTCATAAGTTCACTGGTAGGCAGTACATCTACAAGCAGCACTCCTTTCTCCCAGTAGTGAACCCGTTCTCCTCCCTGTACGTTTGGGCTCACTGCAGGCTCACAGGGTTTGAGGTCATCTTGTTTTCAGTCTGAAGTGGATGGAAATATCAAAGGCCCAGTCTGTATTTCTTTGCCAACGAGGAAAAATGAGCTGCAAAATGACCCCCAAATTATTTTTTTTGTCTTGATTGCAGTCTCCACTTTAAATTTCAGTTGTTGAAGGTTTGCTTATGTTAGCCAAAGCCACAGAAGAGCAGTCAGGTTTTTGAGCTTTATACGTGCATAAATGTACATCAGATTTTGAAATTGTATAAATTTGTACTGTGAAATATGCCGTCTTTTGATTGCATTGGTTCAGAATCAAGGATATGGCCACTCCACAAGTGAAATAACAGGAGATCAGAGGATACAAAATTAGTGATTTAATTTCACTTGAACAGCAGGATGGCAGAAAATGCGTTCATCAGGCGAGTCTGCATTTTGAAGGAGGATTTGATTTGAAGTCATTTTTTGTAGAAAAGACAGTAAAGTGGTATAATAGTGATGTGAACACTTCTGCGTACACTGTCTGCCAGCATATGCTGCTGATACAAAAAAAGCTCATTGCTTGATGTAGATGACATACTGTACATTTGATGCACTATAGCCACTGGAAATAATTAGAGGCTGCTTCAGAGGGCTCAACAAAATGTCTCTAATCCCAGTCCAATGTAATTTTGTCTGTGTTTTATACACTGAGATAATTTTATTTGAAAGGTTCATGTCATCGGGTTGTACTGAAACGATTTTGTTGTACGGGGCCGCTCGTTCAGTGACAATAAAGCCATTCTTTCCTTCCTTCATTCACTCATATAGAGCATAAGTCTGTCTGTGGGTGGGTGCTTCTCTCTGTGCTGAATTACATCAATTGCTGAGACCTACTTTGACATCTTACATTGTTCTTTCTCACTTTCAAGGTTACCAGTAAGCTTTCCAGAGCTGCGGAATCTAACATGCCTTTCCATCAATGACATTTCACTGCAAAGTCTTCCAGAAAACATTGGAAAGTAAGTAACTGCTCCATGTATTCCTCAGCATGTCGGCCCTTTGCCCTCAAAGCAGCTCTCACATTTGTTTTGTTTTTTACTCAGCTGAGCAGGTAGGAGGTATTAGGCATTTAAAATGCTAATGATCATTGAAATCAGATCTTTGCTGTTTCCGTAATAGGCGGGGTTCTTGTGAGGAGTCACTTATAGTCATGTGACTCTCTGGCCAATCAGTGGCCTGCTTTCTTCTGTTCGCCTAACTCGGCTTGGAACCCCCACTGAGTAAGTGCTGAAACTCCAATGCAGGGAGGTTCCAGCCCTTAATGGAAATGTACAAAAACTAAGCTGGGCCGAGCTGAGTAGCTACTAGTGGTCTTAAAACAAAATATGTGTATGTAATAAAGAAAAAAACATGGAAAAACTACTTTCTTTCTACCCTAATCAGTCACTGTCCTTTTCTTGGCGGCGTTGTTCGTGAAAGGTTAAAAGCTTATTGTTTGATTATATATAATCCTGAGGAGTGGAACACTTTTCTGCCAACATTCTTATTCCCATGAGCTGTCTTTTATTGTTGACTTGTTTTCTAAGTAAATTTAATAACAGAACTATGTGCTTTTTGGCCACCATGCCAAAGGGGATGTTTTTAACTGGACTTTGGAATTTACTATCGTTGATTTCTGGAGCCCCATAAGGGGTTGGATTAGAAAGATGTGTCTAACTTTCAAGAGTTATTATTTGTGACCAAGTATTTCATTAATTTTTTTCTGAAGATGTGACTCAGGCATGGCTGGTTGATGAGGACATATCAAGGACTATGTCCCTGCATTCCCTGTTTTTTTTCTGGTTTATGTGTTGTTAAATGAAAAGTACATACATTCATGGTTCGTGGACGGTTATGGTATAAAAGTGAGCTAAAATTGTTGTATCTATGAATTGTTCTGCTCTGTAGTAAATGTTTCTTTTAGGGACTTGAAACAAGAATCAAGACCCAGCCCTAAAAGCCATCAAACCAAAATGAGGGAGGATTTTGCTCTTTGGTTGCTTCATAGTGGTTGTTTGATTGTAAAATCTTCATTTTATAGGGTCTTTAGTAAACACTGTAGGCTTTTACTTGTAGCTGACATGCTGTGTGCTGTAGCACCATGAACACAGAATAGGACGGTAATGGAGAAAAAGCAGTGAATGAAACCTAACCTCTTAACAGTCTTTTGATTATGCAGAGCCTTGCAGTTACCTCTCCTCCCTCCGTCGGCTCATGGTACAGCCTGTTCTCCGCATATGTCCTGTATTTATCTCTCATAACTCAGTGACTGAAGGCCTGCTCTCTGGGGAAAGTAATGAAAAGCATAACGCAGTTGGAGCAACATGCTGCGGGTTTGCAGAAGTAGATAAGTCAATGCACGCGGAGTTAAATGGATTTATTTTTATTTTTTCCTTTTCTGACTAAAACATGGTAGTCAGTAGTTGGGCGATCTGCTGCAAAGGAAAGAAAAACACACATCCAAAAGGCAAACTTCATTAAAAAGTAGCCGTTTTAGGACATGAAAAATCTGTGTCTCAGCCATGAAAGATTTCATAGTTGGACTTGCAAGTCTTTAGGGATATAATCATTGGATTCTTTCACTGTCTTTATTTAATCTGCTCGGGTAAATTATATTTGCTCACATCATGAATGGTACCAGCAGTGCTGCTTGGCAATCGTTTTATTTATTTATTTTTCTAATACATCCAGCCATGCGTCATGCACAAAGAGTTAAACTCATTGTTGCTCGCAGTGCGTTTGATTACTATGTAGATCAAGACCATAAAAAAGATGCCTGTCTATCTCTTAATACCACACAAAGTCTGGATTATTTTATCTGACCTCTTATCAACAGGATGGACTTTGCACTGTACTAGTGTGGTCATATAATCCCGTATTAATTAGATACAGCAGCAGCACTAAGACGTAGACAGGTATTGGTACAAGAAGATAACCCTGTACTTTGGTCTGTCATAGCTACTTGAACATTTTGCTCTTCATTTAAAATATGCAGAAGTTGTTTATGCTGCCCAGTTTTTCATCTTAGATAACACTGACACACCTCCAAAGTACTTCCTGCTCTCTGTTATCTGATTGCAAAGCCATAGGTCCATTTTTAGCTGTCTGTATGAGCTTCTTGTTAATGTCTTATTTCTTTTTTGTCTGTCACTGCAGCCTTACCAACTTGGTATCACTAGAGCTCAGAGAAAACCTGCTGAAGTTCTTACCAGAGTAAGTTTTCAACTTTTCATGAATGTCATGAACGTATAAAACCACTTTGTGAGAATGATTAAAAATGGAGGCCTAACTGTAACCCGCACACTCGTCCACAGGTCAATGTGTCAGCTTAGCAGCCTTGAAGAACTTGACCTGGGAAATAATGAGCTGTACAGTTTGGTGAGGGATGTCTTTATCTTTTCCTCCTTGCTCAGAGCAATTCCACATTTCCCAAAAATGAGCAGAATCAAAGTTTTCTCATTTCCGTGTTCTTGTCATGTCCAGGCAGATTAGCATCCCTCGAGAACAGATTTAGTGTGTTATCATGCAGATGGGAGGATGACCATCTGCTTCGAGCTTTGCTTTTAACTTGTAATCTTATGTGCTTTAACTCTGATAGTGAGTGATTTACAGATGGAGAGCTGTAAGGTTGCCAAGTAAATGTTCCTTATGGACTTAGTTGTATTTATACTTTAAAAATGCATTGTGTTAACTGTAACTTGTTTTCAGATTTCTTTGGCCCTGATTGTTTTATGAAAACATTTAGATGGAGCATTTTCACCCAAATCAAATGCATTGTGAAAAACAGGTTTTTTTCTTCTTTAGTCATGTTTTTCTTCTTTGTTGTTCTTTTCTTTCCAATATCTCTGCCTCTCACTCGTGCAACTTTTACTTTTCTTTCCTCCCACATAGCCTGAATCAATAGGCTGTCTTGTCAGCTTAAAGGACTTGTGGCTGGATGGAAACCTCTTGACTGAAATACCTGCGGTAAGCTCTCTGTATTCAGTATCCTCTTACAACCTCTGTCAGTTATCATACAACTGTACCTTTATTTTACTGTAGGGTTCATGGATAAATTAGAAAATACATTTTTGTGGTTGATCATTTTCTGAGAAAAAGCAATAGGCAAGAATTGCTTAAAAGGATAGATATGTAAATTTGCTATGGTGCAATGTATAAGTTTCCTTTTTAAAAATGTAATTTAGATTGAATGTTATTATTAAAAGAATTATGGTTATGTCCCAAAATCTCTGAATTTGAAAAAGGGTTGATTCTAACCTCTCCCCCACCTTTGCTCTAATCCTCAGGAAACGGGCTGCATTAAAACCCTGCTGTGTCTGGATGTGTCAGAAAACAAACTGGAGCGACTTCCAGATGAGTTGGGTGGCCTGGTGTCTCTCACTGACCTGCTAGTGTCTCACAACATCATTGACGCTCTCCCAGGAAGTATCGGTACGAATAGCGCTCTTTCTCTATTTTGCAGTATTGTAGACCTTTAAAAAGCTTTAATCAAGTTTAAAATAGCATTTTGAAAAGTTACAAAACTACACCACGGGGCATAAAATGGGCATGGTAATTTTATATTAGGATCTGATAATGTTCAGCTTCTATTCAGTCACAGTGGGAACAGCATCGCTTTAATTAGACTGTGAATCAATGACAAGGTTTATCGTTACCATTATGTATTTTATAAGTTATATTTGGATCTTTTCTCTCTCTGCAGGAAAACTACAAAAACTGTCCATATTGAAAGCTGATCAAAACAGGCTAACTAATATTCCAGAGAGCATTGGCAACTGTGAAAGTCTTACAGAACTTGTGCTCACCGAAAACCAAATAGAGGTTCGTGTTAACAGGCTGCTCCAAAATGAAATGATAATGTTCTGTGATCCGTATCGTCACACTTTTAGAGAGAAAGCTTAGTTTACCAGTGACACATGTCCAGTTTAGAATGACCAGTTAAGCACCTGTGCAGAAAACACAACACACAAGTAGAACATAAGAACTCCACCCAGGAAGTTCAAACCTAGGATCTCCTTAGTTTGTGCCTTTAATGTGAACATGTACACTCTGTTTGTTGTAGTTTTCTGGAATAATTTATTATGGGACAACATGTGTCAAAATGATGTGAGGAAGAAAAGGAAATACTTTGTTTGGTAAAGTCAGTTCGATAAAACTCAGGGAAATTGTGATGTTCTTTTTTTCTGCGACAGAGTTTGCCACGGAGTATTGGGAAGTTGAAGCGACTGTCCAACTTAAACTGTGACAGGAACCAGCTAATGTCTCTACCAAAGGAGGTAAGCTCTTCCTATGTGGGCTAACATTATTTCATTAAAGAATTTCTGCGTATTGACAGACCTGTGAAATCATCTGGAGCTTGGTGACAGTGTCCGTGTCATTTACTTAGTATTTAATGCCACCCTTATCAAAACTTAGCCAAAGCTCATAACTTAATGGCTGTACAGTGCCTGTGCTTATCATGCTCTCATTTATTCTTTACTGCTGGGTTTCCTGGTTAGTTCAGCTTTGCTTCTGTCTAGTGTCTCCATTGTTTTTCTGTGTGACGTTCCTCTCCAACCACTTGTCCACTTAAGTGAAGTCACGCCTGGTTTCAAGCTTCTTCTGAAAGGCTTCTTTAAATGCTAAACAATGCCCCTGTGTCAAAGATGCAAAGCCTGCTCTGCTTAGAGAAAACCAACAGCTCAACAATTGGCTCAGATAATGAGGCAACGGGGCACCACTGTTACTTTTTTCAGTCCAGCATCGCATGACGTCTCCAGCAATAACAGGGTAACCATGGCACGATCGATTCGGGCTTTGTGAAGCTACTTGACCATTGGCTGAGTTGTATTGATTGTTAATTAGATGCTGTTAATGCTCTCCCCTGTGCTCTAAAAGGTTTTTTTCCGCCTTAAACTGTTGATTCTCTACATGTCTTCAGTTAGCCAGACAGTCATCTTTAAGCAGGATGAATGCCTTAGTCTTAATTTCTGTTCCTGTCTGAGCACATTTATTGATAACAGCTGGACTTCGGTTGGCCTTATTAAGTCTGTTTTGTCTGGCTGTGAAGCCTAATTGTCCCTAATTTGAGGTCTTCCTGCTGCATTTTATCGACATGCAACTGGTCTGCCATTGTGATCACTAACTGTGGGGCAAAGTGCCCAAATGCTGAAAGACAGATTTACCCTGCTTTCTGCATTGTATTCCTGGTTTTCCTTGATTAATTTAATCTGGTTTTGGTACACATAAGGATCTGTCCATGTCAACTTGTTTCATAAACGGTCTATATTGTGACTGAAGCCTTTCCTGTTATCTCTGTTTCTGTGTAGATTGGAGGCTGCAGTGGTCTAAACGTCTTCTGTGTACGTGAGAACAGGCTGACCAGAATCCCGCCAGAGCTGTCACAAGCCACAGAGCTGCATGTGCTCGACCTCTCAGGAAACTGGTACGTTCAGCCCGTCTCTCGGTGACAGACGCTGAGACACGAGTGGGCAGGCCGAGCACACTCAGCCCTGATAAATGTCTGGCCTCTGAAGATTATCCGGAAATATTTAAGATGTTAGTCACGGGTTGTTTTGGCTTTTTTCTCTGCCTGAACCTGTTTCGCTCCGAGCCTTTTCTCCAGAGAAAATTCAGGCTCGTCACTACTCCGTCTGCTCCAGTGATTAATCCCTTATTTTGCATGTGCCTTCAGTCTCACCCACTTGCCGATGTCACTGACCACGCTACGACTGAAGGCCTTATGGCTGTCAGAAAACCAGTCGCAGCCACTCCTGACCTTTCAGACAGATGAGGATCCTGAATCAGGAGAGAAGGTGCTCACCTGCGTGCTGCTGCCTCAGCAGCCATGTGAACCAGACTTTAAAGGTAACCTATTCATTAAACAGTGGCCATAAATAATGATGGGATTATCCTGAACGGTAAATGTACCCTGAAATGTTTCTCACACTGGACCAGTAGAATGAAATATCTCTGCTAAAGGGCTTTACTACTTGTGTGAAATTACTCAGAACCAGCTCTGATAGTTGAGTGATAGTTTTCTTAGGTTTTTGCATCATCTCTGAGTAATAAGTGTCCCACAGTATTGATGATATTACCACATGATCCGCTTGGGGAAGTACAGCGCGTTCTGTGCCCCTCTGATCCTCCAGTATGTGTGGGTTATGAGGTCCTGTAAGGGATCACAGAGCCTTTGACACGTCAGAACCTCTCTTGTCCTTTGAATCCCTCCTCGGTTATATATTTCAGCCTTGGGGTGGATTGGAAGCTAAAGAGGCTTAACTGTGGATGGCCTGCTGCCATCAAAACAAAAAAAAATGCCCTCACTGGGTGTGGAAATGTGACTGGAGGCCAGTTCTGTTGATGCTTGTTTGAAGAAAAAAAAAAGTTTTAAAAGAAAAACATTTTTCAAGTTTGTGACCTACAAATTTGTATTCATATGATCTAAATTTTCTGAAAAATATTTCAAATACCTCTTTTTCCGTAAAAGGTGTTTGTGTGTTTCTTCTTTGAAAAAAAATGTTGACAAGCGACCTGCCTCCTGTAGTAGAAATGCAGATATTAAAGCGGCTGAGGTCAGGTTAGTCAGGCAGCGCTGGGGGGCAGGGAAGATTGTGTTGCTGTAATCCTGTGGCTAAACTGGGATTTGAAACTGTGATCTGTCAGTTTTAGTTTCTCTCTTACTAGTTTGGAGTTGTGTTAAAGCATTGATTTATATTAATTTCTTTATGTGGGCAAAAAATGACAGTTCACCGATTTAGACCTGCCGAAATGTTTTCATTTAGCTTGGCTTTAGAATGTTTTTTGTTCTCTTAAAAAAAAAAAGTCTCTTCTAAAACCAACTCCAGGCTCTGATAATCTCACCCGTTTTGGAGCCATGGAAAGCCTGGTGAATGCCATGGCAGATGACACGTGGGACAACAAACCTATCCAGAGGATCAGTGCCATTCAGTTCATTGATAATGATGAAGAGGACGATGACGAAAAGGTGAGACCACTAAGAATGCTTCATGAAAGAGATCGGGTTGACAAGGTAGTATTACTCAGAACTTGTAAATAGATAAAGCACAGTACAAATTATCGTACAATTTTATTTATTCCTGAATCCAAACACACCAACAATTAATAACTGCCTCCTATGAGCAAATGTGCCTGTGTACCTAAAGTAAGGACTCAATTGCTCTTCTTTGTGTAAACCTCCTGTCACAAACACGGGGTGCAGATTCTGAGAGTTCTTAGACTGTGGTGCTGTTAAACTGATCTCACCCAAAATAGCCCGAAAGTGCAAACTAGGCCTGTCTATGAACTGAAATCTGTGGTGTAGACCTATACAGGGCCATACAAGAGGTTCCTACTCTGAACATGTTTTTCAAAACAGGACTTTGTGTTTCTTAACTGAAACAGTATTTTCCCTCTATGTGTTGGCTGTGGCACTTCTAACCTGTCGAAGCAAAGTGTTCTGATACTGGAAGGTTTCATGATTGTTTTCCTGCTGGTTGAAACTACACAGCTATATTTACTTGCCATTTCAGCGTTAAAGCAACAGTTTCTACTACAGCGGTGGTTAACAGTACGACTGGTGTGTAATCAGATGGCTTTTTTCATTCAGTATAATCAGGGTGTCTTTCTCGGCTGTTTTTTTTCTTGCCAGAATTTGCAATTGCTTTTTGTGTAAGTGTTTTGCCTTCCCATCTCACTTACGCATCACACGCTGCTGTTTTTGATAGCACTCCAAAGGCTTAAAGCATTCCGCAGGCACCTATGTGACCATCATAACTGAATGCATTACTGAGCTTCACTTTAATCCCAACACGGTGGCTTTTTCCATTACATGGAACGGTTCTGTGCCGAATGATTTGACTCTGCATGGCTTTTCCAGGCTTCTTTGTAATGAATTAATCATCATATGAATTTTATTTTGTAGATGTTTGTATTGAGTGATTAAAAAATGAGGACTTCAAAGATATTTATCATTCATGTGGCAAATTTCCAGCCAGGCTTTCGATTACCTTCATGGAACAGGGTGGGCTGTAGAGAATCATTGTTCTCGTCATTTGGCGATGACCCTGTGAACAACAGACACTCTGCTGGGCTTCCACATCACATATATGGACTCGGCTCGTTTTGAACCCCAGCTGAGGTAGTACTGAAAAGCATCAGGTGGTTTGAGTTACAGGGTGCTGCCTGTGATGGGAAAACCAAAGAAATGTGGGCTTGGTCAAGCCAAATTCCACATGTCAAGGACCAGAGCATTGAGTGTAACACCAAAGCTTCAACCTAAAGTTTTTACCTTGTAACTGTGGGAATCAACATTTGGAAAAAACGTACACAATGGGATCCTATTACTAATAGTATTACGTAGTAATAGAAGTCCTCCAACTCTTAACCATGAACGTGTTTAAACATGGAAGAGCCTGCGGTGCAAAGCAGGTTGCGGCTGTAAAACATGTATTCCCAATATGTCCTTTACATAATCTGTCTCCCCACTCAGGGGACATTAATGCGGAGGGCCACGCCTCACCCCGGTGAGCTGAAAACCATGAAGAAAGCAGCGGAGAACCTCCGTAACGACCTGAATGCAGCCAAAGGCCTGGACTCCAACAAAAACGAGGTCAATAACGCTGCAGACAGAGTGACCACGTCTGTGTGACCTTTACCTCAGAAATGTGTTTTACCTTCTGTGTCTCGCCATGTCCTCCTGCACAACCCGCTGCCCTGTTTTTGTTTTTTTGGTGTTTTTTTTCCCAACAAACCCTGGTGTGGCCTACCCCTCCTCCCTCGGAACCTGTAACTTCCATCAGTCCTGTGCAAAATGCGCTCAGCGTACCAGACCGCTGTGCCTTTCTCTTTTTAATGCCCACAGCAACGATCTGCAAAGAGACGCTCCTCTTAAAGAATATCTTAAAGATTTTTTAAAAAGTATACATTAGATAGTTGCACTATAAACCTTCCTAAATGTATTATATATTTGTTTTTATCTTTTTTAAAACACTGGGTGAATGCTTCTTTTTACATTTTGGGCAAACAAAAGCAGGAGTTTTTGGACCTACTGATTTAAAGATTATTGTAAATCTCTTGTGAATATTGATACTTTTATACTTTTTGGCAGCTCAGATGTAAATAAAATGTATAGCAGGTTTCTTAATCTCCAGATTTTAAAACTTTTTTTGTTCCTTATTCTAACTTGGTACATCTGTCTTCCTTTTTCTTCTATAAATCAAAGCAATGAAACATAATGGCCACTAATGTCTTATTAAGCCCATTTTCATTTGATGAAATGCATAACCTTTCATATGATTATCTGTAAACCATTCAGACCTACTTTTAGAACATGAATAGATTTGAGTACCTTTGTTGAATCTTAATTGAAGAACTGCACATCAAACTTAAATTACCCATTTGCAATGCAATTGTGCGGAAGTAACAATGCTGTTTTATTTATATGTGCTGTGCTTCACTGCGTTATTTTTCTTCAAATAGATGCCAAAAGAGCTGTATTTTTATTTTGAAAGTTTTCTTCTCTTTAACAAGGAATACTGTGTTGAGTTATTGTAAGAGCTCTGGGGGAGCTTGAGGTTCAGACAAGGATAACATCCTATAAAGATTCGTCGGTTCTTTTTAAATGCACTTCTCAGCGTTGCTCAAACTTTATTCTTTTTTATGGTACATGATAAATTGTATTATCTTGTTTTTAAATTGGTTGCAAATAGTGGACTGAGGAAATTGGTTCGGGTCCTGTTTTTTTTGTTTGAACTATTCTCTGATCAAACTGCACAAAACAGATCTCAGATTGGCCCTGTGCCTTGAGATTTGATGACGTTTTAACCACTGATCAATAAAATAAGTGCAACACGAAACAATGCTTGTTATTCTTTTAAATTTCATGAGACAGCCTGTTTATAGAGAGCATTGCATTACTTTCCGGCCTGAGGTCACGTCAGCTGAGTCTCAACACAAAAAGAAAAAAAATTGTGAGGGAATAAAACCGATTCCATGCTCAGACCCTGTCATTGTCTGTTCCGTCTGTCCAAAAATGCATGATGTTTTTGTAATCCTTTGCCAGAAAGTGACGTGTCCACCCTGCACGTTCTGCATGTTGTGCTCACACTGTGTTGGATATGTATGTCTTGCGATTAATATATCCTAAAGACAGAAAACCTATTAAAAAACGTTATTTACCATTGAAGAAGGGCTTTTTAACTACATTTATGAATTAGATTAATTCAAGTAAGAATCTCATTTAAATGTTAGTTGCAGTGTATGGAATGTAAATGAAGTGAACTATTTTTCTCCACTATCATTTCTAAAAGTTGACATTAGACTTGATCCTATACTTAATGTATTATTAAGATGACCACATGTCATCATTTTTTAAAATTGTTTGCTTTGTATTAAATCATTCATTAATAAGCTGAACTAAGCTGTTGCTTCCGCAAATGTCAAGAGTTTGAATTTGTGCTTGTTTTGATACCTGCTGGGGCACAAAATTAGCACAGACTATGCATGTTTGAGTAGGATTTCATTAGATCGCTTCTACTACTTAATGTCCTAATTAGACACTGACAGCTGAACAGAGTATGCCTGCATTCATAATGAGGGACATATTTAGCTCTGATCTATTAATGTCATTGGCAATTTTCTTCACTTAAATTAAATTTTCAGCAACAGGTGGTGTCTGCTGAACATTTCCAGGAGTGTAGAAATCCTCACGCTAACCCGTCCCTCAGGACTAGCTGCCAAAGCTGGGCCATCCCAAGCTTCAGTTGGGTGACAACCCCAGACTGTCTGCAGACATTTCCTGTCAGCAACAGCACCAGCAGACGCTCCGTAAGCACACAGAAGAGCACAGAGGGAATCAAAACACCTGGAGAGGTTTGTTTTTTGTGTGTTTTTTTTTTCTTCCTGTTTTTAATTCACGTCTCTTACCTTAAGTTAGAAAGATATTTATATTTGCTTACAACCTTCAGCTGGTTTCCACAAATTCTCCACATGTTGCTGCACATGATGTGCTGAAAAGCTACCTTAAAGATATATTAAAGACTATTCAGCAATGGCAGGCAGGCAGGCAAGAGGGCGACACATCAAATTCTCTTTCCTCCCCAGAGAGGTGCAGGCCCGATGTCAGAGAGCAAAGCCACACCATGTCGATTCCTCCATCAGACGGGCGACACTCCAGAGAGCAGGACATTTCCACATCCCAGAGCTGTTGATGCGGGGTCCAGTCTCCCAGGAGGCCCTGTCTGCAGTGCAAAGACTCCATCAGTTACAGGCGATCTAAAAGCTTCTGGGGTGTCTGAAACAACCCTTCCTCAGGAATTATTCATCTCCCAAGTGCCATTAAAAGTAAATTCATGCTTTTCTTAAATACCAGTAGATATCCGTGTCTTTGCTCTGTCAATTCCAGGGAAATCTAGTAAGCTTCCCAAATTCACTTTTGGTTTTAGTCATTTTTCTACTAAGCTTCACCTGCACATAGTTTTAGCTTTTTATTGGTGATGAAACAATGTTCTCTTAGTTACAGATCAAAGTGTCTGGCCAGAGGGGTAGTTTGGGAATCAGCATTGCTGGTGGGAGGGGCTCTTTGCCCTACAAAGACCACGATGAGGTAAGTGCTGGAGGAGAGGCGCCAATATTACTCAACCACTTGCAACACAGCTCATCACTCATTCACATGCAGCGTTTGGTCCTCTGAATGGAGAAGATGTGAAGCAAGTGCCCCAAGCACCTTGTGGTTGTCTTAGTTTTCTCAAAGTCTTCGGTCAAGTTGAATAAATGTACTTAAAAAAGCCCTGCGTGCATTATGACAACTTCCATTCAAGCCAAGATGTTTCCCTCATTTCAGGGCATTTTTATTTCCCGAGTGGCTGAATGGGGGCCTTCGGAAAAGGCTGGTATCCATGTTGGGGATAGACTGATGGAGGTAAGAGAGTTTTTAAAAATGATTTCCTATGTTTTGTGTTACAGACTGACTGGATATACGAGTCATGGAGAAAGTATCTTGTCTGTACTGAGACTCTTTCATAAACTGTGTTTTGTAGTAATAGGATTTCCAGTCGGTGTTTTTCTCTTTTCACCACTGGGGGGCATTATGACGCCAGTAGAAGAAATTCTGTTAACCACAAATATCACAAATAAGAGACAGATATTCAAGAAAAATCATTACATGCATTATCTTTTTAGTGGCTGATCCATGCTGTGTGTGTGTGTGAGACAATTTTCACTTTCACCATCACCCTCATTTGTGAGCGTGGCCTCTGACCTTCCAGGTCAATGGTCTGAGCATGCAGGGGGCGACCCACCACGAGGCGGTCAGCGCCCTCAGGAATGCTGGGAGCTGCATCAGGATGAAAGTGCTAAGAGAGAAGCTGCTCCCTCGACTGGTGTGTGACCCAGACGTGTGTCGGGATCCCCCGGACATGACCAGCCGACAGCTGCGCAGACACCAGACCGGAGGCCCAAGAAGGAAACACTTCCAGCTGGACGGCTCCGTTGACTGTGTGTCCAAGAAGATTGAGGAGGTTGTCTGCAATGGCAACAGCATTGTGGGTGGTTTAATCACATGACAGCATTAACAGACCTTCATTTTACACCCTGTTTACTTAGCAGCTAAAGTCAGAATCTATATAATCTACATGGTGCAGACTACAAATGGTTCATTTTGAGCATTACGTTACATGCATTTTTAGCTTACCATATTGTTTGTTTTCAAACTTGTTTATTTTTGCATTGACTCTTAAACTTTTGAGTTTTTTTGACGAGTTATTACTTGGCAGAGTCAGACTAAGATGCAGATTAGGATACGCTGCACTGTGTTGCACACATAAAGAAATTAGACAAAAGCCTTTACTTGAATCTGAAAACGAAATTTCGATTTGATTTAATGAGTCACGTTCACTTTAATGTTTTGTGTTTCAGTCGGATTGGGAGAGAGATCTGAATAGAACCTTCTCTGAACCAGAGGCAGAGGTCTTAAAAAAGGATTCACTTCACCTGGAAAAACATACAATGGCTGTAAGCTGATTTTTTCCCTCTCATCAGAACCTAAAATACTAAATACTGCCCCCCTCATTTTGCATCATTGGATTTTCTTGTTTTAATAACAAGAAAAAAACTGCCATAGAATTAGAATTAGATAACTTGCATATTTTCTTCTCAATCGTGTTGTTCTTGTTGCTTATCATGTGACAGATTCCCCGGATCATCCTCACTCATCCCTCTACCTCAGATGAAGATGTGGAGCTTTTGACACAGATGTCCAGCAGAGACCTCCTACGTGATATAGATCATTCTAGCAAACATATTTACTCTGACTTCTGCGATAGTGCGTTCTACCCACCGTGACCACGGCCTGGAGCCTCCCAGATTGTGAACGGAAGCTGTTTATGATATTCAACCAGTTGATGCTGAAGCATTTTCAGCAATGTTACTGTGTAGAAAAAAAACTGTGTTTTTTTTACAGTCACTGTAAAGCTTCTCTGCTGCTAATAGCTTTATTCACATTAAATGAATTTACAATTTCATTTCAATCTGTTCTCTAATGGGAACTCATTCAAAAGGACTATTTTATTATGTTAAACCAGGTATTATCCTGGCTAACTATTTCACACCGATGCACATGTTATGAATAGCTGGTCCATAAGTGTCCCCACAAGTGGCAGTGTGCAGCTCTTGGACTTTTTTTAGTCTGAGCTGAGATAAAATGCCTCATAACTGAACAGATTGCACAGCGAGAGATCTTCATGCTGCAGAGTCCAGGGACGGGCTGAACTTTACATTGCATCTTCACATAACCGCACTGCATGATAATAAAAAGAAGGCTTACGCATACACTGTGCAGAAAATCCTCGTAAAAGATAGAAACCAAACATTTTGGAAGGATTCATTTTTATTTTTGCTTCAAAAGCTTTGAATGTTCACATTGTAAAAAACCGAGAATGTGCAGACTGTTGGTCTTCTATTCACTAACCTTAAATTTTTTTAAATGGTTTTTACTTTCCTAATAAAGTGAAAATATTAGAGAGTATTTTTTACCTGATTAGCAGAGGTACCTATAAGAATTGTGGAAGATTGTGGTGGAAGAAATTATTATATATTATTTAAATCAGCATCCTACAACAAAATTAAAGGAACAAAGGTTCAGTGTTTCTATGTCAACCTCCTGTCAATTTAAAACAAGAGAAAAAGAAAAACACTACTCCTGAAGGTGTGTCAACAACAGTGGGTTGATAATCCTCCGGGTCTGGAAGGTGCTGGAAAGTACAGGGTGTGCCCAAAATCCAATTCAGGGTGAATTGTCAGTTTCATAATGTGAGTCTGTCTCAAGAGGCATTTCTGTAAACTAGAGCAAGGATCTCGGGAGGAGGCGAGAAGATTTAAGAGACCATTTTCCACACCACTTATTCCCAAAGGGATCGTGGGGGGGCTGGAGCCTTTCGGAGTACCGGAGTACCGGGAGATGACCAACACACAACGAGAGCATCAAACTCCACACAGAAAGTTTCTGCCCCCCCAGGGAGGAGACGATGATGACCCCCACACCAATGTGTCACTATATGTTGTTCCTAATCCACATTTTTCAATTAATTTAGAATATTTAGATGACCATTTTGATTTAATCAGCAATTTCTGTCTTGAAATTATGTATTTAAGGGAAAGGGAACATTAAAAACTATGAAAATTCCCAATAAAACTTTTAAGTATTCATAACTGTCATTTAGACAGATTTATAGAAACTATCCATCCATTTTTGTAACTGTTATTTCCTAATGCGGTTGCAGGGGGGACTGCAGCCCAACCCAGTAGTATATGGGTGAGAGGCGGGGTACACCCTGGACAGTCCACCAGTCCATCACAGGAACACACAGAGACCCACAAGGACGAACATTGATTGGAATGTCCAGTCAACCTAACATGCAGCTTTTTGGAATGTGGGAAGGTGTCCACACAGACACAGGGAGAACGTCCAAACTCCACACAGAAAGGTCCTGGTTCCCCTGGGAACTCAAACCCAGAACCCTCCTGCTTTGAGGCGATAGTGTTACCCACCACACCACCGTGCCACTGAATCAAATAAAATTAAATGAAGAAATACTTTATTGACGCCAAAAGGAAATTATATTATTGCACTATATATGAAATGCATGAAAAATCAATTTATAGCTATTATTTCTGGGTGTTAAAGATGGATAGATTAATAAAAAAACATTTGACTTCCGTCATGGAAACATAATGCCAAAACTTCTGTTCCTTGAATGACTGTTACAGTTAACTTTTAAATGGTCTGAATTTACATGGGAAATGGATTAGAAATCTGAATATTAAAATGTTCCCATCACGGCAGCTGTTTGATGATTAATTATTTTTTTGATCAATAAAGTATCACTGAGTTTGAGTTCCTCCATATGTCATGGGATGTGTATTTTTGGTTTAGGTTTCAGGTTTTCAGTTTTGTGGATTTGTTTCTAGGTTCTGTGTCCCTGTGCTTCAGTTTCCTGTATTTCACTATGGTGTTGTTGGCTTCCTCTGTTCTCCTCCTGCATCTCCACCAAGTTCACTCCCCTCACTTCCATCCTGTTATAGTCAACTCCACTCTCACCTGTGTCTCCTGTGTCACCTGCTCTTCATTCACTGATAAATCTTCCTACAGAAACCAACTTCTTTCATGCCTTGCCAGATCCTTGCAGTATGTCACCTCAATATCTTGTCCCCTCAGTCCCCTCTTCTTGATTATTTTGTTCACATTAGTTCCTATGTGGGCGGCACGGTGGTGTGGTGGTTAGCACTGTCGCCTCCCAGCAAGAGGGTTTTGGGTTCGAATCCCGGGGGAACCAGGACCCTTCTGGGTGGAGTTTGCATGTTCTCCCTGTGTCTGTGTGGGTTCTCTCCGGGTTCTCCGGCTTCCTCCCACAGTCCAAAAACCTGCATGTTAGGCTGATTGGAGATTGGGGAAATTGACCTTAGGAGTGAATGTGAGTGTGAGTGGTTGTTTGTCCTTGTATGTCCTATGTGTGGCCCTGCGATGGACTGGCGGACTGTCCAGGGTGTACCCTGCCTCTCGCCCGTTGACCACTGGGATAGGCTCCAGTTCCCCCCGCGACCCCATGAGGGAATAAGCGGTATTGATAATGGATGGATGGATGGATAGTTCCTATGTTTTTTTAGTTTTTAAATTTAGTTCAGTATTTTGTAGCCTCGCCTTTTGTTACCTTTTATGATAAATCTTAGTTTTCTGTGGGATCCTTTTTCCCTCTTCTTTGGGCCTGTATTTGTCAAATTTCACTACTGTTATTATCTATTTGTATGGAATGGCAGTGCAGGAAATGTAGAAAAACCTACAACTTAGTCATTCCAAATGAATCACTCACTGCTCTGCCAGAGATTGTGATGATGAATTGCACACAGCTGCCTTTTGTGGTGGATAAAATACAAACAAAAATTGGTCCTTTTGTTTTTGTAAAATTGTATCTTTTTGTGACAGAGATTTCTTTATAATCCATTTTGCTATGCAGAAACCATGCCCCTGACAGCTGGTGGCAGAATCTTATTTTCTAATCTGCTGCCAAACAGTAAAGTAGACACTCCAGCTGTTAGGTCCAGCGTAATGGTGACCCAAGCAATAGACCAATTAGTTGATTATCAGCCTCAGCGTGACAGTTTCAAAACTATGCAGTCAGAGGATCTGATGCACAGACACAGTCAGACTACTGCCACTGCTCGGCTTGAATTCATTTTTGCCATCACCAGCAGCTCAGGTACAAGTGCAAGTATGAGTCAGAATCTTTTACAGAGTTTACATCCACAATTGAGACCTACCTATTTCCTGATTTGCATCCTAGAAAACATTGTCCACCTATGTTGGACTGAGAGTGAGCAGATTAGCAGAAATGTGGGTGGTGAAATGTTTGTCGACTTAAGAAGGAGTGTTGAGCACAACAGACTTGTGAAGACCCGCATATCTTGTATACGGCACTGCTGATAGACACCAAAGACTGGTGCAGAGTCATTTGAGTCGGATTGAATGCACAGTGACCAGATGATTAGGGGGTTTCAGAAAGGATTTCTTTTTCTCTTCCCTGTGAAAGGCACTCGTGTCCTTGTCAGAAAAATCATTTTTTTAAATGAATAATGCACAAGTTTTTAGAGCACAAGAATGATCTAAGCAAAAGCTAATGCATTTTGTAAATGTAATCATTTACATTTAGCACTTGCAAATAAAAAAATTGTGTTTAATTTGTACTTACAATTGATATGCACTGGAACAGGGACTATAAATGCTAAACTACAGGAAAATCCCATTTTGTGTCAATGACTAGTTTTAAGTAAGAATTATCCGGGTTTGGTTAATGTACAACTACAATAAGTGTGTTTTTCGTCCTCCTCCCAAGTCGTACTGAGATGAACCATCCCATAGTAATCCTTGCCTTGCGCCTTGAACCTGTTTATTCCTTGTAGGAGAGATTTTGATTTCGTACTTTGTAACTTTTCTCATCCTCTTTTCAGAGTGAGTTATGTACTTTGTTCATAGCTTTGTCTGCCTCGTTTTCAAGAGAAATTATTATTGCCTTGTCTTCCACTCCATGCGAGTGCGTCTTGATTTAAATTGAAGTTTTTTTTACTCTATCTGAGTCCTGACTGAGTTCCTATTCCTGACAGTTCCAGTATGGTATCATTTTTGTGAAAATACACACAAGTAGTAAAGGTCCTGTGTTGGACATTTTGATGATATTTGTTTGTTCTTTAAACGCTATCAGAGCGATAAAAGCAGCATCATATATAGATATATCAATTTCATCCCAGAATTCCAGATGCTGTGATGCCTTACGACCTTAGTGCCTTATCTGTTACACCTTTTGATGAATATAGCATTACAGACGGGGAGAGGGAGGGAAGCAGCAGGGTGAAAACAGACAGGAGCAGCTGTGACAGAGATGAAGAATGTTGTATATGTAAAGGAATAGCAGCCACTTCAGAGGTCTGCTTTCAATCACTGATAAAGGAACGGAGAAGTCGATACAGAGGCAAACAAGCAAGTAATAGAATTTGCGTCGGACTGGCAGACGACTCATTACTGGAAGTGCAGTGACACATGTGCCAAATTATGCCTATCTGGCTGGAAGTCAGATTATTTGTAAGCAAAATAAAAATGATATATGATTTGTTTAATTTAAAAAAAAAAAAAAAATTCTGAAATCCATTTTAAATAAAAATGCAATATTGACTAAACCCCACAATGTTGGTGCTGCTGACTCTGTGGTAGTTAAATGCCATGTACCCCAAGTTTATACACAAGTGCCTCTATTAATATTCTTGCTTTCCGGTTTCCCTGTATACAGACTCCTGTCTGCAGGCTATTTGTGGCTTCTATAAAAGGAAATCTAGTGGGTGTTACACACACACACACTCACACCCCCACTGACAATAATAACCACTGATCCTCACTGGAGGGGCACAAAAGTAAGAATTATACACTCACCAAATCACATTTTATAACATTAAAAGTCCCTTAAAAAAAGAAACAAAGCAATGGATAAAAAGGAATGAGATGCACAAATGGACAGCTTGACGCAGGGAAGGTAAGACCTTTCATAGACATATAAATGTATTGTGTTTAAATCATATCAATCACTCATCTAGGTTTTTCCTGTTGTCTCTGTACATTTTTATGCTCTTCTGGGATATTGTTCTCATGCTGTGTATTTGTTTATGGTCTTTGAGAGCGCACCGAACACTCAGGAACAGCTGGTCTATAGTCTATATTTGCTTGCACAATCTGCCCTGGAGGGATTGTGCATTGGCCTGTAATTAAACTCTTTACGTGGTGACACACTGGCTATTTATGCATGCACTGGAGCTCATCTACTCTGATATACTTTTCAACATCTGTGGAACGTAGACAGGTCTCAAAGAGTTGTAATTATAACTGTAAAGTGCACATTGAATTATAAGCAGAGATGAAAACTTGTGGGTAATTGGTGTGATGCTACAGGAAATTATGCAGACAACTTTGTTGTGATATTGAGAGGGGTTTCACAGTCTTAATATGAAATTCCATCATTTGAATTTGCAAATCATTTGAATAACTCCTAAGTTTTTAAAGGACAGTTGTCACTCCTTTTATGTCAGTTTTTAATATGGGTTTCCTTTGACTCCTTATGTGTGGTCTCTTTCAGGAAGTGATTGGGTGCTGCTTGTTTTCAGACTTTGGACAGGTCTGACCTTCCTTAGGGAATGACTGAGAAGGGGCATGTGCACAGTGAGGTGACATGTAACGCATAGCAGGAGCTGGAAATGTGAGCTATGAGGACGGCATGGCCTCGGCAACATTCAGTGGTTAAGTATTCAACTGGGCTATCGTGAGCAAGAAGGAAATACTAACCGTTCACAGAGTGAACTCTGCTATGGCTACAGAGGATGAGCAAACAAGGGGTTTCGTAATGACATAAACACATAAACAAGTTTATAAGTTAGCCAGTGGCTATTTTTGTCGAGGAATGTGTTGGGCCTCTTTATTTAGAGCTGATTACAGATACCCTAGATATAACTGATGGTCCTCTGAAATTATGAGCTGCTCTAATTAACATGAATGGAAAAAGAAAATTGGCGGGAGGAAGTTTTTATTAATTACTTGTTAATAGTTTAACTGAGGGGAAGTAAATCCTTTGATATGATATTGACGTGACCTACATGAAAGTGCATCGATGAATAAAACAGATGCACAAAATTTCACACTATTGCCGCTGCAACATTTAAGGAATCCCGTGAGTTAATATTCCGAAGCCTATTTTCACACAGATAAAAGCAGTTGGCTTTACCGTGTACAACACAGTACACCACATCTCGTCAGCTGCAATATCTGTTTGGACAAGTTACCTACAAAGCTTTTCATTGTTATTAATTATCTACCTCTGAAAAATCACCCTCTAAACTCCTCTAAACTAATTGGAAAGCTCTTCCCTAGCCCCCTCTGATATAAAGACATCAGCTTATACCTTGCGCAGTATGAGAATTATAATAACTTTGATCTTAAGCTTTTATTCAATGCAAGCTATTCCTCAAGAAATGTTGCACATTCGTTTCTATTCCTTCTGAAAAGATATTAACCAATCATTTTCTGTTATTTTTGAAGCTGTTACATTCACCTCAGAACCATTGAACTGCTCCGCAACCAACACCGGTTCAACAATTTACCTTGAACTTATTTATAGCTTGGTATAACCCTGCAGGTGCAGAAAAAAGTCTTACAGCGCTTTGAAGCAGCAGAACGTTTCAACCTATGGAAAAGCTGCAGTTCTCAGCTCCCTGTTGGCGCAGTTAACTTAAAATGCAGAGATGTGAAGTAATCCTTTTAACAGGCCAAATCTGACGCTAACTAAAATTGTGCATTTATAGTTTTAAAAAAAAGTTACAATTAGAAATCAATCAAAATCCCTTTTCAGGCTGGCAGAAATGAACATGTCTTAGAAGTTTCTCCTAAGCTCTTCATTAGAAGAGCGTAGAAGAAAAATCAGGTCAAATGGTATTAGGAGACAATGATTAAAAGTGTTTCCCTGTCAATAGTCAAACATTTATAATAAAGATCTCAGCAATCTTGTTACCAATCGTTTAATTTCGGGGCAACTTGGAGATACAAGAAGCTGTTACTGCTATAAAAACTAGTCGGTTCAACTGCTACCATTAAACTTATAAAATGAAAGACCCAGCATAAATAGTTGTATGTAAATTTACTGATTGCGTCAATGTCCAATCACATGATTTGTGTAATCCATTTTTAATAGAACCGTAAGTACCGGCTATAATACTGACATGGTGATTAACCAAGGACATTTTAGTGGTCTTGCTCTCTAGTTTACATTTTGCAGATGACCTGACAACACCGTGGTGAGAAGAGGTGTAATTAGGCAGCTGAGGCTCTTTCAAGGAGTGCACGCCGTGATTGCTGCAGCAGGGATAACTAGAAATATTTTCGCACATCAAGATTAAGGACCCATTTTCCCAGGAAGTTACTTGCATGAGACATACCCAGACCATGCAGTCCTAAGAACATATCAGAGGCTGATGTGCCCACTTCTGCACAACAGCACAGAGATTTTATAAAAAGACAAATATGAGTTAGTTTGACGGAAGTTGATTTTCAATTTTAAAGGGATGCAAACACATATACAAAAACACATATAGATATCTTGTGTATAAAATGTTAGAAAAAGAAATTGTGGTCTGAAAGGACCACAATTCTCATGTACTGTATGTCACATGTCAGGGGACTGGTGTGATCTATGACGACCATAGATATTAAAAATAGCCTCCAAGTATGCTGCTCCATCAATGGTGGAAGACGGGTCTGTGTTAGATGCAGTACACCGCTTAAAGCTGGACTGAACTGATGATAACAGCACTAATTATAGATAAGATTAATGCCAGGGTCTAGCTATTATTTTATTTTTTAACAAAATTTAACAAGATTTTTAACAAGATTAAAGGTTTTTTTCGCAAAGATATGTTGCCCTTGGCTACATACAGCAGATGCCTTAAGTTTTGTTTCTTAATTTGAATAATCAAATAATGAAAAAAGCAACATTGAAAGACTATGGTGCCGCGCAGATCTAAAAAGATCTTTAGATTACTAAGATGAAACTGTCACTTGCTCTCTCCAAACAGCCATCCTGCAGATGATATATTTTGCATGTCTCTGAGACACAACTGTTTGTCATGTTTATTTCAAAAGTGATCTATCCAGTTTGCACATGCTCCGACTATTCTAAGCAGAGCGTGCTGCAGAGGCTGTAGTTTATGTTTTCAGGTAGAGTGTAAAAAACATTTGACACCTTAGGATGTTTTCCAAATGCATTAGTTACAAAGCTTTCAGCAGCTTCACCACTCTGCACAGATTGCAACAGCCTGTGAAACGGTCACAAAGACTAATCCATTAATGGCTCTCCTGGGGCATTGTGTTTTTTTTCATTTCTTGACTCTAGATGACTATGAATAGAGTTCAAACATTTTGTCTAGTGATGTACAGTACTAAGAGGTTCAGGTGTGCCACAGTGGAAGCCCGTCACCTGTTTAATCCAGTTGTGTCATTTTTCCTTGAAATCTCACTGTGGTTTGCTGCTTTGGCTTTTGATGTTATGTTGTTTGTCAAGTTCAGTGCACAGTTCGTGTCCACCTGTGAGATGATGATGATGATTTTCACTTTATGCCTATTTAATGATTTGATGGGAACATGAGCTGATTTATTTAGATCTTAAACCTCTCTCATGAGCCTGGGTGTGTCGAGTCTTTGAACTGCAGAGTGCTTAATTGCCAAGTATGTGTGCCTGTATGTGTGTAATCATTGCTCATTGGCAGCTGGATAGAGTTTCACAACCCTGTGAAGTAGGAGAAAATTCAGCTTTACTCAACTGTTAGAAAGCTTGTCTGGGACCGAGAAGTTTTATGCAGACTTGTTAAAGAGAGAATTCCTATTATTTTAAACTGCTAAATAGTCCTTAACTCTTTTAAAAGGTCTGTGTTTGACACTGACATTTCTGGAGAAGTTGTTTCAAATATCTAATAACAGAAAAATGTATTGTCCTCTTGAATTCACAGATTTCAGCAGGAGCACCAGTTAAAGCTGGTATCTTCACGTTCATACCATCAGTGAGGACTTTACCAGTTAAAAGCCTTCTTGCTGAGGAAGACAAATTTGAAGCTTTTACAGGAATATCAGATAAGGTATTGCACTTCTATACATCAAGATGGTACAGCAACATGTAGAATTGTACACATTTGCAGAATTCCTGCAAATGTGGCATTATTATTTTTCTTGTTGCATATATATGTACACACACAGATGCACACACACACACACACATGCAAATATAAATGTATCTAATTGTGTATAACCTATGTACACACTCATTTCTATTGATACAAAGGTTATATTCCAGTGTGTTTTTCTTTTTTCAGACTTATATATTTGACATTTTGAGTAATAACCAAAGACAAAAGGTTGAGCCTTTGATATATTTTTGGTTCAGATGAAATTCAACATTATGAGCAGACAGAAAACCCCGAATCTGAAAAGTATGCTTTTCGCATGGGTTTTAAAAATACTCCTGTTTCATAAGATTTACCAAGTCACACAATGTTTAAATTCTTGACTGCAGGGGAAATCTTGATTGCTCTCACCTGTGGTATTTTGAGATGATTTCTTTCCTCAGAAAAATAGTAACAGAAATAAACATAGAAAGGCAATTTCCAGTCAATAGTTTTGCAACTTGCACATCAACCTTAAGTAGGAAGTGTTTAGATGCATACAATCTATTGAAAGCAACCACTCCTGGGAGCACATGTCAACCCCCTGTGGTGTCAGTTGCTCAAGGCTTAAAGCGCTAATGGATGTTCATCCAGCATCAGTATCAGAGCTGCACCAGAGAGCCGGTGCCTGAAGTCAGCTTCTTGGCAGCTTGCGCATAGACTTCAAAGGTCTTTTAACAAGTGGGAAGACACTATTAGTCTCTGAATTTCCTTTGCTATGTACTTTGTGCTTTTTTATCATTAACTGACAGCATATGACTCCACAGCCATAGCACCTGTAAAAACCTGGGTTTTAACAAACACATCAACACATGTCTCATATGAGATACCAGTTTGTCCATGTGACTGAGCACCCTGCCAGAGTACAAAATGTTCCCTCCTGCTGATTCTCCTGAACTTGAGTTTAATTCCACAAAGTGTTGATTGACACACAGATAACGAAACGAGAACACTGGGAAGATGCTATGCACGCCATGGAACCTGACTATCTAACTATTCGAAAATGTGAACATAGTTCTATGAATACTGTAGGAGTTCTTCAGATTAAATCGGGGTAGTAGAAAAAGCAGAATGCCGTTGATTGTACATCGCAGGGATAAACACTGATGCAGCGCCTCAGTGACTGACACATCTTGCCATCGAGGAGAAAACCTAAACGCAAATAAAAAATGGTCTGAAAGAGAAAGTAAAAAACAAGTGATGCCAGGTGTAAGGATGGAAAGACCTGACACCATTTCAACATGATGAAAATAATACTAAAAGGGTTTGACAGGGCAGGCTATTACATGCTGAGAAGACAAGGGAAACAGAGGTCTGAGTGTCAGTTTTTATGAGTGAGATGATTCTAACGTGCTGTTCAGAACTGTTACAGAATTGATTATTTTACTCATTTGGTGTGTTTTCTGCCATGTTGTATTTATTTTTTAAACCTCTGCCTCTTCCTATCTTTCTCACTGTCAGTCTAAAGAGACCTAACATACAGTAGGGCTCTCCACTGGTTATGAGAGCCCAAAATGCAGCCACCCCAAACCAGCAGTACTGGTGTAAACAAAGTAAAGTGCCTAATGAGAATGTACAGGATGATATATCTATGGTGGTGAAAATGTTGCTATAGAATAAGGTAAATTTGGGCTCTAATTTCAATAGCTTGCACCTTCATTTACAACTGACAGAGAATGTGAATTTAAAAAGACATGAAACTTTTCTAAAGCATCAAAACATTTGACTTTTTTGATCTTGTAGTGAAATTAATCGAGCTTTATGTACATTTTTTGTAAATATTCTGATGTATCTTTTGCCTTTATTTTGGACTTTAGTTGCGAATATGCAAATATGATTAAAAAAACTAGAATGGTGAAATGTGTCTCAATTGAGAAGGTGATCAACATATTTAAAAATATATATGTTGAAGACTGTGATAGAAATCTAAAGCAAAGACCCTACCTTATCTTATTTACCATAAAAATATTAGTGGATCTGAGGTCTTTAAGCTCCCACGTGTTTATATACTACAGAGAAATGATGTCACAGGACGAAATTCTAACTTGACACGAAAGCGAGTAGAGATATGATAAAAAAAAAGATTGCTAAAAAAGATAGACCAAAACTTTCTTTAACTGCATGAGAACTACATGATTATGGAAAAGGAAAGCTTTCCCCTTTGAAAGATGTGTGGAAAAAGTTAAGTTAAAAAAGTGTGAACTGTCAATTACCTAAACGTGAATTCACCGTAGATATCGGAAGAGATTTAAGCCTTTCAGTCCGCTGACCAAACCATCACTACAATTTGTGTATAGACTTGAAAAAGTGGTACAGCAAAAACATAAATTATCAAATCAAAACTGGAGAGTAATTAACTGTGAAATATACAGAGGAAATACTTATTTACAAAAAGGGATTTTCTATGCTGCCTACACTATTAGCGTGTAATTATGTGCAAGAAACAGATCATGTTTTCAATGACATTTTCATCCAGCTATTGTCAGTAATACATGGAACACTATGCAGCAGTCACAACTGAGACTCTGTTGACACATTGGGGTTAGACCTTGCGTGAATACACAGCCCGCATGACTTCTGGAGCTCTGTATATGAGGCATGTGGTCAGCAAATGTCAGCAGCACATGCACATATGTATTATATGCGTGCATGTAGTGTGTTGAAACCAAGCACATCCCCCTTTCGAAGTCATGGGGAGGGGGGAGGAGCGAGGGGGTGACTCACGTTCACCTCAGCTTTTCTCGGGTTTCACTTGCTCTGTTCCATCTAAACATTTGCTCCGCTTTCCCCCATCAGGACGTAGCCGTGTCCCATGAGAGGACCGCCGAGGGGAACATGTCAGACGGGCACATTTTCAAAGCAAAGATCAACTTTATCAAGGACATAATGGAGAGAGGACCCCAAAATACAGGCCCGCTGGAGACTAAACCTAAAGTAAGTTCAACACATATGATGCTAAGCTCACCAAAAGGCTTTAACTGACTTACCACAAGGTAACTGTGTATGTGTGGAGTACTGACAATAAAATGCAGTCAAAACACTGTCATATGACTACTACTAATAACTACAAAAACAACAACAAAAACAACAACAATGATAACATCAATAAAACTCTTTAGTTTTTTAATTCAGTGATTTTTAGATATTTTGAATTAGAATCTATTACATCAAAAAGCATAATGTTTGTTGCCTCTTTCAGTTGAACTTTTCCAGATTTTCAGATGTTGGCCTCTTTAAAGTACTCTTGCAAATCCTGTAAAAGTGTCAATGTTTCTCTCCACCTGCTGTTTCAGAATTTGACTGAACAGTCAGTTTTCTATAAACAATGTCTCAAAAAATAATGTTCTATGTTTTACAGTGGAAGCCTCCAGAAAACCACGTGAGCCCAACTCAAACCAACGCCTCGCCCTCCGGCAGAGCCCAGTCTGAAAATACACCAAACCGCACAGGCACCGGGACGGTCACTATGGAAACAGCTGTTGATCAACACTGGGGCAATTCCCGGCGGCAGAGTCACGACACTTCTGGACGCGCTGAGGTTATCTTAGGTTGCTTCCTGGATAAAGCCAATGCGCCAGATGATAGGACGAGCCCCGTAAACTCGGCAGATATGTTTTCCACCCCGGCCTCATCCAGAGAGTCCATCCTATCAGAGGGCTCAGACAAGAAGAGCTGGGTTGCCATGCAGCATTCCTCAGTAACTTCTCCTGCTTCCTTCAGTCGTACTGTTTCTCCCTGCTCTTCCGTTCGCTCTGGTGTCTTCTCACCAGCTGTTGTCCAAGTCAGGAAGCACTTTCTTGCCCCGGGCTCCAGCTTGCTTCACGACCCTCAGACCTGTTTCTCATCCTGTGATAGCCTGTCCTCTTCAGCCTGTCCGCTGACGCCCCCCCCCAGGCACCGGCCGCCGCTCACCCGCCTCTCCCTCCTCACAGCCATCCTTCGGAAAGGTCGGCTCCCGGTCCTGTCCCCTGCCCTCCACAGGCCTTACACCCCCTGCTGGCCCGTTAACCCCGTCACCCTGTCTTTCTGCAATGCCTGCTCAGCTGCCTCCAGTGTGGCCTCCATTCCCCTTGAGTTTTCCTCCCGATTCTCCTCATCAGCGTCAATAGATCAGCAAAATCAGGTTTACGGGGATGCCAGTAATTGTATCACTCCCACCCCAGCAGTGGAGGCTGGTAAGAACAAAGAAACGCGCCATCACACTCAGGCGACAAGATGCAAAGCGCTCATTTGCTCTGACAGTGAGCCTAGACAGGAGCGGGTTATCTCCCCTCCACCAAAAAAGAGCAACATGCTCTTCCGAACTCATCTGCCTCTATTTTCAAATTTAAAATCAGTTTCTTCGCCAAATCATGAAAAACCAGACTCACCGCAACACGGTTACATTTCCAAAGTGCCTGAACTAAACTCCAGCGACACACGCGTGCTCCTCCAGGACCATGCAGATAATAACGTTAAAAAACCCATCTCCCAGTCCTCTCAATCTATTAATGAGCCGGACACCTCTGTGCCCCCAAAATGGACCAGTCAATCATCTCTCTCAAGACTCAATTTGCTATCTCAGAAGCTGAGATCTCCACCTGTCGCCCCTCCTCTTCTTCGGCCTTCTCAGTCACACGGCGCCGTTTCCTCAGCCTGCTCAGACACAGCATGGCCTCTCAGGCCTTTACAGAACAACACCTGGGTGGGAGGGTGGGAGTCAGAGAGAAGCTGTGCTGTTTCCAGGAGCTGCACACCTTCACAGGGTTCTCAAAAAGCACACTGCCTGTCTCCTTCCCGTTACACTCCCATAGCTTTTTCAGGATGGCCATCCCCCTCCAGTACTCCCACGCCTACGCCCTCTCCTGCCCCACCACTCAGAGACTTCACCCCGTCCCCTAGCCGCTCCCTGTGCTCCACGCCTTTGTCAAGACCGGGGAGCGGAATGTCAGACTGGAGTGACAGGGAGGGTAAAAAAGCGAAGGTAGCCACTTCACTTTTCATGTGCATTATTTAACAAACTGCCTCTAACTCTGAGTTCCTGGGTGGGGGCGTCTAATGCTTTGTATTATTTGCAAGCATATCAACCGTTGTCTTTTTTGTCACAATGTTTTTAACTGTTAAAATGTTGTTTTTGGAAGTTGTGATGAGTGAAAAAAAGACAATAATTTGAAACAGAAATGCTTGGATTTGACATAAATCTCCAATAGCAGGTTCTTATAAACCAGAGACAGACGAGTCGTTGAGTTTTCTTGCCCATTACATGAGCAAATTGAACCTGTTGACATTTACAGCCGCATGCTGTCTCTTAATCAAAGGAAGGTGGCTTTCAGTCTTTGAGAGGAGTCTGGCATGCGTCAGTATTGCTCTTATAGCTGGAGACTTGAGTGGTGGCTGTTTTGCATGATTGCCGGTAGTAATGTGCATCAGAGTGCGTGTGGTCACAGAAATGGGAAAACACATCCCAAACTGACTGTGACACTCTACAGGGTTGATCTTTTTGTAAAATACTGTTGAATCGTGATCAAATAGTGTAATCCTCTGCTCTTCTCTTTTCATAAACACCAGACATACAGGATTAAGCTGGGCTACAAATCGCTTGCTGCAATCCCCACAAACAACCTTTTGCTGGAGCAGCAAGTGAGTCTTTTTCAAAACTCTAATCCCACTAATTATTACTATAATTCTTCTAAATTCCTGGCAAGATTGTTTGAAACCCAGAGGATGTGTGTTGAACTGTAAGAATAAATGCTGTTGAAATGTTGTCAGAAATGACAGAAATAATTAGGTATTTTAAAAATGTCTGCTGTTCTATCCAATTATAAATAGAATAGAAAATAGGTCGCCTATTAGAGGTACCCTTCAACAAGTTTTGTCTGGAATGTTTTTTTTCAACATTGACAGGCATTCGCAAGCTTTATCTGACACTCTACCATCACTATGTGTTGCAGCTCTTTGTAGAACTTTACTGACTCAGGAGATTTCAGCTCTCTCAAGAGAGCTCCATAAGAAACAGTCTTTTATAGAATACGTCAGGAAAATTCTGTATTGTTACAGTATTATGGTTCTGATGGTGAGACCTCAAACCTCAAATTTTGTTTACTGTAATTTCTATAAATTGTGTGGAACCTTTTGTTCTGTGAAAAATATAAAGTACAGGAAGGAACCGTTGAAAAAGATGAAATAACACATTGGACTGATGATAGGATTATGTGTAAAATTTGGACTTTACTTCAGATTTTAACAGTCAGCAAGAAGGTGACGTTCCTTTCCATGTGCTCAATGACGCACACAGACCCTACATCTCTGGGTCCATCTGAGTTCCATTTTCTGCCAGCATCCAAAAAGTTTTTTTTACAGTAACCTTGTCTTATCTTGTTTAAAAAAATAACTTTTGCTACCACCATGGACAAAAATGTGTGTTTGAGGTCTGTGCTGGTAACCTTTTGTGTTGGAAAAGAGCTTGATGAAAAATGTTTACCTGTGTTTTTATGACCTCTCTCAAATCTGTTATTGTTCCGTCATAAATCTGCCAATATTTCTGCGCAATATTCTTGAAATTCTTTCAATTTCACTAGTCTTTGATAACATTCTTCAAAATGAAAGGAAGAGAACTTAAAAGTAAAATGGGGCTCAGAGGAACCAGAATACATGGCACAATGTTGCATTATTCACCTTGCAACAGGATTTATATGGAGTTGATTTTCTTTCTGAAGAATACAGCGTAGTAATAAGAATTGAGATTGAAATTTGCCATTGAAAGGAAACATACTTGAGTTTTGACGGAGAGTTTGATTTAGCTCTTTCTGTTTGTGATCACAGGTGATCGATGAGCAGGTGGACAAAGACCAGAGTAATTGTAACCCGCTGAAAAGATGTGTTAAGGACACCCACGAAGAGGTACGACTGTCAATGTCACCGCTGCTTTTTCACCGCAAGACTTAAGTTGGCTTTTCCCACAGATGTGCTCACCAGCCCAATTCCACCAACGCTCACAGGAACTTTGTGCAGCTATCGATGAGATTCTGGCAAATTCCGTTCCAGCTGTGAGTCCAACCATTTGTTGTCTGCAATAATGATTTTATAGGACTGCAAATTTTGAACTATGATTTCAAAAGTGATTGAAAGAGCTTATTTTGTGTCTTTTTATTTGCGGAAAAATGCTTTTGACCAATGACCTCAAAGCCATCAACTACCCGGGCTCCTTTTCAGGTAAAACGCATTCCCTGAGTGTCAAGACATTGCTTTCTGAATCAAAGAAACCATGTTGGGTTATTTGCGTCCTTACATAAAGCATTAAATAAAGAAATGAATAAACAACAAGCACAATAATGTAAGATAAAAGGTTTAGTTGATTTGTCGAAAAAGTTGACCTGTTTCTACTTCTTGAGCTCTTTTCCATCACACTCAATAATACAAAAGGGCATCATGCATGGGATTAAAGAAAGACACTCTTTGAATTGAGGGGCTCATAATAAGATTATTATGCAATTGGCATTTGGCAACACCTACATTAAAATGTGATGTTGGTCTGAAGTTCTGACATTATAGCTGTTCAGTGAACATTCTTGAAAGATTCCTTTAGATATTATGTCTGATGTGCTCTATAACATTTTTACACAAATGTGTATCAAGTAAATATATAATCTCTTCCTCAGTGTTATGAGGATTTGGAATAGCTCTTAACATGAAGGCCATTTTAGGCCATTTCATAGGTCTGGTTATAGTCTCATAAAATCAAGTCTTACTCTTTACACTTAAAATCTTAAAATGTTAATGAAAAATCCTTAAATGAAAAGAACAAACAACTGATTGTTACCTGACCATATGGCCACATAGGCTCTTTTTCTAAAAAAAGGAAACAAAACAGCTTGTTAACATGCTACTAGAATAAGCAGAGCAAGAATAGTGAGACTTACAGATACAAGATTTAGAAATTCTAAATCATAGATGGTGAAAGTAGAAACCCTTGTAGGTTGCACTAAAACAAAAAATCAAAAAGCAAATTCTGACCCGTAATTTTCAGAATATGCAAGTGTCTTACTCATTCAAGAGATACCAACATTTGGTAAATAAAGACACTTGTAACACTTTAGAGTTAGGGGAAATATTAAATTCACCTTGGGATGAGGAAAACAAATTTTAAGGGTTTCTTTTTTGTACAAACATACAATAGTGTTCCAAAGCCCCCCCCCCCAAGGACTACTTTTCTTCTTGTTTTCATTCACCATCACATTCTTTACAATAGTGTGTTCAAATTCGAATTTTCAGTCTTTTTTGCCAGAGTATGTTGTTTTACTTCTTTATTTTGTACTTACAGCTCGGCAAGTCATCATTACAAAAATCGTTGGGGAGGGAAACCAAATATGTGAGTTGCTTTCAGTCATAACTGTTGAATTCAGAGCTTGGCAAACAAAACGAATCCCGTCAAACCTGTCAATGTTTTATCAAGTCAGCAAAAAAAAGAAAAGAAGAAAAGACTTACTGCTCTTGTATGACAAAAGCAGTAAATTTTGATAATCTGAACTTTAAGAATGGCTAATGTGAAATGTAATTATATGACTGTCAAAACAACCGTCTCTTTTCAGGATAAATGGTTGAACTTGCATTCAAAACCCATCATCTGGAAAGAGAAAACAGTTCAGAAAGTTTGAAATAAGAATGAATTAATGCCGATTGGTGGTTTAGTATATGGGACTTGAGACCACTGGGATAGGCTCCAGTTCTCCCCGTGACCCCATTAGGGAACAAGCGGTAACAATAATGGATGAATGGATGGATGTATGGGACTTAAGTGCTGAAATACTGCTCTGAAGTGGTTAATGGATTAGGGTTAGCTTAAAAGCCATGAACAGAAAAGGTGATTAGCCCAATTCAAGCCATGTTTAGAAATGCATGTACCAGCTCCTTTTGTGCTCAAAATAACTTCTCAACTTGTCTTTTTTAGGCTTCTGTGTGCAGTTTGCACCCGACTCCCAGTAAGGAAAGAAAACTTATGGACCCCCATAAGGTGCACACTATATTATCAGATCAAGCTCTTATTGCAACTTTTCTAGATTTGAGAAAGAAAAAATAATGTAATGGGTGGTTATCTGTGAGAATGAACCCAATGCTGCTGATCTTCTTTTACAGACAAAACCTGGGGTCATTCGCCCAATGACAGCCATTCCAAGACTGAATGCTGAGGCTGAAGATGAATATCTTCCAAATTCCTTCAGGCAGTTTGTCAAGCAGAATTTACCTGATAGGAAGAAGGTAGGTTTTTTTTTTTTAAATTCAAAGTGTTATGTGGCACATATTTATACTAAAATGTCTCAGTCTATATTTTTCCTTATCGTTTATCTGCCCCCCGCTCTCAGGGCCGTTAAAAGTGTTCCATCAGTGTTGTTAGATACATTAACTTTTTCACAGGGACTAAAGTAGTAAAGAAAGTAATTTTTTATTAAATCTGAAAGGCTTTTAACAATATCATTTTGACCCCCCCAGATAAATACTGCTCTAAAAGTGAAGATTGAAAAATGCAGCAGCATGTCATACAAAAACAGTCCTCAAAATGTATCCTTTTCAAATGATGATGAATCTTTTTTATAAGAAGTCAGTTTCACTGGAAGAATACAAAATGAAAATATTCAAATTCAAGCCTTTCATTTTTTATTGTCTCTAGTCGTGTCTTAAAAGAATATAATATTCCCTGTAAATATATAATGGAATTAAATGATCAAAAGTAGCTGTTTCCACAATTTCTTTTACTGCTTTTGATTAAAGCAAGCTTTTTATAGAGAATGTGAACATTTCCTGTAGTTTCCCAGCATCTGCCTTTCTCATTTTTGCTTTTAGAAAAAAAAAGGTTCAACCAGTTGTTTCCCTTCTCAAATCCTCTGAAGATTTTGTTTTTCTAACGAGCTTTTTCGGCTAGCGTGTTTCCAAAATCTGGAAGTGAATTGAAGTATGAAAAAGGACAGCATAGAACCTGCATCTCTGACAATACTGCTGGGAGCAATCAGCATGAGGAAATTCCTATTACGTTTGGAAGAGGAATAAAAAAAAAAAAAAGCAATATCTACTCAGCTTATTTACACCTTGTCCAACTTAAAACAATTCTGACAGCTCTTGTTTAGGAGGCAAATGGTTAGTTGTGCTAAAATTCATTCTACACCACATTGCCAATATCTTTTTATGGGTGCAAACAAAGTTATTTCCAGCTAAGTTTGTGTTCACACAACAAAAAAGGACTTACGCTTTTAAACTTCTTCAGTGCACTTGTACATTAGCAAAAGTGCACATATATTTATATATATATACTCTGCTGAGGTATCTGTCAAAAGCTAAACACGTTTTGAAATCACAACATTTAGAGTATTTACATATCAGTCAGACTTGAAGAGAATGCATACAATTTTGGGGACAGCAACTCACTGATTTGAATCAATGCAATGAAATTGCTGTAAAAATGTTTAGAGATTAATTTGTGCAAAACGTTTACTCAATTGTGTTATCAGTGAAATATCTTTATAGATAAGCCACATGTAATATATTAAATGGTTCTCACTGAATCTATTTTAGTAATTTTATTAGAATGTCAACTTTCTAAATTATGTTGCTGAAGCAACTATTTCTATTCAGCACTGGAGAGTACAAGAATTGCTGTACATCAAAACATACAAAACATCAAAACAACGTACATACATACTTCTCCATCTTTGTCAGAAATGGGCTGACTCTGAACTATACAAGCCTTGTAAATATAGGTTTTGGGGCTTTTCTTCTCATACAACATTTAACGATCCGACAGCATGCTTGGAAAAGCTGGACCCACTGATCCTTTGTACCATATTGGATTGTCCCCAGCCTCATTGATTCCAACATCTTTTGTTACTTTGTTTCTTGATACTGTAGACATTAAAACACCTAACCAGAGAACCCCCCCCCCCCCTCCTTACAATGCCCAGCAATAAATAAGACTCAGGCTAATCAGAAAGATGGTTATGTTTGAATTATGAGAACATTAGTTACTAAGGAATTTGTGAATTTCAAGAAACTTAATCAGACTCTCTGATATCCTGTTTGTTGTCCAGTGAAAAAGTGATTACATGATATAAGCAATGGCTTTATTTATGCACAAAATAGTTATGTTAAGTCTAATCAAAATGGTCAACTTGTATGCATGTGGGGACAGATATAAATATGTCTATTTGTGATCAGATCGCCCAGGGTGCAGGTTAACACTAAATGTGTGCTACCTTTGTTTGCTTCCACAAACAAAAAATCTATTTCACAAGGTCTTTCTTGCAAAATACATTTGTTCTCAATGGGACTGTCCAGTACAATGAGGATAATGAGGAAATTAAATTACATCTCCAAGTCCATTAAAACCTTATTGAATTATCTGTGGGCAGCAGTTTGAACTATGTTTTAGACTTTGCTTCCTAAAATCCAAAATTGAACTACTGTATTGAACTGTCAAATAAGGCTTTATAATTTTTGTCGAAGGGTAAATTATTGCTAAAGGTTGCTTCTTTTTTTCCTTTAAAAAATGAATGAAGGCTCTTTTGAAAATGTTAAAATACAACAATAAAAGGAAAAGACAATTTTTTGACAAGAATATAAAGAAACAAAAGCTTTTAAAAGGCTTTTCCTTCACAACTACTCTGTCATTGACAATAATAACTCTCATATTTGATCTTTATATATGATTTATATATACATTGATTTATCATATTTATTAGATCACAAAAACAATAAAACATTTGATATTTCTTAAGAAATCTTTCGAAAACAGTTTAAAATGAGAGATGTTAGGGTTATTTTTCAAATAACAAACTGAATAGTCCCCTTTTCACACAAACCTCAAAATGTAATATCTTCTTTAGCCTATTGTTTTCGTCTACTTTTTGACAGTTTCTCCTGTTATGAAATTCCAAACAGTTTGGACAAACAGGGCTTTGACTGGACTTTGATTTGTTTATTCCCTCTGTTTCAGCTCTCCAGGTGCTGCTGAATGTTTGCAGGCCTCAGTAATGGCTTCTTAGCATATATTTCCCCCTCTAAGCAATTTACCATCAGAAGTCTGCTTATTGTGATTCTGGAGACTTCTCAAGTCAAGAGAGTCTCAAACTCTTATCTTGGCATATTTATGTCTGCCTAGAGGTAATCAGTAATCTTCCCTTTGTCTCTCAAACTTAAAATCTTGAGGTGTTAAGTTAACTTTTGTTTGCTGCCTCTTTTCCGGCTCATTCTAAATACCGATCTCTGCAATAGACTCCAAAGTGTACTTTACAACACGGAGAACAATAACAAGTATATTTAAAAGGTAAAAATATTATTTCAGCTAAAGACATGCTGGTTTATATTTAATAGAATTATTTTGGTGACTACCAATTCTGTTACTTTAGGGGAGCTATGTCCTAAACAGTACATTAGGTGGTGGCCTTATAATAGAACATTTGACATTTGTGCGTGTGTGTCTGTCTGTCGGTCTGCCATTTGTACATTCTATTGTCACCAGTCTGTTGCAGTATTTAACCCCTTGAAACATTAAAATGCTAGATAACTTCTCATTTTCACATGCTACCTCGTTATTGTGTCTTTGGCAGGGATTCATATCATCCCATCATCCTACTGCAAGCATGTGGCCTCTGCTTACTGATCTTAACTGTGTTCAAGCAGAGCACGCACTCATCACAAGTGCCATTCGCCTTTTTTTTCCTTTTTTCTCCCAAGCACTATTTAAATCTCACATGAGCACTTTAGGCCGTGCAGCAGCTGTGATGTCAGTCAAGCTCAAGGACTTTCTCATTCATTACGAATAGAGCAGGAAGGGAGTATCACTGCAGCTCTCTCCTCCGGGCCACATTGGGTTTAGGGATCCTCCTGGTAAAGACTTTAGCCCAAAAGTGCTTACTAATAAGCTGATTCAGTCCATGCTAATAACAGCAGTTCCAAAATAAAACGGAGAATAACACAAGCCTTTCTCATGTGGTCAGGGGGCAAAATACTCATAATACTCATAATGAAGGTTCCTCCCCACCCAAAAAAAAAAAGGGAAAATAATCTCCATCATCTTGTGTGATGGCAAAGTCTGAATCTTGCCACTAAAACTAACAACTAGAATAACAACAATAAAGACAATAAAAACCACATGAAGACGGTGTAATAGGAATTTAACTGTGGACGAAGCTGGGGGAAATCAACTGGGGAACAATCAGAGCATTGAATGAATGGGTTACCAGCAATCTATCAACACTGCTCAAGTAATCAAGTGCAAACGTTTACCTGTTGCAGATATAGCATGTTTTCAGCTCTGCCAAGCACAGAAGCATAATTTTAGGTGCCACTCTTCTATGTAGTTCTGAGGCTGAAATAATAGTTTTTTTTTCCAAGGCAGGCATTCACCTCCAAAGAGGTAAATAACAGCACCTTTATGAAAAAAGTCAATTTATTTTCCTGCGCTGTCATTTCTTCAAGGATATCCGGACTTTGTAGAAGCAAAAGGAACTGTTGTATCTAAATATCCAAACAGAAACATTTACTTTGCATTATGACTCAATCATCTGCATTTCAGTTTTTCAGCTGTTAGGCTGATCGCTCATTCATTACATCACACACTGGATTATCCATAATCCTTTTCAGTTTGTGCTAATTAGATTTCGAGCAATGCTGCTGAGCAGTGATAAAAGAAACTTGAAAATATGTGTTTATTTTTAAATGTTAGGATTCAACACTTTAATTAAGGGGTGTGTTCCACGTTTTTGATTAACACCACTTCCAAGTCTTTATCAAGCCATGGCCTGAAGATGTTTAGCTTAATGTATGATCTGGTGTGGCTTATCCGCAAGTGATAAAAAAAAAAGAGCAAACCATGAGATCTAATGCTTAACATTTGATAAGATGCTGTTCTTACAAACCTATTCATTTGGATATGTAACTGAGTGTTACAAAATCATAACATCATATTATGTTTAACCCTTTTCAGAGATTTCTTTTAAAATTTTTCAAATGGCACACCAACAGATTAAAATATATACTGCTGTTATTGCAATTATCCAGTTGTGTTATTTAACAAAAAGGACGTTGCCAGTGTTATTTGGTTACAGAAGTTACCAAATAAGGCAGAGAAGACAAGTACATGCAATGATGCATGATGAGATGAGAAATAAATGCAGAGAAAAAATTCCAGCTGTGGAATTTTGAAGAATAATTAAATAAATAAATAATCAATTAATTGTGTGTGCAGTTACAGACTTTCCTTTTTTTTTCTTTCCTTGCCGTTGTTGTGTGATGCTCATTGCATTTTGTAAAGCAGAAAGATATGAACAACAGATTGGCCACTTAAGCACATACTGTGCTTATTGTTGTCATCGTGATGAAGGAACAACATGTGGCATCATCCTCCTGAAATAACCAACCTCTCAAAAAACACATGCTACCTTGATGCTATTACATTTGTCTTCAAAAGACATAATATCTAACATATTCCTGTGCATCAATGGTTTCATCACAGACACTGACCTTTGCATATTTGGCTTATGAGAGATATATCTAATCTTTGGCATATAAAACCCAAAAATATTTTATCTGAGCCATGTAGATGTTGAAAGACCTATGTTGCTTCAATATGATCACCAGGAAATACTTTTTAAACTTACTCCTGATTCTCTGAAGTACGGTAATTTGATATAAAATAGTGAGCCATCCTTACTTTGAAAGACCATTGGTGCATGTTCCTTTTTTCATCTTTTATGTAGCTTGTTGTTTTAATATGACCAGATATGGTTTCCTGACAGTGCATCTCTGGTAAAAGATTGCATTTAAGTTGTCAGGCATTTTAGGCATGATAATCTCTTTGAATATGAAAGAAATAAGAATGGTGGCATCGATGGCAGGCTTACGCTTTCAGAAGAGAAGTGAGCCCGCCCCAGCTTCTCTTGGCAACGTAGTAAGAGGCAGCAGGTGGTCACACAGAAATACATCTCACAGTATTTTCAAAGTTATTTCAATCAGATATTTTTGTAAATGTATGTGTGCATTCAATCTTTGTTCGTCTCATGTTACATATTCTGGTTTTGCATGAAATAGACAGAAAAAAGGCACTTATATTGCCTTATGAGATGCAAAGTGAACTCCAACAACTTAACCCGTTTCTTCAATATGCTTGTTTTGTGTAGTAGTTCACAACACCTTAGAGAAGCTCAACTAGCTAATAAAACATAAATAAAATACAGAAAAAGTGAAAGAATTTTCTAATCAGAAGAACAATACAAAGTCCAGAAAATAAGTATTTGCTGCCCAAAGTTTGCCTCTGGAAAATGGGCTTGAAGAATTTGGAGGGTTATAGTTACAAAAAATGGTCTTAGTAAAAAAAAAAAAAACATTTTGTGTGATAATAAAAAGATTTAATGGTGAAAAAGAGAACATTTAGATAGGAGTATGCAAAATGTGTCAGAATCAGAATTCAATACCAGTTATTGTAAAAAAGAAAAAATGACTGGAGAAGGAAGGCTGCGGGGTCCTGGTGCTTATGGACCAGAGAGGACAGACTGAGAGGGGTGAGCTCTAGACCTGGGTTCATGTTTCCATCATTATTTTCAGAAATGAGTTTAGTTTGGACTACTCGAAGTCTCTTCAGTTCAGCATGACTCAAAAGTTTAGTTTGTAAAGGTTCATAGTTCATCTTATTGACCTTTATGAGAAAACAGAGGCCCCTCACGTTGAGAAAGTCTGATGTTAGGGTTTTCTGTGACTTTTAAAAATGGACACATTTTAAACACTGTGTAACCTTCTATCTTGGTAAACAAAATAATCCCCATTTTGATTTCAGACACAAATCATTGGTGAAATGAATGATAAAAAGAGAAAGGAGTGATAAATTTATCAATACAATCTTTCAAAGGTTATTTACCCCACTGGATTATTTTCTACAAGTAAATATTTAATCATGGCAACTGGTTTGACAGCACTTTTAAATGTTTTATCTTGCAAAAATGCTCCCTCGAACGCATCCGTTTTGGGCTATGTGTCATTCAGATTTTCATGCTTTTCCTAAAATGTGCAAATATGGAACATCTTGGTTGCTGTCAGAAATCAGGCCTGAGATGTCATTCATGTAGATGCACAATGAACATTCAAATAACTGGAACCAAGAGAAATTTGAGAAATTTAATGGGGAGCTAAAATGAGTTCAAACTGGAATTGTAAACTCTCTGACAAAAAACGACACAGTTGGTTTATTCACCATTTTTTATTGACCATTTGCCCATGTTCTGTCTTGATATAAAAGGCAATAAAATTGTTACTCTATCATTGTTTTTGTTTCAGGTGGAAAATGTGGGTGTGGAGGAGTCCCAAACAGATGTGTACACAAACAAAAAAGGAAAAATACTGAGCAATAAGAGGAAATCAGACAGAAGTGGTTCATTTCCTGCGTGTGAGCTGCACATCAAAGAGCCTGATGAGCAGATCAGTCATCTTGGAAAAGGTTCTTCATCGTGTTTCAGTGCCACCGAGAAGCGTATGGAAACTTATGAAACTCACATTTAAAACATTCATTTATCTCACTCTTTTCAGTAAACAGATATTTGTTAGGAGACAGGACATCGTGGTCAACTGATTGCCCCTAGCAGCAAGAACTAAATGAGGCATTCTGTAGAGCTGTTTATAGTAGCTGACAACAGAGACTTAAAGAGATGATGAAGGGGTAGCTGGCAAAGATGCCATATGAATTAACTGATATATTTATGCTTGAGAATACTTCAAACTCATCTTCACACTATATGCACTGATGATAGATTTAGAGTTAGAATAGAATTTGTTAAAGTAATAAAAGGATAAATTGGAGGAGTGGTGCATCTTTCAGTTCTCAGATGCTCACAAAGATCATACTCGACAGGGAAGAAGAAATAATTATTTTTGGAGATCTTATTTCTGGAGTTCCTTTCCGCATGCATTAGTTTCTTGCTGCCTCACCAGCAACAACGGCTTCATTTCAAACCGTGGTATGCCAGCAACAATAGCCGGTTTTGAAAGCAAAGATGATTTATCTGATGACATCTTATCAACAGATCTCAAGGTGGCTCACACGAAAGTTCAAGAGTATCACCATAAAAAAAAAAAACAATGGCGGACTCCTACACCTGAGCCACCTGAGAACCTCCAGTTGTGTAGATGTGTGTGGAGCAGATAACTGTGTGTGTCATGACGTGAAAAGAATGACAACCACTGCTTCAGCCCACTCAGTTTTCCACAGCTTTTTTTCAAGACAGCAGCAGTGGTAAAGAAAGAGACCAACTGGAAAAAAAAGACTTTTTCTCTTTTGATAATTGCGCCAGTGTCTGCTCTTCTCTCTGAAATTTCCTTGAGTGTCTAATGCTATCTTCTGACTAGAGTTTAAATTCAATCAGTGTCATAAAGGGTTGCCATTATGTACTGTATGTGATGGCTGCATGAATGATAACCGAGCAAACAGAAACACTCAAGTCAAGGTTACGCTGAGAAAATGAGAGGTTTGATGCTGGAGGATGGGCAGGTGGGTGAGATGAAAAGCTTGTCTTCACTGAGCATGCCACAGTATCCCTTCAGCCTGGAGGGATATCTGTGGAGATTTGTGATCAATTCCTTTTGGAAAATATTATTGTTCCATCAGCCTGTGTGACAGAACCTTTTATATTACAATAATATTGTAACAAAAGACGTTAACATGTCTGCCTGATAAATAAATGATAGTAAAATAAATAATAGTTATCGATAAATAAATACAAATAATAAAAGTTACACATTTTATTTGTTGTCTTTTTTTTACCACACATTAAGAATATTCAGGATCAAGCAACTCTTTATTTGTGTTTGACTAATTAAGTTTATTAATCTATTGAAATGAATGACATTATTGGCAGCCAAGTCAAACCAGAGAATAATATTTTACCTTGTTATAGCGTGTTGGTGTATATGTAACACCACTAGATACTGACAACAATGAACACCACTGTATCCAACAAACAGCTTGCAGTACTGGATGCAAATCCTTAGAATTCAATCCATCAGCTTCCACTGGCAGCACCCCCAGTCAGCATCACCAGATCTGGAACGCGGCAGACCTGCTGCGAGTTACTAGTCTGTGTCTACTATCGGGAAAATGAGCTGAAATTGAGTTTTAAAATAATTCTGTTCTCGGGTTTATGACCTTTTGTGTCTCGCAATCAGTGGCACGATCCATCATTTAAATTAGTCATTGTGGTATGATATTACATTGATGACAATTACGTATCTCGCCATAAAGAATGTTTTAATATTTGATATTTCAAGAAGAAAATGAGAATGTGATTAAAGACTTTATCTTCTATGCTCTGAATATAATACCAATCAGTCATGTACATTCATTTAAATAGAATATCAGGCTAATTAAAAGCATCCTAATCAGTAAAAGAATATGTATAAATCCAAAGAAAATGCAGAAGAATTATGTTCAGAAGGCCATACTATTGATTGATTTGATCTTCTAAAACATGATCAGCAGTTTGCGCATGCATTTGTTTTTGTGAGAAATCCTGAAGGGGGAATCATAGTAAGGCTTTTTTTTTTACATAAACAGCAGTGAACTGGTGGACAGCCATTCAGCCAGTCAACAGTATCTAAGGATTAGCTTTTACTGTTATATCATAAAACAGTAATTTTGTATAACTGACAATAAAGCTTAACAAACAAACAGTTGTAGAAACAGTAGAAAGTATATCTTTATCTAAGATAAATCACACACTGTTTTAGCCTTACTTTTTACAATCAAAGCTCCAGGTGTTTAGGTAAAATAAAGATAAAAAATCAGAGTTTCCAGAATACAGAGGGAGATGTCGGTCTCCAAGGAAACAAATTCAGTTCTTGTATGTAGTCCTCCACTCCTTTGAAAGCTCTTTCATGAGCATCAGCATGTGTTGCCTGAAACCTGTGAATATGTTTCTGCAGTGATGATGCCCTTTCAGATGTTCAATGGTACTACCACACCACTGGAGATGCAGGTTTTTATGTGTGTACTGACAACAAACCCGATTGTCCCTGTCTAAGTCCCCTCGTCTGAAGAATCTGGCATCCATAATTACCAAAAATCCTTTCTATTTCAAGGTCAGAGGGATAAAATCTTTATCTTCTGTCGTGTCCTGATCACACATATGACTAAAATGAATACAATTTGTACCGTTTTGTCATCTTTAATTCTTCCTAAGATTATATTTTTAAGATAATTGAATTTATCCATCATTTTACCATGAAATGAATCAGTTGAAATAAATTTGGCGCATTCAGTTTAGTTTTAATGCCAAATCACTCAACATCCAAATTTTTTAAAACCTGGGGCAGTTCAAAGCATCGTGCTCACTTGATTGTCTCTTTAAGAAAATCAGCATTAACTGTCCCGGGTAAAACATATTTTTTGTGATGTCATACTTAGTAAGAGAAGTTTGCATGTAATTTGACCAAAGAGTTTTTTTTTTTTTCTTTTCTTTCTTTGAATGTGCATGACTGCTGTAAGAAAAGAAGTTGAGCAGCTTCTTTCAACGAGACTATTTTGGAATGAGCAGAGCTGAAACAGCAGTGCTTAACCACCTGTGACCAGTGGGGGGGAAGGGCAGCACATTACAAAGCCCAACTCAGCAGGTAACATCCAACAATCAAGCTTTTCCAGTATTCTGTTCGAGTTCTCTGCAAAGATTCATACCAACCCGATGCCTTCTTTTTTAAAGCTTGGTAACACATTTCCCTTCAAAATCATTTAATTTAAATAATCTCATCCATTACTCGCTTGTAAAAGCCTGAGATAATAAAACAATAATATGATCATATTTCTTTTCTACCATGTGCTGGATATTGCTTCATTTCAACATTATTCAGATTATTTGCATTTTTGTTGTCATCTACCTCCCCATTATATTTCATTTTTAATGGTTTGATGCAGACTAAATGTTTATTTTGAAACCAGATTCAATTAGTTTCCAGCGTAAGGCATCAGTGGATTCTCATATTAGCGGCAGTCAGAAATGACTGCCACAGCCACTTCGAGTTAAGCAGAGGGAAAAATAAAAGCTTGGGGTAATTTGGAGGTGCTAAATGTTAGATTTGATTTCTGGTGTCATCTGTCAAAAATAGGATTTTGGAACTGAGAGTCCAGCAGAGGAAGATAAAAAGCCTGACATCGTGATATCACTAAGGTCAGCTGGACCGATCTGCCCAAATCCTCCGTGATGGCCTGAGCAACAGAAATAAGATGGCAAAAAAAGAAGAAATAATTGAACTTCTGCTGTAATTCCATCCTGAGAGGAAAAGTGAGACCTTGGTGACACATTAAAAAATAAGTAACTGACACACTATGTTGAAATGTGGATATTTTGTAGTGCTTGTAGCATTTATAGACTCACTAACATGTTTTTCTCCCAGACACATGATTTAAAAAATTTCCAGACATTTTAGAATCAGCTGCCTTCCCAGATATAAATGTGCTCTTATCTCAGGGAGATGTCTCATACATACAGTATCTGGTAATACTGCACGTATCCTGTAAGCTGGAAGCTTGTTTGAGGAAGTGCGGGCTCTGCTTCCCTCTGGTATCCTCCTCCTGGTGCAGACACAGTTTGTATGTGACAGCTGCACCAACACTCACAACTAACTGTCGCTTGCATAGAAGTTCATAAGCACTCACACAAAGTATAATAAATGATCATATGAGCAATATAAACATCAAGGTTAATAATTGACTCAAATGACCCAAATACCAAAGCCAATAGAAGCAATGCTACTTTCAGCAATATGCACGGCTCAGAATCAGATGAGTGATAAACATATTTTAACAGAAAGAAGAGTTTAATTGGATTCCATGCACTGTACATGGCTTTGAAAACATTAATGTTATTGATTTTTTGTCTCTTTTTAGTTTTCAAATAGTTATCAATTTAAAAAAGAGAACTTTTTCTGAACTAAAAGCAGTTGTTTCTGTCCTTGCTATGCATAAAGTAATTTGAGTTGCAGGACTTTACCAAGTCTTACCAATCCTTAATAACTGACCTTTACTGGTCAAAAAATACAAAAGCGAAGAGGTTCAGTGAAAAAAAGAGAGCACATTTCAGATTCACTAGTGAATCCACTCCAGAATCCAATTTAAAATGTTGCTGATAACAGTCAAGGTTCTTAAGGGATGAGTACCTTCTGATAGCACAGAACCTGAATTCCCCTGTCTCTTCAGTCTGGACACAAATCTGTTTCACACATCCATCAGTCACAGTCAAAGCTAGAAGAGGATAAAACCTTCCAGCTACTTACTGCTAGATAGTTGTAAAGCCAATGGTTGATTGTTTTAGAAGTTTTTGTGAGTTTCTCTTTTCGGAAAACTGAGCTTCCTGTGCTTGTTTGTGTGCCTGTTTTTGTCCATTACATTGTTTTACCTGAACTCCAGGAATAACTTTTTAAAATTTTGATATCATTCTAATAATTTTTTTTACAGCTAAGCATGTATGTTTTTGGAGCAAGGATAAAGCACTTAGCAAGACGGTTCTTCATCAGAC